ATTCACTCGCTCATCATCGCAGTATACATAGAGGTGACACTGTCTGTCCAATTTGCCATGCAGTCTTCACTCGCAAGTACACAATGCGATGTCATATGGTTAATGTTCATGGCATCAAGTAATCACGAGGATAGAACAACTTCAGTGCCATTTTTTTGTTTTTATTTTTTTAGAGAAACTATCAGTAAGCAATTCTGATAGCAGACTTCTAAATACTTATTTTTATCTTGGATTTAGTTTTTTTTTAATATTTTGCAGAACATTTTTCTTTTGTTGAAGTAATCCGACCTGTCGTGAAGAAAGGAGTCAAAAAAATTTAGGTTATCTTGCCTTTTTACTAAGTTACCTTAGCCTGGAATCGATAAGGGACCTGGTGGCATTTGGACCAATTAAAAAATCCTATTAGTAAGAAAAGAACGAAGATATGTCTTTCCTTTTCTTACTAATGGGATTTTTTAGTTGGTCCACATGCCACCAGGACCCTTACCGACTGTAGGTAAATAATCAAAGTCAAAACGTAGCAAACATAACCTATAAAATTTTGACAAATCTTCGGTCCCTTTCTTCACAACGCGTCTCATATTTTATTATACATTTTTTGTGCGATCGATACCGTTTTCAATTTTAAATGCCATAATTTCTTGCCGATTTTTTTTTTAATAGCTTAAATCCGAGATAATAATAATTTTTTAACACATAAATATAGCCCTTTTTAATTGTATTCAATTCATTAATTCAGGTGAGAAAAAATGAAGAAGCAAATTAAAACGCTTTGAAATCATTGCATTTAATGTTTTATATATAAATCGTATATATAAATATTTGTTTTTTATTTCGATAAAGAAGTTTAAATAAAGCCCTTATTATAATTGTTGATTGTAAGAAAAAAAAATGTTTTCTATAAAATTAGAAAAGTTGAACTTTTTATATAAAATATTTCGCTCAAATTGCAAATAAGAGAAAATTATTATTATTGAAAAAGGAAAATACGAACATTATCTGGTGAAAAATCGGAAATATTTTACGATGTATATTTTCTATTTCACCATAAAACTCGGAACTCACTGTTAAAAATGCTTTATTTTATTTTTTTTTTATTTTTCATGTTAACTGTTTTAATTTTTATTTTCATTTTCATCTTTACTTTTCTACTGACAGATTTTTGCACTTTCAATTTATTTTATGAAGAAATCAATTATAAAATTACGAATATGTTGAAATTTAATGTGAAGATATTACTCTCCACCTGAGAACGCCAAGGTCACCGCTAGATGGCAGTTAAGTTTCTTCTTGGAATTTTCACTGCCATCTGGTGGTGACCTTGGCGTTCTCAAGTGGAGCAATTAAACCATTTTATCTCTCGCAAACTTTATTGGAAAAAAATACAAAAAATTATTTTTAATTAAAAATTAATTAGAAATTAATATATTATCTAAAAATAAAAATAAAATCGAAATTAAAATTAAAATTGAAAATAAAAATATTTAAAAACTGAAAATAGAAATAAAAATAAAATTCGATAAATATCTACTGGTGAGGACTGAGTATTAAAAATAATTTTCATTTTTAACTTCTTGTCAAATTTATATTTATGTAAAATATTTTAAAAAAGGGACTTTTTATACTCTTATTATTGCATTTTTATTCTTTTTTACACATTAACGTTTCTTGAAAAAAAAATTTTTATTGTATAAAGTGTAATTTGTATTTGTATTTGAAATAGAAATATTGAAATAACAAAATTATCAATTGTTGATAAATTTGTTGAAAAAAGAAAGTAAAACTCGCTATTTTTCATCAAAAAAAAAAGAAAGAAATTGAAAATAAGGGTGTACTTTGTGGACAAGCACAAAAACTTCGTTTCCAAAATTCCAAATTTTTACGAAAATAACCTATACTTTTGTGATATTGAAATAATATTTAGATGATTGCAAACTACTGCGCTGATTTTTGTTAATAGTTTTTAACAATGAAAGGCAGTTATTAATCTAGTCATAATAGATTTTATCAAAAATGGTAATAATTTTATTTTTTTTTTATATAAACCATAATCGATGAGAATCTCTATTCTCTCAGTTGTAATTATAATACATGTTAAAATTAAGGTCGTTGTATAACTTTCCTCATAGAACAGTAAGCTTTTTGCATTTTTGAGTTAATTTATATTTTTTTCATCTTCATTGCTTGATTTTATTCTTGTTCAATAGAAATATTATAGTGTTAAATAATTTAAAAAATAAGTTTACAGCAGATAAAGTCGTCTTAAATTCAATTCGGAAGTTTTTCGATTTATAATGTAGAGGCGTGAGGCCGATAGAAAAAGTCAGAACCTAACGGTCCCCTCTTTTGTCTCTGTTTCTTGACGCATGCGCTGAGGAGTTTTCTTAGAAACAGCGCATGCGCGCATGAACTGTTTCTAGGAAAACTTTTTAGCGCGCATGCGTCAAGAAACAGAGACAATGGAGGGGACGTTACAAACTGACATATTCTCTAAATTAATTTTTAACAATTGACAAACTATGTTGATTTTGCAAACAGAAATTTTACATTTTTCGGAATATTATTTGTAGTAAAAATATTGAATTTAGTTTTATAACTGAATCGATATTTAAATGATTCAGTGAATCGTTTTTTATATTATTATAGTCCGAAAATTTAGAAATGATCTCTTCGAAGATACGATGTAAATTAAAAATTGAAAAAAAAATTCATTACTGTAATAATTACTGCACTGTATCATACGTAATAAATTTTAAGAATCTAAAAGAACTACGAAAATCCTTTGTTAGTAGGAGTAAAATTAAAAATTAAAATACATTTATGGAGAAATATCGACGAATTTATTCCATATACCAATTCCAGTTTTTTTATTTCCTTTAAGGAGTTTTTTGTTATACAAAAATATTTTGTTTAATATACAACAAAAACTCGATTATTACTATCAACAGAAGTTGGTCTTTGATTTTTGAAAATTATTTTTCATTTAAAAAATTATGTTTTGATTAATAAATTACATTTGGAAAATGTAATTAATTATTTAAACAATGGGAAGTATTTTTGGTTGTAAAGATTTTTTTTAAAAGTTTTCTTTATTTTGTACGATTGTTTAAGTGAATGGATGTGTTTGTGTGTTTTAAAGAGTTCGAAAATTTAATTATTAATTATGTTATATCAACGCTTTGAAAATAATAAAAAGAAAACAAAATTCGTTGAAAAAAATGCCAAGGTATGTCACTGTCACAAACGGATTCCTACCAATTATGATGGAGAACTTTCTTTATTGGGAAAGAAATATTAAAATTTAGTTGAATTTCCGAAAAAAAAGAAGAATTTAATATTGTACGCATGAATTTTTTTCAAATGTTCAGTTTTTTATTTGCAGCACCAGTTCAGAAATAATTATTCTAATTATGTTTGAGCAGATTTTTTTAGGATATTTTCGATGATTGTAAAATGTTTTGAGTTTGTTTTAGCGATATTTTTATGTATAAATCGTTTTTTTTTATTTTACTGTAATTTTTTTTTATTTGATGTTATTATATTTACTTTTTGTATTGTATTTTTTATTATATTTTACTTTTTCTATTGTATTATTTATTATATTTTACTTTTTCTATTGTAATTTTTTATTACATTTTAATTTTTCTATTGTATTATTTATTATATTTTACTTTTTCTATTGTATTTTTTATTACATTTTACTTTTTCTGTTGTATTTTTAATTATATTTTACTTTTCCTATTGTATTTTTTATTAAATTTTACTTTTTCTATTGTATTTTTTATTATATTTTACTTTTCCTATTTTATTTTTTATTATAATTGATTCTTTACATTGTGAATTTTTTATTTGACTTTTTATTGTGTGAAGCGCACTGAAGAAAGGTACCTAAGAAGCAAACAATTTTTAGGTTATGTTTGTAATTTTTTATGCTGAAAATACACAAAGAGGATCAGTTACAATAGAAATTATTGTTACAACTCTTCATTAGATCCAAAAGTATTCAATAAAAACTGGTTTTTAAATTAAAATAATTAAAAAAAAGACTTTCAATCAAGAGAATTCTAATACAAACATAACCTAAAATTCGTTTGCTTATTTCTTGGAAGTGCGTCACATGAGTTTTTTTTTATTTAACATTCTAATTATTGTTTTTTTTATTATTTACTTTATTTTTTATTATTTACTTTATGATTTTTATTATTTACAATAATTTCTATATTGTAATGTATTAATTTTTGTATGTCCCGTAGTAATATTTGATCGAATTTTTCTAAATTTCGTTTTATTTTAAATAAAAAAAAGTATTTGACAATATAATTCACTTTAGAATTATGATTTTTGCACAAAGTAATATTATTTTTGACATCGTTGACAAATAAAAGTTTGTTTCCGCTTTTATCGCATATTTTTGTTCAGCAAAGCATGTTTTGTTCTCGAAGAAATCAACTTTTGTATTTGAGAAAGTCTATTTTTTGAAAATTGGCATTGCTTTTTATTTCAAAACACCAGTATTGATATCTGTCCAATTTAATTTTTATTCTCAAAAAGAAATAAATTTGGGAAGCGCTCCGAGAGGAACAGAAAGTCCATTTCGAATGGTTTGCATCCTTTCTTCGGAGAGCGTCACATTTCTTCTTTTTGTGTCAAGAAAAAAAATTGTTCTTGTAATTATTTTCAACTAGAATTTTTAATTATTCAGCCTTTGCAAAAAGTAATTATCAGAAATAATATTTTAAAGTAAAAGAGTAGCAAAAGTTAGAAATTAAAATGGACAAGAATTCAGTCTGTGATTCGATATGAAATGAGAAAACAAAAAATAGGAGAGCGTGTGATTTTAATGTTATATAAAGAGGATGGTATTTTAGAAAAAAAAAGATTTGTTTTGAAACAAGATTTTATCAGAGTGAAGAGAGAACCAAATCATCGATTTTGGACTATGTAATTGCCAAATAATTTGCAAATGAAAAAAAGGAATATTTTGATTTTATTTGATTTAGATTGTCGTACAGTGACCATCGAACAACCATCGCACTCATGCAAACTCTGCGGTAAATCATTTTGGAATCGAGACTCAATGTACAAGCATATGAATATGCATAAGGGCACAACACAGTGTCCTGTTTGCCACAAAGTTTTGAGCCGCACAACACACATGAAGCGACATTTAAAAAATCGACACGGCTGGTTGGGATTCGGATCATTGGCTGATGCGGCACGAATCTCAAATCCCCTCTCGATTTCCACGCGAATTGGACATCAAAACCAAAATACAAATGCCAATGCAAATACCAATGCAAATGCAACAACAAGTAATATTGAAACGAGTTCTTCAACGTTCACGACAATTCGAATTCGTGAGAGCAGCGTCGAAAGAATCACTTCTAGTCCTATTCCTTAGTGTGAGAAAAAAAAAGAAGAGAAACCAAAAAAAAATGAAATCCTTATTAATGGATTATTATTTTATTGACGCCTGTCTTAAATTTCACTAACTAGTCATTTCTATATATACACTATTATAAGTGTGATTTTTTTTTTATTCACACTCTAACACAAGCACCAATATTCTACCTCCAGGATCTTATTACAAAAACAAATCCATTTTCTATTCCTCCTGTAAAACCTTTTCTTTTCGTCCCTCGTTAAACATTTTCTTCTTCTCAATAATGCTGTTATTTTCCGAATGTTTGCAAGTTCTCGAAATGATGGAAATCAAACGAAAAAGTTCCGCAGAAGTGTCAGGCCGATAGAAAGAGTCAGAGTGAACCTAACGTCCCCCCGAGGCGCGCATGCGTCGAGAAACAAGAGGGGACGTTAAACTACTGATTCTTCCTATCGACCTGATGCCGTTTCGGAAATAGAATCAGAAACAGAAATAAAAAAAAAGTAAAAGAATTAAAAACAGGAAAGAAAGTGTCAGCATTGTTGAAGAGAAATGTTTCCTTTTTTTTTTACTGAAAATTCGTTTTCTCTTTTTTTAAATATGTAAACCAAAGATAACTGGAAAATCACTTTATCTAGTCAAATGATTTCAGTACTTAATAGACTAAGGAGGAATGTGCATTTTTTGTAATTCGAGTCAAATAAGAAAGATTAATCTTAAATCGTGCATGGTAGATAATCCAATTAAGATATCTATTGGTTTAGACTATTAATTGACTAGTCTAATGATGAAACTAGGTTTTTTTTTAAAAATCTACGTTACTATTTTTCGGAGTCGATTTCAAGGTCGACTTGATTTTTCTCTTGTTAGTGCGTACAGTCTCGTAATTGCAAGATAAAAAAAAACTGCTATTTTGTCACTGCAACTTTGTGCCATCGACTTTTTTCACTTTTTTATAGAATTTTATCCCTCGTTTTTCCCTTTTTAAACGAAATAAAGTGGTGATTTAATTTCTCCACCTGAGAACGCCAAGGTCGCCACCAGATGGCAGAGGAAATTCCAAGAAAACACTCAAGTGCCATCTAGCGGTGACCTTGACGTTCTCAGGTGGAGAAATTGAGCCTCTTATCCCTCAACTATAGTTTAATAATTAAAATTATTAACAATAAATAATGATAAAAACTAAAATTAAAAGAAGAATGATAAAAATAGAAATTAAAAGAATAATAACGAAAATTAAAAAAATAGAAACAAAAATTAAAAATATAAAAACAAAAAATAAAAAAGCAATAAAAACAAAAATTAAAAAGATTATTAATTTGTAAAAATTTTTATATTTTACATAGTAGAATATTTTCACGTTTCTTGTCATTACGATTCTCGACTGCATAACAAATGGAAAATAGAAAATCCAAAGAAATTGAGATTAATTCTCAAAAAAAAAAATAACATTTAAAGCAAAATTCCTATTATCGGCATTATGATAATGTCGCATCCAAAGAATACAGAAAAAAAAATTTTTATTCTATTAACTTTTTAAGATAGGCAAAAATGATTATATATAAAAAAACATTTATAAAAACTTGTTATAATGCAATAATATATTGATTTCCAAAATGAAATCAAAATGAAAAAACTTCGCCCAAATAATTTCGATTGTAGACAAAAAAAAAAATTTTCTTCGTTTTTTTTATTTTTATTTTGTATAAGATATTAGAATTTTAGGGGAAAAAAATTTTTTAAGTACTTTTTCTTGTTTATAGCCTGAAAGAAGAGAATTTAAGAAAAATTTACGAACTTAAAAAGAAAATTACGAACTTAAAATTAAATTTATGAACTTAAAACCAAATTTACGAATTTAAAACCAAATCATTACGAATTTAAAATCAAATTATTACGAACTTAAAACCAAATTATTACGAACTTAAGAAAACCAAATTTTACGAACTTAAAAACCAAATTATTACGAACTTAAAACCAAATTATTACGAACTTTAGAAAACCAAATTTTACGAACTTAAAGCCAAATTTTATGAACTTAAGAAAACCGCAAATTTAAGAAAAAAACTACATGTAATTTTGAGAGAAAAAAATTTCTCTTTCAAAGGAAAACCAAATTTTCTAAACTTAAGAAAATTAGAATAACTACTGTTAAGAAAAAATTTCTATTTAAAGAAACTGAAAATTCTTTAATTCTTTAAACCAAATTTAAGAAATTTAGAAAAATTGCTACGAGAGAAAAATTTTTATTTAAAGAAAAATAAAAATTCTATTAAGGAAAAACAAAAAATTCAGTGAAAAGAATTTTTTTTTTTTAGTGAAAATTGACAGAAATGGCTCGATATTTATTTCGACGTACTCATAAATAATTAAAGAGTATAGATAATTAAAAAAAAGACTAGATTGCAATAATATAATAAAATTCAGTTTTATTTATAAATTGAATTATTTTTTGTTGTTTCGTTTCGTTTTTTTGTTTATTAACATTTTTAGTGCTCAATATGTTAAGTTTTTAGTAATCAAAAGTGGCATTCATATTTTTTTTTTTTTTTTTTTTTTTTTTTTTTTTTTTTTTTGCTTTTAACTATGATGCTTATGTAATTTATTATAATACTTATTAGATATAAATATATAAAAACAATAATAATTATATGCAAGATTATATGTAGGTAATGTAATATATGTGTAAAGAACATTGCCATAAAAATTTAGTGCAATTATTATATAAGAATGATAATGAAAAAAAAAGAAAACAAAAAAATCGTTATTCAAGAAATTCAACGATTTGTGTCATGAATGTTAAAAGCTGTATCGAACTTACCAAAGTGTTTGTGAATTATTATTATTATTAATATTATTATTATTATTACTATTATTATAATTATTACTATTTTTAATATTAATAATAATGGTAATAATAATTATTATTAATATTAATAATTATTATTATTACCATTGTTAATTTTAATACTAATAATTATTATTACTATTACTCTCTAAATTTTAATTAGTAAATTTAACTAATAAATAGTAATTTCTACTAATTTATTAGTAAAATTTGCTAATTAAGAAGCAAACAGTCAATTTTTAATTTAAATTAGTAAACTTTTTTACTAATTCAAGTTTAAAGAGTAATATTAATTATTACTATTGTTAATAATATGAATTATTATTATTAACATTAATTATTAATAATTATATTATTATTAATTAATTATTATTATTATCATTATTATTATTTAAGTGTGCTTACTAATCACAAAAAAAAGACTGATGTACAATGACCCTAATAATTCAATTAACGAAATTGTTCCTTTGAAATTAAAAATCAATTAAAAAGTTATGTTTAATTAAGAATTAAATTCTTGAAAAATTTTTTTTTTAAATTTTCCGACTAAATTGAAAATTTACATTCAAATTTATTTTTAAAAATTGTCATTGTACTTCGGATTAGATTATAGTTTCTGATTAAAAAAGCTTGCCATAATTTTTTGTGTAATTTACTGATTTTTAGAATTATATAATATATTTATAAGCTGTGTACTTTTGTTCCTTTTCATCTACAATTTGATTTTGAAAAAATAAAAATTGTATAAAAACAAGAAAAAGAAACAAATTGTAGATACGATAAGGTTTATCTTTTTCATTTTCCATATATTATTGATTGAGAGAAAGTTTTTTTTTTATTTTACGATTTTTCAACAAAATATTATCCCCCTGTTATAATAAGTAAATGTATAAAAATATAAAAAATATATTTATATGAATTTCTTGACTATAAAAAAAGCGACGTTTTAGGAACGAATGTGCACATTCCTCGAGAAAAAAAAGAAAAAAAAATCCACTTTTTTTTTTGTTTTTAAGTACAAGATTTGCCAATTATTATTTTTTATTTTTAAGAAAAAATATATAAATTTAGTGGATTATTTATTGGAGAGACATGGAAACTATTATAACAATAATATATTATCAGTAATAAAAATTTTACGTTTTGGCTTATACACAGGCAAAAAAAAAATATGTAAGTGAAGATATGTGTGAATAAAGTTGCAAAATGTGAATCAAGCACAAATTTTTTTCTCCATTTACAGCTTCTTTTTCTGTTTCTTCTTTTCTTCGATCTCATTTTGGGCATAATTTTAAAAACAGAAAAAAAATTGTTTATAATTATTATTAAAATTAGAAAAGAGAACTTTAATTTTTGAAAAAAAATTTTTTTTCGTTTTTAGTTATGTCAAAAGGATCGAATTTTCTTTCGGTGAAAAAAAAATTTTTTTTTTCTTTAAATATTGAAAATAAAGGGGATTTTGTAATTTTCCTTACTATGACTGTATAAGCGTGAATTTTTCGACAATAATTTGCTAACATTCTGCTTTTGGTACTCGAGAATAAAGAGAATTATTATTAGAAAGCTTTTCCTTTTTCTTTTTTTCGAAAATAACCCACTCTGTGAGTCAGCGTTAGGATACAATAAGAATTAAAACAAATTTTTTTTTTAATATTATTAGTAAATTGAAAAAATAACCAAAAAACCTCATTTTGTTAATTTTATGATTGAAAATATAAAAAAAACCTAATTTTGTTAATTTCATGAATAAAAGTATAAAAAAAAACATAATTTTGTTAATTTCAGGATTTTTCGTTATTTTAATTCAAATTTTATCACAAAGACTGAAAAATTGATATAAATTGAGTGTAATCAATTCTTTAATAAGAAAAAATAAAATTTAAACTAATGAAAAATTAGAAATTCCATCAATTTTTCATTATCGTTAATATTAATTAAAATTCAGGAACAAATAATCTGTAGATCTGTTTAATTTAAAATTTTTTTGAGAAATATTTCTCAAATATTTTGAAAAGTGGAAAAAAATACCTAATAGGGCAAAAATATAATACAGAAAAGAAAATAAATCACTAAATAAAAAACAGAAGAAATCTTAAGTATTAATTAATTAAATTAATTTTGGAATAATTTCCAGATTCAAAGTTTTTAAAAATTCAATTATTTATTAACTAATTTACTAATTAATTATTTTTATTTATTGTTTTCGAAAACTTAAATAAAATTCTTCGCAGGAATTCAATAAATTATTTTCAATAAAATTTCTCAAAAGAATTCAATTATTTAATTATATTTAAAATTTTGATAAAATTCCTTCCAAAAATTCAATTATTTTGAAAAATTTTGAATTAGAAAAATATGAGAATTGAATTATTTTCATAATTCATAAAAACATTCGCTGAAATTGAATGATTTTAAAAAAATTTTAATAAAATTCTTTAAAGGAAAAAATTTTTATTCTTTTTCTAAATAATAAAAATCGGCGCAGAAATTCAATTATTTTTTTTTTAAATTTTGATAAAACTCTTCCTAAGAATTCGAATATTTTTAATACGATTTTAATTAAATTCTTCAAAAAAAAAAATGCAATTATTCTCGAAGATTTTAATTAAATTCTTATCAAAATTTAAATTATTTTCCTAATTAATAACATTTCTCGATACAATTCAATTATTATTATTTCCAAAAATTCAATTAAATTTTTATCAAAATTTAAATTATTTTCATAATTAATAAAATTTCTCGAAAGAAAGAATTCTGTAAAAATTTAAATATTTTTAATACAATTTTAATAAAATTCTTAACAAGATTTAAATTATTTTCATAATTAATAACATTTCTCGAAAGAATTCAATTATTTCAGAATCAAAATTATAAAAGAAATATTTTTAATTCAAAACAATTTGTTTTAATTAATTTTTCGTATTTTTTAAATCTTCAAATCAATTCAATTAGAATTTTATTAATTTTAAAATTCAAAATATTTAAAAAAGAAAAATTATCAGAAAATTAAGAAACAAAAAGCAAACAAAAACAACTAAATTAAAACTGCTAACAGTTTACTCGAATTTACAACGATTATTAATATTGAAGAAGATTAATTATAACAAATATGTAATAAATAAAAATAATTAATTAAAAAAATATTAAATTGTAAATGGGAAGAAATGTAAATTAATAATTAAGCAATAAAAAAAACAAATAAATCTAAATAAAAAAATTGTGACAAAACTTGAAAAATGAAATTAAGAAAAGAAAGAAAAATTGACAATATTGAGGTAACGAAGAATAAGAATAAATATCGGAAAAAAATAACAGAAATTTTACGAAAGAAAGTAGAATAACATACAAAAAAAAGTAGAAAGACATACAAAAAAGTAGAAAACCATACAAAAAAAAGTAGAAAATCATACAAAAAAGTAGAAAAACAAAAAAGAAAGTAGAAAAACAAATTGTTTCTTTAAGACCATAACTTATGTTTTGAGAAATAGACAAAAAAAACTAGAACTCTAAAGATTTAGTGTTTATAGTATTAGAATTATAATAAAAAAAAAAAAAAAAAATCGAAACATTATGAGGAATCGGGGTCACGAAACTGTTGATGTGTTGCAGGGGGGGTGGGACGGAAACGGAAGCATGTTGGCGATACAACTGGTCAAGTGGTGATGCAGTGTCAAGGGCGTTTTTCGTGCAGTCTCTGCGGAAGTGTTTACAAGCATCTTGCTTCGCTGACCCAGCACTTGGAAGTGCATCGCAATCAGACAACCTGCATCCTCTGTCACACCACTCTCAGTCGTAGAACCGACCTCCGTCGACATATGCGATTGAAACATAACATGCAATGGCAAAAAACCATTCAGAACCGCCAAAAATCCTAGTCTGCTCCGTAAGGATCCACAAAAAAACTCCTAATAATATAACAATTCATTAAAATCATTTCAAATTATCAATGCACCAAATCATTTCTCAAAGCAAATAGCGAAAAAAATACTTCTCTACATTAATTTCCAGGCCTTCGATAAATTTAAAAAAAAAAATTATTCAAAAAGTTTTTTTGAAAACACAAAAAAGTTATTCACACAGAAAATTATTTCTTTGTCACGTAAAAGAAAAATTCAATTATTATTATTTTAAATTAATATAATAATTATATTAATAACAATAATATATTATTATAATTTATTATTATAGTAATTTATTATTATAATAATTTATAATAATTTATCATTACGATTTATTATAATATTTTTTTATCTTTATTATTATTATTATTACCATTTCTTGTAATATTGCAACAAAAATACTCAATAAATTCTTTAAGATTCAGAGAAAAAAACATTGAGGACACAAAAATAAGTTTACGAATTTTTTTCGTAATAAAAAATCACTAATTTTGAATTAAAATATTTTTCAGAATTAAATTTTGTACGTTTTGTACAAAAATTTTTCAAAAATAGATTTTTTTTTTTGTAATTTCTCTCTAATTAATTTCTCTGGTAAAAAATAGTTTTCTTAAACAAAATTTCATTATTTCCTCGCAAAATGTTTTTATTAAATCCAAATCAATTTATTGAAGTTAAAAAAAAATTGTCCACAAATTTTTCCATTTTTCTATTTAAATAATTTAAATAATTTAAATAATTTAAATAAATATTCAATAAACCAAAGGGATTTGAATTAATTTTTTGAAACTAATAGAAATTAGAAAAATTCTTTAAATTCATCTCGCACGATTATGAGAAATTTTGACAATTATGTAAAATATTTTTTTCTATCCAATTATTTCCAGTTTAGAATAAAAACAAATTTTTCAAAAAATTAATTGAAGAAAAAAAGAAAAACAATTCAAAAAAATGAGTTGAATAAAAAACAGAGAAAAAATTCTCCCAAAAAAATTAATTTTATAGAAGAGAAGAAAACAAAATTTGCAAATAAGAAATTTGAATAGAAGAAAGAAAACCCAATTTTTTCCAAAAATTGAATAGCAGAAAAAAAGGAATAGTTGAGATCCATTAGAAAGGAAATAATTTGGCTAAAGGATAATTTAAATATGTCAGCTCTGAAAAACGCCCGCGATTCCTCATAATATGATTGATAAAAGTAAATAGAGCTTAAATTGCGTCTTCTAGAAAATAAGAGAAAAAAAAATTAATTTAAGTTAAATTAGATGAAAATATATCAGGGTCATAAATAATTACTTATGTCAGTGATAAAAAAATGTGAGAGTTCCAAATTTCCGATTTCTACGAAAAGAACTTAAATTTCATTTTTTAATTTTGTCACCAACTCTTTCATTCGAAATAAAAATAAATTACACTCCCAAAAAAATAGAATTAATTTCAACTTGAAATAATTTAGTCGCGATAATTTTGTTAACAAAAATAATTTAACTGAAAAACAAAGAATTTGATTGTAATTACAAATTCTAATTTAGTTTAATTATTTCTAGTTACAAAATAATTAAGTTACAAATACAATTACAATATTACAAAATTGTAATTATTAAAAATTTGTAAAAAAAAATATCATCACCCCGAAAAAAAGTAATTAAAAAAACTATCACGACTACTCTTAAGAGATTAAATAATAAGTTCACTATTTATTCCCTCTCTCTTAAAAAATTCTCAAAATAAATTATAATTCAATGTCATTGTAATCGAATTGATAAAAAGAAAAAAAAACTTCAAATTTGTGTGTTTATAATAAATCAGTATTTGTAAGGGGCTTGAAAAATGTTTTTCGCGACAAGTCTGCTTTACGATAAAATTTTTTTTCCTTCCGTTGCAGTAAAAATCATATTATTTTCTAGAATATATATAAAAAATTGTCTGCTCTGAAAAAGGTTCGTTTTTTATAAATATGAGGAAAAAAAATCTCTGCCTTTTTTTTTAGTATAGAATAAACAGTTTAGAATTTCTTGTCGAATTACTACCTAGTAGTTAATCAATTTAATTAAGAAGAGAAAATTCTGTACATGTATGATGAGAAAATAAAAACAGGCGGTGAAATTACAATTTTTTCTTACTTCAAAATTCATTTGAAATTTTTGCCAGTGAATTTTTTTTTGTCAATTATTTTTTTCTGTCATTGCCTTATTTTTTTCCAAGTAGATTTTTATTTAGATTCATTTTTTAAATAAACAGAAAGAAATTTTGTTTCAAAATAGATTTTCTGCATTTTTTGAAAATAATTAATAATTTTAATTTAAATCATAACTTCGTTAAAAATTTAAATCTTTCGTTAAAAATTTAAATTTAAATCAGAATTTCGTTAATAATTTAAATTTAAATAGTAACCTAATTAATAATTTAAATTTAAATCATAATTTCATTAATAATTTAAATTTAATTAGTAACTTAATTAATAGTTAAAATTTTTCTAATGACTTAATTAATAATTTAAATTTAAAGAATAATTATCATTAATGATTTCAAATTTCTCTCATTAAAGTTAATTTCAGTTTTTTGTCATCAAAGTCGATATCGGTTTACAGTTTTGAGTTCTCAATAAAAATTATTGAAAATAATTTTAGCGAAATTATCATTTGAGTTGTACAAAAGAAATTTGATATTATAGATGGTTCAACACGTCAGAGTTATAATTCAACGAATGTATGGTGCGACTCATGCCAAGTTTCTTTTACAACTCAATCAGCTCTTCTTCGTCACATCGCTTCAAAACACGAAACAGCGCAAAATACTTCTGCCTATTGTTCCATTTGTAATAGATTTTTCAAAACGAAATGGAGTCTCGCCACACACAACAGCAAATATCATCGATAAGACTTTACTTTTCTAATTTTTTTTTTTTTTTTCGTTAACGCAGAGTTAAATCTATTTTTGGAGAAAAAGACCGCCTTTGGAAATAAAAAAATGTAAATTCGAAATATTTTCGATTTTCATTTTTTTGAAAGAAAATTTATGTTTTTGTAAATATGAAAATCGAATCTAGGCTGTGAATAATTAATTTTCTGGTTTTAATTTTGTTTAAAAAAAAACTTTCAAAGAATTAGACAAGATTCCATTTTATTTAAGTAACATGATGAAAAATACTCATTTTTGTTGTACTTAATTTAAGATTAACGGAGCATAAGAAAAAAAAAAGTTTACAAAGAAATCGGGCAATTATTCGCAAAAAATTCACGAACATTTGAAGAGATTTTAAATTAAATTATAAATATTACGACGAGTACGGACAAATTGTGGAGTCGTTTATATATAAATACAAGATTTATTACCTAGAAGTGTTGTGTTATTTTGTTTATAATAAACGTGTCCTATAATTCGTCTCTCCAGATTGAATAAATCCATTTATTCTCAATCCAATCGAGGAATGTCATTATTTACAAGCCTCCTCGCAATGCTAAAACTAAATGCAATACAGATCCACCTTGTACTTTGTAATCCTGGGCAGTCTTTTCATCGTTCCTGAAAAAATTGCAGCAAAAAATTACAAGAAAGGAAGAAAATGAAGAAAAAGTAAATAAAAAATGAACAAAAATAAAGAAAAATGAAAAAGAATAAACAAAAATCGAGAAGAATGTTATTCAAAGTTTTTAAAATCATAATGAAATTCTTTTGAAGAATTCCTTTGAATTTTTTTAAAATTATAGAGTTTCTTTAATAATTTTAATTAAAAATTTTGAAAGTAATTGAATTTTATGAACTATATTTCTATCAAGTTTTTAAAATAATCGTGTTTCTTAATAATTGAAATTAAACAATTTAATTATTGAATTTAATTGAAATTCTTAGAAAATGAAATTTTATTAAAATTCTATTAAAAATATTTGAATTCTTGAGAAAAATTGTCTTACAATTTATAAAAATAATTGAATTGTTACCAAGAATTTATGAAATTTTTATAAAATAATTGAATTTTATCGAAAAATATATTAAAAATTAAATTTTTTTTAATTCTTTAATGAAATTTTATTAAAATTCTATTAAAAATATTTGAATTCTTGAGAAAAATCGTCTTAAAATTTATAAAAATAATCGAATTGTTAACAAGAATTTATTAAATTTTTATAAAAGAATTGAATTTTTTCGAAAAATATATTAAGAATTAAAAAAAAATGAATTCTTTCATGAAATTTTATCAAATTTTATTAAAATAATTGGATTTTTGCACAGAATTTCATAATTTATAAAAATAATTGAATTGTTTCGAAGGATTTATTAAAATTTTATAAATAATTGAATTCTTTTGAAAAGTTTTCCAACAAATTTAAAAAAAATTGATTTCTTTCGTGAAATTTTATTAAAAATAATTGAATTTTTGCAAAGATTTTACTATTTAAGAAAATAATTGAATTGCTAAAATTTTAGTACATAAATAATTGAATTTTTTCGTGAAATTTCATTAAAATTTTATTGAAAATAATTGAATTTTTGCCAAAAAAAATGTACTATTTATAAAAATAATTGGATTCTTCAAACGAATATTATTATTTATGAAAATAATTGAATTCTTGAGAAGAATTATATGAAAATTTTTGAAAATATAAACAATAATAATTAATTATGTTCAAAACTTAAACAGTTCAATTGTCTTAATAAAAAACTTACATCTGTTTTCCAGAAAAGATTAATCTTTGTTGTTGTGGAGGAATTCCCTCCTTCTCTTCCACTCTTTCTTTTATTCTCTCAACTTTATCAGTAGGTTCAATGTCGATTTCAATCTGAAATTTGTTATTTTTTCTCTAAGTGTTTATATAGATCAAAGTCAACGATTTTTAGGTTAAATTTCCAAACATATATTTTTAAATCAATTCAAAATATAGTCAAGTAAGTATTAAGACTTTATAAAAATAAATACTTGTTACTTTTTTTAACTAGCAATCGAAACAAATTGATAAATATTTATTTTTTACAATTAAACACGATTAGAAAACAAAATGTCAAAACTATTCCTAAATCCTCTAAATTTACGAAAATAGCTCTAGGGGACAAATAAGCAATTAAAAGCAATTTATCGAAAGTTATATTTCTCAAATATTATGCAAAGAATGCTAATTAATTAAAATAAATATTCTTGCCGGTTAATTTATATATAAAAAATAATTACCTCTTTTCCGGTGAGAGTCTGTAAAAGAAAGAAATAATTATTCTTTGGAAATACACAATTTTACTGCATTAAAAATTAATTTCACATACCTTAACTTTAATCAACATTTTGTAATAATTTGATAAAATCTATTTGAATCTATTTCACTTAAAAAGAGGAGAAAACTTGAAAAGTTTACAAAAAATGAAGCTGACTAAGAAATGAAATGCGACTTTTACAGTTTTGGAGGTTAGGTGGTTTTAAATTAAGAAGAGGGGGGTCGAAATAAGTCCACCAATCAAAGACCCGTATCACTAAAGTGCACTAAAGCGAAATCGTCCAACAAGAGCCATCTGATTGGTGGAAAATAATTTTCCCATGAATGACGAATATTCAATTTTCTCACTATTACCAACCTTTTGGTTTAAAACATGCAAAAAGAATTAATTATTTTTCCCTCGTTTGTAATCTTATTTTACTATCTTACTATTTACTATTTTACTATCTAATTTAAAGAAAACAATTTTAAATTATAGTGAAATGTTTTCCTCTCTCGCTAATATTTAGAATTTGTTTTTTTTCTAAATCACAAATTTTAATTTTCCACTATTGGCCAGACTGGGACTTTTCGCTCAGTTTCCAGTCACGCAATGGCTGCCAAAAGAATTAGATTGTATCAATATTTCTCAAACAAAAAAAAAAAGTGAATCCTTTTTCAATTGGAAAAAAATACCGTGTAACGGTAAAAGTTTTCACAACACTCGCGAACAATCTAAATAATCACGTTATGAACATTTCGTTAATTTGACTTTACGTGGTGAAATGACACTATCAATTTTTTGTGACGGAACAACCTAACCTACTTCAATCAAACGAATTATCTATTTTGGGAAATTCCAATAAATTCAATGCACTATTACGGTGAATAATCATTCAGAAAACTAATCTATTTGTGTTTTTACATTGAAAAAAAAGTGATAAAGTAATTAGTGATTGATTTTATATCAATATTTTTGTGAGATTAATTAAAGTGGCAGTTTGTAACTTTTTTTTAACACTTGGCGAGAGAGCCCCATTGTTAACTTTTGCTTGTTTTTCTCTGGGGGGGAATATTAATTAAATATCCAAAAATTACGATAATGTGGATATTCGTATAACGACAAGTGGATTAAAGCACGTGACAAAGTTGCATTGGAAAATCCCGCGAAAATTTTTGCATCGCGAAGGCGTGTGTTTACCAACAAACATATATATAACCCCATTTCGATAATTTTCATTTTGAGAAAACGAGTGCGGACAAATAAGAGAAAGTTTGATCGTCGCTTCATTTCTTGTCTCTTTGCTTTTAAATAATAATGTATTTTTGATTAAAAAAAAGTGTGTGGAAAAAAAAGGGAGAAATTAAAATATATATTTGTTTTTGTTTTGTAAATAATACTTTTATAATGTCAATGGATATCGTGGAGGATGAGATTATAGAGCATCAACGATCTATAATTCACGTGGATATGGATTGCTATTATGCCCAAGTGGAAATGGTTCAACATCCTGAGCACAAGGATAAACCACTTGGAGTTCAACAGAAAAATTTAGTTGTCACGAGTAATTATCTTGCGCGACAATTTGGAATTAAAAAATGTATGTCTGTTCAGGAAGCACTTTCATTATGTCCGGGATTAATTTTAATTAGAGGCGAGGATTTGACGAGGTATCGGCAAATTTCGGCGAGAATCTTTGAAATTTTACAGCGTTACACTCCGTTTGTCGAAAGATTGGGACTTGATGAATATTTTATTGATGCGACGACGCTTATTCAGAAGGAAGTTAATAATTCTTCATCGTCATCATCATCATCAACAATACATGAATCTGATGGCGATTTGTCGAAGACAGAAAAATCGTTTGGCGATGATCCTGATGAGGAGTGTCCTTGTGGTTGTCATGGGAGATTATTGGCTGCTTCGAAATTAACTGCTGATATTAGACTGAAGATTTTCAAGGAACTTGGACTCACATGCAGTGCTGGAATTGCCCACAATAAACTCTTAGCGAAACTTGGAGGAAATATTAATAAACCCAATGGACAGACTTTAATTTATCCGTTTGCTGCTTCTTCTTTGCTTACGTCAGTGGGACCCGTTTCGAAAATTCCCGGTGTTGGACAAAAAATGACGGAATTATTGCAGGTAATTTATTTTTGTTTTTATAGTTAAGAAAAATTTAATTTTAATGTATTAATTTTCATTTATTACCAGGCTTTGCACTTATTTATTAAAACTATTTACTATTTACGACTTTTTTTTAACGATTTGATAATATTTTGATACTTTTTTCAGATTTGTGACAATACTTTTTTCTTTTTTATGAGAATTTACATCTTCGAAAAAATTCAATTATTTTCATAAATATCACAATTCTCTGCAGAAATTCAATTATTTACAAAATTTCAATAAAATTCATTGCAAAAATCCAATTATTTACATAAATATTGAAAAATAATTAAATTCTTCAAAAAATTCTATTAATTTCATAAATAACAAAATTTTCTGCAGAAATTCAATTATTTACAAACTTTTCAATAAAATTCTTCACAAAAATTCAATAATTTTCAAAAATAACAAAAATTACCGCAGAAATTTAATTATTTACAAAATTTTAAATAAAATTCTTCACAAAAATTCAATTACTTTCAAAAATGACAAAAATTTTAGCAGAAATTCCATTATTTACAAAATTTTCAATAAAATTCTTCACAAGAATTCAATTATTTTCAAAAATAATGAAATTCTTCGAAAAAATCCATTTATTTGCATAAATAACAAAATTCTCCATAAAAATTCAAATATTTACAAAATTTTAAATAAAATTCTTCACAAGAATTCCATTAATTTCAGAAATAATGAAATTTTTTGCAGGGTTTCAATTATTTCAAAAAAATTTTAATAAAATTCATCGAAAGAATTCATTTATTTTCAACAATAATTAAATTCTTCGGAAACATTCAATTATTTACAAAATTTTCAATAAAATTCAATTACTTTTATGAGATAGGGACATTTTATTGATAATAATTGAATTTTGGCAAAAAAATGTTATTATTTTCGAAAATAACTGAATTTTTCCGAAACATGTTATTACTTATGAAAATAATTCAATTCTTTCGAAGAATTTTATGAATTTTTAAAATTTTATGAAATTATTTAGTAAGTTATATTTGAAAATAAAAAATTTTGTAATTTGCATAATAATAAGAAATTGAATAGGACGTTTCGCGCGTAACATTTGCTAGTTTAAATATATAATTACAAATTTTATTATTATTATTATTATTATTATTATTATTATTATTATTATTATTATTATTATTATTTATTATTAGTATTATTTTGTATTTTTTTATTATTATTTTTTTTTATTATTTATACGTAATTAACAAATAAATACTATTTTCAGGTGAATAACATCAGAACAATTGAAGAATTGCGAAAGATTCCATTGGAGAATTTGGAATTGAAGATTGGCAAGGACCTGGCGCGTAAATTGAAAGACTGGGCCGAGGGAATCGACGAGTCGGCGGTGAAGCCATCGAGTAAACCGCAGTCAATTGGCCTCGAGGATGGTGTCAAAAATATTTCACTCGTCGACGAGGTGGAATCACGACTCGGCGCACTACTTCGAAGACTAACGGAACTCGCCACCGAGGACGGTCGAATCCCCGTGGCAATGAAATTAACAGTTCGCAAGCACGACATGAACAAACCAAATTCCGGAAAAAGAGAAACCCGCCAATGTGCATTACCTCAACACATTTTACCATTAACCAAAAGCGGCGTCTACGATCACACAAAAATGCTCGTCCTTCTCATGAAACTCTTTCATCGTGCCGTCGATGTCACAAAACCATTTCATCTCACACTCCTCGGCGTGGCCTTCACAAAATTCCAAGAGCGCTCCTCGGGCCGTAGCAGCATCACCTCATTCCTCCGCAAGCAAGTCGCCGTTCAATCCGTCCTCGACATCAGCTCCGACGAAGGGATCTTCGACACAAAAGTCGGCTCGCCAATGAGTACAAATCAGGACAGCAATGACGCCTCCGATTGTTCACTTCCAAATTTAGATAACAGTTTACTGTCAATTAGTTCCGATTCGATTAACAGTCCGAAGCCGCACATTGACAATTGTCAACAACAGCAACAACAACAAGACGACGAGGATTTACCAAGTGAAGCGGAACCGTCGCCGAAGAAAACGAAACTCGAAGTTTGGCTGAGGGAATCACATCGAGAATCGCCAAGCAACGAGATGGCAAGTTTACGCCTCGGTCCATCATCATCATCATCGATCTCGACGCCGTCCAGAAAGGAGTCCGTTTGTTTTCAATCCCTGCCACTCAGTCTCCAAAGAGAAATGAGTCACTGGCCAGTGGCCAGCAAAACAAAAGCGAACAATATATACAAACAATTTATAACCAATAAGTGACAGTGTTATGTAGACAATACTTGGCACTTCTTTTATATATTTTTAAATACAATTTGTATAAAACCAGGTGACAGTACTGTGTTAAAGAGTTAAAAAAAAAGAAATGCAACAGAATATAATATTTTCGACAAAATGTTCCAATTTTTTTTATTTTAAAAACAAAAACCCCATTTGATTATTAGGAAAGAAAAATCTTATTTAAACCATTAAATACAACCATTTAAACCCCATTTATTTACAATTTACAAACATTTACAATAAAAAAAAACAAGAAAATATTTTTCAATACTTTACAATACTTTTCAAAAAAGAAAAAAAAAGACTTAAAATTTGAACCATATTTTTATAAAATTGAAATTTAAGGGAACTAAATTAATAAATAAATATAGAATTGCAATTTAATTTCTGGAAAGAATTAAATTATTTTCAAAAAATTCAAGAAAATTTAATTATTTAAAAAAATGTTAATAAAATTCTTAGCAGGGATTTAAATTTTCTCACAAATAATATAACATTTGTTAAAGAGTTTAAAAAAAGAAATACAACAGAATATAATATTTTTGACAAAGAAAATGTTCCATTTTGTTTATTTTAAAACAAAAACCCAATAATTTACATTTACAATCATTTTTTTTCAAAAAAATACAAGAGAATACTTTTCAATACTTTTCCGAAAAAGAAAAAAAAAGACTCAAAAATTTGTACCGTATTATTATAAAATTGAAATTTAACGGAAAAAAATAAGTACGTAAAAATTACCTATTACGTTATAAACTAAATTAATAATAATTATAAACTAAAAATGAAAAATTCGTCAACATTCTTAACTTACTTACATATAATCAATTTTCTTTATTTATCTCTGACAAATATTAATATTTTTCTCATATATATATCACAATTTTATTACAAAAAAATAAAATTTACGAAATTATTTGCAAGTGCATGCTCCAAACAGACAACTTACGATGTAGAAAAAATTCTATTTCCTATATAAAACGTATCAACGTAAATACAGGTGATAATACACTAGCACGTTTAATAAGAAATTTCTTTTTTTTTATATATAAAATTTCACTATATGAATTAATTTTTCTTTTTTTAAAGTAATATTGACACGAACGTATAAAAATCTATTTACAAAACAAAAAAAGTTGCCATTTTTTCTTTCTCGTTGAATTTTTCGAAATAAAAAATAAAACTAAGAGAAAATTAAAATTCCAAATTATAGTTTGTTTTTTTTTAAGAAAAAGTCTTAAAGTATAAATAAGTTGGTATTAAATAATTTGTTTACCAAGGAATAATTATTGATAAATCACAAAATCAGCTAGCATAATTCTGAAAAAAAGAATTATTTTTTTCCACTTAGAAAACAAGTATAGAAAACAAAAATATCTGACAAAAATATTAAAAATAGAATAACATTTTCGTTTGTTAATATTATTTAGAATATTGAAATTTATGTGAATTTAAAAAAAAAATTAATATGTCTGAAGTTCTGAATGAATATTTTCTCCTGATTTTCAATTTGTCCGAAAATTTACAAATGAGTATTTTAATCAAACTAAATAACAAAATTTCTACAAAAAAAAATTTATAATATTAACAAAGGAAAAACGATTGAAAAATAATTTTAATATCTCACCACGATAAAAAGATATTTTTTTTTTTATTTCGATGCCTGATTATTATTATTAGCCGAGATGAGTGAATCAAGAATGGCATTCTTACTTTCCAATTCCAATGGATCGGTGTTGAAATTTTCAGATTCTGTATTAAAACCTTCTTGTGATCCATTTTCATTCATAAAAACATCATCGAAATCAAGTAAAGTTGAAGGATTATAAGCCATAAGTTCCCCTCTATTTCCATTATTTGTATCTAAAAAAAATTGGTAACAAGAAACATTAATTAACGATTAAAATGGAAATTCGTAAATTCTGTAAATTTAGTTGTTGTGTAAAAAAATATATACTCCTACTATTGAGTTCATCTTCCTTATCACGATTTACGTTAGGATTTAAATCAGGATTCATTGGAATTCCATATGACATCGGATCTTCGTTTCCAAATAGCTGAAAAAATCATTAAAAGACGTGTAAAATTTGTTATTTAATTTAATTTATTTACTTTTTTTATTATATTTAATTTACTCTTTTTATTTAATTTAATTTATTTACTTTTTAAAGTTTTTAATTAGTGAATCAATGAAAAGGCCTAAATACGGTCTAACTAAATTAAAGTTACAGTAAATAAATATATCAGGAATATTAAAATTAGTGTTCAATGGTAATTAATTAGTGAATGTAAATTCACTGAAGAAAATGTAAATAAAAAAATACAAACCCCAAGTAATGTATTAGCATCAATACTGTAACCTTCTCCTCGTAAAATGTCTCGTAAATTGTCCAATTCACTCTGTACGTTATCCAAATGATTATCCACTTGTTCCCTAGATATTAAAAGAGAAATTATTTAAAAATGAGAAGAATTTTCCCAAAAAAATAATATACTTCATTGAGAGTTGCTCTACTTATGATTCAAATTAATCGATTGCAGGCCTTGGATCGACTTTAAATTTAATTTAATATTAAATTATTATTATTTAATAATTAAAAATTTTTTTTAATAAAATTCAATTATTTTTATTAATAATAAAATTTTCACAGAAATTAAAGTATTTGAAACACAATTTTTATAGAATTTCTTAAAAGTAATTATTTAAACATTTTTTTTTATAAAATTCTGTAAAAGAATTTAATTATATTTATAATTAATAAAATTAATTATTTTCAAACATTTTAAATAAAATTCTTCCTAAAATTTTAATTATTTTCATAAATGTTAAAATTCCTCTCAGAAATTAAACTACTTTCAAAATATTTCCCTAAAATTTGATTATTTTAAAGGAATTAGAGTTAAATTCTTTGCAGAATTTCTATTATTTAAAAAAAATTTAAAAATTCTTAGCAAGAATTCAATTTTTGTCACAAATAGTAAAATTCTTGGCAGGATTTCAATTATTATCCAAAATTTTAATAACATCCTTGGCAATCAAATTCTGCTTTAGAATTCAATTAATTTTTTTTTTATCTAAATTATTTTCCAAAATTTTAATAACATCCTTGATAAGAATTCAATTTTCTCTAAAAATAGTAAAAATTCAATTATTTTCATAAATAATTCAATTTTTATGGAATTTTTCGAAAGAAATTAATTATTTCTCTATTTAAAAATAGAATTTTTTGAAAGAAATTAATTATTTCAATAATAATTCAATTAATTTTTAAATTTCAATAAAATTCTTCGCAAAAATTCAATTATTTTTATAAATAATAAAATTTGCATAGAATTTTTCAAAAGGTAATATTTTAAAAATGGAATTATCTTAAAAAAGTTATTTAAAGTTAATTTTTGAAAGATTCAAATTATATCCGAGGCCTGCGATTATAAAAATAAAATTACTTGATTCATGATAAAATAATAACAATTCATAATCGATTATTGCAAACAAAAAATCGAATAATGATGACAATGAAAAATAATATCAAAAGTTCACGTCTGACTAGCAATAAGATTAAATCGCATAAACTGATATGTACTTACGGTAATGAGCCTAACCTGCACATTCCATCTGGCTCTGGAGTATTAATGCAACTGAGTGACAAATTATCTGAGGATGTACTTGTGCTCGCACCATTTTGTGCATTATTCTTTTCCAATTCTAAACCAGCACTACTATCTTTATTGCCAACAATTAATTGCTGTTCCTTCGGCGATAATACGTTAAAATTCGTATTATTCCCATCCTCAGTATTATTTGCATTCTTACTGTTTAGAATACTATTAAGAGCATTATTTTCATTGTTCTTTATGTTATTTTCATTTAACATTTCGGGAATAATCAAAATATCGTCAAGTTGCATATCAGGAACGTGAACAATTTGTACATCGTCTGCTTCCAAATCATCGATATCACCACACAATGCATTATTTAATTCAGTTTCTGCATCTACTTCTGGATCGGAATTGAGATTAGCTGCCATCGCTGCAAGTTTTGAACTTCGAACAGTCGCGAGTGGTATTGATTTTGATTTATTTTCAAATGGTCTCGGATCATCTTCCTCTTCCTCTTCGGGAATTTCCAGCATTATTGTTTCCTCCCTGGAAAAAAAAAAGGAAAACATTTCTTTATTTCTTCTTTCGATTTATTTTTCAAACATTTTTTATTGAAAATCACCAATTTACTATTTAATTTTTTTTTTAACTTCAGAAAAGAAATTAGAGACTGAAAATTAAAATATTTGCTAAAATTTTGTTTAAACAAAGTATTGTAAGATTTAAGTATAAAAACTAGAATTTGAAGAATAATTTGTGGTACACAACATGCAAGATTGAAATGAAGAAAAGCGACTTCAATTTTTTCGATCGATTCTCACTCGACAGGAAATTAATATTAAAACGTCCTTTATACCTACATGAAAATAATATTCTAAAAAGTGTAACAAACTTCTAAAGAGCAAAATAACTTCATGCATAAAAATTAATTCGTAAACATTTCATAATAAAAACAAACAATAACAAAATAAACAAATTTTAAAACACCATAACCGGACGATTGAATAAATGAATTAATAACCTGGATTCCTCTCCCTTCTTTGTTGATGGTATAAGAATTTTGATAGGCACGTTGTTTTTCCTCCTGGCAATGTTTCAATGGAATTACAAAAAGAATATGTTAAAAAAAATATTTTTCCACAATTAATAAATAAAAACCACACACTCCAGAAAATAGCAAAAAATTTCTCAAACACAATTTTAACTTCGTCATGAACCATTAAGGATGAAAAAAAACTTGAGAAAAATTAGAGTTAAAAAAACCAGAAGTAATAGTTACGTACATTTTATAGTTGTTAAATAAATATTTGTCCAAAACTGCTTTAGCTTTTTAAAGAATTTTCGGAACCTTTTTTGTTTTTCGATATTTCTGAATGAATTTCATAGACATAGTTTTTTCTTTTTGGAAAAAGTGAAAAAGAATTTAATAAAAATTAAAACGTACTTCTTTTTGCCTTTGGACTTCTTCTTTTTTGAATCGCCTTCCTCTTGAGGAATATATTCAATATTTTCGGGCATGTCCACTGATTCTACTAAATTTAAAACTTCCGATGCATCCTCATCGACAATCGGTTGACTTGAATACTCCGAATTCTGCATTGTTGGATCCAATTGATTTTCTAATATTCTAGAAAAACAAATTCATTTTATTTTGAAATTTCAATTTAATTTTTGTTTAATTCTCAAGAAAGTTTATTAATAGTTTACTATTACAATAATTTAGCAACTATTTAATAACTGAGTTGTTAAATTATAAGGGCTCGAACCTAGTTCGAGTCATAAATTATTAGTAACCAAATAGTTCAAAATATTACTGTACATTTTATAATATATAATTAATAATCAAAGACAAAATTATGATTTTTAAATTTTCCACTGGATTCAGAAAGTTTCAGTACATTTAAATAGCACTTGCTTGAAAATATAATTTAAGAATTTGAGATAAAATTTCAATTTTTATTAAAGTGGACTAATTAAACCAGAAATTGTTAACTAAATACTAAATAAATTACTAAACAAAATGAATACTTACTCATCGACAATATATTGCGAGTCTAAATCATGATCCGAAGGATCTAGTTCATGAATAACTGGTCCAGCCGGTGATGCTTGAGCCTGAAAAAATATCTCATCTCATTAGTAAAAAATCAAAAAAAAGTAGATAGAAAAAATACAATTTTCCATATAAAATAGAAAGAAAAGAAATACTTTTCTAATTTTCTTAGAGAAGATGAAGAGATGACGTTATTTAAAATTAAGAGAGAAATATAATAATAAATTAATTACCCTATTAAGTTTACTTTGCTTGCTACGCTGTCTATTAGAATCATCAATCATAAGTGGATACCGCCTCTTAACAGAAAGACCACCGCCTCTCGATGGCTGGACAAGTGTCACGAGAAAATGAATCAATTTACTGACAATTTGCTGTTGCTTCAAGTGTTTTTGACGCAGAACTGCAAGTTCCCTCCAAAGAGCCTCATTCTCTCGCTTCATTGCTCCGAGTTTTGAATCTAAATGCTCCTGACGTCCTCTCATACTTCTCACTTCCGTCAACATCTTTGTCATTAGTTCTGGTTTTATTGGCGCTTGTGAGGCATCTTGAATTTTCGATGTTGCGATCTGAATTCATTTTTATTTAATTAATTGTAGCAATTAACTTAAATAATTATTTAATGAATTGTAAAAATTAACTCTTATTTAATTCTAATAATTAAATTAATAATTAATTTCTAATTGTCGCAAGAATCTCTTTGGAAATACTTAACATTTTTTTTTTATATTTTGTTATATATAATCGAAATTGTTTAGAAAAACAATTTACCTTTCTTTTAATGTGATCTAATAAATACGCATGTCCTTTGCAGAAATATTGATGGGCAAATTCCATTTCATCTCGGTCACATTTCAAGCCACCTAATTCGACTGAAACTTTCTTGTGAAATCCGTCTGAAAATGGAAGTAAATTTATTAAAAAATTTATTACCTTTTTGTCATATTATAAACCTACAGTAAATTTACACCGTTACAAAGGAATCAATAATTAATATTTTCTTAATTACACTTCTTCAATGTATTTTTGTAATTTAAAATTTTCGATTTCATTCAAAATACTTACACATATTTAATTGTCTCACAAAACTGGCCATATTATTATGTTTGTAATAATGAGGAAGAAGTTCTCTGGCAAACTGGGCTTGATTTCTGATGAAAAAGCTCCTTCCATTCTGAAAAAAATGAAGAGATTTTAGAAAAATTAATTTCTTATAATTTATGAATAAAATATAGTTATTAATTAATTAATTATTTATTACAATAAAGTACAAGTTCCGGTAATTTGTTCGCAGTTTGAAGTTGGTTGTTGTTTGCTTTCTTGTTTCTTAACTTTTTTTTATAATTTTTCTTTTCAAATATTTTCAATTTTAAAATTAATGTATTGAGAATCATCGAATTGAATTATTTTTTAGAAAATTTTAAATTCTGGTTGAAATTGAATTTTATGGAAATTTTTAAAAATAACTAAATTCTTTCCTGTAATTTTATTTAAATTGGATTAAAAATTATTTAATCGCTGCAAGGAATTTTAATATTTATAAAAATCGTTGAATTATTTCGAAGAATTTATTAAAATTTTAGAAAATAATTGAATTTTTTAAAAATATTTGAATTCATCCCAGGAATTCAATAAAAATTGTTTTGAAAATAATTGAATTCCTGCAAAGAATTTTACTAGGTATTTCTAAATTAATTGAATTCTTGCGAAGAATTTTACTATTTATAAAAATAATTGAATTTTTTCGAAGGATTTATTAAAAATTTTTTAAAAATTGAATTATTACGAGGAATATTATTATTTATGAAAATAATTGAATTCTTGCCAAGAATTTTACGATTTAAAAAAATAATTGAATTGTTTAGAAGGATTTATTAAAATTTTTAAAAATAATTGAATTCTTTCATGAAATTTTATTAAAATTTCTGAAAATATGAACAGCAATAATTAATTTTGTACTTTCTAAGTTAATATTTTAAATTTTGATTATGAAATTATTTATTTATTATTATTATTATTATTATTATTATTATTATTATTATTATTATTATTATTATTATTATTATTATTTATTTATTTATTTATTTTAATAATGTATTTTTTCATGCAAAGAAAATATTTGTAAATGTAACATAAATTTGATAGAATTTAGAATTACTAGAAAAGTTTAAATTCAAGGGAAAATAAAAAAATAAAAAAATTTTAAAATAAAATTAAAAAATTACAATATTTAGGAATATATTAATTAAATTTTATTCTAGTTTTTTAATTTAAATTCAGAGATGAATTTTATGAATTTATTTGTTCTCAAAGTGATAATTTTAATGCTTTTTTATGAATTTCATGCGGGACATTAGAGAATAAAATAATATTCGGTCCAGGACAAAAAGTTTTTTAAACTACAGGATCAAAGTATAAAAACAATAAAATTGTTATTTTCTTGCATATGCGGGACATGTGGCAAATATTTTAATGCGGGAAAGATCACTACAAACATTTTTAATTTTTTTTCTACATAAAAGAAAAATTTAACATCAATTATTATTAAAAAATCTCTATTTTAATTTTATTAAAACTTCAAATTAACTTCAATTAAAACCTTAACTTCTGTAAAATTTCACTAAAAAAACATTCCTTGAAAATTATAAAATAATTCGGTTATTAATTGGAGTTAAAAAAATAAGGGAAAAAAATTTAGAAACATAATTCGAAAAAGTTGTCTTGTTTCGTCATAAAATGATGTAAATAAGTATGAAATAATAATTCTGAAATAAATAATAAATACATATATTTTATTAATTTCTGATGCAAGCACAAAAATCGTTTTTCCCACGTTTGTTTTTATTTATTTGAAAAATATTAACATGGCTGGTTTGAGAACGTAAAAAAATGCAAAATTGTAGAAATAGAAAAAAAATGTTTAAATATTATACAAATATTTTTGACTACATGTATATTTTGAATATTAAATGATTCCAAACAACTAAACTATTTTCATTATTGAAGGAGATATAGTATAATAACCGAAAATAAATGTTACTCACTGGAGCCCAACAAATAAGGTCGTCGGTTTCGGGATCCTCGACAAGCTTCCATAATTTGCCAAGAAAAGCCGGTACACTTGTACCAAGTTCTGACATAGTGTGCATAGTTTCAACGTTAAAAACTTGGTTTATTTCTTCTTCATTCGTCTCCGTCATTTATTATTACAAATTTGATAAAACCAGGAACTGCGATTTACCATTTTCCACTAAAATCAACAATGGCTGACATACTGAACAGTTCTACCACTACCCGAACGAGTATTAACAGTGTTGCCAATCACCAAAAGAGAAAAGTTAATTTTAAAAAACTAATTTTCTATGTATTTTCGGTATTTTCCTTGTAATTCCTCCTCGTAATTATTAACAATTAGTTATTAGCTTAGTTTATTAATGAACCATTAATAATTAATTAACATAGTAATTAAATTTTCGACTTTCCACCAGTTGGACATAAAATATTATTATAAATATTAAAATAAATAAAATATAAATAAAAATTTGTTATTATTCTATAAAAACGTACAATTAAATTTACAAAAAACTTACAATACTCACTTTTTGTCAATTTAAAATAATTTTTTGGAAAAAATAGTAATAATAATTTTTAAGTTTTCAAATTGGCGGGCTGTTTATATTTTGTTTTTGTCATCCAATCAGAAACGTGTATTTTTCCATCCGTGTTCTCACTGCTTCCCGGGAGTTTCAAAATTGTTACACGATTTTCATTATATTTTGGAATTCTGGAATTCTTAGTTAAGAACGTTGCAGATCTATCATTAAATAAAGATGAAAGAAAAGAAAAATAAATTAAACTAATTGTTTAGTATTGCATAAAGTAAGTTTGTCAGTAAAGAAGAAAAAAAAGGTTCTGGAATTTCATACTGCGGCACTGACAGTACTGTAGTATGCGTCTAAAAGAACCCGAGTTATAGACAAATTTTTAATTCTCAATTAATTATAAAATTTACTAGCCTATTTATAATTAATTAATGTTTGACGTTTACTGGAGATTTGGGAAAAATTATCAAAATTAGAAAATTACTTTAGAAAATGGTTTTGGGTAAATTTGGTAAATTTTAAGAATTTTAAGAACCCTGTGTTTTCTTGATAGTTACGGGTGTTTGCATTCGCAGCGCCCTCAAGTCGTGTTTACAGATTTGCAGTGCGAGTTCGTTCGTAGTCACGTCAAAACTGCAACACGATTTTATACCGACAAATTACTATGTAAAGGTGTGTTATTAAGTTTTTGAAATCTAGTGCAACGATACGAATGTCATAAGTCTTGATTTTTAAATATTCAATATATCACGACGGCACGCGATAACGCCGAAAAAACGCCGGGAATTTCGCTCAACTCAGTTTAGTGCTAAATTTTACAAGGGTCGCCATTTTGTCCGGAGAAGCCCGGTCGGGTGAATGTGAAAAGGGTGAAAAAGTAGGCGCACTGTGGTCACACAGTAACATTCAAGTCGCGTAGGTACGAATTTACGCCCTCAATTATTTATTATAAACATTTGTCAGTGTCAATCGTTAAGAAATTTCGTTTCAATGTTCCTCTGCGCAATTTGCACTGCTGGTGGTTTTTTGCTTGCGCGACAGTCGTGTGTGTGCTCTTAAACATTGTTTTTCATTATTCCCAGGGTGTGTTAATTACGTTTAATCATTTACTTCCGCGACACAAAATTTATTGTCGCGAAATCTATAATATTAAATTACATTGATTTGATATTTTCTCCCGAAATAAAGTGACAGCTCGAAAAATTTGTAACGTCTATCCGCCCCCTCCCTCCGTATATATGAAGTTGCATTCCAAGAAGATGATATCGTCATCGTTCCTTTCGGAGATCGCGAAACTAGAAAAGCAGATTTTGCCATTTATATCATTAGGTCTCGAAAAAATTTATCAACTTTCTTAAACGAAGAGAAAACTCGATTCCATTGTTTGGTCAAAAAATTCACTTCTCAAATTGCTGCAACAGTTGTGGCAAAACTAATTTGTTTCATTGACTCATAAAGTTCTCAAAATAGTTTTTTGACAATTGTAAAAATCATGTCACTCGCGCTTCTATTGTTAGATTTCGGTTTTTTTTTTAATTTTGATAAATTTATTTTCTTGTGTTGCCATTGGGATGGATTTTCTTTTATAAAGTACAAATCGTTAATTATTAATGTAGAGAATTTATTTTATTTATAATCTAATCGGAAAGAAAATCTCAAGGTTTGGAAAATGTTAATTCGCGAATGTAAAAAAGACGTGACGTTTGGGAAACGAATCTTGTAATCGGAGACATGACCTCTTGGATGACTGTTATTTATTTATTTTTGTTTTAAACAAAATAGATTTATAGTTAGAAGACTTGATGGAATTTTCACTGGTTTTTTTTCTATTTTCAATTTCAGATAATGTAGGTATAGATATTTAATGTCAGTGAATGAGCTAAATGCTTGTTGGCGGTGCGACACTCTTAGACCAAGAAATTTTAGAGACTTTGGAGAAAAGTAAAGATAATACATAGAATGACGATCGCTACAAGAGGCCAAGGGGGAGTCGACATCGATCCTTCCGAAAGCCAGCAGAATCCACAGGTTCGTAATTTTGTTCTTTTTTAAAATAATTTGTCAAGAAACATTTTTTTTAAAATCATTCTTTCAAAAAAACGAAAAGGAAACATTTTTTTTTCCTATAAGTATTCTTGATTTCGGTCTTTTACTCTTTTTTTTAAGACTTTTATTGACAGATTTTATTAATTATTCAATAATTTGTCCGTATTTTTAAACTTTGAATATATATTTTGATCTTTTTTGTAATTTTACATTATTTTTCATAATACTTTTTTTTCCTTTGTCTGTCATGAGAAATTTTTTTCATGCTCTTGTGCTCAATGCATTCCGGAAGTTGAAAACTAACCTTGATATTCAAAATATGAATTTAGAAATTTTTGTTGTTAATATTATAAATTTTTGTCACTTGACAAAGTATTAAAATTAAATTAAATATTAAAAGTAGTGGGAAAGAAATTTTAAGAATGATTTAGATATTTTTGTTGTCAATTATAAATTTTTGTCACTTGAAAAAGTAGTAAAATAAAATTAAATATTAAAAGTAGTGGGAAAAAAATAATTTAAGATATTCGGATGTTTGAGATTAATTTGCACCCAAGGACATCGTAATTTATTCATTAAAATTTAATTTTGTCTCAGGTGACAATTTTTATTTCCAGTCATTAAAATGTCATTTACTGAGAAAATCTGAAATTTAATAGAGATTTTTTTTTGTACTGGAAAAATAGCGAGAATGTGAAAATTAACCAAACTTTTAAAGTTAATTTTTAATATATTTCGGAAAATAGATAAAGAGTTTTAAAAAAAAATTAATTGTCATTGCATTGAAATAAATTTAAATTGACAAACTTTTTTCTTTAAATTGTGATTGTAATTCTAATTGTAATTGTAATTGTTATTGTAATTCTAATTCTAATTCTAATTCTAATTCTAATTCTAATTTTAATTATTATTGCAATTCTAATTGTAATTGTAAATTAAATTGTAAATGTAATAAAATTAGGCAAATAAAAGTAAATTTAATAAAATAAGGCAAATAAAAGTAAATTTAATAGTAATTGTAATTTAAATTGTAGTTTTAATTGTAATTATAATTGGCAATTACCTAAAAAAGTAATTGACATTTTAACTTCTCAGTAGATTGAGAGATTGTAAACAAGTTGAAATAAACGAAGACGAGTTTTTTTTGAAACTGTGAAGTAAAAAAAACTATTTTTTTTAATTCCGCCAGCATTAAATTGTAAACAATAATTTTTTTTCTGTTTCTTTTTCCTTTAGATGCATGGTCCACCGAGTTCACAGGAATTGGTAGAGACAATGTCTGGCCTTCAGTTAACCGAGACAACAATAAAAACCGAGAGTGCAGGCGAGATTGGCACCTCCGCCGAGGAGGGAAATCAACAACGTTCGGAGCCCGATTTCCCACACGCAAAGCTCGCAACTTTAGATGAAAAAATATCTAGTCCGAGATGGGTTGTGCCAGTTTTACCTGAACAAGAATTAGAATGCTTACTTCAAGCTAGCATCGATCTCTGTAAAAAGGGTAAATATCACCCTTTTTGTTTCTATCGATTACGAGCTCATATTTCCCTTTAAAAAAAATATTCTTCTTTTTGATGAAGAATTTTTTTTTCTGTTATGATATTCTTTTTTTTTCTTCCACCTAGGAATTGACGTACAGAGCGAAGCTTGTCAGCGCTTTTTTCGTGAGGGACTCACTATTTCATTCACCAAGATTCTCACAGACGATGCAGTCAACAGCTGGAAAATGAATATTCATAATTGCATTAATGCAAACTGCGAACGTTTAGTGGAACTTTGCGTTTTAAAATTGGATGAGGACTGGTTTCCTCTTCTTGATCTTCTCGCAATGGTCTTTAATCCAAATAACAAGTAAGTAATTTCGTCGCATAGAATTGAAATTGAAAAGTTATCGCAGGCTTTGCAGTCATCTACCAAAATCTGCCATTCACTACTTGTTTTTTACGATTTGCTACTAAGATACTTTTTTTGTAGTTTTATGGCACTAATAATGATTTTAAAGTTCTAAACGTTCAAATAAAAGGAATTTATTTATTTCTTCGTCAAATTAAATTTTTATTACGATGATTCGAATTTTAAAACAAATTCTTTAAACAATTCAATTTTTCGAAAATTAATTACTTTCAATGTCTATTTTAATAAAATTCAAAAAAAAATTTAATTATGTGAAAAAGAATTTTTATAAAATTCTTCGTAGACATTCAATTATTTTCAAAAATAATAAAATAAAATAATATTAATAATAATATAATAATATATTAATATATATATATATATTATTATATATTATTATTATATTTATATATATTATTATATTAATATTAATATAATATTAATAATAATATTATTAATAATAATAATATAATAATAATATAATAATAATAAAATATTTTATTAAAAATACAATTTTCATAAAATTTTTTCGAAAAAATCATTATTTAAAAAAAGGTTTATAAACTTCTTCACAAGAATTCAATTATTTTTCTAAATAATAAAATTTTGCACGAAAATTTAATTATTTTTCACAAAAAATAAAATTTTTCTCAGAAAATTCAATTATTTTCATAAATAATAAAATGCTTCTCAGGAATTCAATTATTTTTAAAAATTTTACTAAAATTCTTCACAAGAATTCAATTATTCTTCCAAATAATAAAATTTTTCACGAGAATTCAATTATTTAAAAAAAATTCTGCACAGGAATTCAATTATTCTTTAAAATTTTGATAAAATTCTTTATAAGAATTAAATTTACAAGAAGTATTCAATTATTCAATTTATTATTTATTTGTGTATTAAAATAATTGAATTTTTTTTGAAGTTTATAATAAGAATTGATTTAAAAATGAATTTTAGTTAAAAATTCAATTGTTTTCTCGCTAATAGTAAAATTTTTCACGGGAATCTAATTATTTAAAAAGAATTTAATATAATTCTTCGGAAGAATTCAACTATTTTCTTACAAATAAAGTAATTTTTCTCAGGAATTCAATTTTAAAAAATTTTATTAAAATCTTTGACAAGAATTCAATTATTTAAAAAAAATTTACTCAAATTCTTTGCAACAATTCAATTATTTTCCCAAGTAATAAAATTGTTCACGAGAATTCAATTATTTAAAAAAAATTTGAATCAAATTTTTCACAAGAATTCAATTACTTCCATAAATAATAAAATTCTTCTTAGGAATTCAATTATTCTTTGAAATTTTGATAAAATTGTTTATAAGAAATAAATTTTCAAGAAGTATTTAATTATTCAATATATTATTTTTTTATATTTAAATAATTGAATTTTAGTTGAACTTTATAATAAGAATAAATTTAAAAATGACTTTTAGTTTAAAATTCAATTATTTTCTTACAAATTATAAAATTTTTCACGCGAATTTAATTATTTATTTATCTATTTAGGTATGTAATAAAATTCTTTACAGAAATTATTTTTAATAAAATTTTAAACGAATTGCTCGAAAAATTGCAATTATTTTAGGAAAAATTTTATTAAGATTCTTCGAAAGAATTGCATTTTATTAAAATATTTAAATAAAATTCTTTATAAGTTTTCAATTTTCAGAAATGAAATTTCTGAATTTCAATTTGAATTGAAATGATTTTTTTTAAATTACTCCAAAAAAATAATTGAATTTCGGAAGAAATTACAGTTATAATTTTTAGAAATAAAGTTGAATTTTAAAATGATTTTACATTGAAATCATTTAAAATATTGTAATTCGTGTGAAAAATAAATTAGTATAAATATTTATTTTTAAAAAAATTATTTTATTTTTGAATGTAATTTAATTTAGAAATTATGAAAGAAATTAGTCTTTTGAAAAATTGGAATTATTTTTTGATGATGGTTATATTCCTGTAAACAATTTAAATTTAATTTTGTATTTTAAAGAATTTTATTTGTTCAATTTTAAAAATTAAAAAATATAATTATATTTTTGTAGACTTTTAAATTAAAATTTAAAAAATAATTTAATTTTTGCAAAACTTTAGAATCGAATTCAGAATATGAGCAGGAGAAGAATAAAAGTAAATATTTTTGATGAAAATTAGAAAAAAGTTAGAGAAATAAAATACAGAATCAAATTTTTGTGATGTATGTTAATTGTCTAAAACTAGTTTTTTTTATTCGTCAAAATTAATTTTCAATGGCTACTTTTTTCCTACTTTTTGCTGTCTTAAAGCTATTTTTTGATAATTTCTTTAAATCGCAAAAACATTAATTAAAAACAGTACGTTAACAATCCATTTTTTTTCACTTTCTATTTTTTCAGATTTCATACTTTTAATGCATCGAGAGGATCAGAAACGGTTCCTCCAGGTAGCAATATTCCTGACGAGAAACTTTACGCCCGGCCCCCTTCAGATTCCAGAAATCCTCGTGGTTGGCTCGTAGATCTAATAAATAGGTAATTAAAAAAATTTTAAAACTATAATTATCCTCTAGATAAAAGAACGGAAAAAACTTGGTTTTTTTATAAATGTTTTTATTTCTCATGATTTGAAAATAAAACAAAAAAAACCAGAGGATTCGTTCGTTTTACGTAATCGTTGATTATTGATGCAAAGTGAGATTATAATTGTAAATAGAATAAGTCTTCTCGTTTGCATTTTAGTTCAAAAGTACTTTTTAACAATTTAAATAATTAAAAATACGTACAAGAAGTTGTAATTTTTTATTTTCAAATCAATATTTATTTTTGTTTTTCGTTTCTTTCGTTTCAGATTCGGTTCACTGAATGGCTTTACCATATTGCTGAAAAGATTTCAAAGTGGTCGAAATTTGACGGTACCGGTTATATTTACATTACTGCGACCATTTGGCCTTTGTCATGAATTTCTGACGGTACACACAATAGAGAAATACTTGATGCCCATTATTGAAATGGTGCCGGTTATTTTGGACAATCTAACAGACGAGGAACTTAAGAAGGAAGCGAAAAAGGAATCTAATAACGATGCGATATCAGCGATAATTAAAGGCACTAAATGCTTGGTGTCACGTGTTCCACATCAAGAAGATATGATTAAAAATCTTGAAATATTAAGACTGAAAATGATTTTAAGGCTTTTGCAAATTTCCTCGTTTAATGGAAAAATGAATGCTTTAAATGAAGTTAATAAAGTGATTGCCAGTGTCAGTTATTATCCACATCGTAATCCTTCGCTGGAGGAAGAGGAATGGCTAACTGCGGAACGCATGGCGGTTTGTATTTCTTTTTTTTAACCATCAGTTTTTTTTTTGTCATGAAGAAAGTGTTTTGAATTTAGAAAAGAATTTTTGGTTTTAAAAAAAGTCTTTTGAATTTATAAATTAATTTTTTTGTCACAAGAAAAGTATTTTTAATTTAGAAAAGAATTTTTCGTCTAAAAGAAAGTATTTTAAATTTAGAGACGAATTTTCGTCATAAGAAAAGTATTTTGAATTTAGAAAATAATTCTTCGTCATGAAAAAATATGTTGAATTTAGAAAAGAATTTTTATTTAAAAATAGAGAAAATAAAAAAGTTAAATGATGAAACGAAAAAGATAGTAAAACAAAAAAGTTAACAAAAGGAAGGAAAAGAGGACAAAAATTATAAAATAAAAATGTATTTTGTTTTCAGAAATGGATTAAAGATAATTCAGTACTGGAGATAGTTCTCAGGGACTCATTACATCAACCGCAGTACGTAGAAAAATTGGAGAAAATTTTACGTTTTATTATAAAGGAGCGAGCACTTACTTTGCAAGATTTAGATGCAGTTTGGGCTGCTCAAGCTGGAAAACACGAAGCAATTGTTAAAAATGTGCATGACTTATTGGCAAAGTTGGCATGGGATTTCAGTCCTGAACAGCTAGATCATCTCTTTGAATGTTTTCAGGTAAAATTTCATAAATTTGTTTCACTTTCCAATATTTTTCAGTATTGAAAATTAGTCTTTTTGACAATAATTTACAAGTAATTATTTTTATTATTTTCTTTGCAGAAAAACAAATTTTTTGAATAATTATTATCATTGCTTGCTTTTGCAGAAAAAATCATTTTTTGAATAACTACTTTTATAATTTTCTTTGTAGAAAAAATCATTTTATAAAAAAGAAACTAATGAGACTTTTTGTTTCAGTCGAGTTGGAGGACTGCCAATAAAAAGCAAAGAGAGAAGCTGTTAGAGCTGATTCGTAGACTGGCTGAAGATGATAAGGATGGTGTTATGGCACATAAGGTTTTTATTTACTTGCACTTTATAGGAGAGTAAAAAAATTTATTAAGATTGATTTTTAAACTGTTGGTGTTTTCTCTTTTTTTCAAGGTCTTGATGCTCTTTTGGAATTTAGCTCATTCCGATGAAGTTCCAACTGAAATTATGGATCAGGCGTTAAATGCCCATGTGAAGATTTTAGATTATTCTTGCTCGCAGGAGCGCGATGCGCAGAAAACAACTTGGCTCGATAAATGTGTGGAAGAATTGAAAAGCGGCGATAAATGGGCACTTCCGGCTTTGAAACAAATTCGCGAGATTTGCTGTTTATATGAGCCTAATCCAAACATGGGACACAGTCAACGAAGTCATCATGCATTTTACAGGTATTTTTTTTTAAATTACACATTATTTCTGTTTTAATTTGCCTAATGTTTACATTTCTTCTTTTTTGGATTTTATTCTTGTTTATTTTTGTACTAGCAAATGTTACGCTTTATTCACTTTATTATTATTATGCAAAATTACAAAATTTTTTATTTTCAAATATGAATTTTTGAATAATTACAGATTCAAACTTTAAAAAAATTCAATTATCAACTAATTAATTAATTATTACTAATTAATTATTTTTGTTTATTAATTTCAAAAATGTTTATAATTAAATTAAATTATAATTCCTGATAGACAAATAAATAACGATAAAAATTCAAATATTTATTAAACAAAAATTAATAAAATTTGAACAAATTTTATTTAGAAATTCTGAAAAAATGTAGGTTTTTAAAAAATCGTAATTAAAAGTTTTTAAAAATAGTTGAATTGTCGAAAACAATTTTAAAAAATTGAAAAAATAGGAAATTTTCTCAAATTTTATTAAAATAAATTTTATATTCCAAAGAATTTTATTTTCTCACATTAAAAAATTATTTTTAGAAATATTGTTATTTTTTTAGTAACATTGGAACTAAAAACGTGGAAAATAATTGAATTTTTCAAAAAATTTTTATTGAAATAATTCAATTACCGTTGAATTCTGATTAGATTTTATTTTTAAAAAAAATTTTAGTTAAAACTTTGAAAAATGATTGAATATTAAAAACATAAATAGGAATTTTAAGAAATAATTAAAATTTCAAAGATTTTTAAATTGAAATTGAAATTAAATATTTTATTTTCCTTCAAAAATTCTAAAATTTTTGAATAATTTTATTAAAAAATTCTAAAATATAATTGACTTTTGGAAAAATTTTCTCAAATTTTATTAAAATAAATTTTATATTTCAAAGAATTTTATTTTCTCAGTTAGTAAAATTTTTGAAAATACTAATTAAATTCTTTTGAAGAATTTCTTGGAATTTTTTTTAAAAAACAGAGTTTCTTTAATAATTTTAATTGAAAATATTGAAAGTAATTTAATTTTATGAACAATTTCTGTCAAGTTTTTAGAATAATTGTGTTTCTGAATAATTGAAATTCAAAATTTAATTATTGTATTTTATTAAAATTTTTAGAAAATAATTAAATTCTTCTCAGAATTTTATATAACAATTTTTTTAAATAATTTAATTCATTCAAGGAATTTTATTAAAATGTAGAAAATAATTTAAATTCTTTTGAAGAATTTCTTTTTTTTAAGTTTTTTTTTCAAAATAATGTAGTTTTTTTAAAAATAATTTTTGATTATTGAAATTTATTAAATTTGTAATGAAAATAATTGAATTTCTGAGAAGAATTTTATTATTTATAAAAAATTATTTAATTCTTGCAATGAATTTTACTACTTATAAGAAAAATTGAATTGTTTCGAAGGATTAATTAAAATTTGAGAAAATAATTGTATTCTTTCGAAAAATTAGATAAAAAATAAAAATAATAATTGAATTTAGAAAATTATTAAAATTTTAGAAAATATTTTAATTTTTTCGAAAAATATTAAAAATTAATAATAAAAAATTGAATTCTTTCATGAAATTTCATTAAATTTGTATTAAAAATAAATTAATTTTTGCCAAGAATTGATTTTTTGCAAAGATTTTACTATTTAAGAGAATAATTGGATTCTTTCGTTAAAATTCTTGAGAATTGAATTTTTGAAATTTGCACAGCTCTAATTTTAATCTTTATAATCGAATATTTATATTTTCTCTTTCTTTATTTGAAAAGTTATTAAAAAGAGAATTTTATTTGTTACAGACAAGAAGTGATAGAACGCCTACAAAATCAGCACACGGTTGTAATTCTAGTAACCAATAGTTTGACATCTTATATGGAAAAAGTGAGGCAGCTGGTGAAAGAAAATCCAGAAATTGATGCTAATACTTTTATGCCCGATAATCGATATAACCACATAATGCAAGTTCAAGAGAGACTCAACTTTTTAAGATTTCTTTTGAAGGTACGTTTTTATATTCTCTGGGGGGGTCAAAATTCTGCCTTGAAAACGGAAAAACAAAATCAAATTTTTCTGCCAAAACCTGCGAAAATTAGTTGTTTTTTAAATAAATATTTTAAATTCTTTTAGGATGGACAATTATGGTTATGTGCTGAACAGGCGAAACAAATTTGGCAATGTTTGGCAAAACAGGCGGTATTCACGTCCGATCGTGAAGCTTGTTTCAAATGGTTTTCGAAATTGATGGGCGATGAACCGGACTTGGATCCTTCGATCAATAAAGAATTTTTCGAGAACAATATTCTTCAATTGGATCCAATATTATTGACCGAAAGTGGTATTAAGTGTTTTGAGAGATTTTTCAAAGCGGTCAATTCAAAGGAAGGTAAATTGAAATTAAAGAGAAGAACATTTCTCATGGATGATGTGGATTTAATAGGCACTGAATATCTTTGGCGTGTTGTTACTAATAGTCCAGAGGAAATAGCAAATCGAGGAATTGAATTATTGAAGGAGGTTAATACAAATTTAGGACCAAGATTGCAATCGTCGATACTTGCATTTCACGAATCTTACATTGCCGAGTGTATGGATCGTTTAAAAGTTCATTTTGACGCTGTTTCAATATTAAATAAACATTTTCTCGATGGTAAGGACGATCGTTTAGAGCAACGTGTCACTGAAATTAAAATGGAAGCTATGAAAATGTGTCGTGTTATGAAAGTTCTACAGGAATATATTAATGAATGTGATACGGCATTTACTGGTGAGAGGAAAATTTTACCATTGCATCGCGCTGCTCGTGGTAAGAATCTCACGCTTACTATTCGATTTGTTAATCCCGGTAGAAGTACGGATGACGTTGATATTCTCACGCACAGTAATGATACATTGGCATCATTGAGAAGGCAAATATTGCGAAGAATCAAGGCAAGTGGCTCAAATGTGAAACTCGATTTATTCATAAATGGCGAATCATTGGAACAGGCTGATGATCGTAAACTTCTTTCACAAATTCCCCTACGCGATAAAACGACACTTTCGGCAAAATTGAGTCAAGTGAATACAAATGTTCCGAGTTCGCCCGACAGTAGTTCGGATAGTTCGACAAGTTCGCCTTACGATGCACCGAATTTGGGAGCGGAAAATAATTTACCCGGTGTTGTTATGTCACAGAGATCGCAGTACGCGACATTTTTCTTTCAACTCGCCGATTTGGGTTGTGATCTTCAGTTAGCTCAATTGCGCGATGGTGCGAGAAATTTATTGCAATTGGTACCGCCCGACACACTCACTGTCACACGATTACAATGGTTCTTCAGTCATTATTTGGATAATGAACCGTCGCAAAATTCCCATTGCAATGAACAAGCAACGAGTGTTGATACTTTATTTTTTACCGCGAGTCCCAGTCAAGTTTTGTACAATTTAGAAGTTCTCTATACACTATTAATGCCTGCCTTGGATCCAATGTCAGAGAGGGCACGACAATTTCAGAATAATTTTATAAAAAGTGGCGAGGCCGGGGTTATTCTTGAAATGCTTACGAAAAATAAATTTCTACCAAATGCCGATGAGACAACAAAAAGATCGGCTTATCTCACTGTTTTGAAATTATGTAAATTACTATTAACTGTTATTAGTAATGTTATGGTATTTGCACTTGACGATGAAGATGAGACAAATTTTTCTGAGAATCGTGAACGTGATCATCAATTTTTGAGACATAAGCAAGCAATTGCAGTTTTGAAACAATCATTGCAAAATGTGCCGAATCACAATACGGAATATATGCTGAGAAATGTTGCTGCAAGTTTGGCGGAATTATTGGCGATTAAAATGATAAATCGCAATTTAGGAACTGAGAGATGTCAACAATTATTTAAGCAGGCTATTAAATGGGAATTGCCAGATATCGCTACTATTCGAGCGATAATACGTCTCGCCTGGGCGGCATCAACGGGAAATTTAAATAATATCAATGCGTCCACTGAGGATCTTCACGCTCAACATGAAATCAATCAAAGGGAGCAACGATCGCCGGATAACAATGACGTACTAGGTATGATTTCTTTTTTCATTTTATTTTATTGATAAATTTAATTTTAAATTGAATTAATTTCAAATAAGTTTGATTTTGCGCTGGCGGGCGAAACATTATATTCCGTTTATTATTATTATCGTGCAAATTACAAAATTTTTATTTTCAAATATTTAAACTTCAATTTTTGAAGAATTTTAAATTCAAAATTTAAAATATTAATTTAATAAAGTAGAGAATTAATATTGTTTATTGTTTAAAAAAAATTTACTATTCTTCGCAAGAATTCAACTATTTTTATAAGTAATAAAATTCTTCAAAAAAGTTCAATTATTTTTATAAAAATAATAAAATTTTTCGCAAGAATACCATTATTTTCATAAATAATAACATTTTTCGAAAGAATTTAATTATTTTCTAGAATTTTAATAAACCCTTCGAAACAATTCAATTATTTCTAAGAAATCGTAAAATTCTTTGCAAGAATTCAATTATTTTCATAAATTAATAATATTCTTCGAAGAAATTGAATTATTTTCTAATATTTTAATTAAATTCTTCCAAAAAATTCAATTATTTAAAAAAAAAAGAAAAATTCCTGGCAATAATTGAATTATTTTTTAAAAAATAGAAAAATTCTTCGAAAGAGTTCAATTATTTTCTAAAATTTTAATAAATCCTTCAAAGGATTCAGCTTATTTGCGCCTTTGACTTCTTGTTATGTTTTTAATTACACGAATTTAATTTAATTTGATTTACTTTTAATTTTTGAAAATTGTTTACAGTTTGCAAGGAGGCTCTGGAAGTATTGACAATAGCCCTTGTTCTTAATCCAACGGCATTGGAAACATTGACGAATGTTGAACGAATGTGGCAGACGTTTTTCATTGACATGGTCTTATTGAGTACATCGCGAGTAGTTCGAATAGCGGCGGCCGAACAATTTCTCATGATATCAACATTGTGTAGCAGTGGAAATCAACCGCTACTGTTTGCCATCACTCTTCTCTTTACTGTTCTAAAGACAACAGTCATGGAAAATGCAAAGCAAAGTCACGAGTATTTTCAACTTTTGTGTCGTTTGCTCAATTATGCCGATATGTCATCATGTCCAATCACAACTGTTGAGAATCTTTTGAATATCGAAATTATTTGGCTGAAGAATATTCGTGACAATGTCAAAGAAACCGGTGACACTCAAGTCGACGAAGCCGTTCTTGAGGGTCATCTTGGAATCACCAAGGAATTATTCTCCTTTTTACCTCCCAGCAAGAAATTCGAACTCGGGTCGGACGAAACTCGAGGCATTAATTTAATAAAAGTTAGTATTTTATTCATAATGTTCAATTCAAAAATTCTATAATACAATTTATTGTAATTACAATTAAAATACAATTTATACAATTCTTCATCTATAAGTAATAAATAATTTCCCATTTTTTCAGGAACTCGTTGAGGATTTTATATTTCCAGCTTCGCGTTCGATGCTACAATTACGAAGTACGGGAGAATTAAATAGATCGCAGGCGTGTCCGGTTTGCACGACACCGCAAACAACAAATGCCGCATTTGATTTACTCGTTAGCCTTTGTTTCGGCTGTGTTCCAAATATGAAACTTCTAGTCACAATGCTCACTGAGATGTTTTATTCCGAGAAGGATGAGCCATTATCAGAGTGGGATTATATGCCGCCAGTGGGACCGAGGCCAATGAAGGGTTTTGTTGGTCTTAAAAATGCTGGTGCAACATGTTACATGAATTCTGTATTACAACAACTCTATATGGTTGAGAGCATTCGAATTGGACTTTTAGCGGCCGAGGGTGCTGCGATTGATTTAAATGAAGATTTCTCAGGCGAGGAGAGAATTGAGAGCGATCAGACAATCGAGACAAATGACAATGACACCAATGAAGAAAAGTGCGGTGCCGATGAATCGCGTAAAGAGTACAATATTGGAATTCTCAAGCAAGTTCAGGCCATTTTCGGACACTTGGCCTACAGCAAACTTCAATATTATATACCTCGTGGCCTTTGGAAACATTTTAAGTGAGTGAAAATTTCGATTTTGAAAAACTGAGTTCAAATTAATTAAATTCAAATGAAAAGAAAGTTTTTTTTAGATTAGCTTTTTTAATATGAAGAATAAACCCCAAATTTCAAATCTAAACTAAATTCACTAACAGTGAAGTATAGTAAATATTATAAATATAATATTATAATTATAATCTTATAAATCTATATCTGTTCGTATTTTGGATATTAGTTGTTTTCTAACTTTTTTAATAATTTTTCTTTTTAAATATTTTCAATAATTTTACAACCTGTTAAAAGCCATTGAATTTTTTTTTTAATTCTGTCGTTTCTTTAATAATTTTAATTGAAAGTTTTGAAAGTAATTAAATTTTATGAACAATTTATTTCAAGTTTTTAAAATAATCGTGCATTTGGAATTTTTGAATAATTGAATTCAGAAATTTTTAAAATCTGAATTTATAATGAATTTAATAATAATTGTTTATTCTTTTGCAGACTTCAAGGTGAACCCGTTAATCTTAGAGAACAGCAGGACGCAGTAGAATTTTTTATGAGTCTAGTAGAGAGTTTAGATGAGGCATTGAAAGCCCTGGGACATGAACAAATAATGGGAAAAATACTCGGTGGTTCTTACAGTGATCAGAAAATTTGTAAAGGCTGCCCTCATAGGTAATTATTAAATTTTAATATAGAAATTTAAAAACTTTTTTAAAAACTTAAAAAAATTAAAATAATCTAACTTTTATAGATCTTAGACTTAAATTAATTAAATATTAATTAAATATTTAAATTTTATTAAAACTTGGTGAAATTTAATATTAACTTCTTCTTTGATTTACAGATATTCTAAAGAAGAACCCTTTAGCGTAATAAGTGTCGATATTAGAAATCACTCCAATTTATTAGATTCCTTAGAGCAGTACGTGAAAGGAGAACTTCTTGAGGGCGCGGACGCTTATCATTGTGATAAGTGTAATAAAAAAGTAAATTCCTCTTCTATTATTACATTTTTCTATTTATTAATTATTTATTTACTTATAAACTTAATTATATTTTACAGACTTAATTATTATTTAGATTTTTAAAAATATTTTCAATTTTTATTTTTTGTAAATTGCATATTGTAACTGTGAATTTTAAAAAATATTAATTTTTCTCTTTTGTAGGTTGTGACTGTGAAGAGGTTGTGCGTCAAGAAACTACCACCAGTGTTAGCAATTCAATTGAAAAGATTCGAGTACGATTTCGAACGTGTTTGCGCGATTAAATTTAATGATTATTTTGAGTTTCCGCGGGACTTGGATATGGAACCTTATACTGTTTCGGGTCTTGCAAAACTCGAAGGAGAGGTAATAGACTACGATTATGAAGAGGCGGCTAAAGGAACTTGTACAAAGTACCAATTAAGCGGTATCGTCGTTCATAGTGGACAAGCCAGCGGAGGCCATTATTATTCTTACATTTTACATAGGTAACGAAATCAGTTTTTTAATAAATAAGCATTTAAATGAATATTTTTATTAAATAAGTATTTAATAAAAATTAAATTTCATTAAATAAGTATTTAATAAGAATTAAATTTCATTAAATAAATATTTAATTTTTTAAAATTATCTAAGTAACAGTTTTTAATCAAAGAAATTATTACTTTGAAAGATTTAAAAATAAAATAAAATTCCTTTTCTTTAATTAAAATTAAAATTTGTAAATAACAAAACTTGCGATTGTCTTAATTCTGATAAAAATTATTTTTTCTGCAGACAAAACGACGGCACAGCCAAATGGTATAAATTTGACGACGGCGATGTGATGGAGTGTAAAATGGAAGAAGAGGAAGAAATGAAATCGCAATGTTTCGGTGGTGATTATATGGGAGAGGTTTTTGATCATATGCTGAAAAAAATGAGTTACAGAAGGCAGAAGCGATGGTGGAATGCCTATATGCTTTTTTATACGAGACTAGACGTGGAACCAAACTGCCTTACGAAAAGTGTTAACGAATTGTCTCTTTGTAAGTAGAAATTTTCAATTTTCAAAATTACCTCATTTAATTTACACGTATTATTTGCATTGATTTCCATTTTTTTATTCGTCTTCACAGATACTAAATTAGGAGTAACAAAAATGCCACCAGCAATCGAGTACAGTGTTAGAAAACAAAATATCAAATTCATGCACAACAGGAATCAATTTAATTCCGAGTATTTTCAATTTATTAGGAAACTTGTTTCATGCAATACGGCCATTAACAGACAAAGTCCCAATGATAAACTGGTGAGAATTTTTCATTGTTTTTACATATTGTATTTTTTTTAAATTTTTACTACGTTTTGAATAGAAATTAATTAATTAATACCACTGAATTTGGTATTTTATCAGACTCCCGAAGGTGAGGAATTAGATATGCTCTCTGTTCAATTGGAGTCGAGGTTCCTCTTCTACACGGGTTTCCATACCAAAAAAATTTTACGTGGCAATGCAATCGAGTGGTACGATATTTTGTATCATCATTTGAGACAAAGTAAAGATGCTCGAGCATGGTTTGCTCACAATATTCTGTTCAGTCATCCACATAGGTAAGAACTTTGAAACTATTTATAAACTTTCGAAGGAAAAATTTTAATTTCCCTATAGTATTTAAATCATAAAATAGAAAATTTTCCAGTGATGAATAAGAATATTTTTCTCTTGTAGATTTTGCGAATATCTTTTGAGTTGTCCGAGTACTGAAGTGAGAACAGCTTTCTTGAAGACAATCGTTTTATTAGCACACTTTTCACTTAAAGACGGCCCATGCGGTCCACCTATTCTCAATGCACCTTGTAAGTATTTCTCGAAAATTTTCCAAAATTAAATTTGATAATAAATTTTGTTGTTTTGAAATTGTTCTTTTTTAATTATTTTTCAACTATGTAAAATATCAAGATAAATATCAAAATATAATAATAATTACTAATGAATTGACAATTGTTTCGTAAAAAATTCTGGGAAAATTCAAATAATAATAATTATTATATTATTTAAATATTAGTAAAAAAAAAGTATTTGAGGTTAAAAAGAAAATTATTTGCAGCAATACTCTACGATCCGAATGCAACATTGAGCGATCATCTATTGCATTCAGTGCTCTCGCTACTGCATCGAGAGATTTCCGATCATGGACGTCATTTGCCACATTATTTCTCGTTTTTCCACATATACGCCACACTTGGATTAGAGGAGAAGGCGCAACTTCTCAAGGTGACTACAATTTTATTTAATACAAAATATAAAAAATAGTAAATAATTAAATAGCTAAAAATATAAGAAAATAATTATAAGAACACCAAAAGGATTATTTCGCTTGGAACTGAAATTATATTTCTGAAATGTAATTTTTATTTTAGCTTAACGTGCCAGTAACGTTTATGTTGGTGGCAATTGATGAAGGTCCAGGTCCGACAATAAAATATCAATATCCTGAATTAACGAAACTTCATCAAGTTGTCAGCATGCTTATTCGTTGCTGTGATGTGTCTTCAAAAACAAGATCGAGTCAAAATGCAATGCCTCTACCGAATCCATATGGCGATAAGGATTGTCAACCGGAATATATTATGCCAATTCAATCGCAAGCTGAGGAAATTCTCTTCTCAAGAACCAGGTAAAATTGATAATTTTGTGGAACTTTATATTTTTGTTTTATTTATTTAATTATAATTTTAAAAAAATTTATTCAATTTTTAAAAATTTGAATAATTATTTACTCTTTTTTTCTTTGCAGCTATATTAAGAAATTAATTGAAGACGCAAATGTGACGGAAGATACAGTAAAGCTTCTGCAATATTGTTGTTGGGAAAATCCACACTTGTCACGATCGGTTTTAAGTGAATTACTTTGGCAAATTGGATTTGCTTATACACACGAATTGAGACATCATACGGATCTTCTTCTTGCAATGCTACTCATGGAGGACTCCTGGCAAAATCACAGAGTTCACAATGCTCTCAAAGGTATTTCGAATGTTCTCTTATTTTTTTTATTATATTCAAGTATTTTTTTTTCAAGCATTAAAAATGCTATGTTCATTATTTATTATTATTAGTTATTGTTTTCAAATTTTTATTTATTTTTTAAATAATATTACTAATATTGAAATTTGCTAATAAATTGATAATTTCGTTGAAAAATTCTGGGAAAATTCAAAAATAAATAATATTAATTATTTCCAAGTGGTACATTTTTTTATTTTATTTTACAGGCGTTCCCGATGAACGAGAAGGTTTATTCGAAACTATTCAGAGAAGTAAAAATCACTATCAAAAGCGTGCATATCAATGTATCAAGTGCATGGTTCAATTATTTAGTAAATGCAGACCAGCGCACGCTGTTCTTCAGGGACATCCGGACTTGAAAAGAAAATGGGTTCATGCTATTGACTGGCTTCAGGATGAACTCGATAAGGTTTTTTTTCTATACTATTATCTAAATATTTACTATTTTTTTTCTATTTGATTTCAATTTTTCTGTTTGTTTTCTATTTTTCTATTTGATTTCAATTTTTCTATCTGCTTTCTATTTTTCTATTTGTTTTCTATTTTTCCATTTGTTTTCTATTTCTCCATTTGTTTTCTATTTTGTTTTCCATTTTTCTTGAAAAACAATTTTTCTCCCAAACTGAATTGAATTTACTTTCGGGACTGAATTGAAATTATTTTTATTTAAGCAGAGACCATATACGTCGGCAGCACCTTATACACACGCTTACAATCATGGCTGGTCACCGCCAACGCAATCGAATGAATCGACGAATGGATATTTTTTAGAGCGCAGTAACAGCGCGAAGAAAACATTAGAGCGAGCTTTCGAACTTTGTCCGGAGGACGAGCAAGAGGTTGAGGAGCCAAATGAGGAATGCGTCGAGGAGACGACGGAGAGAACAAGGGAGACTGAACAAAATCGAGAACTACGAATTCAGTTTGATCCAAAGAATTTCCGTGGTGGTGATAATACGGAGAATGAAATAAGTCATAGAGAGCAATTATTTAAATTTGATTCGAAAAATTATTGCACTGAATCGGAGGGCGAAAGAAGTCAAGATCCACATTGTGTTGGCATTAATTATCGTGCCGGTGAATCGAGCGAGGAATCGGAGGGAGAACAAATTATGACAATAAGACAGTCGAAGGATAAAATTAAACGACGTTATGCCGTAAAGTAAGTGATAATTTTTTAATATTATGTTTTTTTTATAACACTTTTTATTGTTTGACTTTGAAAAGAAAAAGTTTGGTTTCTAAAGACAAAAAGTTTACTTTCGATTTTTTTTTTTTTTTTGGATTAATTTGAAAAAGTTTGAAAATTATTAACAGGCTTCGCACTTATTCAATTAGTCTACTATTTAGTACTTTTTTACGATTTCCTATAATATTTGGATACTTTTCTTTTTATTTTCATAAATTTTAGAGAAATTCTTTGAAACTATTCAATAATTTTGAAAAAATTTTCGAAATTCAATTTACATTCAATATCTATTTTCATAAAATTTCACAGAATAATTCAATTATTTAAAAAAAAAAATGTTAATGAAATTCTTGTCAAAATTTCAATTCTTTTTATAAATAATAAAATTCTTCTTCTGAATTCAATTATTTTTATAAATAATAAAATTCTTCTTCGGAATTCAATTATTTTCATGAATAATAAAACTCACATTTCAGAATTTCAATTATTTTTAATACATTTTTGAGCAAATTCTTTATAAGAATTAAATTATTTTTATATAATCTAAATTAAATTCCTTAAAAAGAATTTATTCATTTTCAGCATTTTTAATGAAATTCTTCTTAGAAATTCCATTATTTTTTTAAATTTTGATAAAATTCTAGGCAAGAATTCTGCAATTTTCATAAATAATAAAGTTCATGACAGAAATTTAATTAATTACAAAAATTTTGATAAAACTCCAGGAAAAATTCAATTATCTTCTTAAATAATTAAATTCTTCGGGAGAATTTAATTGTTTTTAAAATTTTAAGAAAATTCTTCTAAAGAATTCAATTGTTTTTAAAAATGTTAAGGAAATTCATTGCAGTATTTCTATTTTTTTCAAAATTTTAATAAAATTCTTTCGAAAAATAAATAAATTTCACAAATAATAAAATTTGTCGCAGAAATTTGATTATTTTCAATAATTTTAATGAAATTCTTTCCAAGAATTGAATTATTTTCCAAAGCAACAAAATTCTTCGCAAGATTTTAATTATTTTCAAAAATTTTAATAAAATGATTTTCAAGAATTCAATTATCTTCATAAAAAATTTAATTTCTTGCCGAAAATTAAATTATTTTTTAAAATTTTAATAAAATTCTAGTCAAGAATTCAGTAATTTTCATAAATAATAAAGTTCATAACAGAAATTTAATTATTATTATAAAAAAAAGTTTGTTAAAACTCCAGGAAAAAATTCAATTATCTTATTAAATTCTTAAGAAGAATTCAATTGTTTTTAAAACTTTTAAGGAAATTCTTCGAAAGAATTCAATTATTTTCAAAAATTTTAAGGAAATTCATTTCAGAAATTCAATTATTTTTAAAATTTTAATAAAATTTTTCCGAAATAGTTTTTCTTTTAGTTAAATTTAATTTTTCGATTGACACTTTTTTTTACTACTTTTTCAATCATAAAGCTTGTTTTTTGCTACTTTTTTCAAAGTAAATAACCATCGAGTGCGAAGTCTGAATAATATTAAAAATAATATAATAAAGTTTAAAAAAAAATATAAACTTTTGTTTTTAAGAACAAGATTTGAAATTAAAGTGATCGAGAAGGAAAGAATGCAGAAGAATCAAGAGCAATCGCAACCAGGACCGTCGCCGATTCACAAAACATTCTCTCATCCGCCTCCAAGTTGTGAGTCAGCCCAATGGGAAAGAACATCTATTGATTGAACTTGATAAATATTTTCTACCGAAGGAGGAATTGGTTAACACTTCGAAATATTGATGGGGAAACGGACACCAATGGTAACGTATCTCTTGTGCTGTGTATAAAAAAAAACAAAAAACAAATTCACCTGTGTTTATTGATATATACGAGATCCCGGGAAATCTCTCGCGAAAAAAACTGACTTCAATTTTAAAAGGAGAGCAAAGAAAGAAAGAAAAGAAAAGGTTGTATAAATGTATAGCGAACAGTGTTAAAATCCCATGAGTAGGAAGGACTAAATAAGCACGATTCTCCGTACACTTATGTAAATGTGAATATATTGTTATTAAAATAAATACTTGAATAGATTTTCTAAATATCTTAAAAAAAAGCCAGGCCAAAGTGAACCGAATGCTATTGGCCTCTTTGATAAAGAAAAAAAAAGCACCGCTTTATTGCCGTAGCACTCGAATAAACTAATAATTATCTTCTAACTGAAACAAACACAAACCGAAAATAAATAAATAAATCACCGTCAATTTTGTACTTAAAAAAAACAATAGGGTCAGTTCGAAAAAATTTTCCTTCGAAAATGGCATTTCTTCGTGTTTTCTACCTTTTTTTTAAAATTTCTTTTCTTTCGAGACGGCGCGAGAGTTGGTCAGAAGGTTGTTGAGAATTTAAATTTTATCCAAGAAAACAAGATTAAGTCGAGAGACAGTCGAGAAAAGGAAAAAAATAATTTCTATCGTTTTATTAATCTGCGTTTTTAGAAGTGAGGGGGGGAAAAAATAATGTTGTTACCGGAGCTGTGGTAAAAAAAAAACATTTTTGTCGACTGTCAACCATGGCTCTGATTTAATTTATAACGTATGTTATATATAGATATATAAATATATAAGAATCATGAAAAAACGAAGAAGTCATGTATTGTAATATTTACTGAAAAAAAGGCAAAGTGAAACGTATAAAAAAAAGTTCGTACTGATTTGGACCAAAAAGAAAGTCATCTAAAAAAAAAACAACAACACCAGGAATAAACGAACCATTATTTCAATTGCTACGCATTAGTTATCGATATCGAGAAAGCCTCATTTCGATATATATGTAAATACACAACCGCTTTTTATATGTGATAAAAAAAGGAAAAAAAACCGATAATTATATTATTAAAAAAAAAAATGACGAGAAGAGGTGGTATATCCTGGTTTTTGTACTAAGTTCTCTCGTTAATTATGTGGAGAGACAAAAAAAAATAATAAATGAGTGAGAGAGAATATGATATTAGAGCGATAGTGAGCGAGAGAGATTATTTAATATTTAAAAAAGGTAAAGGCGAGAAACCTTGTGTCATGAAAAACTAGTGTCATTTTCTTATGCCTTAGAAATTAGTCTAACGGGAAAAAAAGAATTTAAAGAATTGTGACTTTGAAAATGAATCACAAAATATCCGCAAGGAATGCCAGATCGAAAGGAATTTTACCCGATAAAGCGACGAAAAAAGAGAGAAAGAGTGGAAAAATTGTGCTGTTTCAGCGAGAGATTTTTTTTTAATTTTTTTGATTGCTGGGACGAGTAGAAAACAACGGAGAAAAAAGAATGAAATGAAATTATGACGAAGAGCGATGTGAAAGGCAAATAAGTTGAGGTCATTTTCTCCTTTCCTCTAGTCAATCTCCGAATAAGTTGATTTTGGTACAAAGTTTAAAATAGTAAAACGCCATTCCAACTTATTTGCCTTTCGAAAATGATTTTAAAGTGCCGTTTTTCTTTTTTTTCGAGAGAGAGAAAGAGTAAGAGAGAGAGTTCGCAATTCTTTACTAAAAATCGTATATTAAAATATTCTAAATCAATTGAAAAAAAAGATTTTTTCCGTTATTTTAATTTAGTCGAAAAATTGTGCGATTTTTGTAAAATTTGCAAGAAAATGACAATGAAAGAGTGACACTTGTGTCATTATTTTTATTATTGTAAATAAAAAAAAAGTTGTATGAACGGAAAATTATCGAAAATTATGACTCTCCACGAAAGCTCTTTCGTTCCATCGCAGCATTTCGATTGCGAATGACTAGTCTTTTTTTGTCTACTTGATAATCCTCGATCATCACTTACAAGACTTTTTATAATATCGATGCGAATCTACAAAAAGAAAGAAAGAAAGAAAGAAAGAAAGAAAAAGAAGCTCAAGAGGGAAAAAAACTTCGAGGTTTCCAAATTTGCTTTTTTGTTATACTTCTGATCAATTGTTTTCAAGTTTGGAAATTGTTTTCAAGTGCAAATGTAATTTTCAAGTTCGGAAATTATTTTCAACTTTGGAAATTATTTTCAAGTTCGGAAATTATTTTCAACTTTGGAAATTGTTTTCAAGTAGAGAAATTATTTCCAACTTTGGAAATTATTTTCAAGTTCGGAAGTTATTTTCAACTTTGGAAATTATTTTCATGTGCAAAAGTAATTTTCAAGTTCGGAAATTATTTTCAACTTCGGAAGATTGAAGATTGAACAACTTTGAAAATTATTTTCAAGGGCAAAAGTAATTTTCAAAATCGGAAATTATATTCAACTTTGGAAATTATTTCCAAGTAGAGAAATTATTTTCAACTTCGGAAGTTATTTTCAACTTTGGAAATTATTTTCAAGTGCAAAAGTAATTTTTTCCATGGGGAGGAAATAAAAAATTTCTTTCGGAAAAAAGAATTCAATTGGAACACCTCGACGAGCCTACCTCTGAAAATCTTTTTGCTCTTATACATTATACCACGTAATCCCTTTTGTAAATAATGAAATCTATATTTCCATACAATAATTGTATCGATCGCTTTACATTCGGATGAAGCCACCGTGCTGCGTGCAAAATAAAAAAAATGAATACTATTATTACAATATAAATAAGTAATCTCGATTGTTGCCTATTCAAGTAGGTTTTGAAAAATGTAATTTGCACGTTCGTTTATTTTTTTATTTTTTATGACAATTGTCCTGTTAATGTCGACGAATCAAATTGAATTGTACTTTTGACTTGCCATTGAAAAATTATTTTCTCTTGAGTGTTTTTTTTTTTTGAAACATTGATAATTTAAAGAGAGACGAGAAAAGTCAAAAATTTAAACTGAATACTTATTTTAAAAAAAAAGAAAAAACCTTTTTGTTATAAAGACAATTTTACAAAAATATATTTTTTAATTTTGTTAAATTTCTTTTTTAAAAATATTTTTTAAAAAAAAGATTAATTCTTTAAGAAAATTAATTATTGAAAAAATGTATTCCTTAGGAAAATTAATTCTTGGAAGAAATTTATTCTTTAGGAAAATTAATTATTGAAAAAAATTTATTCTTTCAGAAAATTAATTCTTGAAAAAAATTAGTTGTTGAAAAAATTAACTCTTAAGACAACTTTTTAAAAAATACGTTAAAGTTCTGAGTGTTAAAATGAACAAAATTGATTTTTTTCTCCGTCAAATTAAAATTTTATTGCAAAAATATTGCGTCAGGTGTTAAAAAATTAAAAGTTTAATTTTGATTTTGCTTTTTATAACGATCAGCAATTTTTTTTATAATTCGACGCCTCCCGTTGATAAAATCTTATTCCAATTTTACAAATAATAAAATTTTATATTAACTTAGTTCAGCATTATATTTCAATTGTCAATTCAATTGAATGAAATCAATCCTATGAAATTTTTCGTGTAAAATAATTGTGATTTCGAAATAAATTTAAATTTTAAGTGAAAGAAAAACCTTAATTCGTTTAAAATAGTATTTTATATTTATTTTTTATTAATTATTAATTAATGATTAATAATATTTACGAACGAATTAATATTTTATTGACATTATTTTATTATTTTTATTTGTGATTTTATAAATCATTTGAAAAGAAAAAAATATTAGGAACGAATTGATAATTATTTTTTTGTATCAATTTAAATTTAATTCGGAAAAAGCGGAACACGGAAGATTTCATTCATGAAAAAATAAAAATATTGAACTGACTATTGAAATGAATGAAAATTTAGAATTGTTTTTTATAATTGAAATAAAATTGTTTTTCGATTTATTCAAAATTTTGTTGATTCAAATTTTTTTCCATAGCTGATTATAATAATAATTATTAATTACTCTTAAGATTATGTCAATGTATTCAAAACACTCATTTTTAGCAATTTTAAATTTCTTTTAATTAAAGAAATTTATTTTAAAATTTCAAAAGTCGATTTTATTTTTTTTCTTTTTTTTTTGAGGGGAAAAAAAATTTTCTTGCAAACTAATTGTGAATTGTGAATCAATTTATTGCGAGTATCACAATATTTATTTCGAATTCGACTCAATTTTATTTGTCAAAATTAATTGTACATTATATTTAAAAAAATTATTTACTCGGCATATTTGTGACAGTTGAGAAAATTCCGATATTTTGATTTTCGTCGACATTTTATTTTTTTCTAAATTATAAAAACGTTCTATTGACAAAAATTATGATCTTGGAAAAAAATTATTCACAGAACAAAAAATGATTCTTTATTGGAAAAATTATTCTTCACAGAACAAAAATTATTCTTTATTGAAAAGATTATTCTTTACTAAAAAAAATTATTCTTAATTGATAAAATTACCTATTCTTTAATAAAAAAAATATATATATAAGTAATCGACGACTTTTGTCGTTTAATCAAGAAAAAAAATGTAAAATCGTGCACTTTGCATTGCGGAAGCATTAAAATAGATAAATATTGTAAACAACATTTTAAGACAGTTTTTGATCTTAACAAGATCCTAGAGCGTTCCTAAGGCGACGATACGCGTGTAAAGCGCAAAACTAGTAAACGGACGAAAGAGTAGTGTATAAAAAAAAAGGATTTAGCGTTTGTTTTGCAATTTAAATAACTTTATAACGTTGTTACCATTCGATATTGATTCGATATGGTTGGAGAATAACATTTATTCTTTGCCTATCTGTCAAATTTCTGGTACATTTTTATGCCAAGTGCATTTTAAGCACATTTGGTAAACCACCTTTCATTTAATTTAAAAAAAAAATTTTTTCCAATTTATTTTCCTCTAAAATCCAATTTAAGAAAAATTCGATTTGAAAATAAGGAAAAAAATTAGAAAACAAATCAGAAAATCAGAAAATCAGAAAATAAATCAGGAAAAAAATAAAAGCAAAGGAAATAAAAGAATAATAAAAACAGAATTAACTGAAAATTAATTAAATGAAGGGGGAGAACTGAATATTTCTTTTTTTTCTCTCTGTTTTTAAAGGGTTCTATAATTTTTATCAAGTCATACAACGTATGACTGGTAAAATTTCGTTGAGACGCCGACGATTGGCGAGACATAATTATTACTAATAATAATTTAATTAGAAGAGAAAAAAAATTAAAAACAAAAAAAAAATAAAAGTTTAGGTGAAAAATGAGAATGAGTGAAAGAGAGTGTGTAAATGATTGCGCAGCGACGCGTGGCTTCCGCCCAGCAATCATCGTCCTTGTGTAGATTTTTCCCGTTAAAAAAAAATGAATTTAAGGGAACGTGTAAAAAAAATATAATATTACGTCATTTTTGTAACATTTGTTAATAGAGCGCATTTATGTACGCATTTTACTTTGCCTGGATAACCTCGTTAGGCCGGCCCTGCAACGCCTGGTGTTATTTTTATTATTATTATTATTATTATTATATTATTATTATTATTATTATTATTATATTATTATTATTAATGATTTATTAACGCATACCGCATATATATATATTTGCATTCATTATTTCGAATATGTTATATGATTAATATTTATCCACGACAATTTATCATTGACGAATATGCATAAAAGGGTCGCAGGGTTGTCGGCTATAAAAAGGTTTTAGCTCCGGAATAAGTAAGCCTATATATTTATTTTGGACAAAACAAAAAAACCTTATAGCGTTTGTGTATTATTTCTAACGAATGTAATAAAAATGTTAAATCAAATTTTTTACTCTTGAGTTTTTGAACGTTCAAATGAAACGAAATTTATTTATTTCTTAATTACTATTTAGTAATTAGAATTACTAATAAGTAATTAGAATAATTTTTTGTCACTGTCAAAAAAAATTAATAAGTTTCTGAATGTAAAATTTATTATTTTAATTATTTTCATTTCTGTTTCAATCAGTAGTTTGAGAAAACAATTTGAAAATATTTTTAATTAAAAATATTTCGTTCAATTGAACGTTCAAAATTTGTGATTCATTCGAATTTTCTCTCTAAATATTAAATATCGATAAAAAAAAATTAAATCGACATTTTTTTTAATTAAAAAAATTGAGAGTTTAATTTATGTTCATTAATTACAATTTTTTATTGAAATATTTTTATACTTTAAAAGCAGAGCTTTGGTAACTTTATTAGAAATCTTTTTTTTTAAATTTGATTTTAATAAATAAATTTGAATTTAACTTTGATAGTAAATTTGAATTTAGTTTGGCAAATAATTAATTAAATAATTTATTAAATTTGAATTTAACTTTATAAATAAATTTGAATTTAATTTTGTAGATAAATTTGAATTTAATTTTGTAGATAAATTTGAATTTTATTTTAGGAATAAATTTGAATTTAACTTTATAAAGAAATTTGATTTTCGCTTTATAATTAAATTACATAATTAAGATTTTCAATATTTGGATAAAAATAGTGATCGTCGTTATCAGTGAAAAATATTTATTATTCAATGCCATTGCCAATGTGGATTTATAATTATATGAACTGTATCATCGTAATTTTGTTATCAGGAATTTGGTTTCAGAAAATCTGTGAATCTCGAGCTTTACAGTTCACTTCCCGAACGCGCACTAAAGTACTTCGGCAGTTTCTTATTTGTCTTTGTCTCAAACGTGAGTTTTAATTTTCATCACTATTTTATTGTCTCCAGTGTAATTTTACTGTTTTCGCTTAATTTTTAATATTTATTAATAATTGTATTTTTATTTAATAATTTTGTAATTTTTATTTTTTAATTTGTAATTTGAAATCAAAAATAATTTTGTAATAATTATTAATTTGACATTCAATAATAAGAAATAAAAATAATGAATAAGAAAATGTTTTTTTATAATTATTAAAAATAAAAAAGCTTCTTAAAATAATTAATAAAAAGCTTTTTAATTTTTATTAATTACAAAAAAACATTTCTCATTATTATTTTTTCTATCTAGGTAGATGTATTTTCAAGCAAGAATCCCATCTTTGTTTCGACAAAAGACAATTATCAAATCCAATTAATCAACTTTGAATTTCCTAACACTGCAAATCAATCATAATCAGTGCGAGTGAACTTTGAAATTTGCATAGAATTTAATTAACAGAATATTTTTATTTTTTTTTAGTTTAAAAAGGAATAAATATTTTTTTACTACTGGTACTTTGCAAAAAAAAGGTAATATTTTATCTATTAATAATTTAATATACACTTTTTCTTCGAATTATTTTTATACCTACTTTATAAAATTTTCTTTTAATATAGAAAAATTTTATTCCTTTCAGGAAAAAAAAATAATGGACAATTTAGTTTGCGTTGAGGATTTTGAAAAGCAGGCATTGAAAATTTTGACACCCCTGGCAAGAGATTATTATAAAGATGGAGCTGGAGAAGAACATTCATTGAAGTTGAACAAAGAAGCTTTCTCAAAGTTTGTACAAGGAATCTATTCATAATTTTAAATTCATAAAATTATTTTATAACTGGTGGAATTTTTCTAATTAATCGTTAAAATCGACTGTGACTATAAAATAAAATACAGACTTTGAACTCGTTAAAAAAATTTGAAAATTAGAAGCAAAGAGTAGCGAAGAATGTAATCAGAAATTATTTTTTTAAAATAAATTAATTCTTTCAATAAATTTTATCAAAAATTGAACAAAATATAATTCTTATAAATAAGAAAATAATATAATTGTTAAGCAGAATTATATTAGTAAATATTAGAAGTTTGGAAAATAAATGAAGTCTGTGAAGAATTTGGCATCTTGGAAAGTAATAGAATTTTTTGAAAGAATTTATTGTTTATGAAGATAATTGAATATTTAGGAAGAATTTTTAATAAAATTTCCGAAAATAATTGCATTCCTCCGAAGAATTTTGTTATCTTGGAAAATTAATTACTTAATAATATAATATTAATTAATTGATATTAAATAAAAAATTGTTTCATTTTCAGAATTCGAATTTTGCCAAGAATGTTGAGAGACGTGACAGAAGTTGATATTTCAACAACAATTTTGGGTGAAAAAGTTTCGATGCCTTTGGGAATTGCACCAACTGCCCTGCAAAAAATGGCACATCCTGATGGTGAATGCGCCAATGCAAAAGGTTTTATCAGCAGAATTTTATTATAAACGTCAAAAATTTAAACCAACTTTCTATTTAAGAATTAAAAAGTTTTATTTTCTTGTTTTTCTTTTTATTTATTTTCATTTATTCATTTGTTTATATTTTATTCGTTTATATTTAAATTGATTACTTTATTAATTTATTAATTATTTATTTAATTTCTCTTTTGTATAGAATCAATTTTCGAATTAATTACAAGAAAAAAAATTGTCTTTCAGCTGCTGAAGCAGCCAGAACTATTTTCACTCTCTCGACAATTTCAACGAGCAGTATAGAAGAAGTTGCCGCTGCTGCTCCAAATGCGATAAAATGGCTTCAACTTTATGTATTTTCCGATCGAAAATTAACCCTGGAACTTGTTCGTCGAGCTGAGAAAGCGGGTTTTAAGGCTTTAGTTTTAACAGTCGATGCACCAACTTTCGGAGACAGGAGAAATGAATTGAGAAATAAATTCAACATCCCGCGCCACTTAAAGTAAATTGTTTCCCAATATAACAAATTTTTTAATTTAGTTAATTTAATTAATTAACTTTATTTAATAGTAATATTAATTTCATCGGAGAGAATATTCTTTTTTGCCGAAAATTTATTACAAAAAAATAAACGAGAGAATATTTTCGTTTTAGATACGCCAACGTTGAAGATTACGCCAGGGAGAATAAAGTTTATGATAAACCAATTTATAAACTCTTTGATCCATCACTCTCGTGGAAGGACGTCTCATGGTTGATGAGGTCTCACAAAACTTTTCTTAATTATTTTCATTTGATATTCTTATTCTAATTCTAATTCCTAATTTTTAGTTTTTATTTTCTTTAAATTATCCTTTTTAGTGGCAAGTAATTAAAAATAATTGTAAATTTTCTTTCTAGCTACACTCGTCTTCCACTCGTGATAAAAGGGATCCTCACCGTTGAGGATGCAATATTAGCCGTGAAATATGGAGCCAGCGCTATTCAAGTTTCCAATCACGGGGCTCGACAAATTGACGGAGTTCCCGCACCGGTGAAAAAATTACAAACAATTCAAAAATAGTTTTGAAAAATAATTTTTTAATTTTTAGTATTTTCGAAAAATATCTATTTTAAATATTTTTCCTAAACAAAAGAAATTGATTTCTTTAAGAATAATAAATTTGAACACTAATTAAAATTTTGTTTTCAATAAGAAAAGAAATTTAAAATCAATCGAATTTGTTTTCAATAAGAGAGGAAATTCAAAATTAATCAAATTTTGTTCATTTCTTTGCAGATAGAAGTATTACCGGAAATTGTAAGAGCAGTTGGTGACAAACTTGAAATTTACATCGACGGAGGAATCACTTCAGGAACAAACGTTTTTAAAGCACTTGCCCTGGGTGCTAAGATGGTAGCAAAATATTTAATTAAATACTTCTACTGATTGGCACCAGCGAAAAAAAATTTGATTTCTTTTTATGACAATTTTTTAAGGCATTTATCGGACGTCCGATGTTATGGGCTTTGGCATGTTCTGGCGAGGAAGGAGCGAGGAAACTTTTAGAATTATTGAGGAGGGAAATTTTTCTCACATTTGCTTTGTCAGGTATTTTTTTTTTTTTTTGCGAACTTAACAAAATTTACACAATTTAACACAATTTTGTTTTATTATTAAAAAAATAGTTAAAGATTTCCTGCAAAGTATTTTCGAATTCAGAATTTTTACGAATCAAGAATTTACGTTAAAACAATTGTCTTATTTTCAATTTGTTTTGTTTTTTGTTTTATCGTAAATTCTTGATTCGTAAAAGTTCTGTGTACGTAAAAATTCTGAAATTGAAATTAAATTTCTAAATTAACTTATTTTCTAAATTGAAAATAAAACAATTGTTTTAACGTAAATTGTTTCGTAAAAATTCTGAATTCGAACTTTTACGAATTTAGAATTTAAAAAATTTATTTCTGCCCTGAAAATAAATTTCCCGGGCAGAGGAAATAAAAATATAAATAATTTCATTTACAATAATTTACTTGCAGGCTGCAGATCGTGCGAGGAAATAACGAAAACAATGGTTTGTCATGAAACGAAATACAGCCATTTGTAAAATATTAAATTTAAAATAAGTCGGAACAAAATTTAATAGAATTAATTAATTATTAATTAGCAAAATTCAATAGAATAGAAAAATATGCAATAAATTTCGTTTTTAACAAATAAATTTATTTATTATTCCAAGAAAGCTGCAATAAAATTTCCATTTTAACTATTAAATTTATTTATTATTTTCATACAGTTTTTATATGTACAATATTTTAGAGTTAATTTTCAAAAAAAGAAAAAATGAGGAAAAATCTAAATTTAGATTACAAAGTAAGATAAGATTTATAAATGTTGTGAAAAGAAAATTTTTTGACAACCATAAAATATTAACATTGCTTAAAACAAAATCTCGTAATACTTTTTATCAGTTTTATTTTCATCGCCACTGCAAACATTTCAATTAATTATAAATTTGATACCATAATCTGCGCTCTTAAAAATCATCAAATTAATCTTCACACCAAAAGAGATTTTAATTTTCATCAAAAGGAAACAGTTAACCACTCAGGCAAGTTCCATTATTTAAAATCAATTTGACACTAATTATAATTTTTTTTGAATGAGAAAATAAATCAAAAATTCCTTTACCTATTTTTTTCATATTTCATTCTTTATTTATTTTCTTCTTTATTTCTTTCTTTCTTTGCTTATTAATTTATTTACTATTATTTTCTATTTCCAAATGAATTATATTTAGATCCTCAAAATTTAAATAAAAATTTTGATTTGATAATAAGTTCATAATAAATAGCTCATTATTTATAATTTCAGAAAAATGACGAACTTCGTCTGTACCAAGGATTATGAGCAAAAAGCTTTAAATCTCCTAACGCCAAATGTGAGAGATTTTTACAAAGGAGGATCCGGCGAAGAAATTACATTAAAATGGAATCGCGATGCTTTTGGACGGTAACTATAATTTGTATAATTAACTAACAAAATATAATTTTTCTATATTAATATAAATTTTTTAAAATAATTGAAATCTTGGGAAGAATTTTATTGTAATATTTGTAAATAATTTAATTCCCGAGAAAATTCTTTTAAATGTGAATTGAATTCTTGACAAGAATGTCATTTAAATTTTTCTAAATAATTGAATTTCTGACAAAAATTTTATTACAACTTTTGCGAAAATAATTGAATGAATTCGGAAATTGAATTCCTGCAAAGAATTTGTTTTAAAGATGTTGTTAACAATAAATTAACTAATAATTAAATTAATCGGAGTAATTTCGGAATTTTTAATATTTTTCTATGGTAAATTTTTTTAGAATTAGAATTCTACCGAGAATGTTGAGGGATGTTAGAAAAGTGGATCTCAGCACAACAATTTTAGGAGAAAAAGTTTCAATGCCTCTGGGAATTTCACCAACAGCTCTACAAAGAATGGCTCATCCTGATGGAGAATGCGCCAACGCAAAAGGTTTTATTATCAGAATTTATTATTAATTTTAAAATTGAATCCAACTTTCCCTTTGACATTTTTTATTTTTTTTTATTTGCTTAAAATTGATAATAGAATCTTTTTTGAATGTTTCAAGTTAAAAATATGAAAAGTATAAAAAAATGCTTGAATTGGAAATTATTTTTGCAATCAAAAGCCGCAGAAGCAGCAGGGATAATTTACACTCTTTCAACTTTATCATCGTCATCAATCGAAGAAGTCGCCCAAGCAGCTCCGAAATGTATTAAATGGTTCCAACTTTACATATTTCCTGATCGAAAATTAACACTAGATTTGGTGCGTCGAGCTGAAAAATCTGGATTCAAGGCTTTGGTTGTGACAGTCGATTCCCCAACCGCGGGAAATAGAAGAAATGAACTTCGAAATAATTTTAAGAAACCTTCGCATATAATGTTAGAGAAGCAGTTTTCGCTTTTTTTATTTTTTCTACTGCTTTAAGAAGTTTTTTTTGTTTTTAATTAATTTTTTCTCTTTTAATTTCAGATTCGCCAACTTGAAAAATTATTCTTTGCAAAATAGTTTCAGTAACGATCCTTATTCGCTGCGTTTGGATCTGTCGCTGTCCTGGGAAGATATTTCATGGCTTAAAAAGTAAATTATAAATTGACAATTACAAATTTTTTAATACATAGATTGAAATTAAAATTAAAAATTAAAGATTAATTGAAATTAATTTTAATTTAATTTCGTAATTAAAAAAGCACTCATTTTTTTTTTAGAAATACATGTCTACCAATAGTGACAAAAGGAATATTAACTGCAGAAGATGCTCTTCTATCAATAAAGCATGGCGCTAGTGGAATTTTAATTTCTAATCACGGAGGACGACAAACTGACGGGGTACCAGCAACAGTAAGAAGAATTTTATTATTTATGAAGACAATTGAATTCTTGACAAGAAATTTATCAAAATTTTTTTAAATAATTGAATTTTTTCGAAGAATTTATAAAGATAATTAAATTCTTGAAAAAAATTTCATTAACATTTTTAAAAAGAATTTCATGCAAAAAAATTTTGTTTATTTGTAAAAATAATTGAATTTTAGGAAACATTTTTTTATTAGAATTCTTTAAAAAAAATTGAATTCCTGAGAAAAATTTTTTAATTTGTGAAGATAATTGATTTCTTGACATAACTTTCATTAAAATTTTTTTAAATAATTGAATTTAATTAATTAAATTCCTTGTTTCGCATAGATTGAAGTTTTACCAGAAATTGTTAAAGCCGTTGGAGAAAAGGTGGAAATTTATATCGATGGGGGATTTTCCCAAGGATCTGATGTTTTCAAAGCTTTAGCTTTAGGAGCAAAAATGGTAAAAATCTTAATTTAATTATAATTTCCATATATCAAACTATTTTTTTTATACTTCTCATTTTTACAAAATTTCAAAAATTAAATATTTCTTTCCAATTATTAAATAATTAATTTTGTACTTTTTGTTACAATTTAATTATAATAATTTTATATTTTATTTTTTAATGTTTTAATTTAATTTTAAAATTTAATTATTATATATGTAATTTCCAAATATAATAATTAATTTGAATTAATTCTAAAATTTATGCAACTTATTATCAATTAAAGGCTCTTTTTGGAAGACCAATGTTGTGGGCTTTGGCTTGTGAAGGGGAAAAAGGAGCGAAAAATATTTTAGAAACAATGAGGAGAGAAATTTTTCTCACATTCACTTTAACTGGTTGCAGAAATGTTCAGGAAGTGTCTAAAACTATGGTTTGCCATGAATCCAGATTTAGTCATTTCTAACTAAAAAAAAGAAAAAATTTAAAAAAGCTTCTGTACTTAAATAATAATTTTTAATTACTTATTCTCTAAACGAGTTTTTCTCTAATAGAAAAAATTTAGACGTACACCGAAAATAAAATATTTATAAAAATTAATTGATTTTTTTTTGTAACTAATTAAAAAACATTTAGATCGAGTTTATAATTTTATTTATATTTTAAAGATATGCTGATGATATTTTGCATTGTAGAAAATAGTAAAAACTGAGAGTAGATACAATTAGCTCAATAACGATAAGTTAATTAGTAATTAATAATTAATATAATAATTAATAATTAACAGCCGATGTATTTGATTCAACAGCCTTATGTGTTATCACTTGTTATAAATATTTTTACAAATAATTTCCTTTAAGGCACAGTTGTAAAATTAGAGAAACATTTCTCATATCTAGTGCCCTTTTTCTGTTTTATAAAAAAATGTAAACTTTTATCCTTTTATTTCAAACAGTTAATTTTAACTTTTAATTAAACAAAACTTTAGGAATACTTAATTAATCGTTAAAAAAAAATTACGTCGTCTATTCTACAATTTCAATTTTGCACTAACATAAAAATGACTAGTACAAAGTGGTAAATACCTTATTGAGCAAAATATTTCTTTTAAACATTCGGTATTTATCCTAATTGCGTAAAATAATTTTAAAATCATAAATTCAAAATGTAACAAATATCTATATTAATTTCAATTAAAATTTTAAATAACACATTTACTTCTTTTTTAATAAATCTAGTCAAATTTCCTGAAATCTCATCGTCGAGTTTTGATATATTCTCAAAAGAAAAAATGCATTATTAATACTTTCATTTTCCTTCTGCATTGAGAGTAATAACTGAATATTGAAAATTCAATTTTTATTGTAAAATATATTTTTAATTATTTAATAAAAATTTTTCTTTTATTGTCAGTCTAATTTGCTTACGTCTTTTTCGGTCCAATATTTTCCCAATTATTCATCGATTTAATATTTACCTTCTCTATTTTCCAAGTCTGCGTGGCTGAGGATGAATCGCATTTTGTGACAAATACCTTTTTCCTCTCTGGATCGGCATCGAGACATCTTGAATTACTACTTCCGTGAACTAACCATTTTGTTTTCAAATTATAACGCCAAAGTTGATTGCCCTGACCGCCGTGACACGGATATAATGTCACTGGCGATTCAATGTCGCCCAATGAAACATCCAGACATAAATCACGACCCTCGGGACGAATATCCTTGTGCCAGGTGAGTCGAAATTTTTGCTCACCACCAATTATTTTATTTGTATTGTCCTTTGAGCATAAATCTAAAACAACTTCCTCGTCGCGACTGCGCTTTTTTGCGTCGAGACAATAATTTGATAATTCAATGTTTCTTATTTCGCCGCTGGCAAAATCTTCTGGTTCAATAGCGGGATAGACGTCTTCAAGATCGAATGCAACTTTTTCCATGAACCATTTGAATGAGCGACAGTGAAGTTTCTCGCGCAATGCTTTTCGTTCGGTTAAATCGCCTGGATCCATTGTTCGAAGGTGAGGTAGTCTTTTGTAAATAAATTCCGCGTATTCGTCCATCCACACCTCGGCGACTCTTTTATGATTTCGTCCTGAAATTAAAGAGTATTTTTAGAATATATCTTTTTTTCCAATTTTTCGCAGAAATTCAATTATTTTTAATCAAGTTTTCATTGAATTTACGGAAAGAATTCAATTTTTTTAAAAGATCGAAAACAATTCTTTTCAGAAGAATTCAAATATTTTCCAAAACTTGAATAGAATTCTTTACGAAAGAAAGAAATTTTTAGAATTAAAAAGAATTAAAATTATTAGGATTTTGAACAATATTTAAATAAAAATGTTAAAAATAATTGAATTTTGTTTAAAGTTGTAATTTTTAAAAATAATTAAGTTCCAAAACGTTTTATATTTATTTAATTTATTTATTAGAAGAATTTATTAGAAATTCTAATTTCTGTGGAAAAAAGTGACAATATGTATTTAAATATTTATTTAACAGAAATTATCGATGTTTTGAATAATTTAATTTACAAATTCTGAAAAGTTCCATTGAAATAATTTCTATATTTGGAACAATTTAATTTCTTTACTTTTAAAAATTATACAACATATATTTTTTTGAAGTATTTATTTTTATATTTTTGAAATATTCTAATTAAAAATTTGGAAAATAATTGAATTTTACAAAAAATTAGAATTGAAGTTATTATCCGGATAAGAACTCAAATTTTTGAAAAATTTAATTAGAAAATTCAAAGAACTCAAATTTTTGAAAAATTTTAATAATTCAAATTCTTCTAAAGAAAATTAGTTAAATTTTTTATATTTATATTTATATTTATATATTTATATTTATATTTATATTTTTTTATATATATTTAATTAATTTTTAAAAATGATGGACTTTCAGAAGAATTTTAGTTAAAATCACTGAAACTTTATGGATAAAAAAGAAAAAGAAGAAAAAATTCTCACCAAGAAAATCTCCCTTAGCACTATTCGGGAAAGGAGAAAATTTCCTGTAAATATGTCCCACTCTCGAGCAAGGTGCATCGTACATTTCTCCGCCACATTGCCATATTTTAAATGACAATTCATACTGTTCACCTCCCCAAATCTCCAATCCCGGATCGTATCCTCCGAGTTCCCAAAAGAAATAAGCGCTGATTGCAAACAATCCCCCGGCCATTACAGGACTCTTAAAAGGTTCCGAAGGCTTCTTCAAATTCTCCGGAAGCAATGGCAATCGCTTATAAAACAATTGCCAATCAAAAGCACCCCGTGCGCCCTCATCCTGAGCTCGATATTGAAATGTCTCGAAATCAATGACATCAATGAATGGACAAACGCAAATTTTATAATTCTTCGTAATTGGCTCAAGAAGCGGTGGCAACCAATTAACATTCGCCTCAGTGTGTGAATCGAGAAAAACGAGAATTTTCCCTTTCGCCAGTTTCGCCCCCGCCAAACGTCCACGAATAAGACCCGAACGTTTCTTCAGTCTTATTATTTTGACTTTTGATAAATTTTTCCCAACATAATCGTCGAGTTTTGATTTTAATTCCACCTTTGTACTGGCGTCGTCGACGAGAATTATTTCTTCCAAAAGAGATGGTGGCGAACGATTAATAACACTCCAGCATGTTCGCATCAAAGTACTGAAATGCTCATTGTGAAACGAAATGATAATTGATGCAGAATCAAGTGTTTTCAAATATTTTTTTTTTCTACATTGCGGATGTCTTATGTCGGGAATCGATCGATTTAGAGAAATCTCATCGCTGAGAGCGCCATTAAATCCATTAACGCTGTATAATTTTTCTTTTAAATTATCCTTAGAGGGCGAGAGAGAAGCTGCAATTCCATGCTCACCGGTTCCCTTTCTTTTTGATTCCTGCTGTATTTTTTCGAGATCGTGCCAATCGATTTTCTCCTCATCGTGCACCTGTGTTCAAAATACAATAATATTTTAGAAACAAATTAATAAATATAAATAAACTTTTTTAAATTTGAAAGAAAAATAGTACAGGGATCACAGTATCTTTTCTCCTTAAATTAGGTGAAAAAGTGAATTAATTTCTAAAAAGTCGTGAAAAGGTAAATTATTTTCTAAAAATTCATGACAAAAAGTGAGAAAAAAAATTATGATTATTCAAACAATTAACTAATTAATTAGATATTATCAATTTTATTGTTTTTAAAAATCTGAATAAATCTCTTGGCAAGAAATCAATTATTTTTATAAATAACAAAATTCTTTGCAAGAATTCAATTATTTTTATAAATAACAAAATTCTTTGCAAGGATTTAAATTATTTTTTAAAGAATTTTAATAAAAATTTCTTACCATTTTTCAATTATTTTTGTAAATTTTAATTCAATTCTTCGAAAGAAAACAATTATTTTCGAAAAATTAACAAATTTCTTCATAAGAATTAAATTATTTAAATTCAATTATTTTCAAAAGTTTTGATAAAATTCTTGGCAAAGAATTCAATTCTTTTCAAAATTTAAATAAAATTCATCACAAAAATTCAATTATTTTCAAAAGGAATAAAATTTATTTATTTTCAAAATTATAATAAAATTCATTGCTAAAATTCAATTTTTTTAAAAAAATTTCTTAATTCAATGATTTTCAATATTATATTATTTAAATAAAAATTTTCTATAAGAATTCAGTTATTTAAAAACAATTTTGACAAAATTCTTCCCAAAAATTCAATTATCTTCTTAAATAATAAAATTCTTTATAGAAATTCTAATATTTTCAAAAATTTTAATAAAATTCTTTCCAAAAATTCAATTATTTTCATAAATAATAAAATTATTTGGAAGAATTCAATTATTTTTAAAAATTTTAATAAAATACTTCCCAAAGATTCAATAATCTTCATAAAAGAAAATTCTTTACACAAATTCAAGTATTTTCAAAAAATTGAATGAAAATAATTCGAAAAAATTCAATTATTTTTGTAAATAATAATATTTGTAGAAAATATTTCATTATTTGAAACGTTTTAATAAAATTCTTGACGTAAATTCAATTATTTTCATAAAAGACAAAATTCTCTACAGAAATTCAATCATTTTAAAAAATGTTATCAAAATTCTTTCCAAAAAATTCAATTTTTTTCATAAATAACAAAATTCTTCGTAAAATTTCAGTTATTTTCAAAATTTCAATGAAATTCTTGATAAGAAATCAATTATTTTAACAAATAACAAAATTCTCCACAAAAATTGAATTATTTTTAAAAATTTTAATAGAATTCCTCCCAAAAATTCAATTATTTCTGTAAGTAATAAAATTTTTCGAAACATTCCATTATTTTAAAAATTTTTAACATAATTCCAGACAAGAATTCAATTATCGTCACGAATAATAAAATTGTTCTCAGAAATTCAATTATTTTCTAAGTTTTTGTTAAAATTCTTGTCAAGAATTCAATTACTTTTCATAAATTATATAAAAAATTCTTCGTAGAAATTGAATTATTTTCAAAACAACATTAATTAAATTTCTCGTAAGAATTGAATTATTTTTCAAAAACGTTAATTGAAAAGTATTAGAAAAAGTGGGAAAAATTTACAAAATAGTTGAAAAATAACGTAAATTAGATGAAATAGATGCCAAAAATTAAAAAAGAAAGTAAGTAAGCAACAGTCTGTGATACTGTGATCCCTGTCGCTTCTATCATACCTCATTATTATTGACTCGAACTTCTTTAATTATCGGTTCCTCAATTTGCAAAAATTGCGATGAAGATGGAGCAGAAGTTTTTGATGATCTCAAAAAACGAAAGATGACAATTGTAATGAAAATTGTGAATATTGACAAAATGATAAATTTAATAACACTGATCACGTTCCTCTTCATCTTCTTTTCATTGTGCTTTTTCTGGAAATCAAATTTTATTTTCTAATTCTCTTCGCTAGGTAACTTACGTCTAAATAGATATGCATTTAGTTTTATGCTAATTTAAACACTTATATTATGTGGCAAATTTATATTTGCGTCGTGGCACTGCATTTTTCTTTCAACACCTTTAAGGTTATGTTCCCCCCTAAAAATAATAACAATAATCATCAGCTGTTAACTGTCAAAAATCATGTTTTCAAGTGCAAAGGTCGAATCAATTATCTGCAAATAAAAAGTCCCTATATGGATTAATTTATTTTCATTATAAATTATAGAAAATTGACAATTTACTCAATTTGCTTACAATATAAAATAAAAACCGGTTCTTTATAAAATTTAATATTTGGTAATCAATTTACGAAAGAATAATTCTTTGCAGAATTCAATTATTTTTAAAAATAACAAAATTCTTTGCAGAAATTCAATTATTTTTAAAAATAACAAAATACTTTACAGGAAATTCAATTATTTTTATAAATAAAAAAATACTTTGCAGAAATTCAATTAACAATTTTAATAAAAATTTCTCGACAAGATTCAATTATTTTTGTAAATTTTAATTCAATTCTTCGAAAGAAAACAATTATTTTAGAAAAATTGACAAAATCTTTTATGAGAATTAAATTATTTAAATTCAATTATTTTCAAAAACTTTAATAAAATTCTTTCCACGATTTTAATTTATTTACAAAAAAAAAATTGATTCAATAACTCAATTATTTTCAAGAATTGAAAAAAAAAATTTTCCAAGAATTCAATTATTATTTTTGTAAATACAATAAAATTCTTCGCAAAAATTCAATTATTTTCAAAAATGTTAATGAAATTCTTGTGAAGATTTCCATTATTTTTATAAATGTCAAAATTCTCCACAGAAATTCAATTATTTTCAAGTATTACAAAAAAAAATCTTCCCAAGAATTCAATTATCTTTATAAATAGTAAAATTACTATTCACTATTTTTGAAATAATAAGAAGAAATTTTTTAATTGACTTTCCAATTATTTATTGCCATTAGTATTACAACAGGAATACAGAATAAAGAATCCTCTCTGCGCCTTTTATTTTGTGGCAATAATTTTTTTTTTATTCTTAACGAATATTAATTGATGATTTTAAAATATGACACATTATATATTTTTCATATAATTGAAAAGTAGAGTTTGCTCTTTTTTTCCTCATTTAATTATTAATATTATTTTCAATATATGTACATATTTTTTTTTTACGCAAAAAAGTTTACGGTCCATATTTGGCCATGGATGACTTTCATTCGCTCGATTCAGTCAGTCTTATGATTAACTGGTTATTTATACTTACAAAAAAAGCAGGAGAGAAAAAAAACAGAGTTTATCACATATATTCAATTTGAATCAAAATAATTATTAAAAAATCCCTACTCTCTACTAACTTCATCACAATATCACAAGAGTCAAATTGATTTTCGACACACAGACTGTTGAATCAAGTGAATTTATTGCTCAATCCGAAATCGAAGAGAAAAAAAAAATTGAAAAAATTAACAAAAAAAAGGAAAAAATGCTTAACAAAAATGCTCCGAAAAAAAGTCGTCAAAATTTGTTTAAAACAAAAGCGATAAATCTAAAAAAAATTACCTACAAATTAATCATCTGGGAAAAAATAATTTTTTTATAATATAAATTATATGTACGAATTTACAATTATAATCGAATAAATCAAAAGACGTTACAAACTTCACGAACGAAAATCCGAAGGTAAAATCTCAGGAAAGGAAATTTGGGAAATTCACGAGTTTTTTTTCCTGATCTTTTCCTCATAACTGATATCTTACGTATTTATTCAATTCTTACGGGGGAAATTTTTCCTATTTTGAACTCTCGTTTATTTTTAAAAACTTTTTTTTTTCTATTTTAAGAAAGTAAATTTTTCTATTTCATTCAACGATGGAAAATTTCAATTTCCAATTTTTAGAGACAAAATTCATTTCTCGTGACTTTTTGTCAAAAAAGTCACATTTGAATTTAAAGACTCGATCAACTTTAATTTCTCTAATTTATTTATTTATTCTTTTTGTCAAAAATGATTGAAATTCAAAATAAGAAATTTCTCCCTTTGGATTTGAATGAATTTTCACTATTCGGTCAGCTCTCTACGTATTTATGACTAAATCAATCCACAAACTCAAGTGGATTTCCGACTTCTAATATTAAAAATTATGGAATGAGCACTTGAGAAAAAAGGCATCAAAATTGTGCTCGTATACAAAAAAAAACGAATCTCAAAAAAATTTCTTAACAAAAGTAACGCCTTTTGGTAAAGTTGAACTTTTTAGGCAGAATAATTGTTTAATGATAGTAAATATAAAATCTAAAGAAAAAGAAGAAGAGACTTCTTTCTTTTTTTTTTGTTTCTTTTGAAATTTACATGCTGAGGTAACCACGAGCCTGAGCACGTCTACGTCCTATTAAATAAGCGACCAATACGATTACAACTAACGCTGCCAGGGCACAGCCAACAGCAATTGGCACCACGTCCGGCGTATCGAATGCACAGTCTTCAGCTGTGAAAAATTACAGAAAATTATCATTTTTCCTCCTTTCCACAACTCCAAGAAATTGCTTGGAAAAAGAAAATCAAAAATTCTAATTTTCCCCAATAATTTCAAAAACGAATATTTCCTTTTTTTAAATAATCAAAATTTTGTTCGGAAGCATTTTATAAGCGGCAGTTTATAATAGAAGTGCTTAAAAATTTATATTCTCTAAAAATAAATTAAATAAATTTTAAATTCTTATGTTAAAAATTTAAAACTTGATTTCTTATTAAATTGAATAAAAAAGGGCGAATAGTAATCCCTTCAAGATTATTAGTTAGAAAATTTATTAAATTCTCTTTAATGAATTTTTGAACTAATAATTTAGTAGAATTTTCATACAGTTGAATTTAAAAACTGGGAGTTTAAAGTATCCTGAATTATTATTTAGTGAAAATTTTAACACGGGTCTCGAATCGTTTTTAAGGCGCAAAAAAGTCGATTAGATTAAAATAGTTAAAATTAAAATTAAAAATTAAAATAAATAAAATTAGATTAAAATACTTAGACAAATAATTTTCCAAAATTAAAATAAATTTCTTGGTAAGAATTCAATTGTATTCAGAAATAATAAAATTCTTAGCAGAAATTGAATAAAATTTTTGAAAAATACAAATAATTTATATACAACAATTCAATTTTTTTATAATCGAATTCTTTCAAGGAATGTTATTAAAATTTCTGAAAATGCGAAAAATTATAATAAAATTTTTGAAAATCCTCATTAATAAAATTTTAAAAATAATTGAAATTTACAAAGAATTTTATCAAAACTTTTGAGAATAATGAAATTTCTTAAAACAGTTTTATTACATTCTTTAAAAACAATTGAACCCGTTCGAGAAATTTTCTTAAAATCGTAATGAAAATAATTGATTGTTTCGAAGAATGTTATCAAAATTTGAGGAAATAATTGAATTCTTTCGAAAAAAATGTTATTAAAAAATACAAAAAATAATTGAATTTAAAATCATGCAATGATTAATGTTTAAATATTTAATTATGTCTAATAAAGCACATTTTTTTAAAAATTATAATTTAAAAGAAATATTATTTTAAAGAATTTAAAATGAATTAAAGTTTCAATTATCAGAAATTCTATTCCTTTAAAAATTTTCCTTCGCGACGAAATTTTTTATATTTTTTCGAAAAAATGAAAATTCCGTCAATAGATTAAATTAAAATTTGATAAGATTACATTTCATTTTATTAAAAAGATCGTTAATCGAAACTATCAATTTGAAACTAATGTTAAATAAAAGTTCGATGACCTGATAAGTAAAATTTTTACTATGAAACAATTTTTTCTTAAAAAAAACCTTAATTCATTAATTTAAAATCGAAATTTTTAAATTCAGCTATAAGAAAATTCCATCTAATATAAAAGTTCGTCTAATATTTATTAGACGAAAATTTTATAACTTATAATCTGTAAAGGGGAAATTCATGCGCTCAAAAAAGAAGTAATCCAATAATAGTAAAAGTAGAAGAAATGAAAACAATAGAAAAAATAATATACATACCAAGGCCGAAAGAAGTGTTTTTATCAGTTTTGAATGCTTGGAATTGAACATCATTGACTTTGACAACAGCTGTCGTATCATTTGTTCCTGCCATGGTCATTTTAAAGCTCGTCTCTTTCAAACAACGATAAGAATTGCCCAATCCTGTTGGTATTTCATCAGTCTCGTGAACGAATTTCAATGTTTGATCTGGAGAAAAAAGAAAAATCAATCATTTCCAAAGAAAAAACCTTCTGCAAAGAGAAAAATGTTATCTTTTTTTTTAAAAAAATCAGTATGTGAATTTTAATAAGTACTCACTGGATGTAGAGTTATATTTTGGTAATTCCTGTGGTAAAATGACAAGTTCCATGTGATGGAGAGTATATTTCTTATTCTTTTCATCCTTAAGGAAATGAAGCGAGAACGAGTCGTTAATTGATCCCTTTGTCGAATTCCATGAGAGAATGATAATTTGTTCTTTATCGCCGCAACTTCCATTTACCACAGCATCGTTTGCTGGTAAATTCAATTTTTGCGTGAAATGAGCCTGCAAATGAAAATTTACAATAAGAGAACAAATTTTAGCAAATAATGCTTTATGATTATTATCTACAAACTAAAATTATTACTATATGATAAAAAAATATTATTAGTGGTAAATTTATGTTTCACATAATTTAATGGTCTTATTTTTTTACTCTGTTTATTTTTTACTGTAATTATTTTTACACTCATTATTAATGAATTAATTTATTAATTATTTTTCACTCTGTTTATTTATTACTGGAACAGAGTTGCCAGAAAAATTTAATTTTGTTTTTCCCTGATTTTCAGACAAAATTTTCACTTTTTCCCTGATCCTAAAGAATATTCTGATTCACTCTAAAAATTAGTAGATACTCAAAAAAAAAATGTTCTATCACATTTATTTACAAATTTATTTAAATGTAAATTTGTTCGAAAACAACAATAACTTGTAATAATTAAAGGTAACCGAGTGATGAAGTCAATATTTTATAGTATAATATAAAAATATTGTTACTGTAACTTCTTCAAAATTATTTTCATAATTTCCATTCAATTATTATTCTATAGAATTTTTAAATAAATTTCTTCTTTAAATCAATTATTTTAATAAAGTTCTTTGGAGAATTTTCGAATTCATTTGTATTCAATTTTACGAAATTCCGATTATTCACAGATTCTTCAATTAAATATATATTAGAAAATAAAAACTTGAAATAATTTTCAAAAATTTCGATTAAGCTTTTTCAAAAAAATTATTTCCACAGAATTTTTAATTAAAAATATAAAGATAATTGAAATGTTGACAAGAATTTTTAAAAAAATTTTTGAAAGTAATTGAATTTCTGGAAAGAATTTTAATATTTATTAAAATAATTGAATTCTTTCAAAGAATTGAGAGAAAATTTTTAAAATTGAAACTAATTTTAACAGAATTGAAATTAAAAACTCAATTTTCTTTTAGAATTTACTGCAATTATTTTTTACTCCTTTTTTTACTGCAATTATTTTTTAGTCCATTTATTTTCTACTCAATTTCCTTTTTTACTGCAATTATTTTTCACTCAATTTGCTTTTCAAGTTTTGTCGATTATAAAATGAAATTAATCCTTTTTACCGTTTTATTGAGAGGATATGTGATTTCAAACTGAGCAGCCATTTGAATAACAATGCAGGTTTCGTTCGTTGCGTTGAGAGACCATTTTTTATCCGTAGGAACAGGAACTGGAGTTGTTGTTGTCGGGCCAACGGTGGTTGGTTTTTCTGTTGTCGTTGTTGTTGTCGGTGGTGGTGTCGGTGCAGGTGTTGTCGTTGATGTTGTAGTTGTTTTTTCTGTTGTTGTTGTTTTAGGTGTCGTTGATGTTGTCGTCGTAGGTGTAGTTACTGTAGTTGTTTTTGATGTTGTATGCGCATGTTCTATTTCTTCATTCAGAGATTTAGTTTCTGGTACTGAATTGGGTTTAGTTTCTCCAACCGTTTCATTGACAGCTGCAAAAAAATTAAACTAATGTAGTAACAGCAAATAAAGAAAAACTAATTTTTTTAAAACAAATACAAGTAAATAGAAATAAATAAAAATAAATACAAATATACAAAAATAAATAAAAATAAATGCAAATAAACAAAAATAAATATAAATAAACAAAAATGAATACAAATAGATACAAATAAATACAAAAAGATACAAATAAATACAAATAGATACAAATAAATACAAATAGTTACAAATAGAAACGAATAAATACATTTTTCTAAATAAAATTTCAGAAGGGAAAATGAAAAAAGTGAAAAATATTAAAAATTAAAATAATACAAACATATAAAGACAAATTTTAATTTATATTAGATCTTTTATCGTGAGTCAGATTTATTTTTAGAATTTACTTTGAACATATTTCCACGTACGACTGATAAAGGACCCGGAATATAAAATAACGTGCTTACTATTTATTTTAATTTATTCTTGCGGTTTCCTATCACAATAATATACTTTTTAGTAGCAAAAATTAAGAGTCGAAATAACGATATTTATTAGCAATAATTTCACCGTTTACAATAATCCTTACGAATTATAATTAGAAATTAAAATTAATCAGTAAAAAACTAATAAAAAATAAATCAAACGAATTTAATAATAACAAATAAATAAACAAGTTGTTCATTTTATGACCATTAAGCTTCCTCAATATATAAAAATTGCGGTTTTGCAAACTTTTGAAAAATTATGTACAAAAGGGTTCGTCCAGAAGATTGGTTAAAAATAAAATTATATAAATCATTTATAAGTTGTTGTATAAATATTTGGTGAAATTTACACTTTCATTAGCCAATTGCTTCTATTTTATGATAGAATAATCATTTCAAAATATTAATATTAATATTAAATTAATTATGAAAAAAATACCAAATTTGAATTTTTTGTGAAAAAGAAAAATATTTATTAATTTTATAAATTTTGATAAAATATATACTTTGTATACATCAATCGATTCGTTTTCTTGCCAGGAATGTAATTTTGAGAATAATTAATAAAAATATTAACAAATAAAAAAATTATTTCAGAAAATACAAAAAAAAAAATTTTCTGAATTTTAAAAAAATTGTATAAAAAAAAATTTTGTACATATTTTTGAAAATCCTTGTGTCAGATTTCAGGTATTAATGACTGCAATAAACCTGCAAAATTTCAGGACAATCCATCAAAATTTGTCTGAGATAATTTGTACACAATTTTTGTGACATACACACACACACACACATACACACATACACACACACATACACACATACATACACACACACATACATCTGGACATTTGCTCATAATTGAATATACATATGTTCTAGATGAAAATGAGTCCATATAACCTTGTTTTGAAAAATTGAAAATCGTCACCAATGCAAAGCTTCCTCATGAGGAAGCAAAAGAATTGAATACTAGAAAGTAAATAAAAATAGTTAAATAAAAAAAAATAAATAAAAAAAAATTAAATAACAAAATTGAATAATAGAAAATTAATTTTAAAAAAATTAAATAATAGTAAGTAAATAAAACAAATTAAATAATAAAAAAATAAATAAAAATTAAATAAAAATAATTAAAGTTCAAACGAATGTGGCTTTAAAATAAAAACGATTGGCAACTGCATTTCGGTTTTTATTTAGTCAGAGAAAGAAATATTCGTAAAGTTTTAATAGTTGGTGATAAAAACTCCAAGTGTGAAATTTTTAGACCGCAATGGAGAAATAAAAACTGTCACGAATCTGGGAGGGCCTCCCAAAAAAGACAAAAAAAAAATACCCTCCTGGTGCCTAAATCTTCCTGTAAATAAAAATAAAATAAAAAACATTTGAAAAATCGAAAATAAGTGATGGAAACGTTAGAAAAACAATTATTAATTTTCAATAATAAATGAAAAGAATAATTGCAACTTTGTATAAATTTAATTTAATGAGCAATAATTCTTCTCCGTCCATTTTCGATAAGAATAAAATATAAAACGGGTGAACATTTCCGCTCAAGTTTGTTAAAAGTTGCATCATTTTATGCACTATTAATCAAATGTTACTATCAATTTTTTTTCCTTTGTTTTGAAAAATTGAAATAAAAATGCAAAATCGAAAATATCGAAATAAAAACATTTTTATTTATTTATTTTTTTTATTTTTTTTTTGTAATTCCCAAGATTTCCCAACAAACTAAGAATTTATTTTCAATAATTATTTTATAATTATAAAAAATTACATACTAATTCAGGGTTGGCACAAATATTTAATTTTATTTTTCCCTGATTTCCCTGACCAATTTTACTTTCTTTGACTTTTCCCTAATTTCCCTGACCTGTGGCAATCCTATAATTTTTAACACACAATTTATTTTTTCAATTTTAGACAAATTATCATTATTGTTCATTTAAAATCAATATTGAAAATAATCTAAAGTGATAAAAATCAGAAAATAACTTTTTTTTTAAACAAATAAGTAGGAAAATTATTTAATCAATTTTGAAAATTATCTCAAGAGAAAAATCAGAAAATAACTTTTAACAAATAAGTCGCGACAAAAAAAAATAAGAAAGTAAGAACATTCACTTTAGCAAAATTTACATTTTTCTTCTTACTCAACAATAGTTTATATATGAAGTGTTTCTGCGAATAGAGATAAAGAATAACAATAGTAGTTCATAAACGTATTTAAATAATAAAAGAAGAGGGACTATTTTTACAAACTTTTCAGAATTTGCGCCTTTTTTATCTAAAGTATAGAAAATTTATCGTATAGACACATTGTGTGTGAACAAACTTTAATGAACAGTTTGTTTTGCGATTTTAATTTATCAAGGAATTTATCAGTCACGTGAAAAAGTGAAATTACAAAAGAATTATGAAGAGGAGAGAAAAAAAAGAAGAGTGAAATTTGATTTCAACTATCATATTAAATCCAGTTTGTATTTTGTAAACAAACAGAAGCTAGAGATAATGGCATTTAAATGGAAATATAAAGAAAAATGTACGATTTCATTGTTGTTATTATTATTATTAGAAAAAAATGCAATTTCTTTTGAAATAAAATTATCAAGAATAGAAAATACCGAATATCCAAAATGGCATTTTTAAATTTAATAAAACGAATTCGAAAATTAAACAATTTAAAATAAATAAAGTTATTATTAGTAACAAAGTTATTGAACTTGAAACGAATTTAGTAAAGAAATTAATTAGATTCCTCTTCAGGAGGACATAAAATATTAATTGTTTTTTAAAAAGATTTTCTTTGTAGACAAAATTTGTTTTATAATAAAAAATGCTTAATAGACATAACTGCTTATTTCTCATTTACAATGATTCATTGGTCAAAAAATAACCTTCACAATTCACCAAATGCTATTCCCCCGAACTATTATCCTATTTAATTATTTTGTAAGAGACACTTTACTTTTACAAAACACTCTTTATCTCTTTATTAAACTCTCCGGTTTCTCATTGCGACAAGGGGATTGGAATGTATCTAAATTTGTCATTGCAATAGTATGTTAAAAAAGAAACGAAAAAACAAAGTCGTAATAATTACTGTCATACAAAATATAATTTACAGAAAATAATTATGCTCCAAAAATATTCTTAATATAGAAAAAATTACCAACAAATCAAGGAGGAAAAATGATATTCAATTCTCAAAAAGCCATATTATGTTAATTATTTTTGCAACGTCATGGACATTTCTCACTTGAATTTATTTTTAAAGGAAATATCGTCATTGATGGCTGGGATAAGAGATTAATATAAATTATCATAATTACCTGATACGAATATCGCTGCTGAACAAAGCAAAATTAAAATTTTCCGCAGCATCTTGCACTAAACTACAAAACGTCTGTTTACTGCGACGACAACTGAAAAATACGTCGTAACCTATAAATTCGTCCTTATTATTGGGGAATACCGAAAGAATAAAATTAAGTATAGACGAGAAAAGAGTTAGAAAATATATCTACAGACAAGTCACGACTTTCAACTCCAAATTACGTTTTGAAACTAATCAAAAAAAAGTATATTTCAGAAAAAATAAATTCTCTAGAACGCCCGACACAAGTGAAATTTTTGAGTTACGTTCAGAAAATGCGCATGTGCTGTATATATTAACCAATCATATTCTTCGTTCCAAAAACATTGAATATCTATTTAACAATTAAATTAATAATTCATTAATAATTTATTATTAATCATTATTAATAAAAACTAATAGAATTATTAATATATTCTATTATATTTCTACTTGTTTTTATTATTTATTCTATTCTCTTAAATCGACATTAAATTGTTAAATGTAACTTAAATTTCGCGCCTAAGTACACAGACTCAAGATTTTATTAATTAATACAATAATCATTACTAAATTTGTTTAATAAATAACTAAAGTACATCCTTGCAACTGATTTACAATTATTTCACAATAATAAAATTGATAAATAATTACATTAATTAATTTATGGGAAAAAACGTTAGTTCCGGGTTTGTCCGCCAAATGTAAGTAGGTGGCGCTCTAAAAAATGGCCGATTTTTGGAAGTTTTGAGTTTTAAATGCAATTCGCCTTTAGCGAAACTAGCGCTCTCATTGGCTAGATTCAAAATTACGTGGGGATACAGCAGGCCAATGGGAGAGGTTTAAAAACTAAAGGCGCATTTACAAATTGTTCGTGCTCATTGGCCTGTTGAGTCGCCGCGCAAATTTGAATATGGCCAATGAGAGAACCAGTTTCGATAAAGGCGAATTACATGGAAAAGTAAAAAAAAAACACGAAAATCGTTTGTTTTTTGAGACAATGTTTAATTTTAACTAACTCAAGTAATTATTTATTGATTTTATTGTTGTAATATGTTCAAAACCTCGAAAGTTCAACTCCCCGAATGTTCGAAACAGCGAAAATCGAAAAAATCGAAAGTCCAAAACATTTTTAGATGTTTTGTAAATTTAAACCGGTATAATTTTTTATTTTTTTAAATTATTTTTTTAATCAACAATATTAATTAATATTAATTAATTTTTGAATTCTTAATTTCGATTGGTGGAATAAAATTGGCCAATAGGAGATTTCAAAATCGGTAAAGAAGGAAGGAGAAAAAAAATGTCGTTACAAAGCATACAAAGTTATCATGAAAACATGTGCAAAAAGTATTATTAATTATAGTGAAAAAGTTTAAATGTTTTATAAATAATTACTTGTAAATGACATACAGTGAACGTTACAATTTTTACTTATAACAATGATACAAGTAATTGTAAAAATCTTTCATTACATTTAAACAATTGGCTAAAGTGTTTAAAATGAATTCTTTCTGCGGCAATAAATTTTATAGGTTATGTTATCAATAAGAAAATAACGAAAATAATCAAAACTATTGAAATTCTTAACATATAGTTTAATTATATTTAATTCTTTTAAATGTAAAATTTTAATTATTAAATTAAAGATGTTAATTTTTGAAATAATTCGTATTTTATATTAATAATCGAGATAATTTAGTATGATTATCAAATTTAGGTATATAGTTTTTTTTCTCTTAAATTTCTTAATTCTTCGAAATTCTTTTTCCGTTGTTTTTCATTTTGACAATTTACATTTTAATTTCAGGACAAAGTAAATTTATTTAGAGAAAATTCTTACATCAAAACTTTGTACGTTTGATATCTGTGATACTTGAGACGATAATATTCTGCATAGTAATTCATAATTCCAAGAAATAAAATAGATTAAAATTCCGATTAATTTTCGGTGTTTATTCAATGTATTTTTAACTTAAACAAGACTTTCTCATTTTTGATGAGAATGTAAAAACTATTATTTAAATGAATTTTGAATAATTTCAGATTCAAACTTTAAAAGAATTCAAAATTTTTAATAAAATTCTTTCAAAACATTAAATTATTTTCAAAAAGTCTTGAAAAGAATTCAATTATTTTGATAAATAATAACATTCTTCGTAAGAACTCAATTATTTTTAAAAATAGTAGAATTTTTTGCAAAATATCAATTTTTTTAGACAAAATTTTAATAAAATTTTATGAACAATTACAATTATTTTCTAAAATTTAAATTAATCCTTAGAAACAATTCAATTATTTTTAATAATTTTAATAAAAATTTTCTACCAATTTTCAATTATTTTTGTAAATTTTAATTCAATTCTTCGAAAGAAAACAATTACATATTTTCGAAAAATTAACAAATTTCTTTATAAGAATTAAATTATTTAAATTCAATTATTTTTAAAAATTTTAATCAATTTCTTAGCAAGAATTTAATTATTTTCACAAATAATAAAATTCTTACAAAAAATTCAATTATCTTCAAAAATAGAAAATTTTTTTTCCGAAATTCGATTAATTTAAAAAATTTTAAGAAAATTCTTCGCAAGAATTCAATTATTTTCAAAAAAATTTCATGAAAGAATTCAATTTTTTTTTTAATTCGTTATAAAATATTTCGAAAAAATTCATTTATTTTCTAAAATTTTAATAAATCCTTCGTAAAAATTCAATTATTTTTAAAAATAGTAAAATTCTTTGCAAAAATTCAATTTTTAATAATATTTTTCCAATAATAAAATATAAATATTATTTACATAAAATAAAATATATATATTATTTAAATAAAATAATTAACAATTGAATTGTACAGTTTTCAATAATTTAATATTATTCATGTTTTCAGGTATCAGAAATAAGGAGATAAAAATCATCGAAATTTGGAAAAAGTTGCAAAATTTGAAAATTATTACAGAGTGATTGTAAGAATTTAAAAAAAAAATGGTCAACATTTATAAAATCGATAAAATTGATGAAATGGATGAAGAGGATAAAATTGATGAACTGGATTTAGTGGATAAAGTCGATAAAATAGATGAAATGGACGAAGTGGATAATATCGAAAATCAGGACAAAATAATGGACGAATTATACACTGCAATTCATTTCGGCGATTTGAAGGAATTGAAAAAACTAACAAATTCTTTATCCGAGACTAATAATTGGCATCCTGACTACGAAATGCTTTCGCTGGCATTTTTACACAAACACCTAAATATCGTCAATTTTTTACTCGACGATATAAATTGTGAAATTACCGGCAATCACAAGGGAAATTATCGTGAAAATTCACCAATGCATTCGGCAGTATTACACGGTAATTCAGCACTAGTGAGACGTCTCCTAGACAGAAATGCCTCACTCGAAATTCGCAATATCGACGGTTATCTACCTCTCCACATGGTCGTCTATCGAAATTCAATAATTTCCAAAAGTTCCCTATCGCCCGATAATTTCGAGAAGGAAACAAAAAATATTATCACCACACTTCTTAATTATAATCAAAGAATTTGTTGCTGCATCGACGAAGTTGTCAATTCCTACGAAAAATATGGTTACACTTCTTTGCATTTGGCCGCCGAGTGTTCGAATCTAAAAATAATTCCAATTCTCCTGCAGGCGAATGCAAATTTCAACGCAACGACAGAAATCGGTCAAACGCCCCTTCACATTGCGACAATAAACGGAAACAGTGAAATAGTGAATTTTTTACTTAAAATCGGTGTTTCTGTTTTCAAAAAAGATCAAAGGGGTAAAACCCCCCTTTGTTGGGCAATCGAAATGGATCATCGGGACATTATCGAGATACTCGTGAATTACAAACCTGTTTACCCGAAGAAAACCGTCAAATACATTCCGACTTTGAAGGACGATTATTCCTCTCTTCTGACAGCTGTGAAAATGAATAAAACCGAATTGGTCAACTATCTTCTGAGTAAGGGAGCGAATGCCAACGTCTCGTGGAAAAATGGAATCACAGCCCTACACACTGCTGTGAAAAATGCCTCGGACGATATGATAAAAATTCTCCTCCAGTATAAAGCCGATGTGAACGCAATTGCACAAAATCGAAAGACACCTCTTTACCTCGCAGTCGAGCACGATCTTGAGAATATCGTCCAATTTTTCCTAGAAAACGAACCAGAGAGCAGGAAATCAATCTACTTTCCCTGCGATCAAGGTCTCACACCCCTTCACCTCGCGGTCAAGAAAGGCAAAGAAGAAATCACCAAATTATTACTAAAGTTCGGTAAAATATTCTATCATCCCGAGTGTACGGAATCAGTGCTTCACACCGCAGTTCAAGAGAATCAAACCCGACTTCTAAAAATTCTTTTGAAAACGAAAGGAATTTCTGACTTTGATTCGGGAAAAACGGCTTTGGAATTGGCTGTCGAAAAAGGATCCATTGACACTGTAAAAGAGTTCTGTATGTTTTACACCGAGAGCAATGTTCATTGGAATGGTTATGCGGCCCTTTATGTAGCAGCGTTAAATGGGAGGATAAATGTTCTGAAACTTCTCCTCGAGTACGGCGCTTGTCTGAATACTCCCAGTGATGATTATCTAACTCCTTTGATAGCAGCCGCAGAAAAGGGGCATTTGAAAATAGTACAGCTCCTGATAGAGAAAAAAGTAAATGTCAACGAAACGGGACCAAGTGGAAAGTGTGCCTTACACTTTGCGGTCGAGAATCAATTCCCAAAAATCGTCCAAATTCTTCTCGAGAGTGGAGCAAATGTCAACCAGCGAGCTTTGGGTCTAACGGCGCTACACTGTGCGGTCTACGTCGGCTCTTTGGAAATTGTCAAACTTCTCCTCGAAAAAGGTGCGGACATAAATGCAAAAAATCTCAGTGACGCTACGCCTCTAGTCACCGGAGTTCAGAAAAATCAAACCGAAATCGTGAAATACCTGCTTGCTAACGGCGCCGATGTTTACGTCACCGATCACGATAGTAGCATAAAATCCTTCAACTTCTGCAGCGATTGCGTTTACGATTTAAACACAGTCGGTAGTATCCGACCACTTCTCGTCGCCATCGACAACGGAAATGAGGAAATTGTCCTCACCCTTCTGGAAAATGGTTGCTATCCCGACGTCGTCGGCGAAAAAGTCTCACCCATTCATCTCGCGTCATCAAACGGAAATCTGCCGATTGTGAAAATTCTCATTGAATTTGGTGCCGATTTAGGTTGGGTGTGTGCTGAAAAATACACACCACTCTCACACGCCATCGCCAGGGGACAGACGGAAACTTTTATGCACCTCATGAGTACTGGTATCAATTTCCAGGACAATGAGAATAATTCCCAACTTCACATCTCCCTGAATCGTTGTCACAAGGACAAGAAGGTCGTTCAACTCCTCCTCGATTTTGGAGCCGATCTCAATGCGAGAAATTGCGAAAATAAAATCCCCCTTCATTGCGCCTTCTCCAGCGAAAATGATCACGAGGATGAGGAATTATTCCAACTTCTTCTCGATTATGGTTCGGATCCAAGTTCCACGGACCAGGACGGTAACAATTCTCTCCACCTGGCAGTTTTCAGCAACGATTTCACAGCTACAAAAGTATTACTCGACTATGTGAGTAATAATTTTAGTATAAATTCCCTAAATAATAATCAACGACCACCACTGCACATAGTTGATAAATCATTACAAGACGAATTAATTCTCTACGTTTATAAAACAGAATCACAACTCCCCGCTTCTGTTCGATTGGCAAAATTATTTTTAACAAAACTTGCATTTATGGAATCGAGACAAGAATTTATTAACAAGGAAAATTTACAGTTAGCAAACGGGAAGAATATGGTGAAATTTTATCAACGATGTAAAGACGAATTGAACGAAATGAAGGAGAAAAAAATTTACGAACAAATTAGTTACTATGATATTTTAACGGAAAATGAAACGCAAATATTATTGTACTTGAAGAATGAGAAAATTTTGGTAAATTTAAAATTAATTTATCTTAAATCATTATTTCCGTGTTATACAATTATGATTTTGAATCGTGTTAGTATGGTGCAGGAAAAACGACAATTAATCGATGAAACATTGGAATGTTTCGAAAAATTGTTAAATTATAAATTACCATCGCTTATTGTTCATGAAATTTTCAAATATTTTAATTTTTCTGACATGCGAAATATGTATAGAGCACTTTATCGTCGACGTGAATTGATAATGAAGCAATTTAAACAAAATTAGAAGAGAGGAAAAAAAAATTCTTTGCTCGCACTCAAAGCAAAAAAAATGGCTGTTACAAATAATTAATTAATTAAATTAATTATGTTAGTAATTAATTATTAATATTGATTATTAGTTATTAATATCGGTTTTCAATATTAATAATATTGATTATTACTGATAATTAATAAAATTGATTATTTTTCAACTTTCAAAATGAAAATTAGAAAAATAATTATTAATATTAATAATTTTTCAAATTTCGAAATAAAAATTTGAAAAATAGTTATTAATATCGATTATTCATTATTAACATCGATAATTAATTATTAATATTGATTATTTTTCAAATTCGAAAATGAAAATTAGAAAATAGTTATTAATATTGAAAATTTTTCAAATTTCGAAATAAAAATTTAAAAAATAGTTATTAATAAAGATTATTAATTATTAATATTGATTATTAGTTATAAATATTGATAATTTTTCAAATTTGAAATTGAAAATTAGAAAATAGTTATTAATATTGAAAATTTTTCAAATTTCGAAATAAAAATTTGAAAAATAGTTATTAATAAAGATTATTAATTATTAATATTAATTATTAGTTATTAATGTTAATATTTTTTCAAATTTGAAAATGAAAATTTAAAAAATTGTTATTAAAATCGATTATTAATTATTAATATTGATAAATTTTAAAATTTCAAAACGAAAATTTAAGAAATAGTTATTAATTTCTATTTTTAATTATTAATATTGTTTATTAGTTTTCAATATTGATAATATTTAAAATTTCAAAATGAAAATTTGGAAAAAAAATAATATTGATAATTAATTATCAATATTGATAATTTTTAAAATTTGAAATTGAAAATTTGAAAAATAATTATTAATATCGATTATTAATTAATAATTTTTATTATTAGTTCTCAATATTAATAATTTTTCGAACTTCAAAATGAAAATTAAAAAATAGTTATTAATATCGATTTTTAATTATAAAATTGATTAATAGTTATCAATATTAATAATTTTTCAAATTTCAAAATTAAAATTCGAAAAATAGTTATTAATATCAATTTTTAATTATTTATATTATATTGATTATTAGTTATCAATATTGATATTTTTAAATTTAAAAATGAAAATTTGAAAAATCGTTATTAATAACGATTATTAATTATTGATATTGAATATTGAATATTAATTATTAATTATTAACATAAAATATCGAAAGATTTAATTAATGTATAAAAAAGTAATTGCTGTCAGTTTCGTAAAATATTTTTATGCGATAAATTGACAAATTTCCCACTAAAATTCATTCAAAATGAATAATTAGTATTTAACTATATGTAAAGAAACAAAAAAAAAAATCGAATTTCTATTTTTTATGACAATTTTTTGAGGAAAATTAATTTTTTCCACTGTAATTAACGAATTTGTGTCAAGGACATTTATTCAAGGACGAAAAATCGTCTAATTAATAACTTTGCTTTTTTCCACGAAAGAAAATATTATTTTATCAATCGTTTTCTTTAAAATTTATAAATTTTCCTTTTATTTCTCACGTTTCTCTAAACAATAATGTTTACCTATTGTTAATCATATTAATTATATACAACATTGTTAATTGTTAATTAAAGGAATGAAAAGTGTACAAAATATAAAAAAAAAATATTTTTTCTAATAAATTTTTTTAAAATTATTATCTTTTGATGTAATTATTTTCTGGAATTATTATTTTTAAGAAAAAATATATTTTTTTCAAGGCAAGACATTGCGAAATATGTATGTAAAATTAATATTTACTTAATTTCTTCTTTTTTTTCAATTATATTGAAAAAAAATTAACATCCAAACATATGTTTAAAAGAAATAATTTACATAATAATAGATTAAGGGAACAATTTATGGAAAACTTGCAAAATGTATACACAAAATACAGCTGTATCAATTTTTTAAATCAATTCGTAGAAAAAAATTTTTAATATTTCACTTATTTAAATTTAATAAACACGGATATGAATATATAGAGCAATTTTTTGGGAAAAATTTTTCATTTGAAAAAAACAATTTGCTCTTGAATTGTTTAAATAGTAAAAAAAATTATTTAAGCGATGTTTATTTTTTTACAACTTATTTTATTAATTTTCTATGATGTCGCTGCTCGTAAGTTTTTTTTTTATTTATTCTATTAATTTAAATTAAAAAAAGTTAGGTTATAATAAATTGAGAATTTTTCTCAATTGGGGGTTGTTCACAAAATACGTCATACACTCCTGGGTGCGAAGTATTAAAAATTGTCAAACTATGGAAAATGGAAAAAATTTTACATTTGGTAAGTAAATAAGTCACGTTCGTCACGTTATTTAGTCCAAAATAACGTGACGTCTGACGTAGTTTGTGAACGACCCTGATGAGAATTATTTTTTTCAAAATGTAAACACACTTACTTGGAATATTTTATTATTTTATCAATTCCGATGATTAAATCTCCTAAATCTTTTGTAAACTCGATTTAATACATTAAAGTTTCTTTTTTAATAAAGCCACATGTGACATTATTGAAAAACAATCAGAAATGTGTTCCAATGTCAATACGTGCACTGTGCAGTTTTTTAATTTAAATATCAATGACATGAAGTTGACTGAATAATGAACATAGCTGTATTACAAAAAACACATACCAACATTGTAGTGTGCTAATTTAAATTCATAATTTATTATCAGTTTTTAGTATTAAATTTATAAATAGAAAGTATTCAATTTATTTACAAGTGTTTAATGTAAATAAACATTTCTTTTTACCTACTTTCCCCCCTTTTTTATCTAATCATTTTGGTGATATAAATTTCGCGCCATATTTCTCAAGTTGGTAATACTATTTAAAATGACGAAACTTCTGTTATCAACTTCATGGTAGTTTACCAGATTTGACTTTTGAGTGATCAGAGGTGTAAACAAAAGTTATTATGTTTAATTAGAATATGAAAATGTACATTATTCGCCAGATGTTACGAATCACAGAAATTTGAGATTATTACAAGATGATATATGTGGATCGTACTCGGAAAATAAAATCATCGGTGGTACATTTTCTGGAATTTATGAATTCCCATGGATGGCTTTTCTTGGAAGAAAATTAGCACGTGATGAAAGTTCTAATACTGAATTTTTTTGCAGCGGCACAATAATTAATGAACGATATATATTGGCCGCTGCACATTGTATTCAACCACTTTCTCCACGTAAGTAATTGAAAATTAATAATAATACATTTTTTTTTTTGAAGAAAATTAACATATACAATAGGGAGAAAATTAATGTAAACAATTGGGAGAAAGTTTATGTAAACAATTAAGAAAAAATTAATAATTTAATTAAATTAATTAATTAGTTAATTAAATGAATTACAGATTATTTTATAAGTGAAGTAAGAGTTGGAGAGCACGATACAAATAGTCCGAATGATTGTCAACAATTTTATAATCCGGTGATTCGTGATTATGTAATTCAATGCACAGGAGGTTTTATGACTTATAGAGTTGAGCAGATTTTTATTCACAGAAATTATTCAACAGATTCTCATATAAATGATATTGCACTATTGAGATTAAGCAGTAACATTGATTTTCAATATCGACACGTCAAACCCATTTGTTTACCAATTGGTACGGCTGCACAATTTTTAGGACAAAAGGTATTTAATTAATTTCAATATTATTTTATTTTAATAAATTTCGTTTATTATCATCAAAAGAAAAAATTTAAATTTAAATTAAGTGAAAAAAGAATTCATATTTAAATTCGCATTTTAAAATATTAAAAAAATAGCAAATGTATTTCATTTATTAAGTATTATTATTATGGAAATTAAAAAAAACTTGTAATTTTCAAATATAAATTACAATTTTTGAATAATTTCAGATTAAAAATTTAAAAAATTTAATTATTAACTAATTTAATAATTAATAATTACTAATTATTTTAAAAACTTTAATAAAATTCTTCCCAAGAATTCAATTATTTTCAATATAATTTCAATCAAATTTCTTAAAATAATTGAATTTTTTTTTAAATTAATTTGATTTTTTTTAAACAATGTTGTTTATTTAATAATTTTTATTGAAAATTTTGAAAGTACATAATTGAATTTTATGAAGAATTTCTTTTAAGTTTCTAAAATATTAGTGTTTGTTATTAATTGTGATTAATAATTTTATTATTAAATTTTATTAAAATTATTGACAGAAAATTAATTTCTTTAAAAAATTTTATTTGTTCTCGTAAATAATTAAAAATTTTTTGAAGATTTTCTTCAAATTTCGTAAAAATATTATAATTTTTGAAAATAATTTTCACTGAAAGTTTTGAAAATAATTTAAATTTACAAAGAATTTTATAAAAAAAACTTTTGAGCATAATTGAATTATTTAGAAAAATTTTATTACAATTTTATAAAAATAATTGAATTTTTGGGAAGAATTTTACAATTTATAAAAATAAATTCAATTGTTTTGAACAATTTTATCAGAATTGTTCAAAATAATTGAATTCAATTAATGTTTTTAAAAATAATTGTATTTTTTTCCAGAAATTTTATCAAAATAAAAATAATGTTGAAAATAATTGTAGCATTTTTAAAAATAATTGCATTCTTTCGAGAAATTTTATTAAAAGTTGTATTAAAAGTAATTTAATTCCTGCGAAAATTTTCTTGGAAAATTCCAAGAAAAAAATTTAATTAAATACTTTAAAAAATTTAATTCTCTTCCTAAATAATAAAATACTTTTCAAAAATTCAATCATTTTGAAAAATTTTGATGAAATTCTTTATGAGAATTGAAATATTTCCAATACAGTTTTAATAAAATTCTTACCAAGATTTCAATTAAGTATTTCACAAAAATGGATCTATTTTGAAAAATTTGAATAAATTTCTTTTCACTTAAGAATTCAATTATTTTAGATTCAAAATTTATTTAAAAAAAAAACTTTTTTTATTGTTATAAGATTAATATTAATGGAGAATTTAAAAATTTTTTTAAGGGCACTGCCTGTGGATGGGGAAAAACAAAAAATGCACCTGTGAGCACAATACTTCAGAAAGTGAAAATTCCTTTAGTGGCAAATAGTCAATGTTCTAGGTATTTCAGCAATATTTTCAATGCTTATAAGCAAATATGTGCAGGAGGAGAGGAAGATTTTGATACTTGCACTGGTGATAGTGGGGGGCCATTTCAAAATATTGGATTATATAATAATATGTACAGAATGGTTCAATATGGAATAATTAGCTACGGACCAAGACAATGTGGCATGAATGGGGTTCCTTCCGTTTACACAAATATTGCTGTTTACATGGATTGGATTCTAGATCATATGCGAGATTAATGATAAATTAGAATTATTCCATTTATTAAATTTAGTCACTTTTTTTATTAGCCACTAAATTTAATTAAAACCAAATATTTTAAAAAACAAATTGTACATTTTTTCTTAATTAGAAAATTAATAAAATTTTATTCATTTGGTAAATAATTTTTCAAAAGTATTTTATTGTTGGGGAGGGGGGTTAAAAAATTACCTTGATACATTTTCGAAACATGTAAATAATGGACCTGTATAAGTCTAGACGGGAGTCATTAGTGCTTGAATTGAACTTCACTTAATGATACATTTTATTTTCATTTCAGGACATTCGCATTTCTTACCTGAGGGGGTGAAGAACTCTTCAATTCACGAGTTATTTCTATTTTAATAAATATATAGATTTTATTTTTTTTTAAAACAGAATTTGAAAAAGTAAAATGAAATTAGAATTAATAATTTTCATCTTTTCGTTTGTTACAACTTTAGCTACTGGTAAGTAAAAAAATAATTTTTATATTTATGTCAATTTTTCTTTCTTTATTTTATGTCTTTAATTGAGAAAATATTTTTTTTTACAGAATTTACTCCGCCACCTCCAAATGTGACAAAACATGAAAATTTGAAATTTCTCAATCATGAATTGTGTGGACCAATTAATGAATTTAAAGCCTTCGGCGGTACGGAAGTGGAAATTTTCGATTTTCCATGGATGGCTTTATTGCAATACGAGGTTGAAGATGGAAATAAAACGTATTTGAGATTTTTATGTGGTGGATCGATAATCAGCAGTCGATATATTCTCACAGCTGCACACTGCGTCAAATATTCGCATAAAAGTAATATTTTTTCATTAATATTAATATTTTTTTTAATAATTAATTAAGACTTTTCACTTATATTCAAGAATTCATCTAATTTCCAAAAAAATTCATTTCAAACTTTTTGATAAACTGAATTGTTCAGAATTTTTAAATTTGTTTCCAAAAATTTTAGCTGCACAATATTTAAGAAAAATTATTCTAACTAAATTGTAATTAAACATAAATATTTTTCAATTACAGATGTTTATTTGAAAACAGTCAGATTGGGTGAACATAATTTGAATACAGATCCTGATTGTGAAATAAGTTACTACACAGGGACAATGTGTGTGGAAAAACATCAAGAATATGAAATTGAAATAATACTTCCACATCCGGAATATTCATCAGTTCATTCGGGGAACGATATTGCTTTATTGAAATTAAAGCAGGATATTGATTTTACAGCAATTAATATTAAACCAATTTGTTTGCCCATCGGTCGTGCTTCGTATTTACGTCAAGAAATGGTATTAACGATAATTCGAAAACTTTCATTAAAATTGAATAATTAATTTTAATTTCGAGTTTAATTTTCAATTCAATTTCAATTTTAAGTTTTTGGTTTTAAATTCAATTTCAATTTTGAATGCTCCACAAGTTCTGAACGTTTAAATGATCGAAATTTTTTGCCAATATAAATATTTTCAAAAATTATTATAAAAAGACTATTATAAAAAAGTAAAATCAAAATTAAACATCCAGAAACTTTAAATAATTTATTCTTTTTAATACTTGACGCAATATTATTGTAATAAAATTTTTATTTGAAGAAGAATTAAATAGATTTTGTTCTTTCGAGCGTTCAGAACTTTAAGGACATAATTTGGTTTTAATTTCAATTTTAATTCTAATTAATTTTGTTTTTAATTTCAATTAATTTTGAATTTAATTTTAATTAATTTTAAATTTAAGTTTAATTAATTTTGATTTTAGTTTTAATTAATTTTGATTTTAATTTTAATTAATTTTGATTTTAAGTAATTTTTATTTTAACTTAAATTAATTTCAGTTTTAATTTCAATTAATTTCAATTTTAATTAAATTTGATTTTAATTTAATTTTTGATTTTTAATTTTAATTGTAATTGTAATTTTACAACCTAATTCGAATTAGTTAAAATATGATTTCTCGCTTGAATGCAGGTGACGGTGAGTGGATGGGGACTGACAGAAACAATGTCATTCAGTGATAATTTACTGATGGTTCATCTGCCGGCAATTACGAACGAGGAGTGTAATAAAGCCTACCGACGTTTGCCGAAAAAAGTGAATATAAATTATAAACAAATGTGCGCTGGTGGTGTCAAGGGTCGTGACGCTTGCAGCAGAGACAGCGGTGGACCTCTACAAGCGCCTGCAATTTACAACAAAAATGTAAGATTTGTACAATATGGCATTGTTAGTTACGGTTACACGCGATGCGGAACCGAAGGAATACCTGGAGTTTACACGAAAGTTTCCTATTACATGGACTGGATTCTAGACAATATTGATAATTGATATTGATAATTTTTCTCCCAAGGAAAAATTATATTCTAAATTCAATTTTATTTATATATATTTTTATTTATTGAGTTTTAAATAAACAAATTTTTCTATTTTTTAAAAGAAACTCGGCATTTTTCGAATTCATTCGATTTATTTAAGAAATTCATTTAAAAAAAATTCATTTTAAAAATACAATCAAAAAATTCGTTTTGAAAATTCAATCAAAAAAATTAATTTTGAAAATTGAATTAAAAAATTCATTAAAATTATAAATTTTATAAAAATTCTACAGAGGCGTTGCCAGTGCCTATTGAACTTTTATTCATCTTGCACCGATGCAAATATTCGCGATTTATTATTTCCTTAATGATTCTGCAATATTTTCTCAATTATATCGATAATTAATCTTGACTAAAAACTACAAAGAAAATTTTTTTTTCTAAAGTCTAAAATTACGTTTATAGAATCAATGGAATTGATTATAAAATTAATTTCTCTTTATCTGAAAGTTAATTTTATCAAGTTTGTGTCAACTCTTTGGTGTATATATAATATTTCAGTCTTGATGCAAACTTTAGCACGAGTACAAACTGCAAACACGTTAGTTTACAAATGAACGGTTCACGGTCAAGTTGCACTCGATTAATTGCACGTGAAAATTATAAATAAGCACAGAAAAAGTAATTAAAATCTTTTTTAAAGTGACAAAAATAGAATTTATCGAGATAGACAAATTTTCTTTCCAAGTAATGAGAATTTTCATTTTTCTTTTCAATTTGATTTCTCAATTTTTGCACTCAGAGAATAATAAATTTAATATTTAAATGAAATTTATTAATTTCAGTATTTAAAGTATTAAAATAATTTCCGTCTTTTAAATTATAAAATTACTTTCAATATTTAAATTGAAAAATTAATTTCATTATTTAAATTAAAAGCTTAATTTTAATATTTAAATTTAAAAAATTAATTTTCAAATTTAGAATTTTATTTAGAATTCGAAATTTGCAATTTAAAAAAAATTAAAATTATAATCAAACTGATGAGATTTCATAAATCTGTGGTTGATAATGATTAACAGGAAAGTTTCGGTGGAGAAAAAAAAGTGATAGTGTTATCAAAATATTGTAAGTTTTCTAATATAAAATAAAAATTAATTTCGTTGATTCACATTTAAAAGCGTCTTTATCAGTTATATACTTAATTAGAAAATTATAATATTCACTGTGTGATTTTATCGTCTTCATTTCAAACAATTCAGAAAATTTTCTAAACAAATCAAAGCAAAAGTTTCCTCGAAAGGAAATAAATAAACAAGACTGAAAATTAAAATACGCAATAACAGTGCTAAAAATGTTTATTAATTAAAAATTCATTTATTAGAAAATGATCAAGTAAAAAAGAATATAAAAAAATAATTATCATAAGTCGCAGCAAAGAAAAAAAAAATTACAATGATTTTGAAAAAAACTTTACCGTTAACAATTATTTTTTTCTTAGCTCACATTGTTGTTGGAGGTAAGTTCTGACTATTGTTATTTATTTGTTTAGAATTTAATGAAAGCATTGAAATTTTTTTTTATTGAAATGGTAATGAATTCAAAAATTTAGAAATTACAAAAAAAAATACCTAATACCTACTGCAATTAATAATTGAAAATTTCCAAAAATAATACCAATTTTTATTGAATTTCCATAAATAATAATACAAATTTTTATTTAAATTAATTTCTAAAAGAAATAGAAATTTTTTTATTTTATTTCCAAAAATAACATGAATTTTTCTTTAATTTTCAAAAATAATACCAATTTTAGTTTAATTTAATTTCTAAAAATAATACAAAATTTTTATTTTTATTCAATTTCCAAAAAAAAAGAAATGAATATTCATTAAATTTCTAAAAATAATAATTTTTATTCAATTAATATTTCAACCATTAAACTCAACCGGTTTTATTACTCTTTTTTTCTTGAAATTTATTTATTTCGTATTTTCATTTTATTTTATTTTATTCAATTTGCATCTGTTGAATATACTTTATAACTGGTTTTTATAATTACTTTCGAGGATTTAAAGATGCTTTCAATAGTTAAAAAACAGCATTTTTGTAAATTGTAGCAATTTTTCCAAAAAGAAATTTTTAATTTCGCATTTAATTAATTTTGGAAAAAATTATTAACTTTTTTTTATATAATATAAGAAAGGACAGAGAGTGGTTTCTTTTGTTCAGAAATAATCATGTTTCCTGTAGAAGAATCCTGTCAAACATCATCGGGAAAGACTGGAATTTGCATTAATTTAAATAAATGTGATGCCTTATTGGACACTGTAAAAAGAGATGGACTCACATCACAATCAACTTTACAACAATTGCATCGATCAATGTGTGGTTTTGAAGGAAAAATTCCTAAAGTTTGCTGTGAAAGTCAGGTAATGTTTTTTTTAAATAGATTTTTTTATTTAATAAATTTACAATTATAATGTTATAAGAAAATTTTTTTTGTTCGAAAAATTTACAGAATTAAATTCGATGACGTTAATTAAAAAATTTATTGCATTCGACGATGTTATTTTAAACAATTAAATTCAGTGACGTTATTTAAATAATTAAATTCAGTGACGTTATTTAAATAATTTAATTCGATGACGTTATTTAAAGATTTTAATTATTAATTCAGGACTCGAACCAGTGAAAGTATTTAAAAATACGGATTAATTCTTCTTTAAATCGACTTTTTAAAAAAAATTAATTTCAAAATTCAATTATTTCTAAAAGTTCGAGCCCTGTTAATTTAATAAATATTAATTAATTAATAAAACAATTCGTAAAATAATTAAAATTAACAATTAAAATTATTAAAATTATTCAACAAGAGCAACTGAAATATTTGCGTAGAAAATAATGAAAATTAACAATTATTAAAATTTGTAATAACAATAAAAGAAAAAATTTTTCGTTTTTAACTATGCATTAAATTACACGATTAATGTGCCAGTAATTAATTATAATTTTATTAATTAACATTTTACTTGTAAAGTTTGTAAGTTTTTTTTTATTTAATAATTGTAAAGAATTATTCTAATTTATAATTGAATATCTAAATCAATTTTTAAGTAATAATAAGTAATTAAACATTCAGTTAAAAATAAGATCAAATTTTTATCGAAGTTTTTGAGTTATTTTTAATTATTAAATTTTTAAATTGAAATAATTCCTTTTGGTTTAATTGTAAATTTTTTTTTTACAGGAAACGATAGCAGTAGAGCAGCCGAACAGAGTGGCGGAGGTACCAATAATGATACCAGATCCACCGAACGTGACGCAGCATCCAAATTTGAAATTATTGGATTTAGATTTATGTGGACCAATAACAGAACAAAAAATTGTCCGCGGCAATCGAACGGGAGTTTTGCAATATCCATGGATGGCATTAGTTGCTTATAAAATTGGCGATAACCCACCAGAATTTCGTTGCGGTGGTACAGTTATTAATAAACGTTACATTCTCACAGCAGCTCATTGTTTAACTGATCTTCCAAGCGGTTGGTACATTTTTTTTTTACAATTTGAATATTTAAATTAATTACTAATTTGATTTACAATATTTCAATATTTAAATTGTTTCCTAATTAGATTTACAATTTGAATTTAAATACCATTTAAATTAAAATTATTTTCTGACTACATTTACTAATTAAAAAAATATTTATTAATAATTTTAGAAAACAATTATTGACGGTTTAGTAATAAATATCGTTTTCAGGCTTCAATGTAATTGGAGCGAGGGTGGGAGATCATGACACGAGCAAGGAGAGAGATTGCGATGTCGATAAATATGGAATGGAAATTGTTTGTGCCGAAAGATATCAGGATTTTGGCATGGAGAGCAGTCACATTCATCCGGAATATAAAAAGGCAAAATTACAAAATGATGTTGCCTTGATAAGACTCGATAATGATATTGACTTTCGACCCGCGAACGCAAAGCCAATTTGTTTACCACTCAGTCCAGCGACAAAAATTACACAAAAAAAGGTTAATTAATGTTTCAATTCAAATTTTCTAAATTTAATTTTTGAAAGAGAGTTTTTCAAAAGAAATTTTGGAAAAAATTATTTTCGTAAAAAGTTATTTAAATTTAAATTTAAACATTTTTTGGAAAAACATTCTTGAAATTAAAATTTAAAGGTAAATAGTTAAATTGTTTACATTAAAATTAAAATATTTTCGAAAAGAAATTTCCAATAAATTAGATAATAATATTGGAAATTTTTTTTTTTTTAAATTTGAAACGTAATTTTTGAAAAAAGAATTCTTTAAAAATTTCCAGGTAACGGTTACTGGATGGGGAATCACGGAAAATAGAACAACAAGTGAAGTATTGCTTCATGTGAAATTAAGTGTCGTGCCAGTGGAGAAATGTGCGGAAAATTATAAAAGTTTTGCACAAATTAATTATAAGCAAATGTGTGCAGGCGGAAAAGATGGAATGGATTCGTGTCTTGGCGATAGTGGAGGACCACTTCAAAGTGCCACATTGTATAATGAAAAAGACGCTCGATTTGTACAATTTGGTATTGTTAGTTTTGGTCTGAAAATTTGTGGCGTCGAAGGGTATCCCGGTGTTTATACACGAGTCGATTATTACATGGATTGGATTCTCACCACCATGAGGGACTGATTTTTATCAAAAATTTCCGCATTTTTATATATATAAATCTTCATTCTACCAGAAAATTACGAAAAAAATTCATTTTTTAGAAATTTCCACAACAATTTTTACAAAATATATTTAACTTCGTTTAATTAAATTTCTTTTTTTTGGTAGAAATTTCTCGATTTTATTCTTCTACTTTTATTTTTTACTATCAACTTTTAGTTTCTATTTTTCTATTTTAATTTCCTGTTATTAATTTTGGCTTTTAATTTTTAGTTTTGTTTTATTTTAGATTTTTTGTTATTAATTTTCACTTTCAATTTCTATTTTCGTTCTATTTTCAATTTTTCTTCTTATTTTTTTGCTTTTAATTTATATTTTTGTTCTATTTTCATTTACTGTTATTAATTTTCTATTTTAATTTTAATTTTTGTTTTATTTCCGATTTTTCGTTATTAATTTTCGCCTTCAATTTCTATTTTCGTTATATTTTCAATTTTTCTTCTAAATTTTCGCTTTTAATTTTTATTTTTGTTCTACTTTCAATTTTCTATTATTAATTTTCGCTTTTAATTTACATTTTTATTCTATTTTTGATTTTATTTTATTCATATTCACTTGTAATTTCTAGTTTTGTTCTATTTTTAATTTTATTACTTTTTTTACTTTTTATTTAATTTAATTTTAATTTTAATTTATATTGTTGTATAGAAAACAGTTTTTTTTTACAGAAAACTTTCTTTTGGATAGAAAACAGTTTTTTTTTCGTACAGAAAACTTTCTTTTTGATAGAAAACAGTTTTTTTGTACAGAAAACTTTTTTTTGATAGAAAACAGTTTTTTTTTTGGCTAAAAAATTATTATCATTTGTAAAAAGCTGATTAATAATTTCGGTGAAAATTTTTTACACGACTTCTAAAAATTCTACGAGTAATTTATGTTCCAGGGTAATTATTGGAAAAAAAAGAAGAAAGAATTTTCTAATTTTTCGAGTATTTAGACGATTTATAACTCAACTGATTGCACATTTCTCGTATTTGTGGAAATACGATACTTTTTCGAAATTTCTTCTTCAGAATATTTTCTGAAGTTATTTATTATACTTTTCACTAAAATCGAATTTTATAAAATATACTCTTAAAATATGCTTATTAATTAATTCTTACTAACTAATTGTTTATAGTAACTTATTGCTAGCTTTTTACTGAAATGTAAGAAGCTTATTATTAATTTCGATATAATAATGATTTTTTGATTTTAATTTTTTTCCCAAATATTAATTAAATTTATTCAATTCTTTTTAAAATTGTTTCTAATCTTTTTAAATCTTTTTTTTAATTTCTATCCAAGAAGAAGAATTAAAAAGAAATTAATAAGAATTAAAAAGAATTCTAAAAGATAATTTAATATTTAGGAAAGTAGATCAATCAATCTTTAAATTTTTTATCCCTGATATTCTCCATTTGTTATTGTATCTATTTTTTTTTACTTTTATTACGCAAAATGAGCAAATAAAAAGTTTAAATGTCTCCATGAATTTAAATTCTTTTCGATTGACTTTGGCGAAGTTCACAGTTGAAGAAAAAATATTTAGAACTTTAAATATATTTTTCCATAAAAAAAATTGTTCTTGTCAATAATTTAAAAAAGAAAGATTCGTGAACTAATTTTATTCTATTCGTCAAGAAATATATTTTTTACCCTCAATCGTTTAACTTCACCTACGTTTCGATTGAATTCAAAAAATTGAATTCTCTAGAAAAAGAATTCTTGGTTTTTGAAAAATTATTCTAAATTAATGAGCGTAGAATAATAATTAGCGTAGAATAATAATTCGTAGAATAATAATTGGTAGAAATAAAAATTTACTGTTTTTATAATTTGTCATTATCGACATTAGCTGAACTGTGATATTCACTGACTTGAGAATTGATGGAAAATCGTCCACTATTTGAACCACGATCCACAATAAGTTGAGCGGTCTCGTTTATTGAGACCTTAAGGGGTCCTCGCTCGTTTTTCTTTTTATTGGAAGCTTCGGATTTTCCAGTTGAAACTTCAGACTTTTTTGACTCGGAAGACTTGAATGATGGTGTCAGGGAGACCAGTGTCCCTGAGGAACTCGTTAACGAGTCTGAATTCGATCTCGATCCACTGCCACCGCTTATGTAAGAATCAACACTACTCGGTCTTTGTCGTCTCTTCAATTTTATTTTCTTCGTATGAAATGCTTCCGTCATGTCGCTCTTCGACTGTAATTGTAAAGACTGAAAACTCTGTAAATCATTTTTCGCAGCTTCATTTAGCCGAATTATACAATTATTTTACACAAATTCTTATCTAGATAATTAATTTGTAGAAAATTAACTACAGTAGAACCTCGATTATCCGAGGTAATGTGGGGAAGAGGTACCTCGGATAATCGAAAACTCGGATAACACGGAACCAATGAAAATTTCAAAATTTTAAATTATTTTTCATGTGTTTAAAGTGTTAGAATAATATTAAATGACAAAAATTGACGAAATTTTAAATGCAATGATCACAAATAGTGGTTTTGTAAAATTTATTTTCCAAATTTAGTCGCTCGATCCGTTTTATCCGAGTTATTCCGCATTATCCGAGCATGTTTAGTGCCTCGGATAATCCGGAATCTCGGATAATCGAGGCTCGAATAACCGAGGTTCTACTGTATATAGAAAATTAAATATTGAAAATTAAATATTGAAAATTAAATATTAAAAATTAAATATAGAAAATTAAATATTGAAAATTAAATATTGAAAATTAAATACAGAAAATTAAATATAGTAAATTAAATATACAAAATTAAATATAAAAAATTAAATATACAAAATTAGTTATACAAAATTAATTAGAGAAATTATTTTTCGCTTAATTTACACAATAGGAAAATTACACATTTACCTGAGAATGTCGCTCGAAAAGGGTTGGAATTCGTGTCACTCGACTCAGCATCATTTCCATTTGAATTCGATGACGCTCGGCTTGCTCTCGAGCTTCGTCCTGTCGAAGATGAAACCTGAAATCCAAGTCCCTGGCGTGCTCGTGTCTTAAAAGGATAAAGAAAAAGTTTTAATTACAAGTTAAGTTCACTTTTAATTAATTTTTATACAAATTTATTTTCCACCTGGCAGCTGATCGCAACGCTTTCCAAGCTGGTTTTTGGCCAATGAGAGACTCTCTAATTCTTATGAACTCCTCCCGACGTTTTTCATCCAATTTTTCTTGAATTTCTCGTTCCATTTTCTCACTACAATTATTAATAATTTTAGCAAGCTAAATTGAAAGGATCAATTATTTTTTTAATTTATAGAAAGAATTCAATTATTTTTTATATTTTAATAAAATTGCTTTGAATGAATTAAATTATTTAAAAAGGAATTGTAATGAAATTCTGAGAATTTAATTATTTTCTAAAAATTTTATTCGCGCGTAATATTTGTTAGTTTATAATTAATTACCGAGAAGCTTGACATCTCAGGACGGCCGCCAAATTATTTCCCCTAATCGGTAGAGCAGCAAGAGCAGATTTCGATCTTATTAATTGCAATGAAGAGTCATTGTAAATTCTCGACGATTCTCGACTCTCGCAATTTTTTTCATTTGCCGATTCTTTCGCGGTACTGCATTGAGAATGAAGAGAAGTTGATCTGAGACGTTCTCTTCTTGCCATGGACGGTGGCAAATTTGATGATTTCATCAATTCTGAAGCTCTCATTTTTTTCTGAATGGATCTAAAAAAAAGATTCTATAAAGCTAAATATAAAAATTTAGAAGAAAAAAATGAAAATTGTATTATTATTTGAGAAATCAGTTTTTTAAATTGTAAATTCCGTCTATTACCTGTAGTAATCATCTTCCAGCATTCGATCATAAATGTCAGTGTTGAATAAATTCTTTGGAACTGGTTTTGCTTTAAATCGAGATGAATTGCAACGTATTTTTTTCCCACAAAGTTCGGGACTCGATCTCGAAAGTGCTTTCCAAGCTCTCTTTTCACACTCCAATTTAAATGGTCTCACTTGGGAGAGTAAATTCAACATGCTCTCCTCTCTCACCAATCGACTCCTAAAATTTTAATTCGATTATAAAAAAAAACTCTTTACAGAAAATATACTATTTTCAAAAATTTTATGAAATTAATTTTTCTCAAAAAGCTTAATAGAAATTTTTAAAAATTATTTCAAGTTTTTATTTTCTAAAATTTTTGTAATTTTGTAATAAATAAAATATTTACCTCTCTTCTTTGGCTGCGACAAGTTTATCGTAAAGTGGTATTTTCGATGTCAATGGAATGGGTCTAGTTCGTCGTTTTTTCTTTTTTGCATCTGGATAAATTCGTGGTTCACTTTCCACTTCTACCAAATTCATGTACTTTTCAGCCTCCTCTCTAGAAATTTAATTAATTAATTAGAATACATATAATTTTTGTTTTTTCTAAAATTATCGAAATTAAAAATCACCTCAGTGTGAAATTAAATGGTTTCGGTACAGTTGGATGCCATCTTTCCGGACTATGAGGTGGCAAACTTTTTGTCTCCAAACTATTTTCATTGTCACTTTCCACACTATCGGGACTTTTCGATTCACTCTCAATACTCCAGGATTTATTTTCCGAATGGAGTTTCGAATTGTGTATCGTCTTCGCCGACTTTGTTTTATCCTTCCCCCTGTTTAAATTATTTAATCAATTAATTAAATTATAAATAGAAATTTCGCTTCTAAATTTATAGATTTTATTTATTTCATTATTTATTTTTTCAAATTAAATAGAAAACTGTATTCTAAATTTAAATTCTAAATTTAATTCGTTTAAATAATTGAATTATATTTATTATTTTGAATTTAATATTTAATTTAATTTAATATTGTTTTCAATTGAATACCGATAAGTGAGAAGATCCTGATCCTCGGCCAATCTGTCAAATGTTCCGGTAGCATAAAGAATCGGACTGTTTGTTCTCGACTCTTCAAAATTACATTTTCTTCCCTTTAATTTTAAATCATTGTTGTTATCGTTACACCATTCTTTTGTTTTATTATTGCACCTTTGACTTTGCGAATCGGCAGATATTTCACGATTTATAATATTTTCCGTCTCATCTTGATCGAGACAATTTTGTAAATTCTTCAACAATATTCTTTGCTTTCTCTTGAGATAATCCAATTTCTGTTTAAATTGTTCGTTCGATAAATGATGCACGTCATTATAATCCGGTATACTCTCCATAAAATCCATAAAATTCTCCAATGTATCCCTTGGACTCGTAACATTCGAATTACTCGTGTCGAAATTAATTTTTTTACTTTTACTCGACGCATTGTATCTGTAATTAGAAAATAAAAATTTACTAAAATTAATTCTATGGAACTATGTTAATAAAAAAATGATATATTTTCTTCTTTTAGAAATTTGTTTTTATCAAACTTTTATCAAGCATTAAAGTTTAATAATAAATTTACTAAAATTAATTCCCTGACCTGTGGCAACCCTGAAATATTATTATCAAAATATAATTAACAAAATATAATTATAATTATCAAAATATAATTCTTAATGAATTATAATTATAACTATTATAATAATTAAAAAATTTACCTTTTTGTCTTATTTGTAACTCGAGGACGTTCATACAGTGGCGTTGGTTGCCTACTGTAAGGATCAACCGGAACTTTGACACAAGAATGAACAAATGAACTTCCTCTGTGTTCATTCATTTTTTTTTCTAATTAAAAACTGTCACCAAAATGTCAATAAAAAAAAATTCTTCGTTAAAGAAAAAAGCCGAGCTATTTCATTAGAAATTATGTCGGAAATCAATGTTCCTGATATTATATCGTATCCATGGTGACCATACACGACATTAAAATTAACATGATTAAAATAAGAACCTAAAATCAACAATAACATTAAATGCATTAAATAGATTCAACAGATTCAACATGAAAAAAAATGTAACCCATTCGAGCAAATTTATAATAATTTACAAATTTTTCAAGTAGAAAATTAAAATACAAACAAGGTAAGTGTATTTTTAACTCCCACGCGTATTGCAAACGTAAACAAAAAGTTTAAAAGTAAAAAAGTTTATAAATACCTTTCAATTACTCAACAAACAATTTTTGGAATTTAACTTCAAACATATAATACTTTTAGTGTTTTAGTATTTAGTACTTTTAATTATTTTACCCACTTCAATTATAATTTTTATAATAATATATGTAAATATTTGTAAAATGTTTAGATGTCAAAGTATTGCCTATCAACAGGCGTTCTCCTGCAAAAAGATCCACAACACATTTTGAGGTTAATATTTAATGTCATTAGGGAAAAATAAGTGTAAAAATTACTATTTATACTAATTTATGAAACAAACCATTTGCTATTAGTTATAATTAATTAAATATGTATATAATAAAAGGATTAATTCTTTGAAAAGTAGAGAGGGCATTTGAAATATATTGACAACGTCGTCTGCTGCACAAGCAAAATATATACAAAATCAAAAATGGCGGTATTCAGCGAAGCAATGTCATTTTCTCGGTGCATTTTTCCATTTTTATCACGAAATTATAAATTTACAACACCACAGTCCTGCACTAATGTTAGAAACATACATTCAACATTAAATGACAGTAGTGAAAATTACGATATAATTGTTACCGGAGGTGGTCTCGTGGGAACAACACTCGCCTGTGCTTTAGGTTAGTTTTTTTGCATTTAACAAAAAATGTGCAATATTTTCTATTAATGTAATTTATTTCTATTTATTTCTATTTCTATATTCATTTGTCAATTCTTCTTGTACCTATAAAGTGAAAGTTCAGTTTTGAAGCAAACTTAATATATAAAAAATCATAACCTCAAGATCCTCAAGATTTTTGCGTCTTATTTAAATTTTTATTTACCGAATTTATCATCTTTGAGCTATATATTAAAATAAGTAAATATATCTAATAGAAACGAACTATATTTTTGTATTATTCATTTTTTGTTATTTTCTCTAAACAAAAACAGATATTAAAAATAATAAAATTGCATTTTGATTTTAATAATTTAAAGGTTAAATTAAGGACGCAGATGCATTGTTAAAAATTACATAAATTGATTACGTCAGTATATTCTATTATTTATCTTAAAATCTGTATATTCTATTATCTTGAAATCTGTATATTCTATTATCTTGAAATCAGTATTTTCTATTATTTATCTTGAAATTGTTTACTAGAATATCAATTTTCAATTATTTGTCAATTTATTTTTCTTATGTGTATGGGTAATAATTATTTTACTTTTCTTCACAGCTAATAATAAATGTCTGAAGTCTAAAAGCATCTTATTACTGGAAGGTGGAAACAAACATGAATATACACCGAGTGAACAGTATTCAAATAGAGTTGTTGCATTAAATCAATTATCTAGAACATTATTATCAAGTATTGGAGCATGGAAGCACGTGAAGGAAGTTCGATATGCTCCTGTGAGAAAAATGCAGGTACAATAAATAAATTACAAGCTTCGTCACTCATCTACTGAAAACTATACTATTTACTACTTTTTTTTTTTTAAATTTGTGACACTAAAAGCTACTTTTTTTTTAAAGAATTTGTACTTCTTTAAATTCGCTAATAGTTGAAATCAAAAAATCATTCTTAAATTATTTTTAAGACAATAAATTCAATTATTTTCACAAATAATATTTTTCTTAGGAATTCAATGCAATTTTAATAAAATTTATCTAAATTAAATTATTTTTTAAAAGTTTGAATAAAATTCTTCACGAAAATTCAATTGCTTTTATAAATAAGAAAATTCTTTGCAAGAATTCAATTATTTTCATAAATAATAAAATTCTTCTTCGGAATTAAATTGCTCTTATAAATAAAAAAAAAATGTTTAGCAAGAAATCATTTAAAATATTTTAATTCCTGTGGAAAAATAAATATGTATTTAAATATTTATTTCTAAAAAATTATTCTAGTTTTGAATTTAATTGAGAAATTATGAAAGAAATTAGTCTTTTGAAAAATTTTAATTAAAATTTTTTTTGAAGATACATGTTTTTTGAAAGATGATTTTTTGTTGAATTTTTATTCCCGTGAGTAATTTAAAAAGATTAAATTAAATTTACAATTATTTGAAAATTTTATCAAATTTAATAAAAATATTATAAATTTTATATATTTTAAATAATTTTCTGCATAAAAAGGAATTTTTCTCTCAATCATTGGGAAGTTTACTAACGTCAGCATTTTTTTTAACTTTTTACATTTTCATTTAAAATAAAAATAAGTATATTTTAAGTATTTTAGAATTAAATGACCAAAGAAATTAAATGAATTTTTAGTTTTTAGAATTAATTATCATTTTCTGCTATTGTTTATTGAGATTAATTTTTTTTACCAGGTTTGGGACAGTTGTTCCGATGCAATGATAACATTCAACGAAGATTATCTTTCGGAAGAAATAGCCTACGTCGTGGAGAATGATTTACTTTTATACGCAGTGAATAAACAATTAGCTGAAAAAGAATCCGTGCGAGTCATTTACAACTCAAAAGTCGAGAACATCTCATTGCCCGAGACATCTGGTGATAGTTCTGTTGTTATTCTGCAAAACGGGGGAAATTTTTGCACTAAATTACTGGTGAGTTGAGAAAATTTTATTATTTCCAAAAAAAATACGTCAATATTTCAAATTTTGTCTCTATTTTATTTTTCATTTATTTTTATTTTTATTTTATTATTTATTTTATTTTTCTTTTTGTTTTATTTTATTATTTATTTTATATTTCTTTTTGTTTTATTTTATTTTTATTTCATTTTTATTTCGTTTTCAATACAAATGATTTTGAAGATTAAAATTTCCAAAAAATAGAAATATTCCTTTTTCAATAATTTATTTCCAGTGAGAATAAACAATTTTTTTTTAATTAGTTATCGATAGATCAATTTCCCTGGCAATATATTCAACTTTAGTTGTGAGTGAATCTAAACGCGAACTTATTGTCTGAGCGCATCTCTTCAATTCATTGGCAATTTCGCTCAATTGTCGATTACTGTCATTCACCGAATTACTACTATAAAGTCGATTTAATTTCCCATCACTCATTTCAATATCATTTGCACTTCTCGTCAAGGAAATTCCCGGTTTCTTAAATTTATTCCTTCGTTCACTCACCAATCGATAGACACTCTTTATTAAATCCCTTGGCAAACGATTTTCACGTGGATCATTTGGACGTATGTGAATTGCACAATGATGCGGTAAATGAAGTAACAAAGCACCCGAACGACACACCTTCACAATTTTCTTTGGCGCAAAATCCAAAAGTTTCGAGAATAATAAATTTTCCAAATGCGCCACTAATTGCGCTCTTCTAATTAGTCTATCCAATCCGGCGCATCTTCTCAATTCCTGAATATCAGAGACGGCGAGACCCATCATTAGATTTGTGAGGATTATCGTCACGAGAATGACAAATGCCAAAAGCATAAGATGCGCAGTTCCTGGATAGAGAATTCTTGCCTCCTCGTCGAAAAATACGTCTTCGAATTCTAGTTCACCGGACATCATGATTATGGTTTTTAAGAGACCGACGAGGGGATTTTTGAATGATTTGTAATTATCGTGAAGAACACTGAAACTCAATGAGAAGCCAATGATTAAACTCATGTAAGCGCCGAGAAATTTGAAGAAATTTAATGCCACTTGAGTGAACATTTGAACGTAGATACCGAACATGGGAAAACGACCAACGACCATCATTAATTCGACCCAAACGAGTAAAATACCAAGAGCCGCAATATGATGATGCCAAGCTTTTGAAACTTGACATAAAATAATTCCCGATGTTATGATAACACTCCATTGAAGGACATTTTCCCATCCTTTCGCATAACTACAAACGCCATGGGCCAATTGAAAGATTTCCTTGCAGGCCAAAATAATTGTGAACATAATCACTGGCCAGAAGAAAATATCGCTCATGTGCGTGAATTTCCAGAAGAATGTAAAGGCAATGTAACTGGTGAATGTGGCGACGAATATCGAATGAAAAATGAGACTGAAGAGAAAAAATTTTCTTATTCTCAACCATTTGAGATAGAGAAAACTCTCGCACAATGGATGTTTGAGAACGTGTCGTTGGCCAACTTCCACGAGGCAGAGCATCAGGTCCGTTTCGCCACGTCCACCAGGAACGAGGGCACGAAAATCGAGACGTAATTCACAATCGACGTCGCCTAATTCATGATCGTGGAGGGAAATTGCCTGATCTAATCTCGCGATAAATCGTGGAAGAATGTCGGGAGTTCGACGAATTATAAAACTCAGAGCTGATATTCCGCCTTTTGTTCGGGCCGTGACGTCGGCTGCCTTTGCAACCAGGAGCATCACTGTCGAGGAACTTTCGCTCAATGCTGCAATGTGCAATGGTGTGTAGCCGAATTTGTCCGCTTTGTTTATTTCCGCTCCGGCCTGAAATTAATTTATTCATTCAGCTTCGGATTAATAAATTAACAAATAAAAATTTAAAAACCAAGAGTAAAAAACAAACCAAGAGTAAAGAACCGATAAAAAAATAAAAAATCTAAATCCAAGAACCAAGAGTAAAAAGTAAAAAATACTTTCAAAATTATTTGTTGATAGTGAAAAATTTCCAACCTGTATGAGCATTTTGACCAGTTCACTTCCACGAATGGATTTGGCGACAGCGGCGTGCAGCGGAGTTCTCCCATCAACGTCTTCTTCATTAACGTTCGCTCCTCTGGAAATTAAAATCTCCATAGTCTCGGCAGATTGTGCCAGAGCTGCCAAATGCAATGGTGTTTGGCCCTTTGAATTTTTAGCATCGTGAGCCGCCTGATAGTCGAGGAGAAGTTTCGTACACTCCGCACTGCCTTCCTCTGCCGACAAATGTAGGGGCGTCGATCTTGCCGCTCCCATTTGAACACGAACATCGGCTCCGAAGCATAAAAGAAGATTCACGCATGTCGCTGATCCCAGACTCGCTGCCACGTGCAACGGAGTTTCCGTGTACACCTTCGAAAATGGAAAAATTTCTTTCTAGTTTCCGAATTTATTATCAAAAAGTGAACTAATTTCTATTTACCGAATATTGAAAAAATAGAAAAAAAGGAAAATTTTCTATTTACCGATTAAAAAATAGAAAAAAAAGAAAATTTTCTATTTTTCCGAATATTCAAATATAGAAAGAAAAGAAATTGGAAAAAATTCTAGTATTTTTCCGAATATTCAAAAAATAGGAAAAAAGAGAATGAAAAACTTTCTAATTTCCGAATATTCGAAAAAATAGAAAAATTACAATTTGTAACCAAAATATTGTCGTTGAATTTAGGGTGATTTGCATTTTTTCTTTCTATTGTATTTTTAATATTTCTTTTTTTTTAATATTAATCGTTGTATTGCAGAATTAAATTATCATTTCGTTATTTTCGTCTTTCTACCTGAGGATTATTCGGCGACGCCCCAGCTTTGAGAAGTGTTTCAACGCAATTGGAATTATTGCTGAGAACGGCGTAGTGCAGAGGACTTCTTCCCATAATTCCTGCATTGACATCAGCCCCGGCTTCTAGGAGAATTTTCACAGTTTCAACATCGCCGGAAGCTGCCGCACAATGCAACGACGTGCACGTTCTATGAAAATCCCATTCACTTGGATCTGCGCCGTATCTCAATAATTCTTGGACTATTTTCTCCGATCCGATACAAGCCGCAAGATGAAGTGACGTCCTGGAAAAATAATTATTTATCAAACGAAAATTTTAGTCTCGCAGACAATTTTTACCTTCCATCGTTGTCACGAAACGAAACTTCGGCGCCTTTTTCCAAAAGTAATTTCACCAGTTCTATTTGTCCCAACCATGTCGATACCAAGAGACAGGTATTTGGCCATTTCGATAGTAATTCTTCTGGAGTTGCCGTTGCCGCCGATTCATTTTCGGCCGCTATTGACGCTTTTCTTATTCCACTAGGAAAGAAAAAAAAATATTTTTTGCCTCTAAGGTCGAGAGTGTCGCATATTTATTTTATTACGTTTGAAAATAATTGATAGAAATTTTGTAATTTCAGAAAAACGAATTTTGTGCAGTGGAAAAAATAATCTCACCCATTGGCAAATCGAGGAATAAGCAGCATTTGATTTTTCACTTTTGTCTCGGAAAAATCGAGTTTTTGTGTTTCTTCGAGAATCTTTTCCAATTGCTCTCCATTGAGTGTCGATAGTTGTGAAAGAGCAATTTCCCCAGCTGGCAGATCCGATATGGCACGAATGACATCATCTTCCCGCCAGACTTGATGCTGATACATCTGCCTATGATTTGGACGTGCACCCGATTTTGAACTATTTTCTGAGGAAATACTTCCCGATTCCAAATCGTCCATCCAAATTTCTTCATTCTCCTCCTGATTCAAATAGAATTCAGTTCAATTTAATTTATTTTCGCCTTCTATTTGGAATATAATCGGTAAAAAGTCTCGATTTTCTAAATTACTCCTAAATTTCTCTACTTTTTCGCCTTTGAAAATAAATCGGCAAAAAGTCTCGATTCTCTAAATTATTCCTAAATTTCTCCACTTTTTCACTGACTGTTTGGAATAATCGGTAAAAAAGTCTCGATTTTCTAAATTATTCCCAAATTTTCCTTTTTGCCTACAATTTGGAATAATGCCAAAAAAAAAATTCGATTTTCTATAAATTATTCAAAATTAATTTATTTACATTTTTCGCCTAATGTTTGGAATAATCGTTAAAAAGTATTGATATAGATTTCTAAAAATTTCTCGTAAAAGAGAAGAAAACAAAAATGTTAATTAATGAGACAAAGATACTTACCATCGAAGGTGTGGGTGTTATTTATGAGTGATAATTTGTAAGCAGTAGTAGTAATGTATCATCTCCTTAATGTTGAATGCTCTAAAATTAATTCCCCGCATTTTAGAATCTTAGCGAAAGAGCATCCAGCATATGTTCACTGATGTTTATAAAACAAATTTGAAATTATATATTTAGCTCATATTCTCGACACAACATTCCATTACTAATTTCACTCGAAAGAAAAATGATGAATTTCATCAAATTAAATCCATTTTATAATTTATTTGGAGAAAATTATTTTACATTTGAAAAACGAAGTGAGGGAATTTTTTTTTCTCGATTTAAATTTCGCTATCAATTTTTCAACTGATAATAGCAAATATCCGTTCAGGAAGTTCATCTATGAATCTCATCTTTCGTTAGTTGCATCAATTTAATAAATTGTATTCAGTCATTTCGAATTTTCAATTTTTAACAATTAATATTTTTTATTTTTATTATTTTATTTTATTATTTTTCCATTTATTATTATTTTGTAAATTAAAAAATTATATTTTAAAATCTAAGCTTCAAATATTTTCAACAGTTTTTATAAAATTCTAAAGAAAAAATCATTATTTTTTATACGTTTCAATAACATTTTTCGATTAAATACAATTATTTTCAAAATTTTTAATAACATTCTTTTAAAAAATTTAATTATTTTCAGAAATTGTGATAAAAATTATATTGAATTAAATTATTTTTTATACAACTTTTAATGAAATTTGTCGAAAGAATGCAATTATTTTTAAAAATATTACAATTATTTTCAACAGATTTTATAAAATTCTTAATAAAAATTAATTATCTTTTTATTTTAATAATATTTTTCGATTGAATTCAATTATTTTCAAAATTTCGAATAAAATTCTTTGTAATAATCCAATTTATTTTCAAAAATTCTGAAAAAATTCGACGAAACAATTAAATTATTTTTATAAATTGTAAAATTCTTTCCAAAAATTCAATTATTTTTATAAAATTGTAATAAAATTTTTCTAAAAAATTCAATTATTCTCAAAAGTTTTTTTTTATAAAATTCTTTGTAAATTTCAATTATTTTTCAAAACTGTCAGTGAAAATTATTTTTAAAAATTGTATTATTTTTACGAAATTTAAAGAAATTCTTCAAAAAAATCCAATTACTTTCAAAATTTTCAATAAAAATTTTTTTAAAAAGCAACATAATTTTGAAAATAATTGAATATTAAAAAAAGAATTTTTTGTACTTCTTAAAATAAACGTGTCTGCTAATAATTACAATTAAAAATTTTATTGAATTTTATTAAAATTATATTGAAAAATAAGGAGTTCTTACAAAAAATTTTATGAAAAACTTTGAAAATAATTTAGTTCCTTCGAAGATTTTTACTATTTATAAAATTAATTGAATTCTTCTAAAGAATTTTATTATTCATGAAAAAAATTAAATTCTTGCTAAGAATTTTATTAAAATATTGAAAAAAATTTAATTCTTTTGTAGATTTTGACTATTTTTAGAGATAATTGACTCGTTTCGTAAAATTTATTAAAATTTTAGAAAAAATTGAAGTCTTTCGAAAAATGTTATTAAAAATTTAAAAAAAAAATTGCAAAAAATTTTACTAATTACAAAAATAATTGAATTCTTGCGAAGAATTTTATTATTTATAAAAATAATTGAATTAATTCGAAGAATTTATTAAAATTTTTGAAAGTTTTATTAAAAATTTAAAAAAAATAATTGAATTGATTCGTAGAATTTATTAACATTTTTGAAAAAGTTTTATTAAAAATTAAAAAAAATAATTAAGACCTTTCTTGAAATTATAAAATTTTATAGAAATTAATTGAATTTTTGAGAAAAATTTTATTAAAATTTTTGAAAATAATAAACAGTAATAATTAATATTAGGATATATTTAATAAGTGAATTTTAAATTTTGAATCTAAAATTATTTAAAGATTTATATTGAAATTTTTGAATTTGTAAAGATGAAATTTAGAAATTTATAATTACTATTTGTCATCAGAAAAGAATAACGAACACCAAAATAACGAATAGTTTTAAAAAGTATTTTTTTTTCTCAAAAAAGCAGAAATTCGCTCTCAAATTTTTTATCAAATATTTTCAAGTGAAAAATAATTTTTTCATCCAATCAAAAAAAAAGTCACGTGTCTTGAAAAATTACTCACCATTTTGCTAATAATTTTTTTTTATTTTGAATTTCCATAAATTTTGTAAAAGAGAGAAATGAGTTTTTTCCGAAATATAAATTTTAATTCCACTTTATTGTACATTGAGCGTTTCAGCTTTAAATTATGTGAGATGTGTGATTTTAAAGAAGAAAGAGAGTGAGAGAGGAAGAAGAGGATTAAAAGAAACTGATCTCTTTATAAAATAAGCTCAGTTACGAGACTACACTCTGGAATACACTCGAAAACCCTCTGGAAGTATACTAAAGTTATTTCAAGACTTTGTAATGCAATCTCTTTTCTCAATTCTCAATACTCCCACCACGTGTGCAATATCTTCCAATTTTATGATTGAATTCACAGAGGCAAAATCGTTTCTCCCCTTGCGTAAATCAAAAATATTTACGGCACACTTATATTATCATAACATACCACAGAAATGCAATATTTATTCGCATAACTCAAAATCATTTGAAATCTTTAAAATAATTAGAAAATACAAAATTTTCTTTGGCAAAATTTGAAAATTCATTTTATGAATTTTTATTATTTGGTTAATTTTTTTTTTTCTTTTTTCTTTGTAGATCGGCGCCGATGGAATAAATTCACGAGTTCGACAAGCGATGGGAGTTCAACACGTTAAATGGAGTTACAATCAAATGGGAATTGTCGGTACGGTGGAATTATCGGAGGTTTGTGTTTGAAAATTAAAAGAATATTTTTTTTTCTTCAATAAAATAAATTCTTGAAATTTTTTCTTATTTTTTCAGCCCACTGAAAATATTGTTGCGTGGCAACGATTTCTTCCCACTGGACCAATCGCTTTATTGCCAGTGAGTTTTTTTTTCCTACTTCGCTAATAATTTCAAAGGAAAAGGAGAAAATTCAATTTATTTTCAATACAATTTCAATAAAATTCCTTGAAAAAATTCAATTATTATTGAAAATTTTTGATAAAATTCTTAAGAATTTAATTTTTTTTCAGTACAATTTTTTTTACAATTCTTCAAATATTTTCAGTACGATTTTAAATTGAATTTATCGAAAGAATTTAAATTTTCTTCAAAATAATTGAATTTGTATTTTTTTTTAAATTAAATATTGAATTTGTATCTTTTTTAATTGAATATTTGATTTAATATTTTTTTTAATATCGTAATTGTAACTGTAAATACTGTAATTGTTGAAAAAAAATTAAAATAATTGAAATGAAAATGATTTTTTTTTCAGTTAACAAAAACGTTGAGCTCATTAGTGTGGTCAACATCAACGGAGGAGGCGAAGAAACTCTTGAAATTATCTGACGAGGCGTTTGTTGATAATTTGAATGAAGCACTCTGGAAAGTTTATCCAAAAGATGGAACGGTTGAAAGTGGAATGAAAGCTTTACAGCAAATTCTTAAAAATCTTCAATTAGAAACTGGAGTATCTAGACAATTACAACCTTCAATTTCTGGAATCATCGAGGAATCAAGAGCGGCGTTTCCATTAGGTTTTGCACATTCTGTTTATTATGTGAAACCGGGAGTTGCCTTAGTGGGGTAAGTAAACTCTCAAAATAGAGTCATTTCATAAAAGCTGAAAAAAAGTACATCTTCGAATGAAGAGAAAAAAAACAATCAAGCAATCTGGTTTTTAAGTGCGCTTTATCTGGTTCGTTAACCAACAGAATTTATTTCAATAGAAGGAATAAAATTTAGAAGAATAAATTAATAGAAAATTAGAAATTTTTAATTAAATTTAAATTTATTGAATTAGTATAAATTTCAATTTGATTACAAATTTTAATTTGGACACGAATTTTAATTTAATTGACAATTTTTAATTTGATGACGAATTTTTATTTAATTGCCAATTTTTAATTTGATGACGAATTTCAATTTAACTGACAATTTTTAATTTGATTTCAAATTAGGTATTTTCTTATTAATTATTTGGTATTATTATTAATAGGGTAAGTGTACCAATTGCCGAGGGTGTTCCATTTGTCGATGTTACCATGGTAATAACCAAAAAATATTGTCTAAAATGTCTCATTTGTTTGTTTATATAATATTAATATATTTTTTTTACATTTATAACGCATAAAAAAATTAATATTTATTATTTTTTTTCATTTACAATGTGCTACATTGTTTAAATAAAATTCAAAGTTTGTTTACTCGACAACAGGAACCATCCTCGACAATTGGTACGTTTACCTAGTATTTATTATTAAAATTTTTTAATTATTTTTTTTTTGGAAAAAATGAAAAGTAGAATAATAATAAATTTCTCCTGAGGGAAAATAACATTTTTTGAAAAATCTTTCAGAGATGCTGCGCACAGAGTGCATCCTTTAGGTGGTCAAGGATTAAATTTAGGTTTAGGAGATGTTATGGTATTAGTTCAAATGTTGGCTGACGCTACGAAAAATGGAGCCCTTCCGGGTGACATGACCTATTTGAAAAAATACGAAACCGCTCGTCAGAGGCATAATGTTCCAACCATGTTGGCAATGGACGCACTTCATAGATTATATAAAGGAACCGCTGCTCCAATTGTCCTTGCTCGAAGTTTAGGACTTCAACTCACAAATGCAATTCCTCCTTTAAAGGTAATAAACAATATTGACAATACTCCTAAGGAAATATTATTTTTTTTTTTATAAAGAAAGGTATGTATTTCAATAATACATAATTTCTGTATAAATTTTTCACAAATTTTCTCCTAAAAGAGAATTTATAAATTTTTCCCCCCTCAATTTTAGAAATAGCACTTCATGCAACACAATAATTCACGTCCATGAAGAAAAATCTAATTTATTCAAGAAGCAAAATATTTGGTTTAAGAGGAATAAATGTAAGAAATTATTTAATATAAATAAAGTAAATTTGTTTAGAGAAAAGAAAACAAATCATTTGGTTTAAGAGAATATTTGACGAAACAAATTATTTGCTTCAAGAAAAAATTTGTTTAAAAAACTATTTGGTTTGAAATTGTTATAAATTGTTAAAAATTGTTTTAAAAAAATTAAAAAGAGCATAAAAATTACTCCAAAAAAAATATTACTTAAAAAATAAATGTATTTTCCTTAAGAACTACAAAAAAAATTAAGAAACCAAATTATTTGGTTTAGAATAGAATTCATAGAATAAAATTATTTTTCTAAAAAACATTCCTTTTAAAATTTAATTATTAATTGACAGTATAAAATTATTTTTCTTTATTTCAGAGAGCAATTTTTCGTCACGCATCAGACGATGATAATTTGTGTTAATAAAATTGAAACAAAAAAAAATTCCACAACACATTTTTGGCATTAAAAATGTCAATTATTTCACGGTGCAAGAAGATATTAATATCAATTTAATATTTCTAATGAGAAAATATCCTATTGATATTTATTAAAAGATTTATTTGTAAACATCCAAAAAGAGTATGTGATCTAAGTTAATTCATTGTATATAAAAATTTATTTATTCGAACTTCGGTATTTTCACTTTCTGAAAATGTATTTCGATTTTCCAATAAATCATTAGTATTAAAAATTTTATTTCTAATGTGTAGAAAATATTTTTCCTTTTATAGGAAATTTTTCCCAAAATCCAAACTAACTTTTTTTAATAAATTTTCTTTATCAATATTTTCAATTTTTAAATTAATGAAACCTATTGAAAATAATTGAATTCCTGAGAAGAATTTTATTATTTATAAAAATAATTGATTTGTTTCGAAGAATTTATTATAATTTTAGAAAATAATTGAATTCTTTTGAAAAGAATTTTATTATTTATAAAAATAATTGAATTGTTTCGAGGGATTTAATAAAATTTTAGACAATAATTTAATTCTTTTGAAAATTTTCAAGCGAATTAAAAAAAATTCAATTCTTTCGTGAAATTTTATTGAAAATAATATTAATACTAAAACAGAAAATAAGATAATAAAAGAAAAATAATACATAAGAAATGAATAATATCTAAATAAATAAATAAATAAAAGTAAACAAATAAATAAAACAATAAAAAAATAAATAATAATAATAATAAATAGATAAAATTATAGAAGAAAAATAATAAATGAATAATAAATAAATAAAACAATAAATGTAAAATAAAAAATAACAATAAATAAAAAACTAAATAATAAAAATGAAAAAAAAAATCATTTCGGTAGCTAATTTTGAAATTCGTGGGCAATTTGCCACTGTTGCCAACTGACATTTATTCATTTGTTTTGTTGTTCAACGACATAACCTAAAAATTTCTCAAAATCAAGTTCAAGACTTGAAAAAAAGAAAAAAAAAAGTTTACAATTTTGTTAATTTTTACGCAAAAATATTAATATTGTCGATTTCTCAAGTATCTAGAGAGATGAAACAATAATTTCCGAATATTGCCAACTATTTAAATTAAGAAAACAAAGGGAAATAAATTACAAAAATGTTTGCTCCAAAATTGTATTCCCGAATAATTAATTCTGCGGTTCGTTGTCAAGTGAGAGGAATTCAATCTAATGATTCGCTTTTAGATGAAATTACCGAGGTGAGAAATAGAAATCCAAGAAATTTAGAATTTTTAACAATTGGTAACAAACCGAAGGGATATTGGCTCGAAAAGGATCAACGTTCTTTTTGGCACAGGTAAGATTTTTTTAGGTTATTTTTTTTTACTTTTTGAGATTATTATTAATATTATAAATCTGTTAATATAAATTTTATTTTAACTGTTTTTCCTTTCAGACCGGTGTTTAAAAAAACTACTCGGTATGTTAGTTTAGAGCTCCATCATTTCGAAAATGGAAAAATTATTTCCGTCTCGACGAATGATTATTCATTGAAAAGACAGCTTCGAAGGTTTGTGACATTTTTTTGATTTACCATTTTTATTTCACTTGGACTATATTTATATTTTAGTAATAATTGAAAATTTATATTTAATGCCTGAAAGTTCCAAAAAATGTTAAAAATTAAAAGACAAATATTAATTCTTCAGGCCCTGCGACACTGCAGCTTATTTAGCTTTAGCCGAAGTGTTCGCGGAACGTTGCCTCGAAAGTGGAATAACAACAATGGCAACAATAACAAATGAAAACGAAAACGAAAAATTAACAAAGTTAATAGAGAAATTAGAAAGTTGTGGTCTCATTCTTGCGGAAGCGGGACAAATGATAACCCCTTGTCCCTGGCACAAGGAAAAATTAATTAAACCCTGGGAAATTGAAGTTTAATTCGAAATTTTTCTTTCCGAAAAAATCTAAACGAATCCTTGTAAAAGTTTATTACTTAGATACATTTTTTTCATGTACAGAAAACAATATAATTATATGTAAATATTATATACAAGACGTTTCATTCAAGAGAAAAACATCCGTGCGTTACTTTTTTCACACAAAACAAAAAAAAAAGAAAGAAAGAAAGAAAGAAACATTCTTACAAATTAGAAAATTGAAAATGGAATTTTGAAAAATATCCAGTTTTTCCGATTTATTTCTTTTGTCAATTCGTAATCGTAACTATAAAAAAAAAATTCACTCTGCTTGGCAACATTCGCGTGTATATTTATAAATTAATTTTTAATAAGAATATTTTATTACACAACTCTTCGAACTTCGAAAAACCTCTTTAAATAGTAAACTTGACCTAGAGACATACAAACTAAAACGGAAGCTTCGAAAAATGACCAGACAACCACTCGAAAGTTTGTGCTCTCATTAATTGCCCTGTGATTTCTGTCTCGAACCTGAAACATTTGAAATTCCATTTAAAGAATAATGCCAATTCGAACGATTAAATTGAAAAAAATTGAAAATAATTGAATAACTAAAATAATTGAAAACAATGGAATAATTTAAATAATTGAAAACAATTTAACAACTGAAATAATTGAAAGAATTGGAAAGAGGTGAAAATAATTGGAAACAATTTAACAACTGAAATAATTGAAAGAATTGGAAATAAGTGAAAATAATTGAAAACAATTTAACAACTGAAAGAATTGAAAATAAGTGAAAAATTACCTCCATGTACTCCTGTTCATTTTTAACACCCCATAAACTATTGCTGAGATCGCTGATCATTTTGTCTAATTTAACATGATTTCCATCGGTACCATCGGCATGTGTTTCTAAACCTGGAGCTTTCGGTGGTTCTCCAACTTCCATATTGAACATAACGACCTTGGGCGTTAAAGTACTTCTTTGATTACTAAAGCAATATGTATAAATTCCAGGAATTTTAGCCGAAAACGAATACTTTCCACTTGTCTCCTGTTCAACGTGATGAACAACATTACCGTCTGGACCGACTATTGTCATATCAATATCCAAAAATCCACCCTCCGCTATCTCGAAAATCAAACCTAAAATTTAAATACTTTTACTCCACTTTTTTCCTCTCTATTATCTTCATTTTCGTTAATTCTAATTCCTAAACTCTCAAATTTTCCATTTCGGATAACATAACCTATAAAAATTTGTATTCTCGATTAAAACCTAATAGTTTTTTTTAACAATTTAAAGTAAGAAATTTTAAGAAAAATGATAAAATCCAAGAGACCAGAAATACCAAACGAAGTAATAAACAAATGACTCGGTAGAAAATGAATTTAATCATCGAATGAGTAGAAATCATGAGACACTAAGGAAAATAGTTCCAAAACTATAAATATTATCCGTATTACAAATATAGAGCACAATTTACGTAATTTTTAAAATAGAATAGAATAATAATTTAATATTCGCAAGAAAGAAAATACAAAATGAAAAAACTAACCCATTTTGGTTCCATATTCTACTTTTTCAAAAAAGCATTCCTCCGCGTGTGCGTCTACAGTTATGAAATATGCATTCGCATAACTGCACCATGCAATTAGAAAAAGTCCCACACTAAACCACTTCATTTTTATAATAAATAAATTTTTCAGAAAATATTATTTATTGCACATTTGCAAAAAACTGTCTGCCGCGTCAACAGAAACAGAAATAAGACACACTTGCAACTGTTGCCAACCTTCGTTAATAAAAAAAAAAATCATCGCCACGTGTCCCCGATCGACACTTGTCAAACTCGACCAATGAAATTCGGTTTATTTTATTTCCCCAATTTTCATTGGTTCATTACCGAACCAATCGGTCAACTGGAAAGTCCAAAGAGATTTTAAGGTTAGGTGTTCCAAAATTTCAGTTTTATGGTAAAAAGAGTAAAAATTACAATTGCCCGAATAAAATTAGATTTTCTGTCATTACACTCGTAATTAATAACAGTAAGAAATAAATTTTCTTCATTAATATCAATTATCAATAGTAAAGTGTGTCAAGACCCGAAAATTGGTGACATATATTATCGTACAGTGTATGTTGATGTTGTGATCTGTTTTTGATCTTTTTTTCTCTCGCTTAAATACAAATAATTATATGAAATAATCTATCGGCAAGTAAAGATCTATAAAAAAATTGAACTAAATTATTCTACTTTCCGGTGTTTGTTAAAACTAGAGTGAAATTATAATCGGTGAAAATTATTTTTCAAGTTTCTTGGAATTTTGACAGTTGTTTTGACGTTTCTCCTCAGCGGTCGCCATCGTGGGTGTCTAACAAGTGTGACTCGTTCTGCCATATTGCGTGTATATTCAAGATTGTTGAACAATTTCGTTTATTAAGTTATTCGCTTATAATAATCGTGTAACGGTCGATGAATAGAATCAAAGTGTTTATGAAGTGAAATTAATTGTCAATTGCATTAAGTCGTGAGACAAGGGGTTTTTATTAAATATTTTGGGACCTTGAAAACAAAGGTAAGGAATTTTTGTATCTACTTTCCTTCATCCTGTGCATTTTTTTTCCTCCTTTTTTTTAACACTGAAAATTCGCCACAGAAGAAATAACGATTTATTTGAATCCAATTTGTAAATATTTATTGATTGGTATTTCGTTGAATTTTCTTCTTTTTATTCGTATTGTTTAGTTTTACGACTTTTCAATCGAATTATTGTGTCTTCTAATTATCTGCTTCGCAATTGTAAAAGAGAATCAGCAATGAGTCACAATTTCAGTCATGGAATAATTAAATAACGTCAATTAGAAATATTTCTTTTATTCTGTCAGGGAGATTTTAATTTTTGATAATTATATCGAACAACGAAATTAATATTTGCTATATTGCTATTGATTATTCATTGGTTTTATTATTTGTATATAATTTCGAAATTTGTTTTTATTTTTTTTTTGAAAAGTTATTACAATCTTATCGATTTTTGCCTCGTGTTTAATTAAATTTTTTTTAACAGCGCCACTTATAAATAAATATAGACATTATGTACTTTATTAGAAGTTTTTAAACATCTGTTGGTCAATATTCTTTAAATATGATTCATAGTTTTGTGCATTAATAATATTGACACGTATGAAAAAATTTTTTAACATTCTCGTTGATAAAAAATTGATTTCAGTTTTAAAATGTAGTCGCATAATTTAATTTGTTTTATTTCTTTAAATAATTCGTTTCAATTTATATTAAGAATGTAAATTTAACTCTTCTTTTTTTTAACGAAAATGAATATCGACAGTCGACAAATATTAATCTCTTTGATTAAGAATATTAGCATTTCGTAAGTAATTAATCTCTCTGATATTTTTATAATTCCTGTGAAACAAAAAGCTTTAATTTTTTTCTCCATCTTTCTGAATAAAATATTCTGAAGGAAATAAAATAAATTATTTTCATAACTAATTTTTGTTAAATTTCAGGTGCAAAATGTCGGCGGGTCCCTATAATTATTCTTATATTTTCAAATATATCATCATTGGTGATATGGGAGTAGGAAAATCATGTTTACTTCATCAATTTACAGAAAAAAAATGTGAGTTTGATTTATTTAATATATAAATTATAATTATATGAAAGGATTTTATCATTCGGTATTAATTGTTATTTAAAGGAAGAAGTAAAAAGAAATAATTATAATTTTAATACAATACGTAAACTATGTTAATGAACTAATTTAACTATGTTAAATTGTTATTAAATCAGGGCTCGAACTTGGTCCGGAAACCGTAAAGTCCGTAATTTAATTGAGAAAAGACAAAAAGTTCTTAAATTGTACGATATAATACGGAGAATTTTGGAAAAATTATAAATGATTGCAGAAATTCAATTATTTTCAAAAGTAATTAAATTCTTCGCCGAAATTCAATTATTTTCTAAAATTTGATTTGATTTAGGTATTTTCTAAATTCTTCGCAAAATTTCAATTATTTTCAAAAAATTTTCCTCAATTCAAAGATTTTTCAATATTTACTATTTAATAAAATTTTCCAAAAGAATTTAACTATTTAAAACAAAATTAATAAAATTCTACGCAAACCTTTAATTATATTTATAAGAATTCAATTATTTAAAAATTTGTTGATAAAATTCTTTATGAGAATTCAATTTTAAAAAACATGCAATTATTTAATAATACAAAAAATGAAGTTTAAATCGAAAATAAATAGAAAAATTGTTTAATAATAAATTGAAATTTAATATCGATTTTTATTTATTTCAGTTATGGCCGATTGTCCTCATACAATTGGCGTTGAATTTGGAACTAGAATTATTGAAGTGGCGGGACAAAAAATAAAATTACAAATTTGGGATACTGCAGGACAGGAAAGATTTCGAGCAGTAACGAGGTTATTTTTCTATTTATTCAATTAATTAGACACAAGAAACTAAAGTTTTTATCTTTTTTATTAATTAAATTCAATTCTTTTTAGGAATAATTTCTTTTGAAAATGTTTCTCAAATAGGAAAAATTTAAATTAATGCGCAAAATAATATTTTTTGTCAATTGTTTTCATTATTACAAATCCTACAATAATTATAACTCAAAGAATTTTTTTTTTGTGAAACAAAATCCGAATACAATATTTATTATGATCGTTGTCTAAAAAAATATGATACTTTCAAGAAAAATAAAATTTTAATAATTAATATTTTTTTTAAATTTTATTTACAAGTATAATGTAACAATAGGGCAATCATTAATAATAATGAATATTAAAAAGAAAGTAAAAATACTTCCTCTATGAGGAAGTAATAAAATGAAATAAAAAGAAAGTAAAAAGAATATAAAAGGAAAATAAAAAGAAAGTAAAATTAAAGTAAAAAGAAAATGAAAATAAAATAAATAATTTGTTTGATAAAAAATTTATCATAGAAAAAAGTTAGCAATTATTTTTTATTTTACTTTTTAATATTAGAAACCTGTTTTTGATGTAAGTATTCGTTGAAAAAAGGAAAAATCTTGTTGCTATGAAAAATGACAAGTGAAGGTATGAATAACTATCGGCAAATAAAATGCTATTTTTTTCCAGGTCATATTATCGTGGCGCGGCAGGTGCACTGATGGTATATGACATTACACGTCGTTCCACTTATAATCACCTGAGTAGCTGGCTTACTGATACTAGAAATCTCACAAACCCTAGCACTGTAAGGAAATTTTCTTCTCTTTAAAAAAAAGAATCTCACTTTTTTCAATATTATATCCACTATTTTTTTTTTTATAAAATGAAATAGTTTTTATTAAATTTATATATTTACATGAATAATTTTTCTGTCACAGGTGATATTTATGATTGGAAACAAAAGTGATCTGGAGGAGCAGAGAGACGTGACTTACGAGGAGGCGAAACAATTTGCCGATGATAATGGTCTCATGTTTGTTGAAGCCAGTGCAAAAACGTTAGTATTTTAAATATAATTTTTTAGAATTATTACAAATCCGTTATAATAAATAATAGTTTAGTAAAATTTTTTTATATATATTTTTGTTGATTGAAATAATTTAAAGGAAAACGTTTTGGAAATTGACTTTTTTTTAATATTCATTAAAATAATTTAACTGAAAACACAAAAATTGTTCTTTTAATATTGAAATAATTTGACTGAAATTTCAAAACTGTTTTTTCCTTTTAAAGTTTTTGTTAATATTAAAATAATTTAACTGAAAACACAAAAATTGTTTTTTAATAATTGAAATAATTTAACTGAAAACAAAAATGTTTTCAGTTGATCTGAATTTTTCTTTCTTGTCAATTTTCATGGAAATAATTCAAAAAATGTTTTCAGTGGACACAATGTTGAGGAGGCATTCTTGGAGACAGCGAAGAAAATTTTCCAAAGCATAGCTGATGGAAGGTTCGTTAAAGAAAATTATTATTTCGGGAATATGAATTATTATCTTCGATTTAGTGTTGAAAAATACGTTGATTGTTTACACGGTTCTTTCTTGAAAGGTAAATTATAATCATTTGAAAAAATAAGATAATATCGTCATATTTATCAAAATTTGATGTGATTATCAAATTTTGTCAGCAATAAACGACAAATTTTACTTAATATAAATTTTAATAATAATTGAAATTAATTCTTCTTTCGAGGAATCCAATTAAAATTGAATTCACACTATTCTTGAAAATGATTAAATTCTTTCGAGGAATTCAATTAAAATTGTATTGAAAATAATTTAATTTCTTTTATAAAGTATTTCATTAAAATTTCATGAAAATAATTGAATTCTATCCAAGATTTCATTAAAATTTTTAAATACAATCAAATTTTGTCTAGAAATTTTATTAGAATTTTTAAAAATAATTGAATCCTTTTCAGAAACTTTTTATTAAAATTGTGTTGAAAATAATTGAATTGTTTCGAAAAATTTGATTAAAATTTTAGAAAATAATTAAATTTCTTCGACGAATTGTACTATTTATAAAAATAATTGAATATTTACGAATAATGTTTTTTTTTGGAAACTAATTAAATTCTTGCAATGAATTTTACTATTCATAAAAATAATTGAATTGTTCCGAAGAATTTATTAAAATTTTAGAAAATAATTGAATTCTTTTGAAAAAATGTATTAAAATTTAAAAAAGATAATTGAATTCCTTCAAAGAATTTTACTATTTATTATTTTATTGAAATATTATGAATTTATAATTTATTAATTTTTTTCTCAAAAAGTGAATATAATATTAGTCTAAAATATCATTTCAATTACAGATTGGACTTGAATGCTGCAGAATCTGGAGTGCAACACAATCCAAGTCAACCAGGTCGCAATAATTTACAAGTAAACAATGAACAACAAGGAGGCAAAGACTCTTGCTCTTGTTAGGCCATTTTTTGTCTGTATATAGGTCATTTACCGCGTTAACAGTTTACATTAATGCATATACATATTATATATATATAAAAAAATATTATATATATATATTATTTACACTAAAACAAAAATTGCAAGCAAAAATTTTATCCTTTTTTAACTGTGGATTTTTTGGTGAAAGAATGAATGTTGTATAGAATGTTACTTTTTCTAATGTCAAATCCTGCAATTTACAGAGAGTAAACAGCAAAATATTTATAACTACTGTCTTCATATATAATTACCTTTAATAGAATTGTGCGAGAGAAAAAGAAAATAAAATAAATTGCAGATTTGCTATTTGCAAGGAGATTTAAAAAAAAATATATAACGTGAATTGTGAAGTGTTGTAGATGAATGTTTAGGGATATATATTTTCTTTTTTCACATCGAATAATGTTCTGGAAATATAATTGACGCATTAATTCGATGTTTACATTTCTTTTCTTTTTTTCTGTGAAATCGTAAGAATCTGCTGTCAAAGAAAAGAAAATGAAAATAATCGGCTCGTGTCCCATATATACAATTGTATAGGCCGTTTTTAGACAATATTATAATTATATACATAAATATAAATATATACATATTATGTGTATAATTATATATATTTATATAAATTAATATATTGGTGTAATGCAAGAATCGAACCGTTAAGGTCCCATCGTGTATTGTTCATAAAATTAAGGAATTTTACGAAATAAAACCAAGAGCAAAAATAGAAATTTTTTTAAGCCAAATACACTTGTAATTCAACAAAAAACATCTGATATTATAATTATAATAAACAGATCGCAAGATCAATGCTATGAAATAGAATCGCGAACATTTTTCCTTTTTTTTAGGGAATACCTGGGCATTTGTATTAAATATTAATTATAATGTTAAAATAATTACAAACAGTAAAATTTAAAAAAAAAGATTATACAAGTATCTTCATTTACAAGAAAAAAAAAAAAAAAAAAAAAAAAAATTGCAGCATGATTGGGCCTAATTCAATATTAGGGGGATCTTGTTTATAGACACCAGAAATTGTTGATTTTTATTATAATCATATCAAAACAACAAATAACCATAAATGAAGACTTTAAAAGTTGACAGTATTTTCATTTATGGCTATGTTTATAAAATAGTTATAATTATAATAATAATATAAAAGTAATAAAAATAATAATATAATAAAAATAATAATAATATTATAATATAGTTATAATAATAATAAAAAATGTGAGAAAAGTAAAACTTGAAAAAAAACATAAAAATACATTGAAATTGATTGAAACTATATAGGATAATGTCTATAAAGAATTAAATGTTTTTGTTTTTAATAAATTGTCCAACATTCTACATCAATGTTTTATTGACATTTTTTCCATAAATAACATTTTTAAAAAATTCAATCGTCGAAAAAAGAAAATCGATTTTTTATACGTTCTAATAACATTTTTTTGATTCAATTCAATTATTTTCAAAAATTCTTCAAAACAAAATTCAATTATTCTCATAAAACATTCTTTGGAAGAATTCATTTATTTTTATAAAATGTAAAATTCCTTGAAGGAATTAAATTACTTTGAATAAAATTTCTAGAAAAAAAAAATTATTTTTAAAAATATTAATTGAATTCAATTATTTTTAACAATTTTGAGAAAATTCTTTACAAATTAATTTTTTTTTAAAAGGTTTTAATAAAATTATTCGATTGCCTTCGATTATTTTCAAAACTTATATAAAATTTTTTGAAGAAATTAAATTATTTTAATTAATTTAAAAGACTTTTAATTATTATTTTAATTAAAATATTAAATAATAAATTATTATTTTAATTAAAATTTTAAATAATAAATTATTACTTTAATTAAAATTTTAAATAATAAATTATAATTTTAATTAAAATTTTAAATAATAAATTATTATTTTAATTAAAATTTTGAATAATAAATTATTTATTTAATAATTTAAATAATCAAAATCGATAATGAATTTTCCATTATTATCAGCAATGATTGCCAACGTTGCCATTGTTGCCAACAAAAATGAACATAAACATAAACACGACCGGACATAAACATAAACACAGTGAATTGTCTGATTGTCATGTTTTGTTTCCGAACAAAAAATTATATCTCAATAATCTGGTAATTAAAAATTGTTCTCTTTTTTCTAATATTAAAATGTATTTGAAAATATTTTTTATATTTTCGAATTAATTTGTGTAAAGTTTGTAAAGTTTCATGCCTTTTCTTTTTCAGCATTCATAACCTATAAATTCTTGCAAGGACGGCAAGGACACTGTTATTATATTCTTATCTTATATATAAAATATAAATGATATAAATAAAAAATTAACATAAATGATATAAAAAAACCAAAATAATTTCAATAAGAAAACAACAAAAATGGAATTCAAGTTTGTAAAATCAATTGACTGTCAACAAGGAGCTGTTCGAGCCGTGAGATTTAGTGGTAAATAAACGTTTTTGAAATTAAAATACGTAATTATAAATTTTGACAAACTTGAAAATAATATAAAGATAAAAAATAATTTATCAACTATCTATCAATTTTTCCAATTACTGTTTTTTTGTATAATAAAAAGGCAACTATAATTTTTTATAATTTTTTTAGTTGATGGTGCATATTGTCTCACTTGTGGATCGAATAGAAGAGTAAAACTCTGGAATCCTTACACTGGATCTCTATTGAAAACTTATAGCGGTCACGGGGATGAAGTTATGGATGCACAATCGTCTTGCGACAGTGGTCAAATTGTTTCCGGTGGTTTAGATAAATCGGTAATTCTCTGGGATGTTGCGACAGGAACACCCACACGTAGGTATCGAGGACACGTTGCACCGGTGACAGCTGTAAGGTATTTTTTTTTCTATAAAATTTTCTCTTTCTAAAATCCTCGAACTTCTAAATATTTATTCTGTAATTTCAAATTTCCATTTGTTTCTGTATTCTTTTTTTTTTGCATTTACAGATACAATGAGGAATCATCAATGGTTGTCTCTGGTTCTCGAGATAATTCAGTAATGTGTTGGGATGTTCGTTCGAGAGCTCAAGATCCCGCTCAAACTCTCAGCGATGCAAAGGATTCAATTTCCAGTGTTAAAGTTTCTGATCATGAAATTTTATCCTCATCTTTCGACTGTAAAATTCGCCGATATGATTTGAGGAATGGTGAACTTCTCACAGACTTTATCGGAGGTGAAAGATTTATTTATTTATTTATTTATTATTGATTATTTCTATTTATAATAATAATAACTATGTATTACTATTTCCAATTATTATTATTATAACTAGTAAATGTTTGGCGCGAAACGCGGAATTCCTTTTAATATTTTTATGCAATTTACAAAAATTTTTATCAACTTCAATTTTTGAATAATTTTAGATTTCAAAATTTTTTAAATTCACTTACTAAAGGGTACATAATTAATTATTGTTTATTATTTTCGAAAATTTTAATAAAATTCTTCGCGAGAATAAAAATTATTTTCATAAATAATAAAATAATTCGGAAAAATTCAATTTCTAACAATAGTATAATTTTTTCAATTATTTTTATAAATAGTAAAATTCTTCTCAAGAATTGAATTATTTTTAAAAATAGTATCTAATAATCTAATAAAAATAGTATCTAATAAGAATATCTAATTTTAAAATTCAAAAGAAAAAAAAATTTTTTGAAAAAGTTAAGAAACAAAAAAGGTAACAACAACTATCTCGAAAATGCGTACAAATTACCGAAATACAACAGTTATTAATATAGAATATTGTTATTATTCATTATTTCTATTATTATTTATTAAATTATTATTTTATTAATTATCATTTGTTTCTATTTCTTGCAGAAATTGTTACGTGTGCGAGTTTCAGTAGAGACGGTCAATGCATTTTAGTGAGTTGTGCCGATGGAGTTGTGAGATTAATGGACAAGGAAACGGGTGAACTTCTTGGTGAATATTCGGGTATACCTCGAAACGATTTATGCCTCGAGTCAAGTGTCGATTATCACGACATGAAAATTATTTCCGGCTCAACCGATGGACATCTTTATGTTTGGGAATTAGTTTCACAAAAATTATTAACAAAATTATCGCCCGATAAACAATTAAGGCATCCAACAGTGTCAATTAGCGTTCATCCGCAAAAAAATTGCATCCTCGCATCTAATGGAATGAATATTTTCATGTGGGAAAACGAGAAAACCGACTCCGAATAAAAGTAAGAAGACAATTCGTAAATAAATTTTTCAATAGAATCAGAATTTTTAACTGTCTTTTCTTTCTACTCAAATAGAAAATTTTTTTCTACTTAGAAAGAATTAATTATTAAAAACAAAAATTTTATAGAAACAAAATGGAAATAATAATAAAAGAAAATAATAATGAAAATAAGTAAAAATAAATAAAAAAAAGAAGAAATTGCAAAAAGAAAAATAATTCATTAGTTTTAGATTTATATATTTTAGAAAAAAGGTCAGAAATTAAAGAGAAAAGAAGACCTTGGAAAAAATAAATTCAACAAAGTTTAATTGTCGAAATTATTACAGACAGTAAAAAAATGGTCGAATGAGTTAATTCCATATCTCGGAAGATTTTCAAAAAAATTCTTTTTTTCTTCTACATTGTTGCAAAAAAAAGAGAGATCTAAACTAGACATGTTGAGTCACGTTAAAATAAAGCTATCTTAATCAAATAAGATGCCAATTAATGTATATTTCACGAATAAAAAAGAGAAGAATTGATAAGATTCTAATACACGAGGCTTAAAGTAATAATCCCCAAAGTGTTATTACTTAATAATTTAAAGAATTTTTCACTTTATTAATTCTTCTACATTCTAAATTTCCAAATCTTTTAATTAGACCTATTTAATTCTCATTTTTAATTTATCTGGCAAAAAGAATAAAGAAAGAAAAAAAAAATTGTCCGCCTTCGAGAAAGATGAAAGAAAAAACTTCTAATACGTATATGACATAAATTGTTGCGCGGTAATTCTTGACAGTCGCAAGTGAAATGTAGAAGAAAGAAGTCGCGAATTAGATTTAAGAATAATTTTAAATTTTATTTCAAGTTTCTTGTGTTAATTTTTCATTCAATTAATACGAATTTTGTGCCAGTGTTGATTTCAACTCAAAGTGAACAAGTCAGAAAAAAAACTGAGTAAACTCAGAAAAAAGAATCTGACAAAAATTAATTTAATTAAAGGAAAGATTTTTAAAAAAAGAATTAATTTTTTGCCAAAAAAAGTTTTTAATTAAACTCTTTTTTATTTTTTGTTAATTAATATTTAGAAAGTTCTTTTTTGAATTCATCATTAAACTAAAATGTCAACGACACCATTGAGACAATTTTCTTTTGGTAAGCATTTAGAGTTTTTATTCTCCGATTCTCTTAATTTAATAATAATCGTTTTCATTGTTAAAAAATAGATTAAATTATCTCTTTATAAGAAGCGGTAATCTTTTGTTAATAGAAGGAAATCATAATAGTATTTGAAAAATTTTTCGTTACTTATTCGAGATAATTCTAAATTTATTTATTTTATTTCTAATTGTGACAGTAAATTCTTTACATTTTCCGTTTTTCGAGTTTTTAAAATTAAAAACCAATTTTTAAATAAAAAAAAAAAAATTTTGAAAGCAATTAAGTTGAAAAATTAAGTTAATTAAACTAATATTAAATTATTTATTGAAAAATTTCTCTTTTTTTTTCGAAAAATTTGCAAAAAGAAAAGATACAACCAAAAATATTAAGTTCCGTCGTAGAAAGTAAAATTACTATAGTTATAAATTTTATAGAACTTGGCTCGTAACCAAGTTCGTTGACAAAGAAAATAATCTTTGAAACAATGGAAAATTTTTATAAATGATTAATTAAATTATTCTAAAATTATTCATAATTTTTTTTTTATAAAAGAATAAAACAAGAACGAAAAATTAAAAATTTTTGTAAAAAGACAAAATTTTTCCGTAAAAATACAATTTTCTTAAAGTTGATTTTTTTTTAATATTTCCAAATAATAATTTAAAAATATTAATTTTTAATGTAATTGAATCAGAAACAATTTTTTTCCTTTATTTTTTTTGGGAGAATTTTCGTCCACTATCATTCGTTTTGTTTGTAAACGTTAAAAAGTCACGTGTTAAAGTTCAAAGCTTTGAGACTCTAGTTTTTTTTTCATTACTAAATTGCAAATTGATAAGAATAATTTGATTGATGTCTGAGAACGTGAATTTTTCCAGAAGAAATTAATTAATTTCTAAGAAATGAATTTCTGAATTATAAATTTTTTCCGTGTATTTTTTTTTTTCTTTGCATTAATATTGTAAATTAAAAAATAAATATAAACACAAGATAAATAAATATCTAATAAAAATTATTTTGCATTAATTGCGCAAAAATAAGAATAGTCAGACATTTTCAATTAATTAATTTTATAATATCTTTTTAAGGCATCTAAGATAATGTTACGAGGTATAAAAAATTCTTATCAAAACCAAAAAAAAAAAAAAAAAAAAATAACGATTATTATCGATAATGGACCTTCGAGAATTTGCTTATTTCTCTTGAAAATATTTTTTTCAAAAGAATATATTAATTAGTAGTTAACTAATTAATTTACTAATTGTATTAATTAATAAACAAAAAATTTTAATTGACTAAATAATTAATTAAGTAAAATATGTTTATTAGCTAAATACTTAATTAAGTAAAATATGCTGATTGGATAAATTAATTAATTAATTAATTAATTAACTGAAATTAGTTGGCTAAATAATTATCTAAAACGTATTAATTGACTAAACAATTAATTAACTAAAATATGTCAATTGGCGAAATAATTAACTTAAATTTTAATATTTGGTTAAATAATTAATTAACTAAATTATATTAATTGGCATCTTATTCAGAATAATTTTGCAATTAACTACAAAAACGAAAATGTATTAATTAGTTAAATAATTAATTAATGAAAATGTATTAATTGGCTAAATAAATAATTAACGAAAATGTATTAATTGGCTAAATAATTATTTAACGAAAATATATTAATTGGCATCTTACTTAGAATAATTTTGTAATAAACTAAAAAAAAAATCTTGTTAAATAAATATTGTTATTATTTCTTTAAATATTTCTACCAGACGAATATTTATTTAATTAGGAAATAATTTTTTAATTTGTTTCTTCGACGATTGAAGAATTTAAAAATATTGAAAACTCTCAATCAAAGCAAATTCATTTGTATGTATTTATTTTTGAAATTTCTGCGTAATTTTTCTTCGTTTTTCAACAGAACTGACAATTTTATAATTCATGCAAATCTAGAGAGAACATTTTTTTTTAAATCTTCGAGTGAAAACATGCAGACTCACAAGTAGATTACATAAAAACGAAAAATGATAAATTCAGATAAAAATGATTAAATTTTATTTTATTTTTAATTTTTATTTATTTTTTTCCATTTTTATTTGTTTTTATTTGTCTTTCTTTATTTTTATTCAAATCTGCTTTCCATTTCATAAAATAATTTCTATTTTAAATTTTGTAGATATTTTTTTTCTCCCTTTTGCTTCCTCGTGGAGGAAGCTTTTTTTTATAATATTTCACAAAGAATTTAAATTCACAAATGGTGACTTTTTGATTAATATAAAAAATTATGATTTAACAATTAAATAATTATTATTTACGTATCTATTTAGAAAAATGTTTACTAAAAGATTGTGTATTTTTGTAGTAAATAATTTCTACTTTGCAATTACTAATTTTTTTCTAATTAAAATTCAAAAAATGGTTGAATTTTGTAATTTTATTAAAAAAAAATGTCGGAGAAAAATTTTATTAATATTTTAACTTGGTAGTTATGAATATTGCTTTATTAAAGTTTAGTCATTAGCGAGTCATCTTTGTTGTCACTGCGTCATTTTTAAAGCATAAGGAAGTTCATGCAAAATCATAGCACGATAGTGAATTATTCACTATTTTACGATTCAAACCTATTGCGATCTAATTAACAAATTGTAATCAGTTTCATATCAGATGCAAAAGAAATATATTTTGATAATAACAAAATTTTATTGGATAAAAAAAAATAAATAATTAATAAAGCAAATATTTTGCATCTGCTTTGAACAGTTTTCAAAGATAACTGAAAATATTGAAATTAAATATTTAAAATATTAAAAATAATCAAATTATAACCATAATTTCTAAAATTAATAATTAACTATTCTCAACAGTCGAAATAAAATTGAAAAATTGAGAAAAAAAGTTAATTTAAAAAAAACAAGGAAATGGTGTTACACGTAAGCTGACGATTAATTTTTTTTTTTTTTTGCATTCAATTTCTAACAAAAAATTTGATATTCATTGTTCTATTTGCTCGATTTCTTTTGCAGACGAAAGAGACATAAGAAGGCGAATGCAATGTCGGAAGTTGGAGTTCAAGGTGCCATTGAGACTAATTCGTTTATGTGTCCTTGGCACATTTCTTCCGGCAATTTTGGTGGCGGGTCCCATTTATCTCAGATATCGAGTTTATTCCGTTCAATTATATCCTCTAACAATTTCTGATCAAAGATTAATCGATGGGAAAATCTCCACTACGTGGTGCCAGGTATTTTTCTTTTTTTGCAATTAACAATTTTTTTTCGAAAATTTAATTGTTTATTCAATTTAATTAATTAATTAAATTCAATTAAATTTATTAAATTAGATAATTTAAATAAAATTTAAATTAAAAAATATATTTATTTAATTTTTTAGATAAAATTTAAATTAAATTAATTTCATTGAATTTAATAAATTTAATTTCAATTAATGAAATTGAATATATTCAATTTCATTGATAAATAGAAATTTGAATTAAGCAAAAAAAAAAAAAATTGAAAAACAGTAAAATTTCTTTTTTCAATTACAGAGACAAGTGGTCAGAGTGAATACAACGTTTAATGCCTACTTGATGAGCAACGAGCCAAATATTAAAGGGGACCTAGTTCCAGTCTCGATGACAAGACATTTAGTTTTGGAAGATGATATGAAAGAATATTGGGGATTTTACCTTTTACGAGGTTCAAGTGTTACTGTTTCTACTTGTGTAAGGTAGAATTCGAGAAAATTAAAAAAAAAAACGATTAAGCAAAAAGAAATCCTAGAAAAAATTCAAATACATATTTTTCATAATTTTTTCCGAAATATTTAGTTCTAATTTATTTTGATCTAACAAGAATTTCAATTTTTTAATTTAATTTCCATTCAGAATTAATTTTATTTCAATTCAATATTAATTCAATTTAAATTGAAAATTAATTTAATTTCCATTTGAAATTAATTTTACTTTAATTCAAAATTCATTCAATTTCCATTCAAAATTAATTTAATCCCAATTTAAAACTAATTTATTTTAAAATCAAAATTACTTTCATTTCAATTCAAAATTAATTTAATCTCAATTGAAATCTAATTTGATTTCAAATCTAAATTAAATAAATTTCAATTTCAAACTAATTTGATTTAAAAGAAATTTAGTTTTCTAATTGTCGACTGAATTAATTTCAGATGGCCTGGAGCTTCACTAACAATTGTAAGAGGCCATAAACATTTACACGAATGTACATTTATTGGCGATGACAGTAGCGAGGAATTGGAAGAATTACTTCAAGTTGCAGAGGAAAAAGGATTGTTAAAAGTAAACGGAACAATTCAGGTAAAAATAACTCTTAACAAAAAAAATATTTTCCTTTTTTTCCTAATTTTTTTGATAATTTTTCTTTTTAATTCCAAAAATTTATTAATCATGAAAATAATTAAATTCAATCCTCAGAAGAATTTTATTTTTTACGAACATAATTGAATTCTTTGGATAAATTTTTATTCTTTATAATTTTTAAAATCATTTGAATAGTTTACATGATTTTTATAAAAATTTAAATTCATTCCAGAAATTGAATTAAAATTGTATTGAAAATAATTGAATTATTTTAAACGATTTAATCAGAATTTTTCGAAATAATTTAATTTTTTGCGAAGAACTTTACCAAATTTTTAAAAATAATTGAATTATTTTGAAGATTTTTTTTAAATTGTTTTAAAATAATGGAGTTTAAATTAATAAAAATCTTTAGTTGAAAATTTTGAAAATACTTGAATCAAACACCATTTTTTTCAATTTTTCATAATATTCGTGTCTGTTAATAATATTAAAAATATTATTGAATTTTATTAAAATTGTACCTGAAAATCTTTAAATTCCTGAGAAAAATTTTATTGTTTATAAAAATATTTTAATTCTTGCTAAGAATTTTACTACCTATTTATAAAAAAAAATTAAATTTCTTCCAAAAAATGTTATTATTTATGAAAATAATTGAATTCTTGCGAAGAATATTATTAAAATTTTTGAAAATAATTAAATTCCTCAGAAGAATTTTATTTTTTACGAAAACAATTACATTCTTTGGATAATTTAATAATTAATTGATAATAATTGAATAATAATTTTATATATAAAATAATTTCAGAACAATGAAAGTCCAAGTAATGCACCCGATAAAATGACAAAAGTTCATAAAGACGTGAAATTCCATCATCACAATTCTAAGGCGCCACATAAAAATCGAACATTCAGCTCAAATGATTTTAATCCATCGAGTCATGAATTAGATGCAAATGCAATGAAAAATATTTTGGCACTATTAATGAAAAAAACCAATGAAATGAAGAATAAACAAAAGAAAAATGCCTATCATATATACGAGGGTGTTTATCGTGAAAGTGATAATATCGATAAACCACCGTCATTGGAGAAGGAATTCGATCCAAGGGATCTTTTCGATCTTCTCGATCAAAAACGACAATCACTTGAAACAAATCAAAATGAAAAATTACCAAAAACTAAAATTGATGCAAATTCAAAAATCCCCAATGATGCGCAATTGAATATTTCAAATGATACATTAAATCAGAAGATTATCAATGATACCTTAAATCAAAAGATCATCAATGATACCTTAAATCAAAAAATCGTTAATAATACAGTAAAATTAAAAAATTTAAATACTGACGATTTAGTAAAGGAGAAAAAAATTTCAACTTCCCTTTCGAGAGAAAAGGAAGTAAAAAATGACGAAACTCCGAGAATTAATGTTGAAAATAAATCGAAGAATTTAGAGAGTAGTGAGAATGATCCAAGTTCAGCTGAAGTTTTTGGCGAAGTTATGAAAAAAATTGTCTCCCAAGGCGAGAGAGGAAAGAAACTTTTTCAGCAATTATTGAGTGAAATTGATGATGAAAAACTTAAGCAAAGACTAATGATTAAATTGACGAGTGCAGCAAAAATTGAAGAGGAGAAGAAGAGAAGAAAACGAGACTTTATTCTATCATCACCACTTCAAGATGAATTGAGCCGCGATGACGAGGACGAGGATGCTGCCATTGAAGAGGTTTTTAAAATTTTTAATTAAAAACTCATTTTTTTAATTTGAATTAACAAAATCAATTTTTTAATTTAAATTAAAAATCTATATTAATAATCGTTGTATTCCGGTAATCTGTTTGCAATTAAAGTTCTTTTTGTTTGCTTTTTTGTTTCCTAACTTTTAAAACAATTTTTGTTTTTAAATATTTTTAATTTAATCAAAAAATTTCAGAATAATATTGAATCCCTTTGAAGAATTTTATTATTTATGAAAATAATTTAATTCTTGTAAAGAATATTATTAAAATTTTTGATAATCCTAATTAATTATTCTTTTCAAGAATTTCTTTGAATTTTTTTTTAAATAATGAAGTTTCTTTAATAATTGAAATTGAAAATTTTGAAAGTAATTGAATTTTATCAATTCTTCAGAGTTGTAAACTTAAAAGTTGAAGAACGAATTCTTCTTTCAGGATTTATTAACGCCTGATGGAATTGCTGATGACAGAGGAACAGTTAACGAAACCACATTGAATGATAGAAGCAATTCTGAATTTTGGAGTTCATTTAGTAGTTCCGAGGAGAGACTCTTGGAATGCAAAGGATTAATATTAAATTTGCCCCTAACACCACATCGAATGTGTACGCCACATCATGAAAATGAACACAATGCGGCTTCAATTGCCAACACTGTTACCTACAGGTTTGGAAAATTTTTCAAAAATTTCTTTTTTCTTTTCTATTTTTTGTTTTCTTCTCTTTATTCATTTTTATTTTTTAATTTTCTTCTCTTTTTTTTCTATTCTCTTTTCTTTTTCTCATTTTTGAGGAATGAGGAATTTTTTTGAGAAGATTTTCATAATTCTTTCTGAGAAAATAATGAAAAAATTCATTTCCACAGGGTGCCGGCGAATGGCTATTATTTTTTCGTTTTTAATTCGGAAAATGAGGTGCAAACAAATTATTTGAGGATAAAATTTGATCTTCTTAAAACTGCGTACAACACATCGAATCCAGTGCATGCCTGTGAAAATATAACCAGCGAATGTTCATTGCCATTCAATTTTTTTAGCAGCGAACGAACAGTTTTAGAATTACCAGTGAGGGGCAATGATTCACAATGGAATGAGGAATTCGTTGTCACATCAACTTGCGAGCCAAGAACTTCGATCTATATTTTCTGCGTAATCGCCGTTCCATTATTAATTCTTTTATTTGCATTTCATTAACAGAAAGCAAATTTCAATATTTTAATCATTTAATTTCTATTTTCATTCAAATTTAATTTCCATTTCAATTCAATTTCAATTCAATTTCACTTTAATTTAATTTCAATTCACTTTCAATTCGAATTTAATTCAAATTAGATTTCAATTCAATTTCAATTCAATTTCACTTTAATTTAATTTCAATTCACTTTCAATTCGAATTTAATTCAAATTAGATTTCAATTCAATTTTAATTCGAATTCGATTTTAATTCAAATTCGATTTCGACTTTAATTTAAATTCGATTTCGACTTTAATTTAAATTCGATTTCAATTCAAATTCAATTTCAATTCGATTTCGACTTTAATTTAAATTTGCCTTCAATTCAAAGTCAATTACAATTCGAATTCGATTTCAATACAAATTCGATTTCAATTCGAATTACATAATTTTCATAAAAATCAAATTCGACTTGAAATAGAATTTGTATTGAAATTGAATTTGACTTGAAATCAAATTCGATTTTAATGCAGTTTTAATTAAAATTCAATTTCAATACAGAAAGTATTGAAACTAAAAGAAAGAAACTAAAGAAACTTAAAGAAAAACAGAAAAAAATGGAAACAACAACAAAAAAAAGTGGTGAAAAGAATAAACAAATTTTTTAATTCTTATGAGATTTTTAACTAGTTTTTTTTCTACTAAAAAAAACTAGTAGTATTATATTGTCCAAGATCGGATATTGTGATATTTATAGCAGGGTATTGTCGATAAAAATCAGTATTCTAAATTTTTCAATTTTAGAAATACTAGAAAAAAATTCGCACTGAGAGAAATTAATTGCGACTAATGTAAAAAAAATCAATTCTTCTCAGTTTTTTTTTTTTTTTTATTTAAATTTTTGTAAAATATACTATTTCATTAGAACAAAAGTAGGCTATATAAAAATCAAAGACTGTTAATATTAATCAGACAGTTTAAAATCCCGTTTATAACAATACTTTTGGCAACTTCAAGTTTTATTTTTTGCGAAAAATATAATTTACGAAAACTATAAAAAAAACGGGAATTTAATCTGCCGACGAATATTTAATATTTAAATAAATTTAATTATTAGAGAACGAATTTAATTATATATTAGAGAACGAATTTAATTATATTAGAGAATGAATTTAATTATATTAGGGAATAAATTTAATTATATTAGAGAATAAATTTTGCATATTCCAAGTAAATATTAGTTTAAATATTTAAAAGTAAATAAAATAAATAAAATTCTCGACTTTTTTTTATAAAAACGGAGTTCTTTTTTAGAAAAAAAATTGAGAAATATAACAAAAATAGGCAAAATCGCGAGAGAATAAACGGATAACTTATAAGTCTAGACATTTTTACTTTCTATAATAATTATAGAAATAGAATAAATAAGGTAAAGAAATACGGAATAAAATTATAAAAGTGGTGAATAAAATAAATAAAAATTGAATTTTAATCTTTGAAAAGTTTTTTTTTTGAGCCACCCAACCCTAATTGTATCGTAAATATCGGCTTAACGCATATTATCTGGCCACGTGTCTGATTCCGATCAACTTAAAAGATAAATTCACAGTCAACTTTTTAAATGTGGCAAAAATTTTTTACTATCAAACCATTAAAAATTATTTCTAAAAATATCTCGAGTGTTACTGTAATGATAGAATAAATATATTTATAAGTAAATATTCCTTTTTTTTTAGTAATCTCAATGTTTTCAGTCTTTAATTACAATTTTTACTCTTTAATATCTACAATATTTAAATTTTATTGACATTTTTCCTGTTAACTAATGAATTAATTATTTAAAGAAAATAAATTTCAAATTTAATTAATTTTAAAATTAATTTAATTATTAAACAAAATAAAACGAAAAAATGTAATTATTAATTTAATTAATTAACTCCTCTAATGTAAACAAAATTTTAAACACATTCTAAAAGTTTCGTTTAGGAATTTTGAATCTAATACAGATTCTCAGTGGTTTCCCACAGGGTTGTGGGAATTGTGGTTTAAATCGTTTAAATTGATCGTGACAATGAATAAAAACTAGGAATCAGAGCGACTAAATCATTTTTAAATGTGACCTTCGATGGGAAATTTATTCCTTAACGATCTCTAAATAGAAAAAGTTAATGGAAAGTGCAATTGTTTAAAAATTTTTTTTTAACAACAATAATAATAATGATAATAATAATAGTAATAATAATAATAATAATAATAATAATAATAATAATAATAATAATAATAATAATAATAATAATAATAATAATAGTAATTTTTCGATTCCCTAAAGAATTGATTAATTAGTAAATTTATTTATGTAATTATTTATAAACTAATAAATAAATTTATTTATTAACTAATATAAATAAATAAATTATATTTTAAAGAATAAAGAAAAAAATTTTGTTTCTACAACTGAGAAACGAAATTGTCGTCGAATTGAAATCAAAATTATGTGAAAAATTTTTTACTTCGTAGAAAACGTTTCTTTAGATATTAATTAATTAATATATTAATTTAAGGAAAAAAAAAATTTTGTTTATATAGTTATGCAAAACTAAGAAACAGAATTAGAAAAATATTGTGAAAATTTTTTTTTTACTTTAAAAATGAAACGATTTATTAAAAGGGAATAAATATGTCAGAGGTCAATTTTTTTCTGGAATTGATTCCATTTATTGATATAGATATAGGGGATTGTATGTGCGAATTTTTTTGTCGCAAATACAAATGATTATTGTTAAAGGGTGTGTCAAATGGAAAAAGAGGCGTGCCACTTTGGTTTGCGCAGTGTCCCATGAACATCAAAACGGATTGCAGGAACAAGAAAAGGGGGGTTGAAATTCAGGGGGGAGAAATCAATTTTCCTTATCGTCACCGACCAGCCACCTCGTATTAATCCCATTATTAGTTTTCACTCGAGAAACACATATGCGACACATTTATTTTTATATTTAAATATTGTATTGAAAAAATTATTACTTATTTTTTATATTAATTATTGTATATAATATATTTCAAATTAATTACTGTTCACAATAAAATTAATTACTGTACACAATAAAAATTAATTACTGTATACAATAGAAATTAATTACTGCACTCAATAAAAATTAATTATTGTATATATTTTAGAAATTAGACAAAAAAAATTTTTTACAATTCATTGGTAGAAGAAATTTTCAAAAGAAAGAATAATAAAAATTAAAATAAAAATTAATTATTGTACATATTAGAAATTAAACAAAAAATATTTTTTACATTTAATTGGTAGTAAAATTTGTAATAAAATTTACCAAAAAGAAAGGATAATAAAAATTAATTATTATTATTAGAAATTAATTAGACAAAATAAATTTTTGTCATTTCTTTGGCAAAGAAATTTTTTGAAAATAATAGACGAGTAAATTTAATTATTGTGTAGAATAAAAATTAATTATTGTCTACAATAAAATTATTATTTCTAATGAAACTCAATTATTATTTATTAATATTTAAAATGATAATAATAATAATTAAATACTGAAATATTCAATTTACAATAAATAATATAACAAATAACGTTGGTTTTTAAATTCATTATTATAAATTAATTTATAGATATTTGTAATAATAAATAATAATAGAATTCCTTATAATTATACGAAATCTGTGTGGTGGATTCTCGAATAATACAATTAGTTTGTAATTTTCTTATCTTGTCGCTCATCTTTGAAAACTATCGGAAGTTTGATATGATAAAAATAATTCTTCCCTTGTATGTTCAGTAAAAGATAAGAAATACTCGTTTCTTGAAATTTTAACCAAAAATTAATTTTCAATTTTCAAATAGATACGAAACTTAATGTTTTTATTATCTAAACAGCAAATGATTTTCCATTTATTATTATTTTGTAAACTGAAAAATTTTATATTTTGAAATAGTAAAATTCTATGCAAAAATTTAATTATTTTTAATACAATTTCAATAAAATTTCATGAAAGGATTCAATTTTTTTTTAATTTTTAATAATATTTCTCGAAATAATTCAAATATTTTCTAAAATTTTAATAAATCCTCCGCAAACAATTCAATTATTTTTTTAAATAGTATAATAAAATATTTTCAAAAAATTCAATTATTTTCAATAAAATTTCACGAAAGAATTCAATTTTTTTCTTAATTTGTTATAAATTTTTTCAAAAGAATTCAATTACTTCCTAAAATTTTAATAAATCCTTCGAAAGAATTCAATTATTTTTATAAATAGTAAAATTCTTTACAAAAATCCAATTATTTTTCATACAGTTTTAATAAAATTTCATGTAAGACTTCAATTTTTTAAACAAAATTTTAATAATATTTCTCGAAAAAATTCAATTTCAACTATATTAATAATTTAATGGACACGATAATTTCAATGACTTGCAAGAAATTATTCATAAAATTCAATTATTTACAAGAATTTGAATTAAAATTATTAAAGAAACTCCATTATTTAAAAAAAATTCTTTGCGAGAATTCAATTATTTTATACTATATTACTATTTTTATTACTATTATTATTATTATTATTATTATTATTATTATTATTTTAAGTATTATTATTTTTATTATTATTACCATTATTATTACTTTTGGTAATTATTATTTTATTTTTATATTTTAAATATTTAAAAATTAATTCAAAAAAAAAATTACTATTGTTACTATTATCGCTATTATTGCGATAATTTCCAAAAACTTTAATGATAATTTTTCGAATGAATTTCTTCAATAAACTAATTTGTATTAAAAATTGTTTCATCGACTAATTAATCAAATTAATTTATTAACAGACGTGAAAACATTTTTATAGAAATTTGAAAATAAGTAAAATTTGACTATCTTTTTTTTTGTTTTTTTTTGAAGTAGAGGCAGTTATGAATTGTATATTTACTTGGTGCGAGACGAGTGTTATCCACTGATAAGGGTTGCTCCGCCCTTCAATCCTCTGAATCCTGGCAACTGTGGTGGGCTCTCTCTCTCTTTCTCTCTCGCTTTCTCTAAATTGCAAGTTCAAGTTGTTACCGTCTTGGCCTTCCATGAAAAATTAATTCTCCCAGATTGCATTAACAAATCGACGACAATGGAAAAGAGAGTAAGAGAGAGATAATAATTCTTAATTCCGGAAACTGTAAAGGATTAAAAACATCTTTTTTAATTAACGTCACTTGATATTAAAAAGCCTTTAATATCCGTAAAGAAGTCGCGGATATTACAAATTTTAGATATACGAATTTTCCACTCTTTTCTTCTTCTTGAAATTTACTTCTAAAATATATCGTTTCTTTTTTTCTTCTTTTTTCGAATTATTTCTAATTTCTAAAAATTAAAAATAAAATTTAATTTAGAAGAATAATATTATTTTAAAATATAAACAAAATAAATAAGCAAATTAATAAAAGTAACAAATAAAACGGTAAAAATAATAAATATATAAAATATATATATAAAATAGTAATATTAGAAATAAAATAGAAATAAAATATAAAATAAAGGCGAAGTCAATAAATAAATGAAATAAATAAAAACAATGAAAAAAGATAGTAAAAATGAAGTAGAAATAAAAAATAAAATAATAGAAATTAAATAGAAATAAAGAATAAAATGAATAAAAAAAATAATAAGATAAATTGGAGATAATGAAAAATAAAATCAAGAAAAGAATGTAAAATGAACGTAAAAATTAAAATTGAAAAAAAACAACAAAAGGAAAAAAATGAATAAAGAATACATTGAATTATGCCTCTTCGATCCTCTCCCACGCAGATTGGTTGGTAATATTGCAGCAATGAGCGTCAGTGATTCAATAGAAATAATTTAATCGGGTTCACAGGATGACACCCTTGAATACTCATCACTCCGTAAAATCCTTAGCACCCCTCCGAGTGTCACAATAAAGTAACACGTGACTGGTGGTCACTTGACTGCATCAATTGGGGTCGTCTCATCGTCTCATCGACCCTTAATACGATACATATGGTTTTAGGGTATCACTTCCTCTTTTTTTAAGCACCACCACAACAATATCTTTAGTCCTTAATCGAAATTTGATTATTTGGGAAAAGAGTCTTCAATATTTTCAGTTAAATTCCCATTTATCTTCTCGTTGCACTAAATGAAAAAAAAGATCCTTTTTTTCTCAAAAAACTTTTATTTCTCTATTTTTTAAAGAGAAAATTTCTCAAAACTATTCTTTATTTTTTAAAGCAGTCGAGAAAAATTATCAGAATGTTCTCCATTTTTTAAAGCAGTCGAAGAAATTTTTCAAAACTATTTTGCATTTTTTAAAGCATAGTTGAGAAAAATTATCAGAATGTTCTCCATTTTTTAAAGCAGTCCAGGAAATTTCTCAAATTGTTCTCTATTTTTTAAAGCAGTCGAGAAAATTTCTTCATTAAAATACTTAAATTCCGTTAATTATCTGTAACTATAAAAAATTCTGTTAATTATTTGTAATTTGTCAATTTGTAAAAAAATATCAACTCTTTGACTGCGTTTCATTATTGTTTCGTCGCACAATTAAAATGGAGAACATAATTTGAGAAAGTATTTTTTTAAAGCTGATAAACTTTCCATAAAGAAACAATCGTCTTCTCGTCTTCATAATTTTCTTATTCTCAGGAAACAATAATTAAATATTGTCCTTTCTCCTCATTTCTTGTCGATTTTCTGTTGTTCTTCTCATTTTCTGTCCGTAAAGTTCATACCAAAAAACACCGATTTAAGCACTTAAAAGTTAAAACTCTTCGAGTTGGAAAACTTTATAGCTTAAGTTGGAAATTGATGGGATTTTCAGTTTGAAAAAAAATCTGAAATTAAATAAAACAATTAAAATAAAATTAAATAACAATCAAATAAAAAAGAATGAATTAAATTAAATTTAAATAAAAAATGTGTTAAATTAAAATTTGTCAAAATTGCAATTAAATCCCTTTGTTCTTAATTGTCAATAAAAAAGGAACTTAAAAATTGAATTCTAAAGAAATTTAAAATCAAAATTTTCAAAAAATCTGAAATCAAATAAAACAATTAAATTCCTTTGTTTTTAATTGTCAAAAAAGAAGGAACTTAAAAATTGAATTCTAAAGAAATTTAAAATCAAAATTTTCCAAAAATCTTCAAATAAAATAATAGAATTAAAATCTTGTTCAATAATAATTAAATAACAAATTAAATTAAAATTTGCTAAAATTACAATTAAATTCCTTTGTTTTTAATTGTAAATAAAAAGGGAAATTAAAAATTGAATTTTAAATAAATTTAAATTTGAAATTTGAAAAAATAATAATTAAAAGAGGAGTCTAAAAACTATTATGCTCTACGATAAATTTTCTGGACTCAACTATAAAAAAAGTAACACGTGACAATCATTAAAAAATCTATTCCATAAATTCTAAATTTTTCTAATTTATATTATTGTTAATATATATATATTCTGTAAATCACAACAAACTTTAATTATATAACATCATTAAATTAAGCAATAGTTGACTTAACATTATACAAATTATCAAACAACCGAACTTGAAGAATTATGAACATTAAAATTGTCTATACTAATTTAATAAAATTAATAATATTAAAAATAAAGACCTTTTCCTATGAATAATTTTCCAAAATAAAGAAAAATATTTCGAATTTTTCTTTTTCTTAGAGAGAAAGAAAAATTTGTTTTCGAGAGAGAGTGAGTGAGAGAGATGAAGAGCGGATGCTGGAGGAAAATGTATAGATTCGATATGGGATGGTCCAGAGAAGAACTCCACCCACGTTCTGTTCTGCTCCGCCCTAGGAAATTTCATCTCCAAAAGGGGTTTCTCGATTTTCTGTCAGTCAAATTAGTAGAGTTGACATTCACGGTTGCTTTTCCATTTTTTTCTAAATGACCACATAAATATTAATAGTTTACGGTTTCCATCTAACTCTGCTGGGAACTGCAAAGAAAAAAAGAAATCAAAATATTACAGTGTCATTAGTTTTCATCCTCTTTTACTCAACTATTTTTTTTTCTATTTAAAAATTATTTTTTATTAATAAAAATGGTGAGAACATTTTGCAAAAAATTCTTTTACTCAATTATTTTTTTTTTCAAAATATTAGTGTCTTTATTTTTCTTTCTCTTTTACTCAACATTTTTTTTCTTTTTCTTATAAAAATGGTGAGAACTTTTTGTTTAAAATTGTGTCGAAATTGTTCAAAAGATATTTTTTTTATTCGAAAAAGATTTATTTAATAATTAATAATATTAAATAAATAAATAAAAAATAGTTTTAAGTAAATAAGCGATTGGTTAACTTGGATATTTTTTCACCATATGATGAAAATATTTTCCTTTAAATTTGAAAATTAATTTCTGTGTAAACCTCAAGTAAAAATAGTGAATTAAATTAAAGTGATAAGTGAATCCTAAAATTTCAGCCAATGTTGACTTACAATGGAACGACGGGAAATGTAGCAATCGAGGCGGATCGCAGTTCACCGGCGGAATCGTTTTTTTCCGGCGACGGAGAACTTGCTGAAGAACCTGGAGATTCACCAGGAACACTCAGGGACACTGAGGAGGAGGCAACATTGTCCGATGAATTTTATTCTCACGACACGGACGACGATGAAGATCAGAATAAAAAACGAAAGTGTCGCTCCAATTCGGTAAATAAAAATTATTAATTTTACGAAAGAATCAAATTGCAAAAATTAATTCACAGTAAAAAGGGGGAAAAAATAATTTAATAACAACTTTTTTTTCCAGATTGAAACTATTTCAACGTCCGGTAATTTACAACTTGGTTCGCCAACAACAAGAACCGGAGGTTCGGGTGTTAGAAAATTATTCACAAACAGCCGGGAACGTTGGAGGCAGCAAAATGTCAGTGGAGCTTTTGCCGAACTTCGAAAACTGGTCCCAACTCATCCGCCCGACAAGAAATTGTCGAAAAATGAAATTTTGCGAATGTCAATTAAGTGAGTGCTCCGCCGAGAATTTAAAACTAAATTCTTAATTTTTTTTTTCTGCTTTGAAAAATTTTTTCTCCTTCTTGACAAAAATTTCAGATACATCAGACTCTTGAGCAATGTTTTGGACTGGCAAAAATCTCAGGAACGAAACGGTTCCATTCACCATCATCATCATCATCTAAAACAACGACACGACATGAAAATAAAATGCGAATCACAATTTCTCAATCAAAATAATACAAATCAAAAATCAATTTTAAAATCCGACAGTGGAAATTCATTTTCCAGACATCAGACAACACAAATTTGTGATAAAAATGGAAATAATCTACTAATGATTGCACCTGTGATTGGAGTAATAAATCGTTCGGCAAATAATTCCTTTCAAACATCAGGACTTTCTTATAATTCATTTGGCGATTGGATTCGTGCTGGCAATAAAAGTGGAAATTATCAAAAATTAGGGAAAATACCACAAAATACAAGTTCACAATTCAATTCAACAATAATTCCATCAGCGAAAAGTGAAATTTCCGGAAATCCCTTGAAGAAACGATTAAAAATTGAAGGTGAGGATGAAGAGCAAATTTTGACGATAGATTCGCGACTAAATAATTTAACCGCCGTTCGTTTAGCAAATTCACAAGATTCACCATCATCGACGCAATTAAATATCGTGACGAGTTCTATTCGAAAGCGAGTGAAAATTTCCTTCGTCAAAGAAACTCTCAGTGATGTGAATAACATATCTAGTGATAAATCATAAAGTTTTTGTTAAAAACATTTTTGTTACAATTTGGAAATTATTTTCTTCATTTTAACTAAAAGAATCTAAATTATAGCTAAAAAAAAATTAAATTTTAGCTTTAAATAATTTTGTTGTTAATTTCAATTCAAATAATTCTTTCCGATTAATTTCAATTAATTCGAACTCAATGGATTATTTTAATTTTGAAAGGAGGACTCAAATAATTAATTGTTTGAATTGAAATTCTCAATTGTGGCTGTAATTAATAAAGTAATGAATTAATAAATTAATAAATAAATAAATAATATAAATATATTAATAAAGCGAAAATTCTTTAGAGCAGTAATTTATTTTTAACTTTGAAGGTAAATTATTTGCTTTGTATATACATAAATTTCAATTATTATTATTATATATAAATATATATTTTTTCTCGTGAATTTTGTACACAAGCACACCTACACATTAAATTTAGAAATCAGTCTCACCCACACTTTTTTTTTATCACGAAACTTTGATAACAATTTTCACAATAAAAACCCTATTTATAATATTTTTAAATCTTTTTTTCTCTTCGTTTTCTAAGTATATATTCATATAATATTCGAAAACTTTAATTTTAGATAAAAAAAACAATTTTTCAAAAAATAAGCTGAAATTATATGTAACAAAAGCAAATAATCAAACAAAAGAATTTCAAACTCTTCCAATTCTTTCAAATTTTCCAGTTTGGGAAAAAATAAATGAAGAGGAAAAAGAAAAAAAACTTTTCAAACAAATAAAGGAATGAAAAATGTTTAAAAAAAAAACCTTTTTTTTAGAGGGAAAAAATTATTTGTACCTTCTTATAAAAATAAATTTTACCGCAATCGCTTTAACATTTTTCAAGTGAGATAAACTTTATATCTGGTATTTCTTTTATTATATCTGGTACTATTTTTCTTACCACGTTGATTCAATGGTTCTTCGGTATTGCGGGGTGAGTTCATTTTTTTCGGAGGCACAGGAGTACTTGGTCTTCTCTCTTCTAATTGATTGAAAGTTCTTTGAGAAATTAATTCGGTGTGAATATTTTGTTTCCCCTCAACACTTCCTCTCTTTGGACTGTATGTGCTTATGCTCGCATAACTTGCGTCGCTCGTTCTCGATCCTCGTTTACTCATATCGCTGAAATCAATTTCAGCGTAGCTCACTCTTGATCGCGAACTCGCGTCCGAATTCCTTTTAACGCCTTTATCCTGGAAAAGAAATTCCCAGTCAGAAAAAGAATTTAATTCTTAAAAATAAATTCCTCTAACTTTGTTCTGAAAAAATTTTCCACTCAAAAATAAATCTTATTTTATTTTTCAAAAACAATTTTTCTCTCAACGCTTCTTTATCCTGAAAACATTTTCCAGTGAGAAACAAATCTTTCTTTTCTCAAAAAAAAATTCCTCTCTACGCTTTTATCTTGAAAAATTCTCAAAAATAAAAAAATAGAATATTAATATTCTCACCGAGAAATAAATCTTTTTCTATTTTGTTCTATTCCTCTCAACGCCTTTTTACCCTGGACAAAATTTTCCAGTAAGAAACGAATCTTATTCTATTTTTTTCTTTTCTAAAAAAGAAATTTCTCTCAACGCTTTTATCTTGGAAAAATTTTCCAGGAAAACAAATTTTATTCTATTTTTTTGTTTCTTAAAAGTAAAAAAAAATATTCTCACCGAGAAATAAATCTTTTTCTATTATTTATTTTCCTAAAAATAGAAAATGAAAGATTTTCTTCTTAAAAACAAAAAGAATTAATAATAAAGTAATAATGAAATTAATCAATAAAATATTTAAAATAAAAAAGAGACAAATGTAAAGATTAGTAATTAATAAGAAAAAAAGTAACAAATTCGAAAAAAAACAAAAGTTCGCTTACGAAATGTTCGGTGCTCGATTGTCTTCTACTGTAATCTTCATAGTCATCCGAATATGTACGATTTCGTGCCTGCACTTTTTTGTCAATAGTCAAGTCTTCACTGAAACGTAATTTCTCGTGAAATTTCCTTAATCGTTCGTCCCAATCAATTTCAAACGATGAATCAATACTTTTCTTGTGTTTCACATCATGTTGTTCGAATTTTTTCTTTCGTTCGTTAAATTCCAATTCTTGACTATTGCTTCTTTCTGATCCTTGTGGATATTTGTCCTCCTCACTGCTACTTTTACTGATCCAAGCATTGTCGCCCAACGACGGTTTCAATCTCTTTGGCCATTCGTTTTCCGTTTTAAAATCATACAATTCACGTATTCTTTGATTCAATCTCACTGAATCGATGCTCGGCTGTTTTATTACTGAAAATTTAATTATTAAAAAAATTCAATTTAAAGTGTTTAAAAAGTTTCTCTTTTACTTTAAAATTTAATATTCTTTTCATTATATTTTTTTTAAATTCAATATTTAAAATATTATTAAATAAATATTAATATTTAAAAATAAATATAAATATTGAAAAAATAATAAATATTATTAAATTCAAATATTTAAATTCTTGCAACTTTATTAAAATTTTAGGAAAATTTTAATATTTGAAAATAATTCAATTCTTTCTGGAATTCTATTAAAATTGTTTTGAAAAAAATTGAATTTCTGCAAAGAATTTTACTATTTATAAAAATAATTGAAATTTTTCGAAAAATTTATTAAAATTTTAGAAAATAATTGAATTTAATATTTCTTTGATTTTTTTCTTAAATTTATTCTTTTAGATTTAAATTTTGATTAGAAATATTTTGAAATATTGGAAAATTACTTTGAACGGCTTTATATTCACTTGCGGGGCGTGCTTTTGAATTTTCCTGATCGAGCCAATTGTTTTCCGCTCGTTTACTGTCATTGTTAAAAGATCTTCTTTCTGTGTTTCTTCGGACAATTGGAGAAGGCGATGGATATCTGGTAAAAGTCATCCACCTGTTTGAAATTGGCTTTGAACTACTTCCCTCGCTATATTTTCTCGCCAACGGCGATGGAATGTATTTCGACGTCGAAATCTCCGACAATAGCCATCTGCAAATAATTTTATTTGTAAATAATTTCTTTAAATTTTTTGAAAATAATAGTATTTTTTAATATTAAGTGAAAATTTTTGAAAATAATTGATTTTTACGAAGAATTTTTAAAAAAAATTTTAAATAATCGTGTTTGTTAATAATTGTAATTTAAAATTTGATTATTAAATTTCATTTTCAATTTTTTGAAAATAATTGAGTTCCGTCCGGAATTTTATTAAAAATTTTGCCAATATTTGAATTCTTTGCAGAAATTGTACAAAAATGGTTCTAAAAATAATGGAATTCTTTCAAAAAAATGTTATTAAAATTGTTTTAAAAATACTTGAAATCCTATGAAGAATTCTATTATTTATAAAAAATAATTCGATTCATGCGAAGAATGAATTTGAATTTTATTCAATTTTTTAAAAATAATTGAATTCTTTTATAAAATATTGAATTATTTGGACAAATTTTATTAAAATTATGTTGAAAATAATTGAATTGCTGCAAAAAATTTTATTGTTTACAAAAAAAAAATTATTTATTGAGTTCCGGCGACGAATTTTATTATTTATAAAAATATTCTAATTCTTTCCAAAATTTTATTAGATTTCGAAACTAATAAAATTCTTTTGAATAATTTCTTTAAATATTTTGAAAATAATTTAGTTTTTTTAAAATAATATTAATTGAATTCTTTCCAGAATTTTATTTAAATTTTAAAAAATAATTGAATTCTTGCGAGGAATTTTATTAAAATTCTATGAAATTTAGTAAACAATAATTAAGAATAAAAATAATGAATAATTATTAATAAAAGGAAAGAATAAAGAATTTAAAAGAAAATATAATTTAATTTTCAAGAGCAAATATCTCTCACCTGGTTTTCTCGACAGTACCTCTGCCGTAGAGTTCAAATTGCGAGTTTTTCCTCTCACGCGAATAATTATCAGGCCTCGTGTAACCACTTTCTGAACTCAAACTTCGACCGGCGGGTTGTTTGACATATTTAAAATCATCAATATTCTCCTGACTACTACGACGCATATTTTCCGGACATACTTTTCGATTTATAACCGGCAGCCATCGTGTCGAATCAATTTTCGATTGTCCAGGATAATCAAAACTTTCGCGTCGATGACGAGCATTTCTTTGATATTCGACATAATCTCGAGACGATAATTGCGGACGATTAAAATTATTGTTCTCTCTTAACAATGGTATTTGTCGCTGTAAATCAAAGTCGCAGACATCCGTTAATTTTCTCTCCTCAAATAATTTACGTTCCGCGAATTTTTTCAAACAATCAACGTCTGCACTTCTACTCCTCTGACTACGTGGTGAATGAGAAAGTCTTCGCTGACCTAGGCCCAAAGGGCTTATTCTTTCCTGATGAATTTATTTCCCAAAAAAAGAAGAAGAAAATTCAGTTAGTTTTAAAAATTAATTAAAGAAAATAACAAATTCTTATTTTATGTATTCGAATTTTTTAATTAGAATTGAAGAAAAATATTTTCAATTTCAATTTCCGTCTATGAAAAAATATTTTTATCTGAAATTTAATAAAAACAAAATTTTCTTCCGAAGGAAGGAAAAAGGAAATTTCAGGATTACTCCAATCTTTGTATATTTTTCAAGTTCTCTCAAGAAATATTTATTTTATTTACGTATATAAATCTTAGCAAGTTTCGTTGAATTTCAAAAAAAAATTTTAATTTTCCCAAAAAGGAAAGTGAAATTAAAAATAATCTTGCGGAATACATTCGACATTCGTAACATGAATTATTTTAACTCCTCTCTCTTAAAGAAAGTAATTTGAAAATTCGAATTTTAAAGTAATTCATGAGAATGACAAATGAAATTTATATAATTATTTAAAACATGCGAATAATAAAATTCTCAATGCAGAATTTTTAAATTGAGAATTGAGAATAAAATAATTTTTAAGGTACCTAAGCAAGATGAAGCTTTGCATAATCAGAAACGTGCAAAATTCCATGTTCCGGAGAAACAATATGTAAAGCGTTGCCGCACAATCTTGAATTTATTTTTGCCGTGTGAAGTTCGGCGATTTGAGTGCTGCAAGCCGCCGCTGGATCTCCACTCGATGCCAAATAACCGTTCCAAAAGCAATTACCTATTTATTGAAAAAAAATTGATTAGAATTCGTTAAAAATAAATTCATTTTTTCAGGGCTCGAACCAGCCTTTTTTTTAAATTCATTTTTAAAAAATTTTTAATTCTTACCTGGCAGGGAATTACCATCGGCTGCGTAGGTAACGACTAGGAGTTTATTAGCGTCTGTTGATCGCATTAATCTACTGTGAGGTTCTCTTAGAGCAAAATGAATCTTTATGTCTGAAAGAAAAAAAAACCATTATAATAAAAAGATTTTAATTTAAAAATTTGTTTAAATTTAAGTTTCAAAGTTTTAAAAAATTTTAATTTAGAGTAAAAATTTATTTTACTCTACTTTTAATGTCAGAGGGCAAAATTCAAAAGAACGAAAATTCAAACACACCTCCGAGGTAGTCACCATTTCCCACGTCGCCACACTTTTGCGATCTAAAATACGAAAACATTATGTCGGATACGTATTTTAACTTCTTATTCATTTTTCTAATGGCAATTTCAAACGTCTTTAGAAAATATATCTCCTGGTCTTGCATAACCTTCCAGACTCCTGAAAAAAAAGTTTCTTCTTTAATTCATTCAAATTTATTAAATTTTCAATAAAAAAAAAAAAAATTCGCCATGCAAACATCGATAAACAATTAATTATACAGTTAACTGTTTAATAATATATTAATATTATTAACTTAAATATTTTATTAACTAATAATTTTTATTCAATCACATTCCTAAAAATAATTTTTTTACGAATTACTAAATACCTACGTTTTCTTAAGAAAAAAAACTTGAATTTATTTATTAAATCAAAGTTTTTTTCAAACTCAATAAAGTAATTAATAAAAATGACAATAGAAGATTGAAAAAATTAAAGAGAATAAAAATATTAAAAATGAATAAAAATGGCATAGAAGATTAAAAACATTAAAGAGAATAAAAATATTAAAAATTACAATAGAAAAACATTGATAAACATCAATAAGAAAGCAATTGGCGAAATGTACTTTTGTCAAATTTACCAAGACCAAATCCTACAACGTGTATAAAGGCAGTTGTATTTTGCTTTTCGGCTCTTATATTTGCTTCGAGTAAAATAATCTCAACGGACAATAATGTTCTCTTCATGTAATTTTCAATATCGAAAATTAATTGATTCGAGAGAAGGATATATCTCTTGTTATCTTTTGATCTCACGCGTCGGATTCCTTCCTCAAAAAGTGGATGGTATTCTTCGCCATAAAATTTCGCCCATAATACACGAAGTTCGCGTATTTCCTCTGTTGCTCCATCCACTGCTGGACCGTAACTGCAAAATAATATTAATAATAATCGTAAAATTCAATTTAATGAAGAAAAGAAATACCTCTTCTTTTTTTTCTTTTATTTATTTTCTTTTATTACTTTAATTTCTTTCTTTTTTAACTTTCTTTACTTTTTTATTTTCTTTACTTTTTTTACTTTCTTTTCTTTTCTTTCTTTTCCTTCTGTTCTTTGTTTCCTTTCCTTTCTTTTCTTTATTTCTTTTCTTCATTCAATTGTTTCATTTATTTTTAAAATTAGAATAATTTTTTGTTTCCAATATATTTAAACAAATTAAAACTTTACCCATTGTCCATATTATTCTGAAGTGGAGTGATCAAAATATCCTGATATTCCATCGTTTGAGGTCTCTCGAATCTGAAATAAAGAAAATGTTTATTTACCATTAAAAATTCAGAAACGGCAAATTTCGCAATAAAATTTAATTGAATATCACCTGCTTCCCACTGGTCCTAATATAATGCCTCTCGGTTGAATTGAATCCGGATCAGGAGAAACGACTCCTCTATTTTCTCTTGAACCATCGTTTATGAATTCAGTATGCGATGAAATAACTATCATCGCCGACAATTTTATCTCGTCATACGACAAAACCTTGGTCAGAACCTGCAGAAAAAAATTATCGAAATTTATCGTGTGTAATGCATAATAAATATTTCGAATTGTATAATAAATAATTAAAAAGAAGTCCATAAAGTTTTAAAAAACGAAAAATTAGGAAAGAATTTGTTTTTGTCAAGTTAATTTATATCCAATTTTGTCTAAAGGAATTAATTTTTTCTTTAAGGACAGACAATAATGTTCAAAATTTTTTAATTAAAATTCATTAGTTTTTTTAAATTATACAAAAATTATTTTAAGTAATAGAATTATTTTCGAAAAATTACACTAATAAAATATTTTCAAAAACTAATTATTAAAATTGTTTTGTAATAATTTTTTAATCCTTATTTAAAATTCTTATTAAAAAGGCAAATAATAAACAAGTACCAGTGGATCTTTTTCGTTATCGGTGCCAATATACTCCCAGCCGCCTTCTCCTGAACAATTATCAATCAATTTGTAAGAATCACTTGGATTTAAGAAACAAACGGCTCTTTTCACCAAAAGCCGATGAATAAATTGAATAAGGCCCATATTTTTGTATAAAGATTTTTCAACCGAACTGCCATGCTGTCGTTTAAATTTCAGCCATCCAGCAACTAAAGGAAGCATCGCCTCGTGAATTATAGGATACACTGAATTTGCATTCATCTAAAATTAAATCATTATTAATAACTAGCAAATTTTACGCTGTATTCAATTTATTATTATTATTATATTATTATTAAATTATTATGCAAATTACAAAATATTCTATTTTTTTCGTGTCACCTTCAATTTCTGATTCAAAATTAATTATAAATAGAAAAATATACTGTATTTTCAAAATTAGAAAAAATGTTGTTCTCTGTTTAAATTTAAAATTAAAAATTAAAAAAATGCAATTATTAACGTAAATTTTGCAAAAGAAAATAATTACTAAATTCTTCTTCCAAAAAAAGTATCACAAAATTTATTTTCTAAATTTAAATTGGTAAAAATTTTAACTAAATAGAATTGATAAATAATTTTTTTTTTTTAAATAATTAAAATTCTGATTGAGAGAGTGAATTAAATTTTATTACTAACTAAATAACAGTCCAATATTTTTTATAAATTAAATTATAAAATGCTAGTAACGTCATAATGGTTTAAAAATAAAAAATGTTTTCACACTGAAATATTAAAATTACCTTTGTAAATTAGGTTAATTTATAATCCTTAACGTATATTAATAAAATAAAAAATATCACATTGAAATAATAAAATTACTTTTTATAAATTATTTTTGAATTATCATTATTCCCCTTAGATTATTATTATTATTACTATTGAAATTTGAAATGAAGGGTAAATAAAAATAGTAGAAAAAAATAAATATGGTAACTGAAAGTGAAACAAAATTGATAAAAACATGTTTGTTTCGAATGTATAAAAATATGGAAAAATAAATTCCATACTGTTTTATTATTATTATTTTTTATTGTTATTCAATTAAATTTCTTAAAACAATTCAATTATTTTTCAAAATTTCAATAAAATTCTTCGAAATAATTCAATTTTTTTTTTGCATAAAAATATTATCACAAATTTTAGAATGTTAAATTAAATTTATAAATTAAATTATGATTTTTAAGGTAAAATAATTTTTTTCATCAAGTTTTTTATTTATTTATAATCTTTAAGACATTAAATCAGAATTTTAATTTGATTTTAAAAAATCTATCAAATTTTATTATAATAAACAATAATAAAAATAAACAAAAATAAAAAATAAAAACATAATTTTAACTAAATTAAAAAATATTATTTTTAAAAAAGAGAGAAGAAAAAATAGTGCCAATAAAAATTCAAACCTCCAAAATATCATTACTAATTCCTCGACTTTTTAGAGCGAAACATCGAGGAGTATTAATTGGAAATGCAATTGGAAAAGCATCACTTTGTTTCATCAATTCGGCCAATGTAATTTGCGATGGCATGGAAATATTCAGACAATCTCGAAGTAAATTTTTTGTCTCATCATCAAAAGGCACTCCATTCGGGGCACCCAAAGTGTTTTCCCACGAAATTTCCGGTGGTTCCCTCGCCATTATTGGAATTTGCGAATCTTCCTGTCTGCGTTGTCTCTGAAAATAAAAAGAAAAATTCAAAATCAAAACCTTGAATTCATTCATAAAGAAAAAATTTATTTTAATTAAAAACCAAGTCTTTTTCTTAATTATTCTTCAAAAAAGAAAAAAAAACTTTAACTCATTCATAAACAGGGTGGTCACAAGTTTCAGTTTATCAATTTCCCTGACAAATTTACTGACATTAAAATTATTTTTCCTGACAAAATCTTTTTACTGGAAAATATGAAAGTTTACTGAAAAACAATTCTAAGAAATAGATTTTAAAAATATGTAATTTTTCGAAAATGATTAAATTTCTTAAAAGAATTTTTGTATAATTTAAAAAAAAACTAATTAATGTTTTGATGCAATTCAATTAAAAATTTTGAACATGATTTTTTTCTCCAAAATGTAAACAATAATTCTAAAATGTTATTTTTTTTGTATGTATTTGAATTTTCGACAATTTGTAATTGAAAATACTGAAAGTATTGAATTTTAAAAAATTAGAAGCTAATTTTCATTTTTAAATTTAGATTTAAAGATTTTTCAATAAAATTTTTGATAATTTTTTCATTAATTTTCATTTTTAAATTTACATTTAAAGATTTTTCAATAAAATTTTTGATTTATTAATTCAATTATTTTCAAAAATTTGCAATTAAAATTCTTCAAAAGTTGATTTTCAAAAATTGTGACAAAATACTTGAAAAAAATTATTTTCAATTAAATTTTACAAAATTTCAATTATTCTTAAAGATTTTTATTAACAGGGTGTCTAGCGAATCGTCAATTTAAAATTCCCGGGTTTTTCCCGGTATTTTCCCGGGTTCTTGAATAATTTTCCCGGATATTCACAAAGGATTTAAAAACATATTTAAATGTTTATCAATAACATTATTTACGTAATTAAATATTGTTTTTATTAAATTACAATGATTAAAGTTATACAATAATTTCTAAAAACTTGACATAGAATATCAAAATTTCACTTATAAAAATTTCTCAACTTTATAATATAATTGTCAATTCAGGGGAATTTAAGAAAAACTTTTTTTGAAAAAAAAAATTCCGCTCGGTACATACATTATACCCTTTGAAATACTTGTAAAATTTAATTAATTTCTCAAACCATGAATTGGACATTATAATGTTTACATAGAATTAAACTAGAATATTTAAGCTTTATTTTTACATAAGTTTCAAGAAAATCGGATGCGACGTGTTTTGAGATATTCAAAAAGGATATCTTTCAAACTTAATTTTTTTCATAAATTCTATTATTTAAAAAAAAAAAATTTCTACCATTATAAAGTTGAGAAATTTTTGTTTTAAAACCACTAATAGTAAATAAATTTTGGCTTCAATAAATATAAGAAATAATGATTTAAAAATTGCCTTACAATGTCAATTGTTTATAAGGAGGATCGTTTTGAAATGGAATGCCCCATATTTAGTTTTAAAAAGTAAAATCTTTGCCTTTCCTATATCACAGAAGATTCTTAATTTCTTCTTATAAAATTTGTTACGTATTGTATACCTATAAATTGTTATATAAAAATAATAGTACAAATTCTTTAACTTTTATAATATAACGTGTACTAAAGTTAGTTTTAAATAAAATTTAAGTTATTATTTTTACTACTGCTTCATACTATCAATTTACCCTTGACGATTTTGAAAAAAATTATAATTTTTTATATACATAATTCAAAAAATACCCTATAAATAGAAAATTCCCGGGTTTTTCCCGGTTTTTTGAGGCCGAACCAAATTCCCGGGTTTTTCCCGGTTTTTCCCGATTTCCCGGTTCGCTAGACACCCTGATTAAATAGTCGAAAAAGTAATTAAAGTAATTCGAAAAAATATCAATTTTCTTAATTTTCCTGACAAAAATTTTTTTTTCTGTCAATTCTCTGATTTTACTGACAAAAATTTTGTTTTCCTGATATTTCCCTGACAATACTGACATGTGGCCACTCTGAAAAAGAAAAAATTTATTTTAATTAAAGTCTAAGTATTTTTTTAATTAGTTTTCAAGAAGAAAAAAAATCTTTATTTTACTAGAAATGAAGAAGAAGAAAAAGAAGCAGAAAGCATCACTTTGTTTCTTCAATGCGGTGGCATGGAAATATTTAGACAATTAAGTTAAACATAAATAAATAAATAAAAAAATAAATATTAAAATAAATAAAAATAATGATAAATAAAATAAATAATAATAAATAAATAAATAAATAAAAAATGAATAAAAAAATAAATAAATAGACAAAAAATTAAATTAAATTAAAAAATGGAAGAAGATGAAGAAAAAAAAAGTAGCAGAAGAAGAACGAGAAAAAGAAGAAGAATTGTATTCTCAGAATGAATATGACAACTTGAAGGCGCACGAAAGGCTTTTTATCTATTAATATCGGATCTGATTAGAGCAAGGACACAAAAGTCTTTGATATGTGGGCATAAAATCCGTTAAGTAGCGGAAAATGTATCCATTCACCCCTAATGTGTTACGGTCTCACGTCTCTCTTATATTCAAGAGTAAATACGTATATTCAACAACCACCTGCGCCAAACAAATACAAGAGAGAAAGAGAGCAACATCATTTTTCTGTTTACCGATTTTGCCACCTCAACGATAGGGGTGAGAGCGAGGAAAAAACCCCCTTAAAGAGGGTTTCAATTTACATTCTTTGCGGAAAACGTTAAACATTTGTGTGCGCGGGGTGTCTCGAGGAATTCATGCGTGTTGACATTGAGGCTACTGACAATTACGGTCATGGCTAAAAACGACCTTTTCTGCTAAATTTCAAATTAAGAATTCTCATTTTTTTTTACCCTCTTCTTCTTCTTCTTTTTATCATACACAAAGTTTTTTTTTTAAATAGAAAACCCAATATTTATGTATGTACATTGTTTTCTAATTTATTGGCGAAACTCCACGTGTCTCACTTTGTCATCATCATTCTATTTATGAAATTTTCCTCCTCTGGTGAAAAATAAAAAAACAAGTTAATTAACCTTACGATAAGAAGTGTGGATAAAAATAATTTATGACAATCACGATTCTAGAATTTATTCAAATTTTTTAATTATTAGAAAAAAAGTTACTCACCCGGTGAAAACAACAGGCAAAAAACGACATTATTCCTTTCTTTTCAAATCTTTAACTTCGAATTACCAAACACAACAACTATTTATAATAAAAAATAAATATAAACAAATATCTAAAATTTCACTAATTTTATATTTAACACAAACTTTATCTTCATATTAATTACAATCATTTTTTTTATTTACAGTAAAATATTTTTCAACAAATTTTTCTGTTTCAATTTTTTATTTATTTTTGTATTTTATTTTTTTATTTCAATTTTATATAAAAGTAAATTTAATATTTAGTAAAATTTAGTAAAAGTAAATTTTATATTTAGTAAAATTTAGTAAACGTAAATTTTATATTTAGTAAAAAATTAATTATAATAGTAAAAACTGTTTGTATTTTCAAAATTGTAAATAAAATTTTATTTTTAATATTATTTAATTGTAAATAAAATTAAAAATTTTAATATATAATGAGAAGAACAGAAAATTTCTCAACGATTTAATAGAATAATTTTGAAATAAAAATAGAGTAAAATAATAAATTTGGAAATTTAATTATCAAATTATTCATCGCAATTGACAATAATCGAATATTGAATTTAACTGAGGGGAAAAATTGACTTTTTTGTTTTTAAAAAAGAGTGACGTTAACAGTCGCGCGCGTTATATGAGATTGAAAATATTCTATTCTTGCGGCTAATATTCAAACGCATGCGTTGACAGGAATTTATAATAAGCGCAAGTCTTTCTGACGTATTAATTTATTTCTAATAAATTATAAAGCAACGACCGCCGTTGGATTAATTATTTCAAATTCCAATATGAATGAAATAGAAAAAAAATTTTATTGGAAAATCGATAATAGAATATTTTAAATAATAATAAAAAGCTATAAATAATAATTTTATTAAAAGGGAATTTCATTTATTATTATGAAAAATAAAAAAAAAATTATTTTTAAATATTAATTACAATTTTAGAATAAATTCAGATTCGAAAATTAAAAAGGAATTATTAACTAATTAATTATTATTATTTACTGTTTTCAAAAATTTTAATAAAATTCTTCGCAGGAATTCAATTATTTTCAAGACAATTTGAATAAAATTTCTCAAAAAAATTCAATTATTTTTAAAAATTTATTTATTAAATTATTCATGCGAATTGGAATATTTTCAATTTTTTTTCAAGCATTCAATTATTTTCAAAAATAACCAAATTCTTCGCTGAAATTCGATTATTTTTAAAAATTTTAATAAAATTCAGCACAAAAATTCAATTATTTTTAAAAATTTTAATACAAATTGTATTAAAATTCAATTATTTTCATAAATAACAAAATTCTTTACCAGAATTCAATTATTTTTATAAACAACAAAATTCGTCTTAAGAATTCAATTATTTTTACAAATAATAAAATTCTCCCGAGGAATTCAATTATTTTCAATAAAATTTAAATTGAATTTCCCGAAAGAGTTCAATTATTTTCAAAATTCTTGATACAAATTTTTTTAAGAATTAAATTACTTTTAATACAATTGTAACTAAATCCTAGGAAGAGTTTCAATTTTCTTCGAAACAATTCAATTATTTTCAATATTTTAATAAAATTCCTTGAATAAATTACATTATTTTAAAGAATAATTGTAATAAAATTCTGTGAAGAATTTAATTATTTTCTAAAAATTTTAATAAAATTCAACAATGAAATAATTGATTAATAAAAAAATAGAAATTCTACCTTATTATGACAATGTCGATTTTTTGAAAAATTAATTACTTTTTAATTTTTCGAATATTTAGTTCATGTAGAAAATTAGAAATATTTCTTTACTTGTTAATTTATACGATTTATACACTCGCAGATGTGAAAAATTTTCCATCTACGTGTTTATTTCTTTTTTTTCTATGACGTATGATATAATACCGACTGATAAATAATTCATCCATTAAAGTTATTTATAAAAAATAAGAAATTTGGAAAATTAATAAAAGAAAATAATTCTTTTTTCCATTATCGAATATTTCCAAATATGTGGCATTTTTTTTCTTACATAAATAAATTACTTTCAAGAAATTTAATTAATCTTTCTGACAGAAGTTTATTACATCGACTGCGATTTTGTGCGTAACATCACATTCACAATTCGAAAGGTGGCGCGCAAATGTCATTTAATTAACAAAAAACGCAAGTTAGTTTTTAATTTTAATGACATTTTTTATTTATTTCTATAATTCCTTCAAATTTTCAATTAACTTTTCTTCCTCCAAAAATTTTCGTTGCATAATACAAACAAAATTAATCTAATGCAACTATTTTTTTTTATTATAATCTGCGTAAATTTTCCTAAACTTCATACTTCATTTTTTCCTCTACCTGATCTTCTATCTTCCATAAATTAAAAAATACATGATTATTTATTTTTTTAAATAATAAAAATATTAGATATTTGCGAGAATATATGAACAAAAAAACTTGAAAGTTTAGTACAGTGAAGATATATTCATAAGTCAGAAAAAGAACAAGTTTATAAAAGTCAAAAATAATAATCATACCTTTGTAACTTTTTAGCTGTGTATTTTTACCGTTTTTCAAAATTTTACTTATGATGATTTCTTTTTCCAAATGACAGCTTCTAAATTAAATTACTGACGGCCTGACGAGTGTCAGTGAAAAATTGTCATAATAAAACTGTTTGAAGAATACAATAACAAAAAAGCAGGGGTTTTACCAAAAAGCCCAAAAAGTAATTAATACAAAAGTAAACTTCAAAATTATTAAATAGAAACCTTGTGATTAGTCAGTTATACACCAATATAAGATAATTAAATGAAATTCACTGTAAAACTGTTAAAATAATGTTAAATTTTAATTAAAAAAATAGTGACAGTAGTAAACCTGGGAGGTTATGTGACAAAAGTGACAAGCAAGCAGGGTAGGACAGTTACGGGAAAAGATAACAAAGCAGGGTTGAGTAGAAAAGTCAAAAAAATTTTCTATTGGCCAGTTAAATTCTCGGGTAAATTACCAGCCAATTGCAAGTGTGGAACAATTTTCCAAAATCTAGAAACCCAACCCTGCTCTCTTTTTCTGAGTATGCGATTTCTAACGACTTTTCGGGCTTTTCCATTATTTCTTCCAGTTTTTTTTATTTTAATTTACAATTGTAGCCTTTATTTCCAGTATTTTTAACTTCGTTACCTAAACAAATAACATATATACTGTAGTGTTTAAAAGAAAATTTTATTCATAATTTTCAATATATTTGCGGAGAAAAATAGTCGATTGTCATCGTGGTGAAGGTTCTTCTTGACTCAAGTTTGTATTTTTCTTTTTTTAATTATATACACTATTTACAATTAAAACAATTACAATTGTTTATTAATTTATTTAAAATGTTTATAATTGACTATTGAGTGAATTTAATTACTTGTATTAAACATTTAAATAGTTGATTAATATCGCATGAAAATTATTAGCATATTTACAATTAATGTCAATTGTTAAGTATATCTAGTAAAAATTTCCACGTTTTTTATAACACATTTTCTTTTTCGTTGTAAATTTTATATAAAAATTTTACAAATTACCAAAATATTCGACACGATTATAAACTTAATAATTAAAATAATTAAATAAATTTTATCCCTTTAAAAGATAATTACCGGAATACAACGATTATTAATTATTAATATAGATTAATTAATAATTATAATCAATTAAAAATAACTAACATGTAAAATAACCAAAACTTATAAGAAGAATTAACTATTTATTCAATACTATTTACAAATTATTCTTTCTTTACATTTCTTAAAGAAAAAAAAATAATAAAGCTATTTATCTCCCTAGCGTTTTACTAGTAATCGCATGAGCAAAATGTTCGGAGTCTCAAGCATTAGCGTGAGCACATATGAACACAAATAAGTCACTCCAAACACTCCCAGAAATGTCGTACACTGAAAAATAATTTAATTAATTTAAATCAATTTTATTTTCAGAAAACTATGCGACGATACTTACATTACTTATAAAATCCACATGTTGAGAAGTTTCACTATGAAGGAAGATGGAATTAATTATAAATGGATTTAATAAATAAGCACAATATGTGAGTCTACTTAATGGAATCCATCCTCTAAAGGAGAGAATTTTGTTGACAATTCCTGAAAAAATCAAAAATGATCGTTTAAATTAGAAAACAATCGTTTTCTGAAATTTAGGTAAATATCAAACTTCAAAATTAATGGGTAAGTAAATTAATTAATATCAATCATTAATAACGCTTTTGTAAATTAATATTTTTATTCTTACCTCCATGACGTGTGCAACAAGCAATGAGCAACCAGGAAAGACCAACGGCCCAAATTGTTCTACTGAATCCAACGTAAAATGCTGCCGAGAATATGGAAATGTACCTCTTCCAAATTCCAAAAAGTACAAAAATATTACAAGAACTTCCCAGTAGCCAACAAATTACAACAGTTCTCTAGAAGAAAAAAAAGAAGTGGAATGCAAATTTTCATCCAATTCAAATTTATTTGAATTATTATTTTCTACTGTTAGTGAAGAGGAATTTACTGTTTTTAAAGGTAATTTATTATTCAGCCTTATCAAAATATACGCAGTGATCATTCCCACGACATATGGTCCTATTCTGGTCCATGGTGGATCGTACAATACATCGAGCATGTGATATTGCGCATCCATTCTAGAAATTTGTGCGCATGTAAAAAGCAAAAAATTAGGATTAGCATAATTTTTATTTAATTAAATTTTGAAAAAAATTTTTTTTTTGGTCTTACGTAGGGACGTATCCGTAGATATATGAAATATAACCGGTTATACCAATCGATCCTATCATTATTAAAATTAGTAGAGTTGAAGCTACACAAAAGCATCTGAAAGTATATGAAAAATTATAATTTTGCGGAGCTGAGAATTTTCCTTCTTTCTAAAGAAAGTATTTTTATGTTCACTTATATTTTTTTCAATTAAGTTATACATATTATATTTTTTTTTGAATTTTAATTTGTAAATATATTCTAATTTCTATATATTTTAATTTTTGTATATTTTAATTTCTGTATATTTTAATTTATATATATTCAATTTAATATTTCTTTTATTTTTTGTTTGTATTTTATTTTGAACCTATTAATTTTTGTTAACTTTCCATTTTCTTTAAATAACTCACACGGAAGACAAAATTAGAAGGAACGTTCCAATTATGAAAAATTGCATGTCGTTCGATAAATACCAACTCCAAGACATACACTGGAATAAGAAAAATAATTCGTTATAATACTAATTATAATAAAAAAATTTTTATTCTGTCCTCTAATTTTTCTACTATAATGTGTATAAAATATATTAAATGTATAAAATGCAGGGATCACAGACTGATAGCTTTTTACTTTTTTTTAAATGCTGTTATCTATTTCGCACATATTCCGTTAATTTTCACCAATTTTGCAAAACATTTGAAACCTAAAAATTTTCAAACAAAATTAGAGTTTATAAAATTTTTAATTCAGTTATATTTCAATAAATTTAACATCTAATTTGTTGAAAGTTTTATAGATAAAAGTCTTAATATAAGTATTAGTATAATTTTTGTAATTATAATTTTTTTGTCATCTATTTTTAGAAAATATTTCACCTTTTCATTTATTTTAACAAAAAAAAAAAAAAAATACTGTGATCCCTGAAAATTTGTAAAATCAAGTAACATTGAAATTAATTTAATAATTTGCACATTTAAAAGTCAGTAATTAAAGATAAAAATATTCACCATTTTATCTCTACCAAAAAGATTATTGATGTAAAGAATATTTCGCCACCAATATTTTGCACAAACATCTTGTGGCCGTTCAGACATGTAAAATTGTGAAACCTCACCGTACCAAGCTGAATTTACTTCAACAATTCCGACAACCATCATATACGCTGGTGTCAATCTTTAAAGAAAAGGAGAAAAAAAATTCAGTTGCATATAATAATACTTCATTTCCTTTTTTTAACACTACAAAATTATATAAATTAAATAATATTTCTTTATTTATAGATATATTTACTCATTCTTACCTCATTTTAGAGTAAATAACCAATTTTTAAGTGTCTGTTGTATAAGAACATTATTAACAAGTAGAATTTCTTACACAATATTTATAAACTATCTTCTAGTGAAATTCTATAACTTAAATGTAGAAACTAAATTATTTAACTTCATGCAATTGGCTTATTTATTTGTAACTTAAATTAAGTTTTATAATTATTTTACTATTTTTTAAATTATATTTAAATTATAATTTATTTAATAAATAATATTTGTTCGATTCAAGGAAAAAATAAATTAAATGAAACAATAAATTTTCAATAAATTTTGTCAAAAAAATGAAAATTTATTGCTTCATTTAATTTATTTCTTCCTTGAATCGAACAAATATTATTTATTAACAATATACGGAAGGATAAAAAATTATTTTAAAAAAAATATAATTTAATTAATTTTCATAATTATTATTTTATTTAAAACAAATATTTTTTTTTGAAAGAAAAAATAATTTTTTTACCTGAGGAACCTCTTGAGGACAGCTCCGAAAAATTCACTTATTTTTCTACTGTAATTAATTGGTTGTTTATCGATTTTTTTCCTCTTTTCGTTTAAATATAAATAGGCGACTAGAAAACCACTGAGAAAAAAAAATGTGTCAACTGACAATGTTGAATTTGAAATTATTTGAACGGTAAAACCTTCGGACACTCGCCAAGACCATGGTTTATTGTCTATATTGAAAACAAAAAAATAGATTTTCATTTATTACCAAAAGAAAATAAATACAGAGTGGCCACAATATCAGTAAAGACAGGGAAATGACAGGAAAAAAATTTTTTTTCAGGGAAATTAAGAAGTTTAGTTGAAAATTGTAGAAAATAAAATACTCGCCAGCGTAATCGCTCATGTAGAAAATGGTATGAATCATAATTATCCACGCCATTCCCAAAAATCTTAATCCATGAACTATTGGTATCGAGTCGGAATTTAATTTAGTTGTGAAAATAATTTTCGTATTCGTGTAAATTGAAAAGCACAAAAGTACTTTTTCCCAAATACTCTGACAATGTTTTTCCATTGTAATTGATTCTAAACATTTGCTCGTTTCCTTCGATTCTAAAATTGTAAATTCAAAGTAAAAACATTAAATAAGTAAAACAAAAAAAACAAAAAAAAATTGCTGCCTAGTCGTAAAAAAAAGAGAAAAAATTCAAAATATTAAAGTTTACCAAAATTAAATTTTAAATTTGTCTAGAAAAAAAACCTACCATTATTATTGGCGATATTATTTTCGAAACAAACAAACTTCTTTCCTATTTTCAAGTACCTTTGATGTACGAGAACATCATAAATTGTTCCCATTAGCATTAACAATAACATAAATGAGAAAACAATTCTGAAACAATAAGAAAAATAAATCAAAATTTGATTAACAAATTTGTTTGCTAACATTTTGGAAAAAATCACTTACAAAATAAAAATTCTTCTAGCACTCATCAATAATTTATCTTCCGTTAAATCTTTAATTTCGACTAATTTAAAATCTGCTTTGTACAGGTCACCAATCAAGAGAGTTCGTTCCTGAAATGTCTTATTGAGAATCAATCCAATTTCTCCCATGGTGCAAGTGGCCGGCAAACAAAGACCAAGAGTGATTATATTCTACACAGAAAAATGGGTAAATAAAATTACAATTATAAATCAAATTAAATTGCAAAAAAGTAAAAAAAAAAAAAGAAATTCTTTTTTCTGTTGTTGCAAAAAAAGAAGAAATTCTTTTTTCTATTCTTGCAAAAAATAAAAAATTCTTTTTTTTTATTTTTGCAAACAAAAAGATTCGAGAAAGTAACAAAATTCTTCTTACCTCATTTGGTAGAGTCACATGATATTGTAATGTACTATTGTGCGTGAAATATGCGACAAAATAATGAACGTCAAATGGTGGAAATTCCTCTTTTACATTTCGAAAGAGTGAATTATTCAATTTTATTCTTTCACTAAGAATCATTGGCGATTTATTTGTAGAATCATAACACTGACTTCGAATTCCCAGCCAATAATTATTTCCATAGATAAATCCTGGTCTTGGTTCTCCACTTGAATCTAACACTAAAAATTAACGGCAGAATATTCATTTAGACAAATTTACAAAAAATTTTCACTTTAAATAATGTAAACAGAAAAAGGAGGGAAAAATCTAAAAAAAACTATTTTTTAAAACTGTTCGAAATTTAACGAAAATAAAACTTTATTTATGTTTCAGAATTAATACGTGAGAAAATGAAAAAAAAATTTAATTTATGTTTTTTAAATCAAATTTTGTATTCTCTGTCGCGTTTGAAACTGAAATCAAAACATAATTTACATTTAAATGACCATCACCATTTACTTTCAGAAAAAATAACATTCTTCGCAGAAATTCAATTATTTTCAAAAATTTAATAAAATTCTTTGGAATTTTATTAAATACAATTATTTTAAAAAATGTTTATAAAATTCTGTATAAGAATTCAATTATTTTAAATGAAATTTTAAAATATTCCTAAAAAGAATTTAATTATTATCGAAAATTTTAATAAAATTCTAAGCAATCAGTTACAAAATTGACAGGTAATATTTTATAAATAAACCATTACAATAAAAAAAAACATTTTTTCTTATAAAATAAAAATATGGATGATTTAAATTCAGTCACTTCAATTATTTTCAAAAATTTCAATAAAATTCAACACTGTAATTCAATTATTTTCATTAATAACAAAATTTGTCGCAGAAATTTAATTATTTTCAAAAATTTTGATGCAATTTGTATGAAAAATTCAATTATTCTCATAAATAACAAAAAATTCTTCTCAGGAATTCAATAATTCTCATAAATAATACAATTTTTAACGAAATTCATTTATTTTCAATTCAATTTTAATAGAAATACTCTAAACAATTCAATTCTTTTTATAAATAAAAAAATTCTTCACCGGAATTCAGTTATTTTCAAAAAATAATAAAATTCTTTGCCGGAAATTTCAATTATTATTTTCATAAATTTTAATAGAATTCTTCCCAACAATTCAAATTTTTTTGTAAATAACAAAATTCGTCTCAAGAATTCAATTATTTTCAAAAAATAGCAAAATTCTTCGCTAAAATTCAATTATTTTCTTAAACAACAATAAATTCTTCTTTGGAATTCAATTATTTTTATAAATAACAAAATTCGTCTCCAAAATTCAATTATTTTCATAAATAATATAATTCTTCATAGAAATTCATTTATTTTCAATTCAATTTTAATGGAATTACTCTAAAGAATTCAATTATTTTCAATAAATAAAAATATTCTACGCCTGAATTCAATTATTTTTTATAAATAACAAAATTCGTCTCAAGAATTAAATTATTTCCAATAAATAACAAAATTCTTTGCTGGAATTCAATTATTTTTATAAATAACAAAATTCGTCTATGGAATTCAATTATTTTAAATAAATAAAAAAATTCTTCGCTGGAATTCATTTATTTTCATAAATAACAATAAATTCTTCTCAGGAATTCAATTATTTTCATAAATAACAATAAATTCTTCTCAGGAATTCAATTATTTTTATAAATAACAAAAATCATCTCAAGAATTCAATTATTTTCAATAAATATTAAAATTCTTCGCAGTAATTAAATTATTATTTTCATAAATTTTAATATAATTCTTCTCGACAATTCAACTATTTTTATAAATAAAAAAATTCTTTGCCGGAATTTAATTAGTTTTATAAATAATAGAATTCGTCTCAAAAATTCAATTATTTTCAATTATTTTCATAAATAACGAAATTCTTAACATGAATTCAAATTTTTCAAAAGAATTTCTCGAAAGATTTTAATTATTTTCTATACAATTTAAAACAAAAATTCTCGTAAGAATTCAATTATTTTTAATAAAATTTTAAAAAATAATTCTCGAAAGAGTTTAAATATTTTCATTACAATTTAAAAAAAAAACCTCGAGGGAATTCAATTATTTTCAATTCCAATTAAAAAAGAAATTCTCAAAAGATTTTAATTATTTTCAATACAATTTTTTAAAAAATTCTCGAAAGAATTTAATTATTTTCAAATTTCAATACATTTTAAAAAAATAATTCTAGAAAGAATTTAATTATTTTCAACAATATTGAAAAAAAAAATTCTTGGCAGAATTTAATTAATTTCAAAAAGTTTGCAAACATTTGTTTATTAAAATTTAGTTAATTAATTTTAGTTTGAAAAAGTTGTATTATATAAATTGACAAACTTGTAAAGTATACAAAAAAAAATCACTAATGTGAGATGAATGAGAAAAGTATTTTTGATAAGAAAAATATAATTATACAAATAAAATGAGAAAAAAAACATGTGAAAAGACAGATTTGCAATGATAATAAATTATGAATACACAACACCATCGGTTGATATAATCGTGTATACATGAAATTACACAACTGATGGTGTATGCATAAGTTGATTATCGTTCCGATTGTGTCAGGTGCGTGATTATTAAGACGAGGGAAAAAGATCCACTTTCGCGTGAATGTTATACAAGAAACTTGTTTTATATCCACATATATATTGCAGGGGAAATGCAGTGACTATTTCTCCTTGTCATTTCATAAAGCTACAATCATTTCAATGCAATTTACACCAAATGATCCTTACAAGTGGAAATTAATGTCATTTTCAATACATTTTGCCACATTCTTTATATTATTATTATTTCTATATCAAATATTTATATTCAATTTCCGCCAAGAGTCTCGAACCAGTTGGATTTTATTTCGATTTCATTTTTTTTTTCTTTTTTCAAAAGAGAAGAAAAAATTCGCCAAACACTATCAAAATATTCAGAACGTTTATGTAATTATTACAGAACAGTTGGAAATACGTAATGGTTAATTTTCTTTGATTCTAAAAGTCAATATTTGTAATAATAATAATAATGATAATTAACGACAACGGCAAGATTGAAAAATATTATTTGAAATTAATTTTTATTTTCCTAAAGTTATGAGCGTTACAATTTTTTTAAAATTATTATACGAAGCAGTTAATTAAAATTGAGCGTTTCGTTACGAATTCACTTGAAATTAATTAAGAATGAAAAATATTATTTGAAATTAATTTTTATTTTCTTAAAATTGAATGAAAGTTCTTTTTTTGTTTAAATATTTCTTAATATTACTATATACAAAAAAGAAAAATTAAACAGTTCCTTAGTTGAGAATTACATCTTTAATCTATTAATAATCGTCGTATTCCGGTATAGTCTTAGAAATTAGTTTACTTTTTTGTTTCCTAATTCTTTTGATAATTTTTCCTTTTAAATAAGGTTTCGAATTTTAATAAATTAAATTTGACGTTTAAATTCATTAAAAAATTTTAAAAAGACTTTAATTATTTCGAATAATTTTATTACAAACTTTTCAAAATAATTTAGTTACTTTAAATAAATAAAATCTCTCAAGGAATTTAATTAAAATTGTATTGAAATTAATTGAATTGTTATAAAGAATTGTATCAAAATTTTTTTAAATAATTGAATTTCTGAGAAGAATTTTGCTATTTATGAAAATAAATATTGAATTTTTGTGAATTTTTTGTAAATAATTGAATTTTGTTGAAAAAATTCATTAAAAATTTTTGAAAATAACTCAATTCTTGCAAAGAATTTTATTAATTATGAAAATAATTCAATTTTTTCGAAAAATTATATCAATTATGAAAATAATTCAATTCTCATAATTAATTTTAACAAAATTTTTCAAAATAATAAAATTTTTGCGAAGAATTTTATTAAAATTAGGAAAGTAATTCAAATTTTGAAAATAATAAAACTCTTCTAAAATTTTTGAAAATAATTGAATTTTGTTGAAGAATTTCATTAAAATTTTTGAAAATAAATAAATTCCTGCGATGTATTTTATTAATTATGAAAATATAATTCAATTTTTCAAAATAACAAAATTCTTCTTAAAATTTTTCAAAATAATTGAATTGTTTCGAAAACAATTAAATTTTTTTCCGGAATTCGGTTAAAATTGTATATAGAAAAATAATTAAATTCTTATAAAGAATTTTATCAAAAATTTTTTAAATAATTGAATTTCTGAGAAGAATTTTGCTATTTCTGGAAATAATTGATTTCCTATGAAGAATTTTATTAAAATTCTTGAAAAAAGTAAATAATAATAAATAATTTGTACATTAGTTAATAATTCAATTTTTCAAAAATTTTGAATTTGAAAAAATTCCAAAATTGAAATTTATATTTGAATTTAAAAAATAAATTTAATTTGCATAATAGTAAAAGAAATATTGCGTTTCGCGCGTAACCTTTGCTTATCTATATTAATTAATAATAAAGCCCGTTTGTAAGCCCGTTTATTATGTAAAGTAAATAAATAAAATAAATAAATAATAAACTAATTACAACTATTAACACTAATGAAATGATCAGTTTAATTGAAAATTTATCATTTTTTCAGATTGGCTGCAAATGGTCCACAATTGAGGAAAAATTCAAAAATATTTTCAAGAAAACAGTCTCGCAGGATTTTTTTTACATAAAAAAAGGTTCGTTTCAATTTTTATATATTCCACTCAAAGTTGATAAATCAATTTATTAAAATGAAAAAAAGAAAAACAGAGAAAGAGAGAAATTTGCAGTCACGCTGGTTTTTAGGAGAATTTAATTTATTTACTCAAAAGTAAAATTAATCTGGCGTCAAAAAAAAAAGAAATTAATTATTAAATTAAATTTCTTTACTAACTTCTCAAACTCCACAGTTTCCGGTTGTCGATAGCTTCTCGAAACTCGATTAAATCCTTCTCACAACCAGAACCATTCAATAAATTAGCATTCTCAGCAAATGCATAAGCCGGTAAAGTTCGACTCATAATTTCCTTGTTTCTGTCGTTGTCGTCGATATCATATCCTCTCGTTAGTGAGAAAACTAATGCTATCACCAACGATGGTAAAATTGTCTTTCCAATCATTTTTATTTATTTTTTTTTTGTTAATCTATCTCACAAATTGACACAATCATTTGAAACCGCGTTCCTAAAAAATTAATTTTTATAATTAACTAATTTTCTTTCCCGAGGAAGAATTCTCAGCGTTCACTTCGTTGAACTAATTTTTTCCTTCCGGGAATATAAAAATAACTTTTTTAAATAAATTTTTCAATTTGGACTTATTTTAGTGAAGAAAAGTTTTTTAAAATTTTGTTTTCGTTTCTTGCTTCTAAACGTCTTGGAATAATTTACAAAAAAGTTAAAATGAAACTAATTAAAGGAATTAACGAAACATTGTATTTAAAAATTATGTATTTATTGAAATTAATTCTTCTTTTATCAATTTTTCATGAAAGTCATAAAAATGTTATTGTTCAGTATTTAATAATTCAAAAAGTCTAACGATACAAAAATAAAAAATTTGACTTTAACTTTCTGCTTTTCTAATGTTTAAAGTTTTTGAAAAAAATTTAAAACTAAAGAAATGTCTAGTTTTTTTTATTTATATTTTTATTTTTAATTCATATTTTTATTTATATTTTTTATTTGTAACTTTTATTGATTTCTATTTAATTGAAAATTAAATTTTATATCTTTTTTTGTTTTTACGAAAAATTTAAGTTATTTTTATACTATTGTAATTATAATAATTAGTTTATATTAATTGACTGTAAAAAAAAACACAATCACCTCCGTACAGTGTGGTGATAGAAACTGAACTGTAAGAAATTCGTATTAGAATTTCAGAGTAAACTATTCCTAACAGCCCCACTATCGCTTCTAATGGATATAATATTTTTTTCTCTCATTATTTTGCGTAATCCCTCCCCCCCCCCCCTCTTTCCAAATTTTATCCAAGGATTAAGAGTTTTCAAAAACTAATACTTGACTTTAGTCGTTAACAATATTTAAAAGGTCCATGAAAACATTCTTTTTTGAAGGCCATTAACTTCGCACCACTTCTATTTAATATTCATTCATTATTTTTTTGAAAGCAGGCTTCACACACAATAATTAATTTTTAAAAAAGTATCAAAAAGTAGCTTTAATACTGAAAAAAGTATTGAAAAAAAGTAGCTATCGAAAATTAATTTTCAACGAATAAAAAAAAATGTATTTTAGTCAATTCACAAAAATTTGATTCGGTAATTTTCCAGACTGTTTCCTGATTTCAATCAAAAACAATTATTTTTATTCTAATCCTGCTTCTAAATTTTTGAAGAATTCAATTATTTTCCAAAGTTTTATCAAAAAAAAAAAAAAAATTTTATTTAAAAGGAATTTTTCAAAGTAAACAAATAAAATTATTTAATAAACTTTAATTTAAATTGTTTGCAGGAATTAAGAAAATAAATTAATAATTTTTCAAAGTAAAAATTTAAATGTTATTACAGTTTTACAACAATTAAAATTTTCAAGGATTTCAATTTAATAATCTTTTTTAAATTTAGTTATTTTACAAGAAAATCGCACTAGAATGCTTTTAATATTCAATTATCTAAAATTTCAACTGAAATTTGTTTTTAATTCAATTCTTAATAGAAAGTTAAACTGAAATTCAACTATTTAAAATTTTAAATAAAAAAAGTAAATAATATATTGAATAATTGAATGGTTCTCAAAATTTAATTATTATAAAGAATTTATCAATTTTTTTTTTGAAAATAATTCAATTTCTGAGAAGAATTCCGTTATTTATGAAAATAATTGAATTCCTATGAAAATTTTATTATTTAATAATAATAATAATTGGATTACTGCGAAGAATATTTTATTACTATTTATGAAACTAATTGAATTTTTATAAAGAGTTTATCAATTTTAAAAAAAATAATTGAATTTCTGAGAAGAATTTTGTTATTTATGAAAATCATTGAATTCTCGTGAAAAATTTCATTACTTGGGAAAATAATTGAACAATTGTGAAGAATTAAAAAAAGAATTTATCAATTTTTCAAAAAATAATTGAATTTCAGAGAAGAATTCAATTACATTTTTTTCAAATAATTGAATTCTCGTGAAAAATTTTATTATATTGTGAAAATAATTGAATAATATAATTGTAAAGAATTAAACAAAGAATTCAAGAATTTATCAATTTTTTAAAAAAATAATTGAATTTCTAAGAAGAATTTTATAATTTCTGAAAATAATTGAATTCTTGCGAAGAATTATATTTAATTCTTTTTAAATAATTGAATTCTTGTGAAGAATTTTATAAAAAAATTTTAAAAGTAAGTAATTGAATTCTTAAGAAGTATTTTTTATTATTTATGCGAAAATAATTGTATTCTTGCCTTGAATTTTATTTAAATTTTTATAAATAATTGAATTTTTGTGATAAAAGTATCTTTTAGTGTCATAAATCTAAAAAAAAACTTCTTTTATAGTTTTATACTCAGGTTTTCCCCACAATTTTTTTTCCCTCGAACATTTGAATATCAAATTTTTTTTTGTGTGATAATTATTTATATATATTAATCAACGGAATCAAAATTTCAAATAAGTTATAATGTATATCTTTAAAAAAAATTTCAAACTTAGGCAAAATAAAACCACGTGTCAGTTATTTTTTTCTCATTGAGATAGAATTATCAAAAATAAAGAATGAAAATATAATAAATAAATTAGGCAACATTTTTTTTTTCTCATTATAGAGATTGAAAATCGAAATGTAAAAAAAACAAAAACAAGAAGAAAACAATGAGTCAAGTTGAGGGATAGAGTTTAAAGGATAAAAGTGAATGGGTTTTTGGAAGAGATAAAGGTGAATGACATTGAGTATATATGCACGTGATATTATGTCACAGTGAACGATTAGTTATTTGAATATGTAGTAGAATTTTCGCCATAAGAGATGTAATTTTCTAAAGCTTCTTCCTAAAAATTATGCAATCGGTATCAAATTCTAATTGCAGAAACATTAAACATAAAATTATGTATTTGGTACGAATTCAAGGAAAATTATTATAAATTTCAGTAGCACGATTTCATCAATCTCGGTGTGAAGAGTTAATTAAATCTTGAAAATGAGATAATTTTGATTTTTTAGAACAATGCAATTTTTTGATTGAAACTAATTTAATTATTAATCAATTATTTTAATTAGTGATTATTATTATAATTATTTATTATTATTATTATTATTATTATTTATTACTATTACAATTATTATAATTATTTACTATTATTAAAATTATTAGGTATAATTAATATTAATAATTTATTATTTATGAAAAAGGCAATTTTTGAATAACTGCGGCTGCAAAATTTAAAAAAATTCAATTATTAACAAATTTACTAATTAATTTTAATTATGCATTGTTTTCAAAAACATTAATAAAATTCTTCGCAGGAAATGAATTATTTTTAATACAATTTCAATAAATTTTCTCAAAAAGAATTTAATTTTTTAATAAAATTTAACAAAATTCTTGGCAAAAATTCAATTATTTTGGAAAATTTTGATTATATTCCTTATGAGAATTGAAATATTTTTCATACAATTTTAATTCAATTACTTTTGATAATTTTAAGAAAATTCTAAACAAGATTTCAATTATTTTCATAATTTATAAAAATTTTCGCAGGAATTTAATTATTTTAAAGAATTTTAATAAAGTTCTTGGCACAAAAATATTATCTTTTTTTTTTTATTTTGTCTTATTTTTTTCAATGTAAAAAAAAATTGACACGTTTTTTTGTTTGTTTGTTGCCTTCATCAAAATTTACATCTGAAATAAAGAAGTCTTACTGGTTTATGGATTCAATTTGGAAAAATAATAATGTTTGATCTTGACATTAAAACCTTGAACTTTGGAATTGAATTCTTTAAGGTCGTCGTGTGTGTGTGTTTAAATCCCAATAGGTACCCGATATTCATTTCTAAATAGTCACAGCAATAAAGGTTCCCCCCATGTCCCTCGGACTTTCAATGAGGCCAAAAAAAATAAAAGATATAAATTTTAAATTTCAAATTTACCATTTATTTCGTTATTAATGTTCATCACTTTTTATATAGTTCAAGGTGTTGAGGGGAAAATTATTCAAAGAATACATTTTTTGGTCCATTCGTAAGTAATAAAAGTAATAGTAAAAAGAATAATAAAAAATTATTAATAAAAATTAATAATTAATATCAATAATTATTATTAATAATTAATATTGCTTATTAATATTAAAATTAATATTAAAATAAAATTAAAATAAAATAATGATAATAATGAGAGGGAAAAATTATTCAAAAAATAAATTTTTTGGTTAATTTTTATAATGAATACGAATAATAAAAATTAATATTAATAATAATAATAATGCTAAAAAATAATAGTAATAATAATTCAAATATTTTATTTGATTTTTTAATTTTATTTCAATGATAAAAATGAAAAAATGATTCAAAATATTCAGTTTTTATTAATAAAAGTGAAAAAATGTGAGAGTGTATTTTTTTTATTCTCCACATACACAGCAAACAATATATTTTTAAAATATATAAAAATTTAATTACTAAAACTTTCAAATATTCTGAAATTTTCAAATTTTCAAAGACTAAAAATATTAAAATATATTTTAATGACAATATTTTTCGTTTTTATTATTTTGCAAATTAAAATGAAAAACAGTAATTTTTCAAAATGAGGTATATATTGCAAAAAAAAAGAGATAAAAGTTTCATTTGATTTTCATGTTTTTTTTTATCAGCACATGGAAGTTTGCGATGTTTTTTTTTACATAATAGATAAAACGAATAGTCAACAACAGTAAATTATAGAAATCAGCCCGAACATGTACGTACAATACTTTTTTTTTAAACTTTTCTTATTTTTTTGGGCACACGTTCTAAGTAAAAGTAATACAATACATTTTGATAATACATTGTAAAATATCACAACAATAATATCTTCAATTGTCTCTTGTGTCAAAAAATGTTTTTTTTTTGTAACAAAAGACTATTTTTTTTTTATCAGAAAGCAACAATGAGAGAGAAACGCAATTTTTGTTTTCAAAAATAAAAAAACAAAATCAACTGTAAAAATAATTTATAATTCTACTTATTTTTACAAGGATAAATAAAATCTAAAGATAAAATTTTCTTTTAATTTTAATGAAATAAAAAAATTTTAGAAAAAAAAAATTCAATGGAAAAAAAACATTTATATTCTTTAAAAAAAAAGTATTAAAAATTTTTAAAAATCGATTTCATATTTTATTTGCCCTGCGGCTCAATTAAAAAAAAAATTTTTGGTGTTCGTATAAAATAACATTGAGAATAATAATAAATACGTTTCTTTATCAAAGTATTCAGATCTTGGCGTACAAAAAGGAAAATATTTTTAACTCTCATTATTATTCTGTTTACTTTCATTATACATTATAATGTACAAAAAGAGGAATCATTCCATGTTCCCTGCGCGCAACTATTCTCTCCTAAAATAAATTAAAAATTGTCGCGATCGCGCAATTAACACACTAGTAATATGGACATCAGTAAACATTTTCTTCTTCTTTTTTTTCGTCCCCCCATCGCTCCATAAATATAAATAAGAAACTCACGACTATTGAAAAAATAATTTGCATCGCACACAAATCGAATTTGGCATGAACAAATTGTAGAGTCTCAGGAATTTGTGTGGAAAAAATTATTTAGAAAGAGAGAGAAAAAAAACTGACTTTCCAGAAAAATTAAGAAAAAATCATTAAAAATTTAATATTCAATAAAAATTTTTAATTTTATGAAAAACTGAGTTTTAATAAAAACTTCAATTTTAATAAAATTTTCAATTTTGAACACAATCGTGTGTAAAAGTTATATTCACACATTTTTAATTAAAATCAAATTTTTAATTAATTAATAATAATAATAAAATAATTTATTTGAATTTTTCATAATTTTTGAAATAATTATACAGTGGATTTTTTAAATCTCAATTTGCATTTTCATTATAAAACTTATAACACTGTCATTTAAATTATAAACAGTCAAAAGCATTGTAAAATCTGATTATTATCGTTTATTACAAATTAAAAAAAAAATTATTTTCAAATTTCAATTTTGGAATAATTTTAGATACATAATTAAAAATAAAATTAATTATTAAATGATTTACTAATTATTATTTTAATTATTTATTTTTTCATAAACTTTAGTAAAATTGTTCGCAGGAATTCAATTTTTTTTAATAAATTTTCTCAAAAGAATTCAATTATTTTGAAAAATTTTGATTAACTTCTTTATGAGAATTATTGACATATTTTCCATACAATTTTAATTGAATTCCTCGAAGAAATTCAATTATTTTCGAAATTTTAATAAAATTCTCAGCAAGATTTCAATTATATTTTTATAATTTGTAAAATTTGTTGACAGGAATTTAATTATTTACAAGAATTTAAATAAAATTCTTCGCAAAAATGTTATTATTTCGAAGAATTTCAATAAAATTCTTTATAAGAAAAAAATTTAATAAAATACATTGAAAAAAATTAATTCTTTTCCTAAATAATAAAATTGTTTGCAGAAATTCAATTATTTTGAAAAATTTTGGCAAAATTCTTGATTAAGAATTCTCTTATTTTTAAGACAATTTTACTAAAATTCTTACCAAGATTTCAATTATTTTCATAACTTTTTCGAGAAATGTCTCGAAAGAATTCAATTATTTAAAAAAAATCGTAATAAAACTGAAAAAAATTTAATTATTTTCAAAAATTTTGATAAAACTCTTTATAAGAATTAATAATATTCTTAATATTATTTTAATTAAATTTCTTGTAAGAATTAACTTATTTTTAGAGATTTTAATTAAAATTTTTCGCAAGAAATTTAATTATTCTGAAAAATTTTGACAAATTTCTTTAGAAGAATTCAATTATTTTGAAAGATTCGGACAAATTTCTTTATAAAAATTCAATTATTTTGAAAGTTTTTAATAAATTTCTTTATAAAAATTAAATTATTTACAAATTCAAAATTGTAAATGAAATAAATTAGAAGTAATATAAAAAAAAAATATTTTCAATTGAAAAGAATTTGGTTTAATTAATTTTTCGTATTTTTTATCATTAAATTAAAATTTCATTAATTTTAAACTTCAAAAGATTTAAAAACAAAAATTAAACTTAATAAAAAATAAAGAGTAAATAAAAATTTTCAGTCAAAAAATAAAAAATATAAAAGTTAATTTCAATTTTATTCCTTTTAATTTTTTTGTCTTTCAAATCCTGAGACTCTGGAAGTAGCCACACATTCGATTGACACTCATTTTGATAACAATTTTTCGCGAGGTATCACTTTTATTAACATTTTTCACATTATCTCTTTCTCTCTCTCAAACACTTTTCATTAAAATATCATACCAACACAGCAATACAGATTTGCAAGTACGAAGAAAATATATAAGGTGAACGTCCCAGTACCTATTTAAGATTTTTCGTAGAGAAAAAAAAACATTATTCTTTTTCAAATTAAAAAAAGTCTTAGACTCATTTTCAAGAGAATCGATAAAAATCTCTTCTACGAAGAGAAAAACGGTTTTCCAGATTATCTGGATTATAAAAGTAAAAGTATTTATTTATTATTTAATACTAATTATTCTAAGACTGTAATTTTCATTATTTCATTAATTATAATTTCAATTAGTCTAATTAATAATAATACACGTTCAATTATTCTAGGGGAGAAATTATAAATACATTTCTAATCGATAACATAATCCAATTATATTCTAATTCTCTGTCTAATAATTTTACAAATTTTTTTTCGATTTTATCAGTTCGTTTTTTACTCTTTTACTTGAGTTTGTTGAGTTTTTTGTTTGTTATTTTGTAATGATTTTTTTATTTTTTTCATTTTATATCCAATTGAAATTTTATATTTAGATTGACTCAGATCAATAAATTCGTTCAAAAATAAATTTTTTCTCCTGAGGAAAACTAAAAGAATTTATCGTTTTCTTAAATTAGGTACTGGTACATAAATTAACCTTATAAACACCAGCCACTTAGCTACATAACAGTTACTACACTATATTTACAAACTGCTATTTAAACAGTCGGTTGCACCAACCAAAAATCCCAGGTTTTCTTTATGGAAAACTCGATTAAATCGAATGTTAAATTTTATTTTTTTCTCTCTACCAATATTTACGGGAGTCTATATTTTTTGTTTTTCAAAATAATTTCAATTTTTCTAGAAATAAAATTTTTTATACAAGTTTTTATAATAAACTCTCGTGATATTTAAAAAAGAAAATGTCAAACATAAATTCTTTTGTTAAAAAAAAGTGTCTTTTTTCTAATTAAAAAAGAAAAAAAAATACTGAGTCTGTTCCAAAATTATCCCAATTGTAACAATAATACGTAGATTCCCTTTTTCAATTGGCACTTCATTTTCTATTTTTTTTTTTCTTTGCAAATTACATTATTTGTTTGTGTGTGCATATTTTCAGAAAAAATAAATCAGACCGCGGTTCTTTGAAGTATTACGATTTGAGCATAAAACCGCAATGAAATCAAAGTGTTGGAAGTTTAGACACAAAAAGAGAAAAATTGAATGAGAACAAAGAAAAATTGACAAAAAAATCCACAACAAAAAAAAAGTATTCGCAAAAATTTACAGGATTGCCACAGGTCAGGGAAATCAGGGAATTCAAGAAAAAATCAGGGAAAAGTCAGAGATTTTTATTAAAGTACAGCAAAAAATTAAATTTGCAGGATTCATAATTAGTTATATTTAATTTTTTTAATGTATATGAATTGAATTATTTTTAATTTAATTTAATTTTTACAAAATTCGGAGGAATTTTAATCTTCTTCGAAACAATTCAATTATTTCCAAAGTTTTAATAACATTTTTGCCAGGAATTCAATTATTTGCATAAAGTCAATTATTTTAATAAGTTTCAATAAAATTCTTGACTGGAATTGGATTATCTTCATAAATAATAATATTCCTTAGAAAACTTCAATTATTTTCAAAAATTTTAATAAACATTTTCACAAGAATTCAATTATTTTCATAGTTAACAAAATTCTTCTCAGGAATTCATTTATTTTTAATTAAATTTCAATAAAATAAGTGTAACGAATTCAATTATTTTTAAAATTTTCACAGCAATTTCACTATTTACACATTTTTTATATAAATTCATAATAATTCAATTATTTTCATAAATAATAATTTTTTTTACAGAGATTCAATTATTGTTATGACTAATAAAACTCATCATACAATTTCAATATTATTTTTAATACAATTTTAACCAAATTCCTCGAAAAATGTAATTATTCTTGAAAATGTTTTCAAAATTCATGGAAAAAATTCAATTACCTATTTTTAAATTTGTTAATAAAGTTTTTTATAAAAATTCAATTTTGAGAAACATTCAATTATTCAGTAAATTATTTATTTTTATACTTAAATAATTGAATTGTAAACAAATGGATTTAAAAATTCTCTAGAAACTTTCGCAAAAAATTATTAAAAATAATTGATAATTGTTCAATTAATATCCTTCGAAAAATTTTAATAATCTTTTTGAAATTAATTATGTTTTTCAATAAATTTACTTTAAATTGTAATAATTAAAATCCTATGAGGAATTTTATTAAGTATTTAGGAAAACAATTGAAGTCTTGCAATTAATTTTTATTACATTTTTTTTAAATAATTGAAATCTTGTGAATAATATTTTTATTTATGAAAAATAATTGAATTCTTACATCGAATTTTATTATATTTTTCTTAAATAATTGAATTTTTTGAGAAATTTTATTAAAATAGTAGATTTTGAAAATAATTGAAGTCTTGTACTGAATTTTTATTACATTTTTTTTAAATAATTGAAATCTTGTAAATAATATTTTTATTTATGAAAAATAATTGAATTCTTACATCGAATTTTATTATATTTTTCTTAAATAATTGAATTTTTTTGAGAAATTTTATTAAAATAGTAGATTTTGAAAATAATTGAAGTCTTGCACAAAATTTTTATTACATTTTTTTAAATAATTGAAATCTTGTAAATAATATTTTTATGTATGAAAATAATTGAATTTTATTTATATTTTTTTAAATAATTGCATTTTTTTGAGAAATTTTATTAAAATAGTAGATTTTGAAAATATTTCGAATTTGAGCGAAGAATTTCATTATTTGTGAGAATGTAATTGAATTCGTGATAAAAATGTTGTCAAATCAAGAATATTCTTTTGGTTTCAGGTAAAAAGTGAAAATTTTATCTAGAAATCAGGGAAAAGTCAGGGAAAAACAAAATTAATTTTTTGTGGCAACCCTGAATTTAATTCAAAGAATTGAAAAAAAACTATTTCATTAAAAATAAAAAAAACGAAGAAAATTTTCTTCGTGAGTGCGAGAATTAAAAATAAAAAATTAGGAAAGAAAAATGTTGGTGCACTCGCAGCATCGACATTAGTTAACGTCTTTATAAGTTTCTTTTACATCCGACCACGTCGTGATTCGTTAATTTTCTTTTCTTTTTTTTGAATAACTAATCATCTCTCATTAACAGTTTTAATATCTCGACTAATTATTGACTAATGCTCCATTATTAGAAGCACAACGAAAATTCTTGTGCTTCGATTTCGCGGAAGAAAATAGGTATATGCGTGTCTCTCACGTCATGGGATTTTTTTTTTGTTTTTCTAACTAAAAGCAGTATTTATCATTTTTCTGCTTTTTTTTCGTATTTACATGATTTATTATTATTTCCATTTTTTTCTTTTACTCCATTAACAGGAAAAAAAACTGACTTTCGACTCTCTACGCCAATTTGTTAGTCTGTTTTTTTTATTACGAGCCTTTTTTTTAAGCATCGATGAAGCTTCGTTGTGGAAATTTAAACGAAACCTCACTTCTGAAAATCGTATTCAACACTAAAAAAAAGTATATTTTATTTTTAATTTGAATGTAAACTATAAACTTTAGAAAAATTCGCGACTAATTCACAAAAAACTAATTAATTTAAATTTAAACTAATTTAGAAAAATTTATAAAAAAAATCTAAATTCTAAATTATAAATTGAAAATTGAAATTCATTGGAAAAAACTGAAACCGTTCAAAAGATTCAAGCTAAATTTGTTAAATTCGAAACTGAATTTAACTGAACACATTATTCGAATACTGTCTATGGTCCATTATTTCTGTCACTTTTTTTGTGGAAACCTTTTTCGATGAAAACTATTTTCCTATTTCGTAAAAATAAGAGACGAGTTTCTTATTTATGGAAAAGTATAAATGCATTTCTTTTTCCTTTTTCTTGAGAACAAGTGAATATGAGAAGCAAAAAGTGAGGCCAGTTTGAGAAAAAGCCAAATACCGCATGGGCTATAGTCTAAAATATTTAACAAGTGGCGTCATTTGAGTCGAAGTCTAAATGAATTTTTTTTCTTTTCTTTCTTTTTTTCAGCTTTAGTGCGTCGTTCCCATTTTTTACTACCGTGGCTCGCAAGCTTCGTAAACGAGCTCTGGTACTAGCGCTAATGAGAACGCAGAGGAGGTTTGTCTTGGATAATGTCGACGTGACATCGTAACTTCGTGTTACCTGTTGTTTTCTTCCATGACCACTTGCTTAAAGCCTCCTGGCATTTGGTTCTTGACTTCGTGTGTCCCTAGCGCTGTTCGTCCATCCTTTGTTATAAATAATTGTAGTCCCGATGCTAAAAGGAAATTTTTTTTTTTATTACAAAACTGACAAATGTTACTTCACTTATTAACTATTATTATTTATTCTAGAAAACCTATTCTATGAAAGAAGTAAATAATAAATCTGAATCAAAATGAATCTGAATGAGTAAAAATTTGAACTTTGACCAAAAGTGATGATAGGAAATTAATTTTAATTAATTTAATTATTTTTTAAATAATTAATTTAATTTTACTTCGAAGAAAACGTAAATAATTTCTCTAGATGAAGTGATTAATATAATATTAAAAATAAACATACTCTCTTTACTCTCCAAGGACGACTGTTCAAGATTCGTTGCTTTCAGCAATTCGTCTATTAATGAATCAGGATTTGGTCTCGTGACCTCAACCCTGCACAAAATTGGATTTCCCGTACTATCTTCAGCCTTTTTTCGCCGTTCGAGCGCCGCTTTTGCTCGATCTAAAGACCCAGTCTCACTGAGTCCAGAACCACCCGAAGGATTCCTGTAAATAATTTCCAAACATTAATAAATTTTCTAAATTCATCATCAACAATATTATTCACATCACACTCACGCTCTCCGATTAAGAAATTCCAATTTATTTTCTTAACTTTATTATATTGTTAATTAATTTTCTTAGTCTTAATTTCCCCTATAAATTATTATCTCTTCAATTACTCCTAAAAAATTATCAAATAAATCAATTTTATCAAAAATTTTATTTAAATTATTTAATATTTAATAAAGTATTCAATAAAAATAATAATAAACAATAATGATAAAAATAATAATAAATAATAATAATAATAATAATAATAATAAAAATAAATAAAGAAAGCAATACGAAATCTGTTAAAAGAATTGAAAAATAAAAGAAATTAAAAATTCTAGACGAAACAAAATTACAAAAGAAAATTCAAAAATGAAAAAAGAATAGAAAAGAAATGAAAATAAATGTAAAAAGTAAAATAAATAAAAAAGCTGCAAAATATAAAATGTTACAAAAGAAAAAAGATGTGTGACTAAAATATTCCAATGAATAACAATGCAAAATAAACATGCCAAAATAGAAAAGAAATAAAACTAACAAAAATAAAAAAGATAGAAACTAAAGTTTATCACCAAACGCAGAGTAAAGCAAAACATGCAATGTTTTCTTTTATAAAAGTGAAAGCGTTTTGCGAATTCGCTAAAAGTCCATTTGCAATTAAACTCGAATTAAAATTTTTCAATTTATTCAAGAGAAAGAAGTCACAAAATCTATTTTTATTTATTAGAAATAAATTAAAGAAAATCGATCCACAAACATATCCATCAAAGAAAACAATTTTTTTTAATTATAATTTCATAGCAAAATTATATAAAATATAAAATAATAATAATAATAATAATTATATATATTATATAATTATATAAAATTATTATAATAATAAAATATAATTTCTCAGCAGAATTGAATTTAAATTTGTGAAAATACAATTGAATTCTTTCGAAGTAAATTTAAATTCATTTTGTAAATTTAGTTATTGAATTTCTGTAAAAAATTTTATTAAAATTCTTTAAAATAATTAAATTCATGAGAAAATTTTTATAAATTAAAAAAATAATTGAAATCTTGCTGAGAATTTTATTAAAATTTTCGAAAATAATTGAATTTTTCGGGGATTTCAATTAAAATTGTATTAAAAATATGTCAATTCTCAAAAAGAATTTAATAAATTTTTTTAAATAATTGAATTCTTTCGAAGAATATAATAAAAATATATAAAAATAATGGAATTCTTTTTAGGGATTTAATTTAAATTTTATTAAAAATAATTGAATTCTTCCGAAGAATTTTATTATTTACGAAAATAATTGAATTTCTGTCAAGAATTTTATTAAAACTTTGTTAATAATTGAATTGTATAAAAACAAATTAAATTCTTTTTTGGAATTAAGTTAAAATTGTATGTAAAATAATTGAATTATTATAAATAATTGTATCAAATTTTTTGAAAATAATTGAATTCTTTCTAGGAATTTAATTTAAGTTGTATGGAAAATAATTGAATTTTTGTTTTTTATCAAAATAATTGAATTCCTGTCAAAAATGTTATTAAAACTTTGAAAATAATTGAATTGTTTCGAGGAAGATTAAGATTCCTCCGATATTTTAGTTAAATTTTAGTTATTTCTCATGAATAATTTTACTTTTTTTTTTAATGATATTGTGTGTCAATGGGTCGAACTTCATGAAATTTAAATTTAATTAAGCTTTTATTTGTAGGATTTCAAATGGCAAAATGGATTTTGCGACTAAGCAGAAAAGAAGAAGAAAAAAAAAGACAGGTAACACAAACAAAAGCAAGGACTGACGGTGGGGTAATGCTGTTTCGTTGCTGCGCATTGGCAATCGCGACTTCTGGAACTGCTAACGAAGACTCCTCTGAGTCTGGGCTGGTGGCGACCGTGGCTAACTTGCCTCCCGCTCCGTCCAGCAACTTCCGGTGACCTCCGCCAATGCCCCTGCAAGGATTTAAAGCTCTCCTAACTAAAAAGCTCTTCAGTCAGATCCAGACAGGAAAAAGAAGAAAAAAATACTTTCTCAGGATTGCCACCGGTCAGGAAAGTCAAGAAATTCAGGGAAAAGTCAGAAAAAGTAGAATTGGCTAGGAAATTCAGGGAAAAGTCAAGAAAATTAGAATTGGTCAGGGAATTCAGGAAAAGTCAGGAAATTTTATTGAATATACAGGAAAATCGGTCAATTTTTAGAATTCATAAGAAAATTCTGAATTTTTGTGTTTTTTTTGTTTGACTTATAAATTTTGAAATTATCACGAATTCTAGTAAAAAACCATAAATTTTTTTCTACTTCCGAGAATAGTTTATTTGAATTAATTCAATTATTGACAAGTTTTAATAAAATTCTTGCCAGGAATTCAATTATTTTCGTAAATAAAAAAAATTCCTCGAAGGAATTCTATTATTTTCAATACAATTTGAACTAAATTCTCGAAAGAATTAAATTTTTTTTTTCGAAACAATTCAATTATTGCCGAAGATTTAAATAAAATTCTTAACAGAAATTCAATTATTTTCGTAAATATTATAATTCTTTGGAGGAATTCAATTATTTTCAATACAATTTTAACTAAATTCTTGAAAGAATTTAATTTTTTTCAAAACAATGCAATTATTGACAAAGTTTAATAAAATTCTTGAAAGAAATCCAATTATTTTTGTAAATAATAAATTTCTTGGCATGAATTTAGTTATTTTCATAAGAATTTTAATAAAATTTCAAAAAAGAACTCAATTACTTTTAAAAAATGTAATAAAATTCTTAGAGTAATTTTAATAAAATTCAACAATAATATTATTATTAATATTAGTGTAGAGATTTATTATTAATTACAATCATTAACATAATCGGTTAAATTCAAAAAATTCAAAAAATTCTTCGGAAGAATTTAATTGTTCACGAGATTTCAATTATTTTATAAATTTATAAAAATAATTTAATTCTTTCGAGAAATTTAATTTTAATTGTATTGGAAATAATTAAATTCCTGGCAAGAATTTTATTCAAACTTTGAAAATAATTGAATTTTATCGACGAGTTTTATAAAAATTTATAAAAATAATGGAATTCTTTCGAGAAATTTAATTTTAATTGTATTGAAAATAATTGAATTCATCAGCAGAATTTTATTAAATTTTTTTTAAACAATTGAATAAATTCTTTCAAAGAAAATTAAAATTTTTTCGTGAATTTAATTAAAATTGTATTGAAAATAATTGAATTCTTATAAAGAATTCTATCAAAATTTTTGAAAATAATTGAATTCTTTTAACGAATTTTATAAAAATCCATAACAATAATTAAGTTCTTTTAAGGAATTAAAATTAATTGAATTCTTGCGAGTAATTTTATTATTTATGAAAATAATTGAATTCCTGTCAAAAATAATTGAATTCTTTCGAACAGAATTAAAATTTTTTTTTTGAATTTAGTTAAAATTGTAATTAAAATAATTGAATTCCCTCGAAGAATTTTATTATTTACAAAAATAATTGAATTTCAGTCAAGAATTTTATTAAAATTTTTGAAAGAATTGAAGTTTTGTAAAGAATATTTTTTATTTTTCAAGATAATCGAATTCCAACCTGCGAAAAAATTTGGCTGTTTATGAAAATAATTAGATTTCTCAGAGGAATTTTGTTATTTATGAAGATAATTGAATTTTTAACAAGAATTTTCCTTTAATTTTCGAAAATAATTAAATTTCTGTAAATAATTTTTTGATTTATAAAAATAATTGAATTCTTATAAAGAATTAAATCAACATTTTTAAAAATAATTGAATTCTTTCGAAGAATTTAATAAAAATTGTATTGAAAATAATTTTTCAAAATTCTAGAAAATAATTAATTTCGAGTCATGAACATAATTTTGAAGAACTAACAGTAACAAGATTCTTACAATTCATTGAATTTCAATAGTTTTGAATTCTAAAAGAAGTCATTGATGTTTTTGAATTATTTCACAATTATAGAAATTTTTAAATAAATTTATTGGAACATTTTTATTGAGTATCCAATCATTTTTAGAGTAAATCACAGAATATTCTTTGAGTTCAGGGAAAAAATCAAAATTCTATCTGGAAATCAGGGAAAAACAAAAATAATTTTTTGTGGCAATCCTATTTCTTCTTTTTCTTCTGACAAGTGTTGCTAAATGTCTCCAAAAAAATTCCCCAAACAATTCACAATTCCACTTTTTCCGTCATGCATTTATTTTTCCAAAATTTCTCATCAATATTCTTTTTTCTTTGTTTACACCATTTTTTTCGAAACAAATTTAACATCGAATTTTTAAATGTAAACCCAATGGAAATTTAGAAGAAAATTTACAGAATAAAATCTGACTTTTATAAAATAAAATAAAGCAGAAGAATTTTATATATTTTATAAAAGAAAGATTCGTAAAAAAAATTAACATGACAATGAAATGAGTGGAAAGAAATAAATAAAATACGACCTAGCAACACTGGACAATGCCAAAAATATTATGGATCCAAAAGGGAAGCAATCAACGATCCTGGCTAAACATCTTTTTTCTTATTCACACAATGAATATAGTTAGAGCAAATTTCAAACTGCACTTATTTTTTTTGGCAAGCTTGAAACGTTGAAATTCAAGCAATAAGCGAAACATGTATTTGAGATACAAATAATTTTTACATAAATCTGGAATTCTATTTGATACCAAAAGAGAAAAAAATAATTACGAAAACCAAACAGTAGAGCGATCAAAGATAGCCTCCCTAAAATATTTTTTGTACAATTTTCTATAATAATTATTGTAAAAAAAAAAATTTTACAAAACGTTCTCTTCGCATATTTCAGAATAAAATAACCACAAAAAAAATATTCCATAAAAATTGTTACAAGTAATAAAAAATTTCTAACAATGTAATTTCATTACATTCAAATAATTCGTTTCACTTAAATAAAATTTAAAAATTTTATTCAATCCGAGATGTAAAAACGAACTTTTTTATTTGAATCTACTAAAATATTATTTTCATTAAGAAAAAAAAAGTCGGAAGAGAAATTGAAAGCAAATGGGAATATTTGAAAATATTCGATGGAAGCTGTAAGCAATAAATGCAATTATGATAATATTGAATCAAGCAGATGTAAAAATAGTAAAACAACATGCAAGTATATCATTCATCAAATATTTCTTTCGATTTTCATAAATGAATCAATTTCTATAAAAACGCCTCAGTGACAAGTTCTTTTCATAATAAAACTTAATTTCATTACTAATTGTAACTCATTGTAATGAAAATGTTTTTTAAACTTAAATAAATAAAAAAGACCAGAAAAAAAATATAAATTTCCATTTTCGCAAAAATAAAAATTTATTTTGTCAACATTCAAAACAGATTTATTTATCTTTTTTTTTTATCATAACAAAAATGTTTTTTCAAATTGAAATAAATAAAAAATAAGAAAACAAATAAATAAATAAAAATAAATATTCCATTTTCGCAACAAAAAAAATTTGTTTGTCAATATTTATTCCCGTTCTTTTCATCGTAATAAAAATTTTGTTTTAAATTGAAATAAATAAATAAATAAATAATGAAAACTTTTTCGCAAAAAAAAATGTTTGTCAATATTCAAAATAGAAATTTATTTCCGTTCGTTTTTTTCCAATTGCCTCGATAAATCTCCGTGTGATTTAGCACTGAGATTGTTTGTTCGAGGGCAAAACGCGTACGTAATTAAAATTATACTAGAGAGAGAAATGAACGATTTCAATCCCACTTGTTTGAGTGAAAATAAAACTTGTGAAATCGACTGCAAATATATTAATTATCTAATCTATATGAAAATTGCAGTCAAGGTGTTCATCTTTTAATGGTCATATCTTTACTTTTCAACAATAATGATGATTGAATAATTTTAATAATTCGCTCTTAATGAATCGTCGTATATTAATAAATTTACATTGCTCATCATATTGTATATTGACAATCAGAAAAAAGGAGTCATCGACAATTTTACAATTTACACGAAGGCGTTAATTTTATCGAGATTTTAAATTCGAAAATTTCCATACAATTTTAATTAAATTCCTAGAAATAATTTAATTATTTTTGAAAATTTTAACAAAATTCTAAACAAAATTACAATTATTTTTATAATTCATAAAAGTTTTTGCATGGAATTAATTATTTTAAAGAATTTAAAAATAATTCTTCGCAAAAATTCAATTATTTTTGGAAAATTTTGATTAAATTCTTTATGAGAATTGAAATATTTTCCATACAATTTTAATTAAATTCCTCGAAGAAATTCAATTTACTTTTGAAAGTTTAAATAAAATTCTTAGTTAAATTTCAATTATTTTCATAATTCAGAAAAGTTTTTACATAAAATCAATTATTTTAAAGAATTTAAACAAAGTTCTTTGCAAAAATTCAATTACTTTAAATAATTTTGATAAAATTATTTATGAGAATTGAACTATTTTCATAATTAATTTAAATCTTCACGAAAATTTAATTATTTTAAAGAATTTTTATAAAATCCTTAGTAAAGATTTGATTATTATCAAAAATTTCAATAACATTCTTTGCAAGAAAAAAAAACCGAAGAAAATAAAAATAGTTAAAATTCTATAGAAAATAATTGAATTCCTGTCAAAAATTTTATTGAAATTTTGAATTGAAATGTTTCGAAGAAAATTTAATTCTTCCGAGAATATATTTAAAAATATTTTGAAAATACCTTCTTTTCCTGTCAAGAATTTTATATAAATTTTGGAAATAATTGAATTGTTTTGAAGAAAATTAAAATTCTTCTGAAAATTTAGTTAAAATTGTATGGAAAATAATTGAATTCCTCAGCAGAATTTTATTAAAATTTTTGAAAATAATTTTAAAAAATTAATAATAAAATAACGTATATTTATAAAAATTAACGAATTCATTCGTGAAATTTAATTTCAATTGTATTGAAAGTAATTGAATTTGCGCGAGTAATTTTATTATTTACAAAAATAATTGAATTCCTGTCAAAAATGTTATTGAAACTTTAGAAATATTTGAATCCTTTTGAACAAAATTTAAATTCTTTCGAGAATTTAGTTCAAATTATTTTTAAAATAATTGAATTCTTATAAAGAATTGTATCAAAATTTTTTTAAATAATTAAATTCTTTCGACGAATTTTATAAAAAGTTATAAAAATAATGGAATTTTTTAGATAAATTTAATCTGAATTGTATTAAAAATAATTGAATTCCTCCGAAGAATTTTAATATTTATGAAAATAATTGAATTTTTGTCAAGAATTTTATTAAAACTCTAGAAATAATTGAATTCTTGCGAAGAAAATTAAAATTATTTCGTGAATTTAGTTAAAATTGTATTTAAAATAATTGAATTGTTATAAATAATTGTATCAAAATTTTTAATAATAATTGAATTCTTTCAAGGAATTTAATTTCAGTTGTATGGAAAATAATTGAATTTTTGTGAAAAATTTTATTATTTTTGAGAATAATTGAATTCCTCCGATGAATTTTAATATTTACGAAAATAATTGAATTTGTGTAAAGAATTTTATTAAAACTTTTTCAGTAATTGAATTGTTTTAAAAATAATTGAATTTCTGTCAAGAATTTAAATTCTTTTCTTTTTTTATTTTAATTCTTTAAAACTCTAGAAATAATTGAATTCTTTCGAAGGAAATTAAAATTCTTCCGTGAATTTAGTTAAAATTGTATTTAAAATAATTGAATTGTTATAAATAATTGTATCAAAATTTTTAATAATAATTGAATTCTTTCAAGGAATTTAATTTCAGTTGTATGGAAAATAATTGAATTTTGCAAAAAATAATTGAATTTCTGTCAAAAATTTGTTATTAAAACCTTGGAGAAATTTAATTTTAATTGTATTGAAAATAATAAATTGAATTCCTCAGCAGAATTTTTTTATTTATTTATATTACAAATTTACGAGCAGTGCCCTTTTGTATCAAAATTTTAAAAATTTTTGAAAATAATTGTATTAAATAAAAATTTAATAGAAAAAATATTCTTTTTAGGAATTTTATTTAAATTGAAGTTGATATTCGTGAATAAAAAAATTGTGTGTTTTGCATAATAGGGAAACAAATATTTACTCTTTTGTGCTAATTTTTTTTGCGAAAAGAAAATTTTTATTATCACAGAGACGTTTTATTTTCTATTTTTAAGAACAATAAAAACAAATAGAAAGAAATATAATCAAAATGATAAATTGCCAATAAAGATGGACGATCCCACGATTTTCAAGAAGAAATGAAAGAAACAAACGTGGATTTTTTTTTTTGGTCATTCACCCTTGCAATTAAGCTTGAAATCTACTTATAAAACTACGATGAAGAAAATGAACCAAAATATTTCCAACAATTGGAATACATATAAGCAATACGTATATGAGAAAAAAAATAATAATAGCGAAATGAAAGAAAAAAGAAATTTTCATTTCTTTCTCTCTTTTTTTAAACGAAAAAAAATGCTAAAGTGGATTTGATGAGACCTACCTGAAGGTCTGAGTCGTGGCCGCAGATAATGTCGAGGCTCTAGGATTATCGGGTCTGTGAAGTGGATCAGGAGAGGAAACAGCTCTGGCCTGTTCGGCCAATCGTAAAACAGGACTCGTCTTTCCCTTATTATCAATGAAATCGCATGTTTTCGAAAAGCCACGCCAACTTGGTTGACTGATTTTTGGCTTTGGTCCCGACAATTTAACTCCATTTTTATTATAATCATTTTGCGTTATGTTAAAATTATTTTTCTCATATTTTCGCGTCGTGGAATTACGTGGCAAGTCATGGGCAGTGGTGACAATAGGCACTTTAAAAATACCACCACTCGAAACATTATTTCTCGTTATATTATTAATTACTGAAATTCCATTTTTCACCGGTTTAGTTTTCTCATGATGATTCGCGAGAATAAGAGTCTTAATTTTCGATGAACGATGATTTTGCTGTCGATCGCCTTGCTTCTTGGAAGTAAGGGGACTCGACGTGGGCCAAAACTGATTTGGTGAATCCATTATGGCTAAGGACATATTGGGCATTGGTGATATAGGATTGTTGGGAGACTCGACATTGTTGGCTTCGTAACTTTGAGTTTGGGAGAGGGTCGGGAGGCGTGGAGCCCAAACCGGCCAAGAAGGTGACCTATAAAGATGATAACACAAACAATATTCAGGCATGCAGAAAAAAATCATAAAATTAGGAAAACGAAACAAAAAAAAGAGAATAGTATAGGAAATAACAAAAATGTTCGACGCGAAAAATGTGACTAAAAAGAACAAAAAAACTGGCAGAAAAAAATCAATAAACGATGAAAATACAAAGAGAAAAAAAAATACAATCCCTCCTCTATGAGGAAGCAAAAAAAGAGAAAAATAATCCTACTTTTCATTCAAGAGAGCTGAAAATTAACCTCCCAATCACAAATTTTTCCTATTTAACGAATTTCTTTTAACGCCTCAATTTCCCTAGATAGAAAAATGAATTCGAATTTTTCAGTCTATAAAAAATTGAAATTTCTATTTAACAAAAGCCTATAATTTTGAACCGAATTTTTCAATTTTTAATTTTTCAATTATTTACAATTGATTTTTTAAAAAGAATTTTATTTAAATTTTTCGAAAATAATATATAAAAAGTCAGTCTCAGTCATTAAATTTTGACTACAATATAGAGATCAGGGAAAAAAGTAAAAATTCCATCCAAAAATAAACTGTAAAAATCAGTAAAAAAAAAAAAAAAACAAAATCAAATTTTTTCAAAACTCCTTTAACTCCTTTAATTGAGAGAGAATTATTTTTAAAGAGTTTTTCTAACGTAAACACTTTAAATAAAAATTTACTTAACACATTCTCTCGGGTGCTTATCCTTCCGCAACAAATGTCCAAAGATCAAAGCGGTTTTTTTTTAATCTTGCGTGCGAGAAGAATTTTTTAAAAAAGAGAGAGAAAAAAAAGTGAAGAGAAACAGTGAGAGAGAAAATAAAGAAATAAGCCAATCATTACATGTGCGTAAGATTTTTTGTGTATGTGTGTTTTTTTTATATAAAGGCCTAGGCATTGATGAAAATCAGGGCGTGTCGAAGAAACAAGAGCAAATTCAAAGAGTTACAAAGAACCTACTTATAGCTTTTTGAGTGTTTCTAATGAGCTGGTTAGTTCGCTATCAAAAAAAAAGAAAAGAAAAAAAAATTATACCAACTGTGCAATAATTTCGAATACTTTTACCTACATCGACATTAAATAATGGAAAAAATTCACAAACTATTTTTTCTTCCACAAAAAATCTATTTTAATTGATTAAAATTTTAATTTTAGTTCTTAATTAAAATTAATTTTAGTTCTAATTAATTAAAATTTTAATTCTAATCAATTACTCGATTAAAATTAAATAATTTCAAGAGGCTTTCAGTGACAATAGAGAGAAATAATTTTGAATCTCTAGTAGTTACAGAATAACAGAAGATGCAATGAAAATTCAAATATTTACAGAAAAAAACATTTGGCAAAATTCAGTTTGCTATTTGATCAATTCCTAAACATGATCTAATTAATAAATAAATAAATTCTATTTTTTGCACAAAATTCAATTTTACCTAAAAAAATAAATACAAAACTGAAAAATGTTAAATTCTGCAAATAAATGACGAGTTCAACACCGTAAAAACTAATTTTCATACTTTTTTTTGTAGAGAATAAGAGAGAAAAGATTTGAACTTAATTAGCTGACAAAACCCTTCCACTGTTACAGGAAAAAATAGATATTTGAAGAAATAAGAGGATGGACATATTCTTTCCGCGAAAGAGAACGTTAATGATCTATAATTAAATCTATAATTGAAATATAATTATATTGAAAGAATCTATTTGAAATTGAAAGAATTATTCAGGGTGTCTACTATTTTTGTTCAACGAAATTCCCAGTTATTTCTCGACTTTGTCCTAATTTTTCCCGATCTTTTTTCTCATCAAATTTAAATTTATTTGATTTCGAAAATAAATAATTGAATTCTTGAGAAGAAGTTTTTTTTTACAGTTTCTAGAAATAATTGAATTCTTTCGACGAAATTTGAATAAAATTTTTAGAAATAATTCCATTTTTCGATCCCGGCTATTTCCCGGATAGTAGATACCCTGATTTATTGTTTTCATGAACAAAAAAAAAAATTTGTTTCAGACTTTTTTTTATCGCTTACCTAATATGACCACTGTCACCACTACTACTTTGTCTACTGTGCTGACTGTGAGAATTCAAGGAACCATAGCCGGAGCCTTTGCTCAACTGACTCGTATTGCTGCTATTTCTCGAGTGTCCAGATTCAACTTGAGTCTCCGTCGAAGCTTCTACAGGAAGAACTGAAGGAATGACCTCGCTCAGTGTCATGGGATCGTACAGCTCCGTCCCGCTCAGTAATTCTACAAGAAATAATTACAACTTTAGTATAAATGGGGAAAAAAAGAATCGACCTAACTTGCATTTAAAAAAAATTTTTTTTCACTTTTCTTCTATTTCAATCAATTTTTTAAATATTTACACAATATTCGACAAATTTACGTACATTTCGTATCATTCTTTCGTTTTAATTTCAAAAAATACAAGAACTTTATTTATTATATATGTGTAAATATTTTTAAATCTCTTGCGTGAATTTGGAAAATCTTTCTCTGGCCAGACTGATGTTGATATGAGATAAGAAATGTGAGCGAAATAAAATAAACACGATGGAAAGAAATTTTGCGAATTTAATGACGTGATACTTGCAATTAAAAAAATCCAAAAAAAAAGACTTTTGTTCAGAATGAAAATTTTCGAAAAATAAAAAAGATTTGCAAAAATTATGGGCAAAGATTAAGTATGATTGATAAAAATTAATAAATAAAAAAAAATAAAAATGAAGAAATAAATTTAAAAAAAGTAAATAAAAATGAAGAATGAATTAAAAATAAATAAAGAATAAAAACGAAGAAATGAATAAATAAATAAATAAATAAAAGTAAATAAATAAAACAAAACAAAAATGAAAAAGCAGGTCTCGGATTGAATTTAATTCGCAAAAAGTCGCTTTATTCGTTTAAAGATAAAAAAAAGTCGAAAATATCTAAAATGAAAATTGTCACAATTTCATTTTGTATGTCCCAGAATTTTCAATGATATTTCTAAATTCAATTATACAAAACTTCACTAATTTTGTCAAATAAATTTCAATTTAGTATCAAATCGTAACCTTTCGAAATTTAATTATTTCTAAAATTTACAACTCTAGAAATTTACAACCCGATTCGAAATTTAATTATTTTCCACAATTATCAACAAAATTTCCTCTCTTCATCAATTATTATTTTCAATTATTTTTTTGAAAGTTCTTCAAGAATATAATTAAATAGGAAAAATTTAATTTCTTTCAATAATATTGAAACAACTGTAATTTTATTCTCTTCGTGGTTTTTATTTAAAAGTCATTAAAAGTGAATTATCAAAATTATGTAATCAAAAATATTTTTAAAAATTTCTAAAAATTCTAATAACAAATAATTGTAAATTCTAATATTTAAAATCAATTTTTGCGTAAATATTCCAAAATAGTTTTTGAATAATAGATATTTTTAATTTTTTTTTATATAATTGAAAAATTTACAAAAGATTTTACAAACTTTCCATCAAGTTTGCAAAATCTTTGGTTAATTGAATCCTAAAAAATTAAGCTTACAATATTCTGAGAATTACTTTATTCAAAATATTCTAATTTAAATTATCGCAGGAAATAATTATGTTCTTAAAAGAATTTTTGGAAAATTTTTAAAAATAGTAATTTTTTTAAAGAATCATGTTACATTAAAAATAATTTGGAAATTTTCTAAACAGAAAAGTTCTGTTTTGTTGCAATATTTAGAAAAGCTAAGTCAAAAAAGGAAAATTTTTTCAAAAAAAAGTAGAAAAAATCGCTTCAAAATTTCGTACTATCCGAGACCTGAATAAAAAAATGAAAAAAAAATTGAAGAAAAAAAACTAAATAAATAGAAAACTGAACTAAATTTAAAAAAAAAGAGAAAAAAAGAGCAAAACGGAAACAGTAATTTAAGAAAAACGAAAAGTATAAAGAATTGAAACTAAAATTAAAAAATAATAAAAAGGCAACAAAAAAATGAAATAGTAAGATGACCTGAAGAAAAGAGTGCCGGCCTCTTCTTAGGAAGACTGCCGAATCCACTGCTGGCACTGGCTATACTACCTGCTAAAGAACCAGTGGATACGTAATCCTCCCGATTACTACATCTGTCAGCTGAAATGACTTCGTCGGCAGTAACTCCAGGAATTCCAGGAACACCCGGCACTGCCAATTGCGTTTGTTTCAACGATGGCGACGGTCTGTAATTACAAACGAATCCAATGTAAATTAACTCTTTCAACAAGAATAATAGAAAATTCATTCTAATTAGCATCAAAATTCACAACTTTAATAAAATAATGCACAGAAATTAAATCTTTGTAAATTTCAATTTCAAATCTACTCAAAAATCTAATTTATTTCTAAAAATAACAACTGTACTAATTCTTCCAATTATTTTCTAGATTCTTTAACTAAACTTCTTTTCTAAATCAATCAATTTTCCTAAATTTCCGAAAATTCTACAAAAATTGAATTATTTATAATAATAATTTTAATTTTAAGTCTTTATGGTGTTTAAAAAAATTACTAACAATTTCAAAAATTACCATAAAAATCGAAACAAAATTGTATTTTATACCAAAAAGGTATTTTTTTCTATTTCAAAAATTTAGTTATAGAAAATTACTATAAAAATCGAAATAAATTGCATTTTGTACCAAAAACGTATTTTTTTCTGCAATATTTAGAAAAAAAGCGAAATATGTAGTAGAATTTTTTGAAAATGAGTCAAAAGAAAGTATTTGCTGTTCGTTGAAACTGATTTTCAATTATTTTGTAGTAAAAAGACCCAAATTTTTATTTCAACTCAACAAAATAGTTAAAAATCGGTGACAACAAAAAGAAAATATATTCAAATTCTCTTTGCTATTTTTTGTATTAGAAAAAATTGTCCTTGGTAATTTTTTTTAGGAAAAAAAACACTCTTTGCAAAAAATGCATTAAAAATGAACTTTTTTTTTTGGATAAAAACAAAAATTGATTAAAACTAATCTTTAGAACTTGTGGTTTGGAAAAAAATGACCACAAAAAATTAAAATTTTTAATTATTTGAAGAAAATAGAAATTATAAAAAAAAAATTTTTTTTTCTTTTCCATGAAGGAAAAAAAAGGGTTTCTTACACTTTAAAGAGAATGTCCCCGGAAACCATGTTCATTTTGATAGAGACACGCAGCATAGAATTATCCTGACGATGTCTTGCGTCATAACCTTCCAAGAGACACCTTCTTCGACAGAGACCAGCTCCAGCGAATTCGGCAAGATTTAAGTCGCAGAAACCGAGTTTTTGATACGATCTGCCGCCCTTCAATTCCTAGAAAAAAATCAAAAAAAATAATTACTATTTTTCTGGTTAATTAATTTTTAATATTTTTATCAATTATTTATTGCTTTTATTTTTAGATTAAATTAATTTAATTAATTAAGAATCAGGATAATTCTATTATTAATTATTAATTCAATTAAGAATACAAATTTTGAACCAATTAAAATTAATCAATATTAAAATAATTAGTATTTTGATTATTGATTACTTTTTAACACTTTTATTGATTATTAATACGACCCAAGGATAGTATCAATCTTGTAATTTATTATTATTATTAGATTATCAATTTCTTAATTTAATTTACCTAATTAAAAAATTAATTTTTTTTCAAAAATTTTTATTATTAAAAAATAAAGAAATAAAATATAAAATAATTGTAAGAAATTTCAATATTAAAATTCTAGTAAAAAAAAATTTTTTTCGTTTTAACTAAAATTCTAATAGTAAAAAATGATTCAGTAAAATTAATTTAAAATTAGCAAAAATAAATTCTGAAAAAAAAATTTACGCTTATCAAAATTGGAGATGAATTTAGCTTGAAAAAAAAATTTATTTTTGATTTTTCGTTTATAAAAACGTTGCGAATTTTAGCTTCATAATAAAATGTGAATAAAAAATTCTCACCTTTCTAACTGATATCCTTAGATTACAGGGGTCTAAAACTCCAGTCGATGCATTCGCACTCATTTTACAAAGAAAGTCAAATTTTGCATTCCATCTAACAGTATGGTCCTGCACTTCCATTCTGAAAAAAAAGAAAAAATTTTAGTAAAAAATTTAAAGATTATAATAAATAAATAAATTATAATGCAGAAAAATTGGGAAATACTTTTTCAAATAAAATTTAACTTTCATTCTAGATTTATTATCTATATCTAAATCAAAGAAATAATTTTTTTTATTCACCCATTTAAAATGAGAACAGGACAAAAAATAATAAAAATTAAAAATTTTGATTAAATTCTCATGGTTGTCAATTAAAGACTTACTCATTTTTTAAATAAACAATAATCTGATTGATAAAATTTTAATCTACGTGATATTAAAAAAAAACGCTTTTATTTAATTGACAATTAAATAATTAAATTGATTGATTGATTAAATTTCACTCGACAAGGTTAATATTATTTCCGTAGAATTTAATTAATTGAGATTGTAAAAAAACATTTATTTGTTTGAATTTTATTTTTATTTTCATTTAACTTTAATTAATAATTACAAAAATTAAAAATTTCTTATTATTTTGAATTTTATTTTTATTTTCTATTAACTTTTAATTAATAATTAAAAAATTAAAAATTTCTTTTTGAATACTTTGGTAATTTTTTGTGCACCACATGATAATAATTTTGTAATTTAATATCTTCTCAATATATTGGAGTAATATAAATTATGTAAATTCAATTAGAATTTCTCTTTGAACTCGACTATGTGAAGGAAAATTTTATTTTTGTTTAAACGAACCATATAAACTGCAGCAAAGGGAAAAGATTGGTTTGCTGAAAGTAAATTTCAGTAAGTGCTCTGATTATTATTGCCAAGAGCCATAAATGACGCAAGAAAGAGAAATGGACCAATAAAAATAAGAATATTCTTCCTTTGAGCGAATATTTAAATTTACTGCGTCAAGTTTCCCTTTCTTTCATCAAATTCTTTGTTTCCTTATCTTTCTCTCTTTTTCACTACCGGAAAAATGCAATTATAGAATTTTTGCAATTTTTTTAAAACTATTTGAAATTTTTCCAGTCAATTTTAAAAGAGTTTTCCGAGTTTTTTCACTTTAAAAATTAATTTCCTAGGTATTTTGACTTTTCAAAATATATTATTTACAAATAATTTATTTACATTTAATTTATTTACAATCAATTAAAAAATTTTCCTAGATTTTTGAATTTTTAAAATTTATCATCTATTAAAAGAGTTTTCCCAGTTTTTCTAATTTTCAAAATTCATTTACAATCAATTAAAAGAATTTTCCCAGTTTTTCAAATTATTTAAGAAAATAATTGAATTCTTGAAAACGATTTTGTTAGAATTTTTTTAAATAATTGAATTTTTAAGAAGAAATTTATTATTAAAATTTTTTGGAAAATAATTGAATTAATTTCATTAAAAAATTGAAAATAATTGAAATCTGTCAAAGAATTGAATTAATTTTTTTTTAAATAATTGAATTACAATGAAAAATTTTGTTTATGAAAATAATTGAATTCTTGTGAAGAATTTTATTAAAATTTGTTTAAATAATTGAATTACTCAGAATTTTTTAAAACTTTTGGAAAATAATTAAATTCCATCGAGAAATTTCTATATAAAAAATTGAAAATAATTGAAATCTGACAAAGAATTGTATTCAATTTATTTTTAAATAATTGAATTACGGTGAAAAATTTTATTTTTAAAAAGAATTGAATTCTTGGGAAGAATTTTATTAAAATCTAAAAGAATAATTGAATTATTTTCAAAAAAATTTAATTAAAATAATTGATTTCTTTCGAACAATTTTATTAAAATATTTGAAATTAATTAAATTCTTGTGAAATTTTTTAAATATTTTTGTAAATAATTGAACTCTTCTGAATAATTTAGAAAAAAAAACATTTTTTTAAATAATTGATTTTTTCGAGGAATTAAAATTAAATTTTTAAGAATAATTACATTTTTTGAGTAATTCTTGTAAAATTGTATTAAAAATAATTGAAATTCTGCGATGAATTTTATTATTTATGAAAATAATTGAATTATTGCGAACAATTTTATTATAATTTTTCAAAATAATTGAATTTCCAAATAGAAAAATTTAATTAAAATATTTAAAAAGAAATGAATTTCTGTGAAAAATTTTTTATTTTTAAAAATAATTGAATTTTTTAAAAGAATTTTATAAACATTGTTTTAAATAATTAATTTTTTCGAAATATAATAAATATTATGAAAATTTTTTTTAAATAATTAAATTCTTGAGGAAAACTTTATTTATAAAAATAATTGAATAGTTGCTATGAATTTTATTAAAGTATTCAAAAATAATTGAATTATTTCAAAATATTTTATTAAAATGTTTAAAAATAATTAAATTTCTGTGAATAAAATTTTGTTAATTTTTAAAGTAATTGAATTTTTCGATTAATAATTAATTTAAAATAGTATTAAAAATAATTGAAGTTCTTCTATGAGTTTTATTATTTTTATGAAAATAATTGAATTCTAGACAAGAATTCAATTATTGTGGAGAATTGTATAAAAATTTCGTTAAATAATTGATTTTTTCGAAATTTTTTTTCTAAATTAATTGAATTCCTGTGGAAATTTTATTACTTATGAAAATAATTGAATTTTGGATGAATTTTAATAATTTTTTTTTAAATAATTGAATTCTTTTGCGAAATTTTATGAAAATACTGTAGATATTGAAAATAATTGAATTTCAAATACCTATTTTTTGAAAATAATTGAATCGTTTGAAAGAATTTAATAAAAACTTTAATTGACTCAAAGAAAAATTATTTAATTTAAGTATAAATATTTTATTGATAGTAATAGTCAAGTAATCGTTTATTTGAATCAAATATAAATTTTTTTTCAGTGTTTAAAATACGTATGAGTAAAATAAATAAAATATAAAATTAAAAAAAAAACGGACAATTTTTTGAAAAATTGCAAAGAGAAATTAAAAATTTGCGTTTAAAAAGAAATTTGTGATGGAGAAAATGGGACGGAAGATGGAAATTTATGAATGGCAAGGCTACTGTAGTATTCGGAACTAAACGTGGGAGGAAAAGTTCAAGAATTTCGTGAAGGTTAGAGTAGAATGTGTGGGTGTTTACGTGCAAAATATCTAACAATAGATAAGGGTGAATTGATTAAAAATACTAACGAGAGATTCATAAAAAGTGCAACATTAATGTTTTGCAATTTTCCACCACAAAAATATGAAAATTTCTCCCAAATTTTTTTTTTTGAAATTAAATTTTTATTGCAATAATTTTCGCAATAAAAAATTAATTGCGAAGCGTTGCAAAGTTTCTAAATGTAAATTTTAAGTTTTTAATTTTTATTGTGAATCCAGTAATTAATGAAAATATATTTTTGATAATAAAATTCAATTATTTATTTCTTCTTCAAATTAAATTTTTATTGTAACAATATTACAATAAAAAATTTTTTTTTTAGTGAAGGGTTTTTTTTTGTTATTAAAAAAATAAAAAAAATATTAATATAGTTAATGAAGGACCTTCCGTAACTTGGCAACGATCTATCAAACAATGCAGGTAGGATTTCATTGTATTCTAGATTGAGGTTGGTTCAAATTCTGTAAGTAGAACGCGGGAAATGTAAAGGATACAAAAGTAGAGATAAGGAGCTTTTTTTTTTAAGGCCACGTGCCTGCAGTGTATAAACAAGGTTTTCCGTGCGTGAGCTGCTGGAACAGCAGGTAAATTATTACTTCAGCAGAAGGAGAATAATGTTTTTGAAAATATTCTTATTTAGGAAAATAATACATTCCGCAGTTATATTAAAGTCGAATAATAAATTCGAATATTACACACATTAGAAAAAAAAACGAATGAATAAATAAAAAAAAAAATTTTATAATAGAAGGACGCATGAATTTATTTATTTAGTATAAAATAACATTTGGTGTGAATTTCAGTTGAATTAAAATTCATTTGTTTGGCACAAAAAATTAATTTTATTTTTCCCTAATTTCCAGACAAAATTCAGACATTTTCCTCGACAATGAAGAATATTCTGATTCACTCTAAAAATTACTGGATACTCAAAAAAAAGTTCGAAATTTATTTACGAATTTTTAAAATTTTAAAATTTTAAATTTCAAGTGAAATTTATTTTTTAATATATTTTTAAAAGAAAATTTTTCAAGAATTCAATTATTTAATTACAAAAATAAATAATTTATTAAATAATTGAATATTTCTTAAAAATTGAATTTTTGTAAAGAATTTTATCAAAACTATTTTAAATATTTTAAATAATTGAATTCTTTCGAAGAATAATAAATAAAAATTTAATAAAATCTTCAAGAATTCATTTAAGGGGATTTGAACCTTGATGACGTCACAGTTTGTGCAAAGCATTAGTTTTAAATCTGTGACGTCATCATGGTTCAAATGCCCTTAAGATTGTATTAAAAATAATTGAAATTAAATTGAATTAATTAAATGATTGAAATCCTGTCAAAATTTTCTAATTTATAAAAATAATAGATAAAAAATAATATAAAATTTGTAAAAATAAAAATTCAATTGTTCAGAAGAAAATTTGAGTTCCGAAAATAATTGAATTTTTTTTACAGAGTTTATCACAACATTTAAAAATTAGTAAATTCTACTATCAACAAATTTTGCAAAAATTTAAAAAAAAATTAAATTCCATCAAGAAATTTTATCCAAATTGTATTGGAATTATAATTGAAGATCAATTTTTTGCGAAGAATTTTATTAAAATTTTTTGGAAAATAATTGAATTAATTTCATTAAAAAATTGAAAATAATTGAAATCTGTCAAAGAATTGAATTCAATTTTTTTTAAATAATTGAATTACAATGAAAAATTTTGTTTATAAAAATAATTGAATTCTTGTGAAGAATTTTATTAAAATTTTTTTAAATAATTGAATTTCTCAGAAGTTTTTAAAACTTTTTGAAAATAATTAAATTTTATCGAGAAAACTTCATTGGAAAATTGAAAATAATTGAAATCTGCCAAAGAATTGTATTACAT